TTGGCTCATTAGATATTGAGTTGTCACTCTATCATTTTACTATAGAACTTTGACATAAAATCAAGGATTATGCTCCAAATCACTTATTTTATATGAAACTAGTCTAGAATTGATTACACACATTCTATACATCATTTATATACATCTATATACGTTTTGAAACAATTCATAAAACTTACATTCAGTCAATCAGTAAATGTTCAATGTCAATAGTGATTATATCCAAGTGTACACTCTATCTCAGCGAAAGTACATCCAACCGTCATGTAACTTTACCAGATACATTTAATCACACTGATATACATCTGGAATCAATTTTAATGTTTTAGAATTGAATTCAGTATGATAATAATATCAATCTGTCAAATTGTCAGATTTCAACATATAGAATATACTCCATCTCATTCATTTTACAAAATATCATACAAGTATCAAATATGAATACACTCCTCTTGATAAGGAGAACAATCTGACAAAGTTTCACATTGATGGCTCTGTATCTTACAGTCAACCAATATACCTTAGAATATAGTTTACATTCCATCTCAATCATTTCAAAGAGTTATTGATCAATTCCAACACCAGTATGTTACTCACACATTATAGTACAATTCATGTTTCAAGAGTGATTTCTATGATAAAGTTGATGGAAGTGAGTGCCAAATGGCACATTCACTTCCAATATAGTAGTAAGCTTTGTTAATCCTTTCGATTCTGAGCCATTTTCACATCAACTTGAATCTATTTTTAACTTTTCCGCGCGTTTTTCGGTTTGATCAAGCGGCAAAAATAATTTTGATCAAGTGATTTTATTGCCACTAGCCACCATCATAACTTGATATATATAAATATTTAACAATTTCACATCAGCCGAATATTGTGCCCCATTACAATCACCATCTTTTGACATCATTTGTGATATATATTGTTAATGTATTTAAGGAGAAAAGCTTAATAAATAGGGGTTGACATGGGATCCAAACCCAATGAGTATATTCACGTCCCAAACATTTGACTTCTCAAAGTCCATAATACAAAAGTTAGTTCTGACCTGACCTTTAAATATCTATCAATACAAGAAATGAAACAATCAAATTTACATCATTAATAGATGATAAGAAATATAATCAATGATATGAATCTTCACTAAGTAATCTCTTAAATAACCCAAATAAATCAACTCTGAATCCTAACCAAACCCTACAGAATTAGTGGGGAATATGCACACACTTTTTTCGACAATGGAAGCTGTATTGAAATAGTGCAAACAATTCACTCAAATCCTCCAGTTTTGCGTACCGTGAATGCTACAGTCTATTTCGTTGACCAGACCACACAAGAATACACAAAACATGGTGCTCATGTTCGTTTGGGTGTCGAAGGTCACGGTCCTGTTAGGTGTCCTCCACGCTCTTATATCCAAATTGTTAGTCCACAACCTTTCGATTAGTTTGTTGAAAAACAACGTCTTTATCGATGAGAGGCAGTACATTCTGAAAGGAATAAATTGGAATTTATCGAGTTCTATTGTTATTGATAGTAACTGTTTTGATTACAGAGGCTTCGTCAAGAAGCAGAAGAAAAAGTACTTTTGGAAAGGACAGATCTTAATGAAGCATTCCAATTTTAATGAAGGTCCATTCCATGAGGAGAGTTCTCCCTTTGCTTCCTTCCACGCCAACCATTACTAAAGTCACCAAAATACCAGCTTGGAATCGTTCCGTAACACGCATATTGTGCAAGCCTTTTCAACATCATCTAACTTGTCTCCTTTTGGTTCTTCAACACATTTATCAACACAGTGTCTAACCATTTCATTGATTTCATCACCCTGCTAAATAGGTATATTGGTATTCCAACCTAAGACTGCTGGTTCTTCTTCTGGTGCACAAATTAGAAAATCTGTCAAAACTGAAAATAATGATGTGAATAATCTCTCGCCTAAATTGCGAATATAATTGCCTTAAATTAATTTTCCAGATAATGTCTTTAAGAAAAACGTGTACAACCTTAGTTAAAAATATTTAGATTTCCAGAAGTCAGTGATTGCCAAAGTGAATAATGCCAACAACCAATTTTCTCTTCTACAAGTAATTCATCATTCCCACAGAGGCATAGTATTGGATGAATTTTATTCGAATTTAATTGCCTTATTACTTTTTGTTTATATAAATCAAAAAAAATGTACCATCCACCTACCATCACTTCACCACCACAACTAGAAGCAGAACCAACCGAAGAATTAAAAAGAAAATATAAATATTCCTTATTTGATGATAACTCTTCTTCAAAAAGAGCAAAACCAAATTATTATAATTCATTTAAGCATTTATCACATTCGGAAGTATTGAAACTTGTTAGTGAAGATCTTTTGTTATCACTCGACCAAGATGAAATTGATGTTTTGAAGAAGGAAAAAGTAAATGATAAAATTCCATTGAATGCTCTTTGTGGAAGTCATTTAATCTTGGCTATTGAACAATATAAAACAGCCATCGAATCCAAGAAAACACCAGAAGAAGCCAAACGATTAATGGTTGAAGATTTGATGGAAGATGATAAAATTCCATCAAAAGATATTGCCCGAACAATTGCTAATTGGTTAATTGAGATGGAAACATTGAAGACAAACATTGTTTCAGACAGTTTAAAACTCCCGAAAGAATTTGATGATTCTCCATTTGATTGGTTCGAATCTCTTGTTAAGGTTAACTTGAAAGAATGTTTCCTTAATAATGTCGATAAATCCTACACTCCTGAGGAAGGAACAATTCAAGGATTTTATAATCGAGAGACATTTGCCCATGATGTGGAAGAATTAGTGCGACATGATTTGAACATTTTTCATACAAACAAAACGAAACCAATTGAAAGAAAAGGATATTTTAAGTATGGAATTCTATCCAATGGTACAGGTAGTGGAAAGTCAAGAGCTTGTAAGGAAATTCGAAACATTGTTCTTACAATGAACATGGATTCTGAACATAAATATAGAAAATTACATTGTAATCTTTCCTTAGACACTGGAAACACCTTAACAAGTGATGAGATTAACGGTTATTCCAAACAAGAAACTGAAGGGAAAATGTTTGGATTACGAATTTTAGCAAGATTAATGGGGTGTCCAGTCAGTTATTTAGTGGAATTGCTAAATCCTTACTTTAAAACTCTTTATTATACCACCAATTTCTTCACATTACAAAACATTACAAGAAAATTGGAACAATTTATTAACAACGATGAAATTTTACTCATGACCATTTCTCTGGATGAGGTTCAATTCCTATACCAAATGTTTGGAACTATTAAGGATGATTCAACACTTACTCCATGGCAACGTCCTTTATACGCCATTGGATATTATATGGTGAACACTGACACTGTCAATTTAAATTTAAGTAGAGTTTGTTTGATTCCAATTCTATCAGGTCTTGACCACATCTCTGATCTACGATTTGATGAAACAGAGTTTGGATATCAAGAATTAACATTACCACCTCTTTGCCCATCACAATTGGGTACAATTTTAAAGGAATATTTAAGTAATAGTTATTTTAAATGTTCAACTACAATGATTAATATGATGAGCATTACCAACAATGTAACTATACGAAGAATGGGAGTTTTGCTATTTGAGGCCTTAATAATACCTGAAGTGTTGAACCTTACTTTGAGAGGAATTGCGTCCTTTTTAACAAAGGTGACATTTCAAGAATGGAAAAATCAGTCTGATGTTCTATTTCCAGAATTGAAAAAGAATATCGATAAAGTAATTAAAGGGTATCTTGTTAAGCAAGAATCATTCAACGACCCATCAGTTCAATCCGAATTATTACCACGTTTATTGTGTGGATTGAATGTTTCACTGACAAGAGAAGAAAAGGATCTCTTCTTGAAAGGATTGATTTATAAAACTCCAACAGGTCGCCTGTATATAGCACCACGATACTTTAGACAACTAGTCAAGAAAGATCCTTACATTTCAAGTAAGATACTAAAAGAACAAGAAATTCATCCCAGAGATTTTGAGAGAATTGATTTGAAATGTATTTGTTATAGGATTGGAATTCTTAGACAACTCACAAAACCTCTTATCACTATTAAGGAATTGTTTCCATCCTGTAAGACTGGTGATGATTCTAACAAGTTATTTGAATTGGATGAAAATGAGTACAAGATTGTATCTCATGTCACGTTCATTTCTAAAGACAAAGAGAATAATATTGTTAAAATTGACAGCTCCAAATGTATGAACAATCCCTCAGAAATTTATTCATACACTTCTGATACGCATCCCTGCGTTGATGCACATTTTTGGTTAAATATTTGTAAACCTAAAGAATCTCTATTCCTCATCCATTACAAAAATTATTCACTGGAATCTAATTTGAGTATTGTACAGTGGTTGGATAAGAATCAGTTTTCAGATGTTGCACTCAAAGAGTTCGAGAATGTTGAAGTATATTTCGTCATGATTACAACAACTAGAATACATGATGAAGAAATGAAGAAATTGGAACAACACAAACATTATGACAAGGTTATTTTAATAAGTCATCAAGATGTTGCAAGTGAAGAGTACTTTCCTTGCAACTTGTTGCCATACTACAAGGGATTTTTATTTCAAAATGTTTCAAAATTGGCTACTACACCACCCTTTAAGAATATAAATGCTTTAGAAAATTAGTGAATGATTCTCAAATAAATGTAGAATTACCAATCATTATTAATGTCAATATGGTTCATTTCTGTTATACTGATCCTTTCTTTTCCATAAATATTGGAGCAGTGGCAATTGTGCTTAAAAAATAAGTATTACATTGCTAGGTTCCTTAAATGTGAAAGTTGTCTTCCATGTAAAAAATATTTTAATTCCAATCCTCTACGTCCACTTATTTAGTACACCTTAATGAAATATATTTTTCCAAATCTCTTTTAGAACATGGCTTGGTTAGAATACCATCAATTAAACCAATATCATCAATTTTTGATAAGGAAATAGTTACATTTCCTGTAAGAAGATAAATACTAAAGTCTGAACCATATTTTTGTCGTAGCTCTTTTGCAGCTTCCAACCCATTCATATTTGGCATATTCTACGTAGAATATTAAATTAATTATTGAACTTTGAAATTACATACCATATCTGTTATTACTACTTTGTGCGTTTTAGGGTTAAAACTCTTAACCAATTCAGCTCCATCTGCAACGAAATCAGTTTTGTATCCTAGACCATTAATCATTTTTACAATAACCTTTCTATTAATTGGATTATCCTCTGCAATAATAATCTCTGAACTGAATTGAGACTCTTCAACTGTCTTTTCTCGTTGTTCAAGATTTGACATTAAGGAAAGATAATTTTGGTGAACATTGAGATGCATTTCAATTCTCTTATTTTCTGCTTCCATAATTGAGTCAACTTCATTGATCAGTTGATTATCTGACAATTTAAACGGTAAATCAATTACGAAATTACTACCCTTTCCAACTTCAGAAAAGACGTCAATCCTTCCTTCCATAGATTTGACAAGATGAGAAACGGTTGTTAAACCCAATCCAGAACTGAGAGAGTTAGTAAATGATTATTTGAAATGGTTTTCACTTACCTTGGTACTTTTGATTGAAGGTTATTTTGAAGTTGAACAAATGGTTCAAATATTGATTCAATTAAGTGTGGTGGAATACCATTTCCATGATCAATACAGTTAAATCTCACTAATAGATTGTCATCCTTTCTGTTAATAACTTGACATGACAATACCACCTCTCCATCCGGTTTTGATGCTTTCACTGCATTTGTGAGGAGATTCGAAAGTATTTGATGAAGCTTTGAAGCGTTTGACAATACAAGCTTATTCTTAATTTGTTCGTCAAGTTGAAATGTTAACTTGACTTTGAAAATTGATGCATATCCAGAAATTATTCCTCTCATTGATAAGAGTGACTCATAGAGATTAAAACTTCTCACATTTTGAGAATTTGGCACCTCAGCAATTTCATGCTCAATTTTTACAATTTGTAAAATATCTTCTATTAAAAGTAACAAGACACTATTTGATGAAACAATGGTATCGACTAAGTCATTCTGCTTTTCATTCAGTGGTGTTTCTTTCAACAATTCTAAACATCCAATACTGGACATGATAGGACATCTGAACTCGTGTGAAATGTGGGCCATGAAACGACTTCTTGCCTCTAAGGCATGTTCCAGTGCCAGCCTAGTTTCCTGTAATTTATCCACCTTATATTTTAGATAGCCAGTCACATTTACCATATAATATGAAAATATCCAAACACAACAAGTAATTCCCAAGTATTCAATTAACATGTTTACCAACTCGGGCGAAAATCCATTATTAATAAATTCAATCACACCAAAGTATCCCAAACTCCCAACAAACAGAGCAGTCATATAATAAGTTGGAAACAATCCCCAAAAAGTTGATTTCAAGTAAACATTATTCGAGCCAGTAAACCACATAAAAGTAAGAGGAATGAAAATAATTTTGTGAGTTGGATGAAGGAAAAACCTAACAGTGAATATTGTAAAGGACAAGATCATTCTCACCTTTTCATAACCGTCACTACTGGCAAAAGAATCTCCATACGACATTGCAGAATTAATGTTTTTCCTATTGATTAATATTTGTAATAGCATTACACTTATATTAAGCAAATTTCCCTGCCATGAAATATGTAATCGACCATACAGTATTGCTAGAATATAGGTAGTTAAAAAGACGACCATCACGTTGATTCTATTGGCAACAATGAACAACATTACTTTTTCTAAATTATTATTACATCTCTCTCTCAACCTGGCATCTAAATTAAATTCATCGGAGGAGGAGGTACTTTTAGGGTTTGTGGTGGTGCTAGTTTGGGTGAAATGGGAAGTACCTTTAGCAGGTGATGTAGGTGGTTTGAACATGGTTGATGATAATTCCTCTTTAAAGTGATGGTGTTCTTCTCCGATTTGTTTTTGTGATGATGATGTTGAAGAAGATTCTATTGTTGTTTGTGGACTTGTAAGAGTACTGGTAGCGTGTGATGCCTTGGAAGGCAACGCCACAGCAGCAGCTGTTTGCGTATTGGACATTTTTTAAGGACTGTTTCTATTAGGACAAGCAAACCTCCAGATTAGGCGACACTGAAAACCTTTATTTGTGTTGGGAAGAGTCCTTAATCATCTAATTGTACGGAAATGGCGATATTTTGTTATCAGGTGAAAAAAAATATTTTCTACAAACGGTCTTCAGTGGATTTTAGATGTGGATCGAATAGCAAAATATTTTTCTGTGACGACTGGATTTTCCTATTTTCAATAATTTTGAATAAAAAAATACTCCAGTTTTTCATCAACATGTTCTTATCTAATTGTTTTCGACAATTCTTCATCATATTAAAAACCATTCAATGTACAACAGGATAGGACTATGGGAACTACACACAATTATTTTGGAGAAAATTTATTGACAGTTACGGATTTTAGAAGGCAAGTGTTAATTTTCAAAAAACAATTGATGAATTGAAGAACTAAAAGTAATACGTATTACTTGTTGACATCAACCATAGGTTAACAATGTAATGTGTGCGAATGTTTTAATTCAAGATTGTTTCTATCAAATTGTTAATATTTCATCATGATGCTCAACATGTAGAACAAGTAGAACACCATAGCCTTGTTCTAATTCATCACTAACATAACGCCAGAAAGTTATTAAACCTGCCTTCAACCACTTACAAAGTTGGAGAAGATGCAAGTAAACTTAATTTTCATCAAAATATTAATTTTAATATTTTCGGGATCACTAACAACAAGTTGAGTACCACCCAACAACACCAAGTGGTTGACAATCATCATGTGGCTTAATATTGTTTTACCACTTTCCATGTTTCAAATATCGAAGTGGTAGGTTACTTGTAATTTTTATCACTGTCATCCGAACCATAGCTATTCTTCATCTGCTTTGTCATTCCTCCCAACAACAACAATAAACACAACTCTATCATACCGTCTACCTCTCCATCCACTTTCATGACTTCATCTCTTACATTGCTTCTTCTGTCCTTCATCGACATAATAAAAATTAAAAAATATTTCCCTAATGACGGGATTTACCCCTGAACCGCAAAAAACCACATTTCATCAGAATCACACAGCTAAACAACAGGGTTGGTGTTTTTCATAAATTGTACCCTGTATTTAACTATTAAGTTTTATTAAATTCGGGAGTTGATTTTTCGAAAAAAGAATAGAGGGCGGCTACTTTTGAAAAACAACTACCTCATTCCGAAAAACAACAGACCACCAAAATTCAATTCCTAAATGGCTAACACACCATAGCACACAAATTTGGTTTATTCAATTTTTAGAATTGTCACATCACACTCATCACACCAATTTACAAGTCACAAACACTATTCAACTTCAATTCGACTTCTCTTTTTCAAAGCTGAACTCAAATAGTCTTTGATCTTGTCCTTGATTTCACTGAAGAGACACTCATTTTGAAAAGTCAAGCAAATATCCTCTACCAACTGAATGTCAAGGTGTTCTCCTTCATTGATTTTATCTGAAATAACAACCTCTTCAAATCTAATCTTGGCTCCAACACCATCTACAGAAAGCACTTTTATTGGAAAGAAGAATTTCTAAATTAAGAAGTCTATCATTTATGAAACATTAAAAATGAATCAAAAAGCGTTAAGAAGAAAAACATTCAATACACAAAAACATACAGAGAACGAAAACGTATCAAGAAGGTTGTAAAAGAGACTATGAAGATATTAGCAAAAATGTAACAAAGGAACAATTATTAACTGGAAATTTGAAATTGGAAATAGATGAATCAAATTTGAAATCTGGACAACAAGAAGTAATTTTTCATGAGCAAGAGAGTTTCAGTTTTGGAGAATTGGGAGGATTTGATTTAAATGACAATAGTAGTAGTATTGTTGACGAATCATTGTATAAGGGGTAAGCGGTGAATGTTGTTACAGCAATAACAATTATTCTCTTTATTATTGTATTTTTCGAGATTGCAACATCAAAGATTGGATTGTTATTGAAATTATTAGGAGAATTGCTTCCCAAAGATCATTTATTATGTAAAACTAAAGATGCTCTGTTGAAATATGTGCTCAACTTTGGCAAAATGGCAAAGGTATTTAATTCTACGACTAATCGATAAGAATCATGTAAGTATTTAAATTAATTAATTTATTGATATCTTTAGGATTTCCGTATTAATACATCCCTTTCAGATTTGGTGGTCAAGACTGTTTCAGGGAACATTGTTAGTGTCAAATCAATGGATTTTTCACTTAAATCAATCTCAATATGCTTTTACTAGCAGTGGAAAGTAAGTGGTTTCATAACTAAATTGCAACTAATATTTTAGACGTGTAATAATCACAAGTTTTATTGAGAAGAACAATACTGTATCTGCTATTTTGGATAATTACGTGGATGGGAAATTTACTCACACTTTCACGGAGCCAATTACTAACCTCAAAGACCTCGCATTTTCATTTGTTGATTCATTTGGTCTTGGTCATTTTTCCAACCATTCCATTCTGCTAAGTTGACTCTTAATAAAAGTTTAGGTTATGATTGTAAAAAATTCAAGTCCTCAATTTATTGCAAATCAACCCCTCACTTTTTCAAAAAGCCAGGTCTGGATTTGATAAAAACCACTGTTCAGATAGTGGTACCTGATTTTACCCCTCGATTTTTTGCAAACTACCACTTATTTCCGTCATTAGGGTTTAAAATAAAAAAATAAATCAATATCACATCTTCCTTTATCATCAAAAGCAAAATCTTCATCAATGTAGCAATTCTCATCATCACTGTGCAAGGAAAGAAAAGAAATATTCATTTTCCTAGAGAACACTCTAACATTTACAATCTAGATAAATCTGTTGTTGGTGTTGTAGGAGATGTAAAATCATCGGTAGTAGGAAAGTCTAGTGGAGAAACAGCTGAAACCATCGATTGTCTTCTACAAGAATTAGCCTTGTTAGCCCAAATGGGACTATATGTAAAGAGTACAATACCAGCAAATACAGATACTCCAAAGCCATGAAGGAAATAATCAATAATATGATAATTTGGTAAATAGAGAGAAGTCACGATGGACATGGCAACTGATAACATTAAAATTCCCATACAGAGGAGGATTCCAGTGACGAGTAGCAGGATTTTAGTGTATGGACTATTCATTAATTGAATGAATGATTGAGAGGAGGTATTGTTGGCCTTGATTTTGTTCTTTTTGATTGTTTGGATTAGACGAATGCCACTAGATGTGAATATTACAACTTGAAATATGGAAATGGAAATGTAAACGATAAATAATGAGGCATAGATTGGAGTAACATCGAATTTGAGATCGCCTGTCTTTTTGAGTAGATTGACCAGCGCATTAGAGATACACAATCCCGTACAAATTACAAATGAAATAATGGTAGCTCCAATAACGAATCCAAGAACAACTCGATAGACAATTTGATTCATTGCTCTTGCCTTTCGAACAGTTGACAAGCTGTTCATCATCTCATTGAGGAAAATAGATTGATAATTCAACTTACAATACATATTGAATGAAACCCATTACAAATATTCCAAAAGGAATCATTTGAAAGAAGGAGATAAAATTCTCAATGAATCCACTAGCCCACATTACTTGTTGATACACTAAAATGGATGCCTTATCAATTTTGTTGCTATTCAAATTCGCATACAATCCTATACCATTATAAATTAGTCTGAATACCAAAGCGAACAAATACATCAAGATAAATAGGGAAAGTAAGATGTAAAGAATTGCTTGATTCCTAACCAATTGTTTTCTTGCTCTTATCATTTGTATGATGGAATAGACAAGGACAAATGACAGGTAAACCAGAAAGAAGGCGGAATTGGCAACCGATGTCGAGTTGGTAATGAAGGTAGGAAGATATTTAGAAGTTATGTTGGCAGCAGTCATATTTGAGTAATCTATCGCTTGCACTGTCAGTAATCCTGGCATACCCAGGTCAATAAGTGTTGTTGGTTGAGACATTTTTCTGTTTGTTTCATTTGCCAATTTAATAATCATTAGAAACTTGTTTGATCTCTTCAATCAACACCTGTCCAAATTTGTCTATCTCAATCAAATCGTTTACGATAACCAATGATAATATCAGAGATAGAATGGAACAGCTTAACCATTAGTAAAATCAATAAATGACAAATAAAGATGAGATACAACAAAGCTCCTCGTTTGTTGAACTTCTTGATAAAAGAATTAGTTTAATAATTTTGTAATGCAATATTGCTAATCTCAAAATCTGTTGCAAATGATCTAATATTCTGATTGACTGTTGTGTGATAATTGAGAATCATTTGGAATGTATCATATTCTGAACTTCCTTCCCTTGTGAAACAATCAAAAACTTGCAACAAATGATTAAACTATCTTCTGGATTAGTTCAACATGTTCATATACTCTAACAATTTTTCCATAACTTCTGATTGGTCAATTTTGCTTTCTCTTACCCAGTCAAATACTTGGAAAGATCTTTCAAAGTCCTTATATTTCAAATTCTTCTTTTGTTGTTCCAATTCGTATAGCCATTCATCTGATTCAAAACTATTTTCCTTGAAAATTTCATAAATTGTTGAAATGTCCTTTTGTGAATCATGAATAAGACTGTCAGGTTTTGGCGGAATTGATGGTTGCAACGTTATTTTCTACTAGTAGATAGGATTTGTTGGATATCTGTGCTTGATTGGAGTAAAATCCTATCACTGGATGGAGTGGAGCCATCATGTTGTGGGCTGTTTACATTATTAGTCTGTAAACTATCAATGTGTTGTTTCAAAATCATTAGACAACCGAGAATGGTTTCAAAATTTGGTCTGTTTTGATAGTTTTCACACCAGCAAGCTTTCATTAGCTCCATATAATCTGATACGAGACTGACAACATGTTCTTTTTGATGAGGATAATAGTTTGAAAATTCTGGCATGTATTCTTCGAGCCATTCCATCATGATTTCAGAATCTGCTTCATTGTTAAATCCTTGCCATGGAATGTAAGGTCTTTCACCTTTCAAAACTCTTGCCAATACTGAAAATGGTGTCAAATGTTCAGAAGTTTTCTTTTGTTGACCATTTTCATTCAAGTTGACCGATTGAAATAGATGAAGTTTGGGAGATTTCGTATTAATATAAGGACTATCCTCAAAGAATAATTGCCACATTATAATACTAAAACTGAAAACATCCACAGAGATTGTAATTTTGTTTTTTTCATCATGTTCCGATTGTAATAATTCAGGAGCCAAGTAGAAGAGTGTTCCTGCATAGAGAGTTGTCGTATGAGCAGTGCTTTCCATAATTTTTGAAATTCCAAAATCACAAACTTTGGCAGTCCAGTTGGCATCCATCAAAATATTGGCAGGTTTCAAATCTCTAATTTTCATTGGTAAAATTCTAATATTCTTAATATGAACACACTTACCTATGAATTATTTTCAAACTGTGTAAATAAACCATTCCACATGCAATGTCAATTAAGAGTTTCAACTTTTCAGAGAAGGTTACTGATATTTCTTGACGTTTCATATCTTGAATATACTTTTCCAAGCTTCCTCTTTCCAAATATTCAACTACGAGGTATTGCTTGTGTTGTGTTAGTGAAACACCATAAAATAGCACAATATTAGGATGTCTCAATCGACATAACATTGCAGCTTCCTTTTCAATTTCATCAGAATTGGCAGTGTCTTCAATTTTCAAACATTTGATAGCAACAGGATGGTGATGCCACTTTCCCAAATAGACAACTCCTGATCCACCTTCTCCAATCTTCTTTTCTGGAAATATCTGATCGATACTAATGATGAAGGACACTTGTTGTCTCTTACCAGATCCTGTACTGTTGACAGTTTGTAGAGAATGATCCTCCATGTAGGTTATTTCGTTTTCCAACAATCTCTTCTCAATGTCCTTTTCTGCTTTATCTCTTTTAACCCAATAATTAACTTTTCGAGTTATTTTAACACATAAATAGGTACAAACTGCTACCATTCCCACAGAGAATGATAATGTGAGTACGGTTAGAGTTACAGCCACAGCAATAACATAATCATAGGATGGCTTTTGCTGACAAATGAAATCATAAGATTTTCCATAATTGGCTGGTTTTAAACTTGTATCAGAAGGGCATGGTTCAACAATAATTGGAATTTCAGAAATGGTAACACTAAACGCGCTCACCAATGTCAATTTTGTTGAGTCAAAATCTGTTTGATTGATAACGGAAATGAATATGTTACCGAATGAATAACCTTGTCTTTCTAATTGGAATTTATCACTATTTTTGATGCCTAATTCACTTGTTTCCTTCAATACTGGAATGTATTGGTCAAAAATGTCAAAAGCTTCAGGAAAAAGTGAGAATACCTGCCCAGGATAAATTTTGATTCCATTCGAATCTAAATAATTATACTGTTTTCCATCAATTGAGTATTTCCAATTGACTGTGTAAACTATTGAACTCATATCATCCCCATAAGTCAATCCTTGATTATTTGAAAATTCGTTACTTTCAATTAGCGAGCTAGAAAATGTTTGATTAAGTATTGAGCTAATGAAAAGTGCTCCTCCAGCAAAATCAGCTTTGCAATCTTTAAAAGTATTACCTTCAATACTCAACTCATCGGGTCTGCTAATACTAATACCACCTCCTCTAGTGGCTGTATTACCATCGAAAGAGCTTCTGAATATCACTAGGGATGAATCTGATCCATTTTCAACGAGAAACGAAACAGCTCCTCCACTACCAATACAATTATTATCTGTACAATAGGTTAGACTTGTATCAATTACTGAATTATTAATAAAATATGTGCTTCTAAGAGAGAGGCCATCCTTGGCAAAGATAGCACCTCCCTGTTGAACTGCTGTATTGGAATAAAACATTCCTCCAGTGACCAATAATTTGGAAAATGAATGAATAGCACCACCAAATTCACCACTATTTTCAGAAAAGGAACATCCATAAACTTCAATGCTTAAATTAGGTTCTGAGGATAACTTGTCAATGGTTAGAGCACCTCCCTTCGAATAACTTTTGTTATCGGTAAATATCGAATTCTGAATCCTCACATAGCTATAATGCGTATCGACATATCTTCCCAAATATAAAGCACTATTAGCAATAGTATTATTGTGAAATGAATTCATACTAATTAATAGAGAACTTATTCCAGTAATTTCAAAAACAGAACCATACTCTGCAATATTATTGAAAAAGTTACAATAGAGAACATGTAATTGATTGAGTCCCTTTGCTAGGAGTATATTCGTATTGGAATCTTTGGAATTTACATGATTATTCGAAAAGGATGAGTATGAAATCAATACATTAACAGAATATTCAATACTCAAAGCAGTTTGATATGAAAATCCATCAATTTCAGTTCTAAATAATACTACATATTTGATAAATCGTAAGGATACAAATGGAGATTTGTAAATTCGATTATCATAAATTTCTGGCATGAATTTAACATGTTCCAATATCAAATCATCAATATTCACCAATTGGAATACGTTATTCAATTTAAATGCCACTCTAATAATCCACAATGAAGTTACCTTCTCCAAATAATTCAAAGATTCGACTGCAAAATTCGAATCCACCAATAGAATTGATCTCCATCGACTTTCTTCTATTGAAATCTTTCCAATAGGTAGTTCACCATTTACTTTCCACATAACTATTGCATTTTCATAAACAGTAACTCCACCATCAAAGTTAACATCTCTAAATATAAGTAATTCACCAAATAATTGAACCGATTGAAAGGTGACATTTTGAAATTGGACTAATCTTGTAACTTTTGATGAATTAATAGTAAATGCAAAGAATCCTTGGTTATCACAATCAATTCCATTGCCGTTTCCAATAAATCTTAAATACAATTGCAAATATTGCAAATTATTCTTACTTTCGAATAATTCAACTTGCAGAAACGAAGCACAGTCCGAACGAGAAATATTTCTTTCAATATGAACATCCACAAGGAAGATAATATCCGAAACTAATGGAAAACTAATCGTTTCATTAATAGTTTTCGTAATATTTGCTAAAATTTCGGGAAGTGTCATTGAAGAGTTTAGAATAAATTTCTTCTGAACCATCGAACAACCTAAAGTATTCGTCCCGAAAGGAAATGGACAGTATTCGAATAGTTCCGAAGCTAGATTATCTATTCGTCTTGTTGTATTCGTTACTTGTTGTTGGATATCTTTGGTATTATACTTTTGAATTTTCGGAAGAGAAAATATTCGAAAGTCGAAGGAAGAAGAACAATTAGAGAAAGTTAGTAGAAAAAGTAGGAATAGTATATAATAAATTAATTTCATGATGATGATAAGAAGAAACTAGGTCATCAGTTTCGGATTTTTTTTAGTTTGCTTTCGGATAATGTTTAGAGATGAATGTAACATGAAAAATCTTCAGATTCGTTCCGCTATTATCATTATAATCGCTCAATATCCATGTGTGTCCACACAAAGTCGCAACTTTTTGACCACAATTTTAATTTCCATTTTTACAACATGTATTTAATATTTAAATGTTCGATTACAACAACATTTCGGTAGAATGGTAGAAAGGAAAATTATTGTCATATTAGATCTGAACTCATGAGAAGACACTTTGAATTGACGACTTTTCCATCTAGAAAAAAATGTCAAACGCCACAATTTGCTTCTCTTCTGTGATTTTGATAGTACTTTTTCAAATTACTCTGGTGACAGCTAGAATACATCTCACTACATATCAAAAAACAACATCGGATCAAACAAATCTCTTATTGACACCATCAGTCAGCAATCAAAATGTCAATTCCACAATCAAAATAATTGACAATGGTGTTCATGACCAAGATGCAGATTTCGCCAGTGATATCATCGCCCTCATCTTTTCCACACTTTCTGTTTTTTCAACTTTTACCATTTTAATAATTTTCTATTTGGAGCAATCTTGGGTTTTTGGAAATGAAATTAAATTAATTTCAAAAACAAAAAAAGAAATTTTTTCAAATTTTTCAGTTTTACAAGTTGGAAATCGTGTGCAGCAGAAGAGACAAGTTGTGAATAAGAAGAAACGTCAATTTATTAGGAGATGCATGTTGGCTTTGTTGATTGCTGACTTGATTTCATCAGTTTCGAGAATTTTGTTTATTTTGTGGTGGTGGGTGTGTTCTAGAGTTGCTCCAGATGTTATGTTTAGTAGGAATTTGGTACCAGCTGTCACACCAAATGTCACTTCAAGTATTGGAATGAACTTGGCTCAAAATCGTGTTGGATTTCAAATTGATTCTTTCAATCCAATTCAAATTGACTCAATTCCACTACCATTCCTCATAATGTCAATAGATCAAAATTTGACAACTGACAATAGCTCAAATATTACAACTTGGATCGCTAGATATGAACTCAAAGCAGGTGCCACAATCATTAATCGACTTTTTGCACACATCAACTTTTCAGCATCATTAGCAACTGCCACTTGGTGTGTCGTTGTAGCATTTGCCATTTATGCAACAACTACCAATGTGAAATGGATGGAAAAACAACTTTCTGAAATTTCTCCGCCCAATTCGAATAATACTTCAAAAAATTCATTCACAAATTCAAATTTTAAGGAAATTGACAATGATTGCACAACTGAAAATAGTGAAATGAATGAAAATAATCAAGAATCTTCAACAATGAGTGAACATTTAGTTTCGATTGATTTGAGACAAAGTAATCAATCGGCTGTTATTCAAACTAGTCAATTGCATCAACATAATTTCCATGATATTTCTAGTTTTAGAAATGATCAAAGAAGATTATTGGATCAATCGATGGATTTGGATAGTACTGCTCCAAAAAGAAATTCCATGTTCAGTGAAAATATGAACAAGTTGAAGAAAATGTCACCATTCATGAGATATGAAATTTCATTCCATGTGGTTGCTTGGGGAGTTGGATTATTTGTGTTTTTATTGTTGTTCATATTCAGATTTATTACTACTTTGGTGGATACTTCGAAAACTGTCAAAACTGGATTTGTTACAGCAATTTACATTTCATGGAATATTTATTTTACTTTGGTAGGTTTAGTTTTGAAGGAGTTTTATGAAAATTTTAACTAATGTGAACGAATTTTAAAATAATTTTTTGAAATATCAAAAGACTGTCATTGTAAACTTTATATTATTAATAATTATTTGGAGATATGTTGGAAAATATTTAAATTCCACTCAACTTCAAGTCATTCCCAAGAAGGAAACCAAAAGAAGGCAAATTTCTGTAATATTGCGACTTTCTCTCTTAATTCTGCCATATGTCATTTGTGGCGTATTTGAAGTTGCTTATTGGTATTACAATATAATAGCCATGTTAACTAATTCTGAGGATGATACTTTTATTTTGGTATTTTACAATTTCTTTTTTAATGGACTCGTTCCTTTGAGAGGATTTTTCTTTGGAAGTATGTAATTAATAGTATTACAATATTTAAACATTTTAATGAATTGAATTGGAACAGTTGCATTCTTATTGGGATCTTCTGAAATTAGATCCTTTGTAAAGTATATCATTTGTTGCGGATATTGCTGTTATAAGAAGAGGATTGATCAATTCAAGAATCAACAATTATCTCAATCTCTATTAATGGATGATCCAAATAATTACAGAAATTTCCAAGCACTCATTGTAGAACCATCCACTGATAATTTACTAGCTCACGAACATTACAATCAATTGAGATCTGGAAGTGTTATTAAGCAATCAAACTCTACATCTTCTCTGGTTGACCAAGCATATTCCTCTCCAAATGAATCAACACCTTCCCCAAGAGATTATCTCAATAAGAGTTTGAATACCAATAGCTCCTCCACAAGCAAACTCCGATCCGGAACCATGAGACCAACTCCGTACAATTCAGCATTCAACACCATCATTCATCATCAACAATTACAACAACAACAGGAAGAACCCAATTTGGAACAAGTAACCTTTGGAAGATTGGACACTGGAAGCTCCTCTCAATATTATCAACAAACTAAAAAGAGAGCTAGAACTTTCATGCCATCAACTAGTCAATCCAATACAAGCAGTGTTGGATCTCCTCAATCAAACAGTGGTCAATCACCAGTTGGCTCAAACTCACCACGAATGCACATGTCCAAATCTTCCCTTGAATCCAATATTCCAGTAGAATTGAGCACTCCACCCAATGATGAGAAAAATAACTAACTACTACCCCACCCAATTTGAATTATTTTGGAATATATGGAAAACTGTATGAGTAATGTTGTAGATCCTTCAAATTAACCACGGAATTTGGTTCTATTCTAACTGAACCCAACTGATGTTTTCAGATTTATTCCTTGAAACCAATTTGGAAGATGAACCAATTATGGACAAAATAGTGCCACTTCAAGTATTGTAAATGGGAACGAAGAGATTAATCAAAAAGAGCCTCAACATCATAACCCCACTCACGAGATTCAACAATCATCATTACCATCAATCCATATTCGACCATTCTTAGGCTTGTTGCATCTGCCTTAATATCATCACTAACATCAAAAAATTGTAGTAATACACACTCATCATATAATAGTTGATATATATTATAGAATATGAACAAACTTGAAGCATTGCTCTCTCACGATCAGAATACCTCGTCCACCATTGCTTCCTTCGAATCGAGTTCGGATCCTCATCTCTCTGTTAAGGAATATGCACCAACACGTTCAACATCCTTACTCCTTCCACCTTCACCATCCTCACTCTCAAATTCATCAACATGTGGTGATGAGAATCAACAAACAACAACATCACCTCGTGGTAGAACATTGAGTGCCATGAGCATGGACCAAATGAGAGAAAAAGTCTCGAGTTTATCCATGAGGAGAAGAAGATTGCAAAAAGTACAATCAGCTTCTGCTCTAGTTTATGCTCCACCAACTTCAATTTCTGCTGCTTCTGCTACTAATACCTCTGCTACTACTACTATTCCAATTCCAACTCTCTCCATTCTTCCTACTATCAATGATCCATCCACTCCTTCCACTTCCATATCAATTTCACCTCCAATTTCTCCACAAAATTCACCAGAAAGGAATAATAATAATACTGAAACTATTAGTATTCAATCACCTTTAATTAATATTTCCACTCCAAGCACACCTACTACTACCAGTTCTCCATTGTTTGCAGGTATTTCTCCATTATCATCCACCTCCAAAATTAGTTCATTCCTTGCAACAGTTCAAGATTCACAACAATTAATTCCATCACCAACTAGTCAATTAGAGGCAAATACACAACAATGGGATGATTCGAAATATACAATGGTAGTAGGTGGAATTGTCTATGTGAGAATGGACTATGTGAAACGTCAAGTAGAAGATATCATGCACAAGTATGCCAACACAAGAAGGGAGTTTAAAGAAAGAGAACGAATGATGAAGAAACATTACGAAAAGATGGATCAAGAAAAGACTGAAAAAATAGAATTGTGCATGAAGGAATTCGAAGAGAAATGCGCATCTGTACAAATTAAGTGTCGTGATGCCTTCCTTAAAAAGTATAACGAGAAAGTGGACGAATTAAACGAAAAGATTAAAGAATTGATGGATGAGAAGGAAGATTTGAAGAATAGAATGGAAAGAGAAAGTACGAAAATGTACAGTGATATGCAAAATTTAGTTTCGAATGTGGAAAGTAAGATGAAACAAAATACTGTTGAATTTAGAGTGAAACAAGAAGAATTGAACAAGACTATTAGAATTCAGAAGAAACTCTTCTTTGGTTTATTGAATTTTATTCGATCAAGAGAAGTGTCAAGAAAAAATATTGACATTCAGACAGAAGAGCTAGTTCAGGATTTAGAGTTGGAACAATACAGAAAACAAGTGGAAGAATTGAAAAACATATTGGATTTGGAACAATTCGAATTTCAGAAAGTTTATGTTGAGAAGGAAACTAGACTAATCAATGAATTAACTCAATCAAAGCATCAACTCTTGCAATTAGAAAGCTGTATGAAGGAACAAACTAATGCAATTAAGGAATTGGAAAATCAAATTTCTGAATTGAATGTTTCTGATTCGAATTTGGATTCAAAAGAATTAAAATCAACAATGGAAGATTCGTCTACTCCTCCCATCATGCAAGTTTAATATGTGCGTGTGTATTAATATAAAATTATCACACCACATATTTATTATTATCTAAAGTTGTTCATTATTATGTGTTTTGGCTTGAAAGATATTATAGAGTTTCCAGAGTTTCATTCAAAATTCAAACTCACAATGATATTGAAATAAAGTTTTGGTTTTTCTTTTTTCATCAACAAGAAAATTGTAAAAAACAAAGTTGTAAAAGTTTGTAAACTCGAATGAGTTCTCACTTAAATTGAATGATGACAAAAAGATTTCGCCGTATATTTCATGCTAATAGTGCATTTAGAATAATTAGAATTTCATGGCAGCTATTATCCTTATTTCCTAATTGAAATTATTAGAAACTGTTGATCTCTTCGATATACAATAGACTTAACACAATCAAGAGAGATTGCATCTTGACATTAGTGGAAAGACAGTTCTTGAAATGCAGGTATAGGTAAGTTTCGAATAAACGAACAAAGGCCACTCGACCCACAATAACACATTCTTATTTCAGATTTCAAGGAAAGGACAAGAGATTTGTATAAAATATGGAAAGATATTGGTAATTGTGTTTGTTAATCAGTACCATTGATAGACCTGCTTTTCTATTTCTAAATTTTGATGTTTGACAGGGATGAATAGAGTTGAAATAATTCACTTCATGGTATCACCAAAAATAAACACCATACAAAAAAAAATGCCAGAACTCAAATCAACCCTCATTTTCCTTGTCATTTGTATTATCTGCCACCTGACAGTTGTCACTTCAGACCCATCAGTTGCTTCTGCTGCTTGGACTAGCGCAGTAGACGCAGCCATGACAGAATTAGCACAAGATACAACCTTCCAGAAACAAGTTACATCATTGGGTGTTCCTTTCGTCGTTCCATATTGTAAAGAAACTGCAAATTATCCAACGAAAAATCCTTTACCTTCTAATATCACGAAATTAACGATTTGTTCAGAGCTTCAAACAAGTTCAACTAATTTGTGGTTGACTGTTTATAAATTGGTTGCAAAGGGTTTAGTTGCTAATCTAAATAAGAAGTATTCACTTTCGTTAGGAATCGAATATCTTTCGATTAATACAACCAGTGGATATTTTCCTTCCTTGTTGGGTGGGATTAATTCTGGTGCATGTGATATTGTAGTTTCTGATACTGCCTTGTCAACTGCCAGAAGTGAACAAGTTTCGTTTACTACATGCTCTTATGGAACTACCTATTTCACATTCATGAGAACTGACCTCGATAACACAACCATAACTGGAATTACCACTTTAGATCAACTCAACAGAGCAGATGTCAAAGTTGCTTGGTGGAAAGGAACTTTATTCGATCAAGTCATGAACAACAGTTTATCTTTAGTCCAGAAATATCCTGGCTCTACAATGAATGCAATGTTTTCATTTGCAGAAACTAAACAAGTACATGCTATTCTATTCGATGCTATTGATGTGTACAGTTGGATGAATGATCATAAGGAATGTGTGAATTGTTATATGAAAGTTTTTGGTGATCCATTGCCAGTTTCGATTTTTACAAAGAAAATGCCAGCTACTAGTGGAGTTGAATCGATTGGAGTGTTGAGTTATGGATTGTTGATTTGTATTTTGATTATTTATTCAATTTTGTAAAGAAGAAAGTAAAATAATGTTATTGAGAATGTAGACGAAGGTGTGCAAGTTTATTCAGCCCAAGGTGAATCTTTTGGATGATAACCTTTCTGTTCCAAGTGTTGTCCAAGAGTTTGCTTTTCTCCTTTTGTCTTTCCCTCAATAACGCCTTCATCTGCTCCTTCTTCAATTTCATGAATTAGTTTTCTTTCTTCTTCGAAAGGATTCACAGAAAGATGTTCTTTTTCGAATGGAAACTCGTTTACTTGTTGAGCCTTAACTTGATCTCGAGTTTTCTCCTTTCCATCCACATGAAAGAATGAAATTTTTGGATCTGCTTTGTTTTCGGGAGGATTCGGTTTATCATTCGTATCTGAGAAGGTATGAACATTTCCATATTTGAGAGCATCCCCAGCAGGTCTAGCATTAGTTGAACCTGGTTTTTTGAGTGGAGAATCAACTTCGTCTTGTTGAAGAGTTTGATTTAGTTTCAAAGAGAAGAAACGAAACTTGTTGAAAGGTTTAATTTGATGGATTAATGAAGATCTTGATAACATTTTTTAATATTGGAAAGAGATGGAAACGAATCAGATTCTTCCAGAGTGAATTATTTAATCGAGTAATTTTCCAAAAATTAAAAATTTTCCAATTACCAAATTTATCCAATTTACAAAAATATCCAATGTGAAACAATTCTAATAAATAATGTGTGTATTAATTGTATTAATTAATAATAATTGTATAATTAAATAATATGTACAATTCAGATTATGTTTAGTGAACTTCAATTCTGACACGAGATTTACCAAATTCAGAAACAGCTCCAGTTGTAGAATTATATCCAAGAGCATACAATTCAGTGAATGAAATAGCATTCGATAATGATCTACATTTGACATGATAGACATGACTCAAAACTCCAATTTGTCTGAAGAGTCCACTGCTCTTTCTCAAGGAAGCATTCCAATAGGTAACTCCCCAACTTCCATCTCCGAAATACATAATTCCGTCCTTGCTATTGTCAGCAGATTCTCTCTTGTAACTGAATGCAACAGATGTTGAATCAGTTTGTTCACTGGTCTTTGTTACAACCTTACCATCACGAATTGGATAAGTTTGCTTGTAGGTATGAACGTGATTTTCAAAAACTGCTGTAATACCATACTTTTGGAAGAGGGATTCCCATTTGGCAATCATTTCCTTATCAATGTCTCCAACACTACCTGAAGTATACATTGGATGGTGAATAATAATGAAACGATTCTTGTAGGTTCCTGCAGTGACTGATTTTTCAAAGAGATTGGTCAAGTATTCAATTTGGTCTTGTGGAGATTCGTGAACCCAACTGTCCAATGCAACAATCATGGTATGCTTGGAGAGATAGTGGACGTGTTGCAATTTTCTTGTAGTTTGTGGATCAGAAACAATCTTTTCAGTTGCTCCACTAATTGACATTGGGAATAATCTAATATAGAATGCATCATCTGATCTAGGTCTCTTGAAATTACCACCTTCATGATTACCAACAGTTGTCAAAATTGGAAGTGTATATTGATGAATGGTAGAATTATCAGAATCGTATTGAACAGTTGTCTTCATAAACTTATTCCAATTCAAGAACCAATCGTCCCATCTTCTATAACAGTAGGCACATCCATTTTCATAGGCAATATCACCACCAACAATAGCGAAATATGGAGCATTATCTACATTTCCATATCCCAAAGTATTGACAGCTTTGGAGAGAGCATAGGTTGGTCCTCTCCATGCCAAATCACCTCCATTAATGAATGAAACAATCTTGGAGGAATCATCCTCTGATGGAATTGTTCTAAATTTGAGATATTCATTATCGTAGTGGAAATCATGAGCATCAGTACTTTCAGATGCAGAATAACCAGCACGAAGAATATAAGAAGAACCAGGTTTCAAATCAGTCAATTCAGCAAAACATTGATATCTGCTTTCTTCTTCAATATTATCCAATTTAAAGCAACTGGCTTGATGATATTCATTGAATTCAACATCTTTTGGATCAAAATCTTCATCAGCTGGATCGAATCTCTTATATTCAACAAAGCCCTTATAGAATTCATAAGTATAGAGTTGGAAATTGACAATCATTTGATGATCCATCTTTTCTGGAACTGTCAAATAAGAATAACAGACAGTATCTCTTTCACACTTGCCATTTGACAAGACAGTACGAGTGAAATGTGTAGAAATTTCAATAGGATCATAGGCAATACAAATATCAGCAAAGATGAAAGTTGTCATGACAGAAACAATGAGAATAATTGTAGTAGCAATAACAATCAAAATGACAGCAAGAATTGGCTTTCTAGAAATGTATGGTTTTGATGAATCCAAAAGCAAGGAACGAGTAACAGTAACTGCTTTCTTTGGATCTAATTTTGATGAAGATTGTGGTCTTCTTTGTAAACCAGAAGAGTTATCTTCCAAAAGTGCTTCACCATCATCAGCCAATTCTTGTGATTCTTGAATCATTTGACTAGATGATGTGCTGACACTTGTCAAATCAACCTTCTTGACAAGTCTATAATAAATCATAACAATAATCCACTTTAAATCCAAAACAAAACTATTAATCAACCAAACAGACCACATAATAGTAATCACCAAAGCTGTCAAAATATAATGAGCTCTAGAAAATGTAGAAACAAGCACCAAAAAGTAAGAAGCAAACAAACACCAAACAAATGATGAAACACTTGTCAAGACATTAAAAACCTTTCCGAATTTTCTACTCTTTTCAATTTGTTTCTTTAGGGAAGGTTGTTTCTGACCACCAAAACCAGAACTTCCAACAACATCCTCCTCATCATCATCATCAATTCCAAAAGATGATGAATTTAATGATGATGATTTCCTAGCACCCACAAAATACAAAACCCAAGAAATGATATGAATTGGCGCAGTAATTAAAACTCCCCACACCAAACATAACATGACTCCAATGAAAGCCAATGAATAGTAATTATTATCTAAATAGGTGAGAGCATAATGATCGTTTAAAAGTTTCTTTCCGTAAAATGTTGTCAATTGATCCACCAACAATAACAAGGATGTTGACATTTTTTTTTCTTCTTATTGTTGTAAAACTGTGGATGATGAAAATTGAAAGTTATCAATTCGATGTCCAGATAATGCTAAAATGATGAATGGTTCACACACAACTGTGTCGGTGGTGGTTGGATTGTTTTTTTCAATTAGAAAGATGCAAAGATGCAAAGGTGTGATATAATTTTTGACTCAAAAATTGGGTTGTAATGATGATCTAAAGGAGCGACCTTTGGATTTTGCTTATCATTTTAAATTTTAGAAATTTTTGAAATTAAATATTTGGGTATGTTGCTGTATATGGAAAATAGTTTTTACAAAATAATTGTTACATTTTTATTTACAACACATGTATAAGAAACCATCTGGATGAGCACAATTTTCAAAGAGCCATAACATTTCAGTTTCCTTGGAAGGTTCGACACCTTGAATGACAACTCGGTCAATCTTGGTTTCACAATCTCCAAAATATCCACCTTTGGTTAATTGAGGAATAACATGATTGTTTAAGAATGTTTGTAAATCAAGTTGTTTAGCTTGGTCTCTCTTTAAACATATCATATTCTTCTTATATTTTAATACATCCTTCTTCTTTGAATCATCTGTTAAATTTACAGAGCTATTAGAATCCTTTTTGAGTGGTGTGTAAATTCTAATGGCATAAACCATATCATCAATGGAAGCAATTTTAGCTCCAAGTTTAATCTTTTCGAAAAGTTTGCAAAATACTTGTTCGTTTTGACTCTTTACAGCTGACCATAATTCCTTTTGATCCTCATTACTAAAAGTCATCATGGCTGATGTAGAGTTGAAACGAATATACATGCACTCTTTAATATTGTTGAGATAATTCCACTGAGCATCCTCTTCATTACTACAACGAATGACAGTATCTGCTGGAAAAGCTCCAAAATTTGCTGTTAATGACCAAGGTAATTTAAGTGCTATTTAGTTTTCATGTTTTGTTAAATATTATTAAAATTATATTAATATAATTTGATCAATCAACATTTAGTAAATGCACAACATATCATTGTTGTTATATTATTTAAATATTATAATTTCACCATCATCAAATTATTAGTTATATAATTATTGTTATTATTATTTCCAATCAAATACATACTATTCGGATCCAAGATATACATCAAATCATATAAAACTCCAGCTGGTACGTGCCATTGCATAGCAATAGTATTGAAACTAAACCATAATTGATCACTATCAAATCCTGAAAATTCAGAATAATGCGATTTGACTTTATCGATCAGTAAAGATAAATATGAATGTCTAGGAATCATTGTCTAGATAATTATTGCCCCAAACAATTAATGATCGGAATGAAAACACTTACAAAATATGGGAAAGGCTGTTGAAAAGACGTTATGTGTTCAGATTTAATGTTGATTACACTTGGTATTGAACCTTCCCACAGTTGCTTCCTGATTGAAGCATCATCTGAATTATTGTTGCTATTGTTGCTCATTTTAATATTCAAAACACTAAAAGTAGGCTAGTAGCGACGAAGATTTGTTGTTGGAGCAATTTTTTAATTAATTTTTAAAAATTAAAAAAGATTGAAAAGCACGTTGTGTTCTTTGTTACTTCTAATTTGATTCCAAAATCAAATTGCAAATCTACATCTTTGATTTTCAAGTGGAAGTCAAAATAGTGGCATACTATTTATTATTGTTATTATTGGGAGGAATACCACCATTACCTTGTTGCTGCAGTATTGATGATGGATCAAAGTTGAGAAGTGTTTGAGAGTAGTTCATCATGGGAAATGGGAATTGATTAAATCCTGGATGACCTAATGGATTCATATTTGGATTTTGTACAGGGAATTGACCAGGATTTTGCATACCAACAACTGATCCCATAGAAGGCCTTCCTCCTTGAAGTTGATTTGGTAAGCCTGCACCAGGTGGCCAATTAGGAGGTCTTCCTTGTGTAACAAGTCTGTTATTTGGATCTAAAAAGTTTTGGTGCATTGGTGGTTGAGACATACCAGATTGAGACATGTTTTGTTGTTGAGGCATTCCAGTTACCATTGAAAGTAAATTAATAAGGTCAATTTGCTTTCCCTGTGAATCAACCATATTACCAAGTGGTGCTGTATTGAGTCCTTGGTTTGGATTCATATTCTGACCTCCTTGACCCATGAGCGCTGATAATGGATTGTTGGCTGATGAATCTCCATTTCCATCCAATAAAATTTTAAGAAAAGAAGGTTCTTGGGCATTTAGCATTCCATTCTGAACAAACATTTCCAACAAGTTATTAGTACTTTGACGAGGGATTTGATTAGGTATTTGATTTGGCATCTGATTTGGCATTTGGTTTGGCATTTGATTTGGCATTTGGTTTGGTGGAATTTGATTAGGAATTTGATTTGACAAAGGGAATGGTTGTTTTGGAGCCAATGGTTGAGATGTATTTGGCATAATATTTTGGGTGATAGAAATTTGATTAGTTGGAGTACTGTGTTGGAAGTTTTGATTGGAACTGGAATGTGACAATTGGGGAGTAGTTACATTGGTATTATTGTTGTTATTGGTTTGAGTCACAGGTGTTGAAGATTCAGCAGCTGGAGTTGTACTAGCTGTAGGAGTTTCTGATTTTTTAGAAGTCTTCTTCTTCTTTTTCTTTTCTGGTTTATCCAAACTCATTGATGGTGCAATTTCATCAAAGTTCAACAAGCCATCATTTAAATCCAAGTCTGTAGATTCGGACTTTTTTCTACTTCTCTTCTTTGTTGCACTACTGGTGGATGATTTCTTCTTCTTGGTTTCTTTTTCCTTAACTTCTTTCACTTCTGAGGTTATTGCTGTTTGGTCAGTGGTTGCATTAGTAGAAGAAGAAAGAGTACTATTGGCAGGTAATGTAGATGATGAACTAACTGGTGCTGTAGTAGCATTACTAAGCGTTGTTAAAGAAGAAGTAGAAGAGGATGCCTTCTTGTCTGATTTGGCTTTCTTTGTTCCCAAAACTTCATCACAATGCTCAGTCACAAGTGCATAGACAGAGAATGCCATCTTCTTATCTGAGGAGCCTTGTTTTTTAGATTTTGACTTTTTCTCTTCTCCAGTTAATTGTCTCCATTCTTCAGGTGATACTCTTCGGAAATATTTAGAATTTGTGCTCAAATTATGTCTCACACTACTCTTCCAACCAGTCTCTGCAAGATCGTAGAATGGATAAGTTGTGGAAATCCAAGAATAAATTGATTTGAGAGGCATCATGTTATTAGCTGCTGACATGAGTGCATGAGCAATCATTGTAGAATATGAAATATCAGGTTTCTTAAGATTGGGATCTTTTGGTGTGGAAACAGCAGGCTCTTCTTGTTTGACAGTATCCTTTGGAGTAGATGGCTCCTCCTTCTTCTTTTTCTTCTTCTTTTCCTTTTCTTCTTTCTTTTCTTCCTTTTTATCTTCCTTCTTGTCCTCTTTTTTATCATCCTTCTTCTTCTTTGTTTCCTTCTTTTTAGTGGTGGTTTCCTTTTCATCCTTCTTCTTTTTTGTAGTCTTTTTCTTCTTTTCAGTAGTTGGTGCAGTTACATTTGATGTAGTAGCACTACTGTTTACTGTTGTATCATTAGGAGGAATAGAGGAAGTTGTTGTTGTCACTGGTGGAACATTTGAATTTTGATTCAATAAACGCCATTGTTCAGAATTTGTATCCATAGGAGCATTGACGAAAGCCATCAATTCATCAAATTCGTCCAAAGCATCCAAATCATCATCGGGTGGTAATTGTGTTGTACTCTGCGATGATGGAGGTACATCCGTCAATTGTGTTTGTTGTTGTTGAGAGGATGATAATATTGGAGGAGGAATTAGAGAAGTTAATGATGATGTTGTGGTGGCCATTTGTAGAGGTTGTGAAGATGAGGTAATTGCAGTAAAATTGTTGGCTGGTGGAGGTTGTGAATCAATTGAAGGAAGATTAACTCGTGATGAAAAGATACTATCTCACTGTTGGATGAGATGAAAGAGAGGAGGCTTGTGGATCTACAAGAGGTGTTGTAGCACTTGTATTTACAGCAGCTTCCATATCTTGTTGTTTCTGCTTCTTTTCGTTCCAATCAAGCACAAAAGTAGCAATACCATTTCTTACAGTAATTTCGTTTTCTTGCTTTGTCTTGAAAAGTAGAGAGGCTAACTCTTGTTGTTCTGTTGCCAAAGCAGCATTCAGTACTATATGCAACAGCTTTTTAGTATTCTTGGACATGTTGGAAAAGTTTGATCCGATATTATTATCCATATCTGTCATTAATCGCGCTAACATACTAACTGCCTCAGGTGATTCTGCATTTTCAATATCAGGAGAGTTGTAAAGATACTCCAGAACCATTTCCGTATGAGGACTTGGTGCATTTGATTTAGAAAGAAATGATTTGATAAAATCAGAGTGATTTTCTAAATAAATTCCAGATAAAGTTTGTGTTACTGCTGCAGTGAGAGAAGGGCCAATACTTGTTGTCAATGATCTTGCAAGTACATTTGCTTGTTCACTACTAATTGGTGTTCCCCCAGCTAGACCATTTCCGAGGTTCCTAAAAAAAATATTCTTCTTTCCTTCATTTAGAAAAAAAGAACCATACTCTCCATTGGGGTCGTCCATTGGTTCAATTTCTCTAAGAAAGTTTTTTGAAAGAGCATCAGAAACTTCATCATTCATAGTACTTGTGTGACTCTCGTCAGTCATCATCATATCATTTCCTTGTCTATCTTGATCATTTGTTGAAGAATTGTCTCTGTCAGCTCTATCTGCATTTTGCATATCTCTCTTTTTCAGGTTTACCATTTGATACATTTCGCTTTGGGTTATCTTTTTAATTGGAAGCATAAAGGTCAAGAAACAATCACCTAATTGTAATTCATAACCGTTATGAAGTGGGATTGGTTGAGAGTGTGGTTGTGGAGGATAGTAAATTCCATTAACTTTTACACCATTCTTTGATATCACGTGTAATTCAAAGAATTTTGTTATAGCATTATAAATTATTTTGGCATGGAGACGTGAAATATTCTTGTTGGTACCTAGAGGAATATCTACATCTTGTTCCCAGAGCACTCTTTGAAGTGTTTCAATAGAAGGTTGTAAATGACCTGTAGTAGATAATGTGGAATTTAAACTTTGATTAGCATCAACTGTCTGTTCTTCTGCCAAAGATTTAGGATCTATAACTTGTGGATCAGGCACCCGTGTTCTTCCGAGAGAGACATTTAGCTTTTGTAAGTAATATTCAACATCTTGCCCACATAATTTTGCGTAACCTTCAAAGGGATGCATTTTCTATATATTTTGTTTGATTGTTGTTTAGATGATGAAGATAGTGTAGATTTCCAATACGTATTGTGTCTAGTATGAAAATCTGATTTAGTGCAAATAAAAAGGAGGTTAAAATCGCAAGAAGAAAAATTGTACAATGATGATGATAATACACTACTGAGCGTATAATAGGGTGTTGCTTTTCTTCCTTTCTACAGAGTAGCAGTGATGATGGTGATGATTATAATAAAAACACTAACAACAATATATAAAACCGTTACGATTATTTTAATAGCAATCGCAAGCGAGCAGAGTTTGATATTTTTTTTTGAAATTGGAAAAAACTTTTTTTTTTTTGAATTTTAAAATATTAAATTGTTTGCCCTTCATCCTCACCATTAATTTGCTTTTAACCTTTAATGCCTATGAGACTTTTTTCATCTATTCAGTTAGTAATCATCATCATCAGGATGATGGGAAAATTACAATAGATGGTCGTTGCTTTATTCCGAATTTTTACTTTCCGAATCACTCAATAGTTATTGGCAATTAATTTAATTAACATTGTTTTAATTTTATAGATAATACATGAAAGAACAGATTAGAACCAAGATCTGTTGTTGGAAACATCCACAAGAAGAAATACTTGGGATATTCGCTTATTGTGTCCTATCTCTTGACCGTATTTGGAATGGATTTTACAAAGTTCGGATGTGGTACACAAATTGCTTTATTTGAAGTTCGCTTTACAGTTAGTGTTCCAGATTTTTTACAATTAGTGCAGAGAGGAGGTGTTTACTTTCATGATTGAGCAAGATGACGTTCATTTTCGATATTGGCAAGTTGTTGGAACTGATCCAGTTGACTATGGTTGGGTTGACTTGTGAGGATTGTTGTTGGAGACAAGTTGGTTGAGATAGTAATCCCTTGATTATCATTTGAATGTTTGGAGTGATAAATGCTGGAGTGATGAATAGTTTTTCATCAGTTTTAGATCTTTCTGCGAGTTGAGCTTTGATTTTCGAATAAAGTGAAATGGAATCTTGAACTTTGAAAGATGGTGAGCGAATTACATCACTCGACCATAATAAACCCTTTGAATTGGATACCGTATCAGAGTTTCCATACAAGATAATCACTCTCTGATTCAAACGAATGAAATCTTTGAATTTGGATTTTGGTGAAAGTTTGTTGGAATCTGCTAATAACTTTCCAAACTTGGATTGTAAAGTATTGAACAAGTACTGATGACTCTTTTCATCAACTGAGGTAAATTCTCTAAAATTAATTATTAGAACTTCCTTCTTTCCAACAAATTTTACAAAATTTGCCAAACCTTGTAAAGATTTTTCCAAAATTCCAGCATAAAGTGAATTACAAATCTTCAATTTTCTAATTTTGGAAAATTCTGAAGAGTCCTGACAAATTTTCAAATCAAAATATCTAACGCCATCCATCAATTGTTCAACTGGTCCATTCGTTTGTGTTTCTTTCCATTGAGAAAGTATCAAACGAATCAATTTTTTCGGATAACCTTTGAAAATTTTGTTGATTTTTGCTTTTTTTGGTGATTTTTCACTTTTCAACGATTTTGCAAAGGAATTATGAGTTCCAGGAATGAGAAGAGAATTCAACGGTTTGTTCTTAATTTTTCTAAAAGAATATTTCATCCATTGAGATTGAGCACCCTTAAAGAAAGGACCTTCTAATTTCTTCTTGATTCCTTTCGTATTTACTTTCTTATTAGAAAGTGCTGATTTGATGGGTGGTTTGTTGGTATGAAGATTCATTTTGTGAGCCATTCCATTCAATTTCTTAAATGCTTTGCTCACTAATTGACGTTCCTTAACTATTTTAAAAGATTTGATAAAAGTTTGTTGAGTTTCGGATACAGATTTTGGAACTTTCCATAATGACGAAACTTTAGTTTTTGTTGTAGAATGAGCAAAATCTCCTCCCAAACATACAACACACAACAGCAAAAACAAAACCGAAACTGGTACTTTCAGTTTGAACATTTTTTACAACTTTTTGTTGCTGAAATATTTTGAAAAGTGCCTTTCATTACATTTCAAATAACTTTATTGTAAACCTTTCGAAAAACTGTAAATTATTAAAATTCAACATATTGAAACAAGAGATATGTTGCTGATTACAATGTATTAAAGATTTTTGTTGATTTTTGATTGGCATGATTAGAAACTTACTATTCGAAACTTCAAATTATGTGATCAAACGATTGCTGCCCATTCCAGTTCAGTTCTTTCTTCCAGTTGGAACCCTCAATTCATCGTGGTATATCCTATCCGAAACCTCAACAAACTAAACTTGTATTTCCTTCAACAAATTCATCACAACTGTGTTACACATAATCTTGTTAAATGACCTATTCGAAAAACAACAAAAGAAATTCGCGAGAAGTGCACGTAACAGTGTAACCATGCATAGTCAAGATTCGTCCAGTAAGCAAACGATATTTGACAGCATTTTACCTCCACTAAAAAACATCATCCAAAAAAACAAACATAAAACTATGAATAACCTATTCACAGTTAAATTATCTGTCATGCTTTTGCTGTCAGTAATTTGTAAGTTTTCATGCACTTTGACAATTGACATTGTTTTTAACAGACATGTTTTCTCAACATGTAACATGCCTCCAATCTGATTATCCCTTTGGAAGCATTTACAGACCATTCTCTGCAAGCTCTCCTTGGAATTGTCGTCCAGTCAACCCAGTTTTAGACGATACCAAAACTATTCCACTATCAACAATGAACTTTTATCCAACAGTTGGTGAAGGAATTTATTCTACTGGAGTTTTCGTTGCCTCAAAAACTGATTCTCCACTCACAGTTTATGGTTCATCTAGTAAGGGAATTGGCGTGCCAGATATTGGTGGATTTGCTCCAAATATTACAATTCCAAGATGGCCAGCTAATACTTTACCAGCTAGTGGAAGTGATGGTAAGTTTGTTTGCATACTTGTCAATGTAATTAGTTTTTTAAAATGACATGTGTGTCAAAATTTGATATTTTTGGAAAATAGGTCACTGTGAAATTTATGATCCAATCTCAAATGTTATTCACTCATTCTGGCAAATGGTCAAAATTAATGGCACCTGGTGTACTACTCTCTATTCATGGACAGCTCTCGATGGTTCTGGATGGGGAAATCCAGCTCAATTCTATCAAGGAGCCAGAGCCACAGGAGTTGTGAGTTCTGCAGGATTGATTAGAAAACATGAAGTAGATGATGGCGATACTCAATATAGACATGCATTGACTGTATCCATGACTCACAATGGTTTGTCTAATAATCCACCATATGTTTGGCCAGCCACTGCATCTGATACTGATTATCAGAGCAATTATGGAACTATTCCTGAAGGTAGTTTATTGATGCTTCCTTCCACTTTCAATGTCACTGCTCAACTTACCATTCCAAAATTGAGAAAAGTTGCAGAAACTTTGAAAACTTATGGAGGTTATGTCACTGATCGTAATACTGGTACACCTTATGGCATTTTCGTTGAAATTGGCAGTAATTACACATTGCATCCAGGTGGTTGGAGTAATCAAGCAGCATATGAATTGCAACTCATTAGAGCTGCTCTCAGACCTCTCAAATCTTGTTCAGGATATTTGAATGGTGAGGATAAGGTGATTGATTTTAATAGAAATCAAAATTTACTTTCCATGAGAGGTCTTTGGACTGTAAGTTCTGGAGGACCTGCTGGATATTTCGATACATGGAGACAAGCAGTAATCTTTTCCAGTAGAACTGTGAAAACAGTTCAGAATAATGCAAATGGAAATGGATATTCACCAGTTTCATGGGCTAAAACAGTTGCTGGTCAATTGTATAATGTTACAGCTCTTACTACTGGAGGAGGACAGTTTAGATTGTTTTTGAATTTGGCTTGTAGGAATCTTTCAAATATTGATAGTGGAAATTTGAATAATGGACAAAGTTTCGTATTTACTTGGCCATCTTCTTCATGTTGGGGAAGTATTTCAGCAATTAGTGGAGTCAATCAGGAATCAACTGTTTCAGTTCAAATGTTAAAGGTTGAAGTACCTAGCGCAGTTACTTCTTCACCAAAACCAGCAGTTTCTTCCAATTCTAATTCAAACTCCAACACAAATTCCACTGCTACTCCTGATGCTAATATTTCAAGAAATGTCAATGATGCTCAATTGGTTCGTCTTCCAAACGTTTTAATTGTTTTAGTTTTGATCATCTTGTCCTTCCTTTATTTGTAACAAAATAAATATGGCATTCAGCTGCAATACAGACATCCCTCAATAATCTTTTCTATTGTTGCGTTTACATCTGCATAATAAGAATTTTTGAATTTTTGATTTTTGCAAATGTTTGGGCTGTTAAATTTATTCAAGTCTACCACTGAGAGTGTAGATTTGACCCTTCTTATTGGAATACACTTCATTGTCAACGTTGATACCACTGACATTATCTTTAGCATAATAAATACCAAATCCTTGGTTGTCAAAAATAAAGTTATCGAATAATCTGGCAGCACCCTTGTCAGTATTGATAGAGATACCATCCCACAAGTTTCCACTTATTCTACAATTTTCTACATTGAGACGACCCTTTGAAGAGACGGCAATACCATTGTAAGAATTGTTGAAAATATCAGATTGACGAATGATACAGTCAGTATTAGCCATGAGCATGACACCATCCCATTGACATCCACAAATTTCCACATTTTCCAAAATGGCACTAGCTCTTCCGTTCAACCAAACGCCATAGTGGTTGCAGTCGAATACACGACACTTGCTCATAGTGACACCACCTTCTTCGGTAATGACAACACCATTACCATCTCTGCTGGTAATTTGACAATGTTCAAACATAATGTTACCACGTTTAACTTCAGCTGCATGTTTGTCACCTCTGAGCTCTTTAGGAGCTCCTTCTTGTCTTAATTCCATACCAGTGACCTTTACGGCACCAATACAATCCACAATGAGTGGAGCTCCAGAATCCTTCTTTAATACCACATCACCTACACATTCTATAATTACAGATTTGTTTACAACTACAGTTTCAGAATATACACCAGAATAGACAATGATACGATCCAATTCTGCTGCTTTGGCAACAGCTTGGGAAATACTCTTACATCTCAAGGAATTCTTTGCATCCATGCCATCCAACTTGTCATCAACAATCCAAGTTCTACCACGATAGAGAAGGGCTGCCTTTCTCAATACAATAGACCATTCGACAGCTTCTTGCATGGTATCTGCAAAGAAATACCAAGTACGTTGACTAGTGTAAATCTTGATAACGTTATCCTTTTGAACTTCATTGTAGGCCTCGACTGGAGTAAGGTGACGAATCATTTGACCCTTAAGATTGACTTTACCCTTAGGTTCAGAGTCATTTGGATCAGAGAAATAGTACAAATTGGTACCCTTCAAGATACAGAAACGTTCCTTCCAAGACTTGTAGGAACCACCTTGCTTGGTCAACCAACCATACTTGTTATAGTCGAGATTGGCTTGAGAGTAGGTTGCTTCCTTTAATTCTTCAACCCAACAATCCTTTTCATCATCCGAATTTACGCAAACATAAAAATTGGATGAAAGTGAAGAAATCTTGAATGCATATGGACAGTTCAATTCACGAACAGCTGAGGTTACGAGACGAGAACCTGTAGTGAGGACAATACTACCATCTGGAGTTGGAGAATTCTCTTCGGAAAAGTAGAACAAGGTACCACGAACAAGACAGGCATATCTTTCAATCCAATATAATGATTCTGGTTTCTTCTTATCTTGAAGAATGGCCTTGTTGACTTCATCGTTGTTCATTAAAATCTTGATCCAACCACGCATTTGAGAGTTACGAACATACCAACTGGTTGAGGCCAATTCAGATTCGTGACGAACCATTTCACACCAAATTTCAGCATCAGCCAAAAATGGATCAATTGATGTTAGTGTAACTTGATTGAGTCCTTCAACACTAGTGATCAAGTTTTGGAAAAATTGAGTTCCCTTTCTCAAACGAGCTGTAGTATCGCCTTGTCCACTTCCTGATTGACTGCTATCATTGACCTTCATTGATTTTCTACTGAACATTTTAGATTGACGGAAAGTAGAGCTGGAACGTGAAGATCTACCAGACTTTTCCTTTTCTGGTGCAACATCTTCTGGGATGTATCCGGCTTGCAAACTTTCTGTGATTTGGAATGCAAAATCTTGAATTTCAGTATTGTTGATCTTTCTAGGACTTGAAGGAGTTGCAGGTGTTTCCAATAAATTATTTGTTGATGTACCTGAAATACTAACTTTGCTTACACTGGCACCAGCCAATTCTACAATTCTATCCGGTAATACATCCTCAAAATTATTCAAAATGTAAAATTTACCATCCATACACAAACAATAAACATCACGTTTCTTTTTCTTTGTTTGATTATCCAACAATGTCATGTATCCTTGAAGATTGGAAAGTTCTTTCACTTTACGTAAATTCAATTTTGAAGTGTGTTCCTTCAAAAAATTCATCCAAGAATTCATGTCATTTTCATTTTCAGCTTGACAGTATAATGTTCTCTCTTCAGAGATAATTCTAAAACAGTTAGGACGAGATGTGTCTGCAACAGGTTGAACACTTTCTGGTCCTTTACATTTAACAGAACCCAATGGTTCATTCTTTGAACTATCGTCTTTGTAATAATAGAGACGATGACCAACAACAATGAAAAATCTCTTGTGCCAAGTCTTGATAGAACCACCTCTCTTACTCAGATATCCCTTTCTAGCAGCAATTCCCATCAAATCACCCAAAATTGTTGATTTCTTTCCCTTTCCAGCTGTTGTATTAACAACAATACTTTCTTTATCCTTCTTCTTTTTCTTCTTCTTCTTTCCATCCAAATCATCATCCTGTTGATCTTCCAAACCATCAGACAATCCTCTAACAGCCTTCAACGCTTCATCACCCTGATTTCTCTCAACACGAACCACATCCGATGCTTGTTTATTTCTCTCAGAGACTCCCTTATCACTCTCACTGTACTGTTCTTCGGTGTTTTTTTTGGTGGGAACATATTGATTATTTACTTTGGCGCTCACTTCTTGAATTTGTGGCGCAACGGGTGTTCGTTTTCTTGGTTGTTCGTCAGAGGGAGTGGTTGGTGATGATGGAGGTGGTTGGTCGGAGGAGGCTGATTCAACAATGACATTGTTGTTTGGCTCTGGTTTTTTACTGCCATTATTTCCAAAGACTTTTTTAAACATTTTTTTTATGATGGTTTGGAAGATCAACAGGTGATGGCTGACATGTGAAGGGTGTTATCAGTAATATTTGATGATTGAGGTGTTCTTATTAAGAAGATATCAGATTGTTATTATTTAATAAAATATTGATTCTGTTAATCAATTTGGATAATTCCATCATCATCATCAGAATCACTAGAATCAAGTTCGATAACCTCTTTTTGAACTGGTGTTTTCTTTGAATTACTTGCTGTTGGAGTTTTTAAGGAAACACTTTGTTTGGCAGGAGTAACTGGCTCTGTAACAACAGTTTGAGAAGATGTTGAAGATGCAATAGAATGATTCAGTTGGGAAATCTCATTCAATGTGTTATTGTTGTTACTATTTTCCAAACATGCTGATTGACTCGTTTCATTCAAGTGAGAGGAATTGACATTCAAATCTAAATGGTTGCTATTTACATTATCATCTGCAGTTTCATGCTGTTGATGTTTCTTTTTCACAAATGCTCGTACATAATTAACAATCGTCTGTTGATGTTTTTCCTTAATTTTCTCAACTAGTTCATGTCCCATACACATTGATTCTCTACACATGACAATCAGATCGATAGTATCATCTGCCATGATCAATCTAGGTTGAACCTTGTCCTGTTTTGCCAATTCAGTTCTCTTCTTTTTAAGAAACTCCCTCAGTATATCGGCCTCTGTTTTTGGTTCCTTTGGAGGAAGTGGAGGAGGTTTTGCAACCACACTATTCAAAATTTCAATTCTCTTCTCGGGACTATGCAGTGCCAGGAAGGCAGGATCAATCGTACTCAATGAACTGATTGCTCCCGATCTATGTAGTGCTGACTGTCCCAACATGAGTAAACCAGGATTTGTAAATTGAAATCCAGCAATCGAGCCACAGCTATCTGGACAAAATTCTCGTTTCTTTTTTCGTTCCTCCTCTCTTCTATTCATTTCTCTAAAGTCTTCTGGAAAATCCCTTTTCAATTTATTTTCCAAAGCCTTCTTCTTTTGTCCTGGTGTTTGTGGAGAGTATCGATTAGAGTACATTAAATCTCTCCTCCGAGCATTTGATGTTACATAGGGACTTTGATGAGCATTTATGTTGGGAGTTACTGAAGTATTGTCTTGTTCATCTACTACTGATTGTTCTTCTTCATCATTAGATGATAAAGAACGTTCTCGTTCTCTCCTTCTTCGATTTTGAAAAGGAGTTTCAGGTTCGGGTGATGATGGTGGCGATAATTCGTCAGCTTGTGATAATCTGACCGATTCTAAATCATCCTCTTCTTGAGAATTTTGTTGTTGTTCAAGAGATTGCTGATGTTGAGAAACATTTTGTGATGAGGATGCTCTCTGTTGTTGTCTTTGCATTTTTTTACATTTTGATTTTTCATTAAATAAATTGTAATTTCTTGATGTTCTTTAAGTAAGTTTATCTTCATTTCGTATTTTGAAACTGAAAGTATGAATTCTTTTTAAAAGATACAAAAATTTAACATTTTATAAAAAACTTGAAAACTTTTAAATACTTAAATAAACTAATTTTCCTTTCGAATAGAACCATTAAGGGGATCATTATTTTACAGTGCATTATTGAGCAAGATTTCTCCCGCCAAATCTTTGGGCTGTTGAAGGGAGACGTTAAGGATTTAAGGAATTTTTAAAAAAATTATTACTTGTAGAAAAAATGTTGTCATCTCGCAACCTTAATAACGACAATTCGCAGCAACAAACAACAACGCTCGAAGGTGAAGAGGCTATCAAGTTAAGAGGAGCCTCACTCAGGAGTGTCGAGCCACTAATTAAATCGGTGAGTGCAACAGGTTCGGTCTCGACGATTTCAAAGAGAGAGAAGAGGTGTTTTATCATGTTTATTAATTCCGTTATGAGTAAGAGATTGAGAGAGATGCCACAACGAGTGGAGGAAACGATTGGTGAGTGGCAACCAATTAGTGTTGATAATTTGGAAACTTCAAATGAGTTATATGGTCGATTAAGTGATGGTTTAATATTCATGTAGGTTTTCACTAATCATTCTTCTGAAATTTGATAAACAACAATAACAACGAATGAATGGAATGTAAAATAGTCATCTCATCGATAATTTAATAGAAGGAGTTGTGGAATGGAGTAAAATATGTAAACCAAAGAAGGAACAAGAATTGAACAAGATTAAACGAGTTTTGAATCATACAATGGTTCTAGGATATGCCAAGGGTCTTGGTATTGTAGTAGTCAACATTTCTCCAGAGGATTGTGCCGAGGGGAGACCAACAGCATTAAATTCCATCTTGTGGCAATTGATTAGAGAGGATTTGACTAAATCACTGAATATTGTTCACTTCTTTGATGCAATTGCATTGAAGAGGGCAGATGAAACAGTTGTGGAATTTATGAATCAACAACCTCTCTCGCTCTTGCTCAGATGGGTCAATAATAGGTTGGAATCTAAAAACATTAAGGTAACAAATCTTGGAGAGGAATGGAGAAACGGTTATCTCTTCCACCAACTTGTAAAGACAGTCTCTAAGGGTTTTACAGATGAAGATGAGGCAATGATCTCTGAGGCTCCAACAGATAGTGATAAAATCCAAGCCCTTTTGGAAGTAATAGACAGATTGGATTTGAACAAGAAGAGTATCATGCTGGAGCCTGAAGATATTCTCTATGGTGAGAAGCACTTGATAATGTCTCTGATTTCATCCATTTTTTATAGTTGTGACCATTCCGATTTGGTTTTGGAACAGTCAGAAGAGACACTCGACACTCTCAAGAATGAAATATTTGAAAATTCTATTGCTATTCTAGGAAAGGAAATACCTGATGTAAATACAAGACCTGAAATGAAAGCATTCTTGGCGCTCATAAAGAATGTTTCCAACTTTGAAACAACTGACATGTACAAAAAATTAGAAATTCACATGAGGAAACAAATTGAAAAACTAGAAAGCGATAACACTTCACTATTGACTACAAATGATAAGTTGCAGCGAGAGAATGAAAATCAACAAACCAAGATCATCACTCTTCAAGAAAGAGTTTCCCACTTGGAACAATCTCAAATTTTAGCCACAACTCAATTACAAGAAACTAAATCTCAACTCGATAGTACACTCTCCGAGTTGGATACCTACAAGAGTCAGGTTCAAGACCTCAAACAACGATTGGCGATTGAAATTGAGAGGGTGAAACAATTTACCGAGGGAAAATCTCTAAATTTGGAAAAAGAAAAGCTTGAGAAGGAAAAGAAAGAGATGGAAGAAAACATGATAAAAGAAAAGCAAGAAATGGCTGAAACTTTGGAAAAGGAAAGACAAGAAATGGAAGAAAAACTTGCACAGGAAAGACAAACTTTGGCGGAGCAATACACAAAGGATAAACAAGAAGTGGAAGAAAAATTGGATGAATCTAGAAAGGAGAATCTTCAACTTGCCTCTGCCTTACTGACACTGAAAGAACAACATGAAAAATCAAAGAATGATGTCCAAACATTGCTCAAGAATAGTGGTGAAAATGCTGGAGCTGCATTAGCAGAGATGCGATTTGGTTCTAACCCAACTGTACAAACACTGAAACACATGAGACCTGTCAAGGCAGGCTATATGGAGAAGCAAGGCTCAAACTTTAAATCATGGAAGAAGAGGTACTGTTTGTTATTTAAGGAATTCCTCTTTTATTTCTCCAAGGATGCACCAAACGAAAAACCAAAGGGCATTGTAGTAATTGATCCAAAGACAAGAGCCAGAAATGTGGAAGATGAATCAAAGAAGGGTTTCACATTTGTGGTAATATCGGGAGCGAGAAATTTGAACTGTTGTGTAGACAGTGCAGAGGAGAGAGATTCATGGGTTGAGGCAATTGAACAATTACATTATTAAAGTCACACGAAGTCAAACTTTACTTATTAAACCAAATACTAACAGCTTAGTTATCATCCAGATTAATATTATTTCCTTAGTAAAAAGGAGTAAAAAACAAAAGGAAGGGTGGTACGTGGATCGAACACGTGACCATCGGATGTCTGCTGCAAATATCTTTGCAATCCGGTGCTCTACCGCTGAGCTAACCACCCTGTTGGCATTAAGGCAAGTACTTTTATTGAAGTTATAAAATACACATATTAAGCTTTGAATTTATTGAATTTACTCTGAATGTCCTTCGACAGTATTGGAAACCTTTGTATTTTGAATAATTCTCATTAAAATCAAATACTTGTCATCAATAGATTCAATTTGAGAGGTAATAAGTTCAAACCCTACCATAACTTCACACTTGGCAAGACCAGAAATGCAAATTTGTTGAACAATCTTTCCACTTTCCTTATTAGCTGTTTGACAACGAGTTTCATAGAGGTGAGTGTACTTTTCCTCACAAATATCTGTAATATCCTTCTCTCTGTATAGAATTTCCATTTCATCACCAGCTTCTTCAGCAGCTGCAGTTGATCCTGTGATATAGGTTTCCATGTAAGCATGATGAGCATCTTGGAAATCATACCCTCTAATGTCCTTATATGAAACATAGATTATATCATTATCAGATAAACTGGAGAATGCAGCCAATAATTCAGAATTTGAAGCATGAGTACTCAACATGGTGAATTCTGAAGGTAAATATGGAGCAAAATTTTCATTGAGCTCATTCCAATAAATCATTCCATCATTCACTATATTTTCCTCAGCCTTTCTCTCGTCCACTTCCTTATTAACAACTTCGACTGGTTCTTGCTCCTCAGTTTTAATATCTTCAAGTGGTTCCATAAGTTCGATAGCTCGTTTCTCCATCTCAACTTCAAAATCGTCTATTGGTTTTGTCTCCTCATCTTCAAATTCTTCAAGTGGTTCCATAAATGTTGAAATTGTAATTGGAGATGGTGTTTCAGGAACTTTCCTTGCTATAGGAATGGCCTTTTCTACAACCACTGGAGTGGCTTCCTTCTCAACCATTGGTTTTTCATTTACAGTTGGTTCGTTGGTTCAAACATGGTTGGTTTTACTTGTTGTCTTGGAGATGGTGTTACAGAACGAGTAATGGTATGTTTTACAGATGGATCCAAGCCTTCCATGATGACATATTTAATTTTGATACTTCCACTGTTTGTATCTTGAAGTTTTAATATTTGGGTGTATTCCTTATCGAGTTGAATATCGTTGGAATCAATATCAAGGGAAGCTCTTCCGATAAAATCCTAATATATAATGATGATCAATATATTTAAATAATATAAATATTAAATATACAAGTTTACTTACATCTTTAAGAATAAAATCCCAATCAAATACTTTAAGATCATTTGATATTAATAATAATATTATTCAATAACTCGTAGTAATGATTTAAAACTCACCCTCAAATTTTAATTTCAACTTTACGGTTGTATAAATTGCATAGAATTTAAAAGTTTCATTCCATACAGGATTCAAAGTCTTTTTAATGGTTTTTGTTTTTCTAGGAAGAGCTCCATTAACGATTATTTTACAATACTAGGAACATTTAATTAATAATTGAATATCATGAAACTTACTGGATCGGAGAGACCATTTCTATCAGCGCCAACAAGATCAACACCTGCCTCAATGGTTACGTGCAATCTGTGTTGATATCCAAATCCCATGATGAGCTTTTGTATCAATTTTTTTGGGTTGTAATATTCTGTAAAGAACCCTATGCCTTTATCTCCCTTAATGAGAAGGTTGTTAAGCGCACAACAGAACTTTTTAGATATTGAATGTAAGCGCAAGTAGATCAGTGGTTAGATCGTCCGCCTCACACGCGGAAGGTCGCGGGTTCAAACCCCGCCTTGCGTAAAATTTTATAGGGCATGAATTAATGATTTTCAATAATACAATTATTGATATTTAGTAAAGATGATATTTTGTTTCAAACATTATTTGTGTTGGGTACTTTTTGCATTTTCAAAAGCAAAAACACCTATTCAGGAAACCATTCAATTCCAACAAACATTGAACTATATTTACCTTGATGAGATATTTCATAATTTCTGGAAAACATGCTTAACACACTTTATCCAACCAATATTTAATTATGGTGAGGCATTTGAAAAATTTCAGTTTTGGCAAATAATATTAAGGAACAGCTCGTCTCAATCGTTTCTTGAATAAAGATTGGGAAACAACGTAGATAAACATATGGTATGAAAAAGAACCGTAGAAGCACTAAAAGATTAAAATTTGTTTACGGCAAACGGGGTTCGAACCCGCGACCTTCCGCGTGTGAGGCGGACGATCTAACCACTGATCTACTGCCGCTTACGTATATTTGTTGAAAAGAGTTATTAGCCGGATTGTTGATGTACTAATTAATTCATGCAATTTCATATTTATTTAAGGCAAACACGACTTTTTGGAAATGAATTTCCTCATCTGTGTATATTGTATCACATTATTAATCAGGACATCTTCCTCAATATTCAACTCCTCACTCTCATGACTTCCCTCCTCCCTGCAATAATGATAAATTTCATAGAGACCCTCTTCCAACATTCCAACCATAAAGAAACTCAATGAAAACACGTCGTGTCCATTCGTGTCCTTTCCATATCCAACATAATAATCAGCAATGACAACTTGTTTGAATTTTCCCATCAAAATATCACCTTTGGTAAAGTGATCACACTTTCTACAAATAATTTCGTCTGACTTGGTCGAATTTTCGAAAGGTCTTGTGTGCATGAGTAGAATTTCCTCAATTGACTTGTTGTGTTGCGATCTCATAATTGTAAAGACATTTTCCATGTATTTAAACTCCATTTTGGTGCAGCCAACTAGATTTTTGAGTTTCTCACTTGTGAGCTGGTCTGGAATGTATTCGAAATAGTATGGAATTGCTGCTTTAAAAGTTGGATCTGAATCCATTACAAATTTGTAATTGGCTGGAAGTTTCAAATCGTGCCACTTGTCAATTTCTTGTTGGGATCTTTCAATGGTAAATTTAAAAGTGACAGTTCCATATTTTCCATCCTCCTGATCATCCACATTCTTTGTAATTGTATGTTCTTGATTTATCCGAAACCTTTCTTCTGAAATTTCAAAATTGACCATCCCCAACACATCATCCTTTCCAATCATATCCCAATCGTATAAATAACAAGAAACCTGACAATAATGAGCAGTTGGTGAAAATGTAAATTGTTCATTCCAAACTGGATTTAAAGTTTTCTTAATTTTCCTTGTTTTAAATTCAACATTTTGTTCAGGAATGATGAAAATCTTTGTGTATGGATCTGAGAATCCATTTCGATCCATGGAACGAAGGTTATTGGCTGAGAGAATGGTGAGTTTGATTTTGTCTGATTTGAGAAGGACCATTTCGTTTAGAATAGTTGATTAGTTTAGATTAGTTTTTTTTAAAGTGGAATCTGGTTTTATTTTAAATTAATCAGTGATAAAGATCTTTTTCGTCCCAACTCAATCAACGATTTTCATGTTTGTAATAAAAAATGGTCTATCACTGACAACTTTCGGATATTTTTGGAAAGGCCTTGAATTCACTGCACAGAACTTTTTGATCTTCCATTTCGAACAAAACTCTCAACATTTAATTCAATATTAATTTTGCAAGATTACAATTTAAAATTAAATATATTGACTTGCAATTTCAAAGTCGACATTTACATGAACTTTAAAAAAAATGAAGCCACAACATCGTAAAACAATTGCTGCACACAATGAAAATAAAAATAAAACCTCATCACGATCTTCTAAAATGCCCTTTAAAGAATTCAAATCACAGAAAGATCGGAGGATTATTTATGAGGATGAATCAATTATTGGAATTTTGCAGGGTTTCGGAATTGGTTTGGAGGTTGGTTTGAATTATTTGGGGATGGAGGAAGGGATGATTCAAAGATTTGAATATTTGATGCAATCTAATCAAAGTATTGAGTTGATTGATGATGAGGATTGTGAAAATATTAAGCAAGATTATTTGGATAATAGAAATGCAGTGTTTAGAATTAAATTTAAATGTTTATTTAATCATTTGGAAGCTGCCAACAAATCGAGATTAGCTTTTCAAAGAAATTACGAAGATTATTATGAAGGTTATTATGAAGGATTACCTGATATTTCTTGTAGTGTATTTGAATCGATGGTGAATGTTGATCGATCATTGAGTAATAGAATGAAAATAGATATTGGTTTGAGATTTAAATCATTTTCAGAAGTTGTAAAATATTTGAGTTTAGATAATACAAATAGTCTAATGAGCGTTGAGGAAGAAATCTTGTCACGATTTGTGGAAATTCTTGATGTTGATTATGAAAGAAAGCATGTTTTTATTCGATTGAAGTCATTTATTGAAAAGAGGTCTAATAATCCATCTTGTTACTTTTTGATGGGTAAAATTGATGGAACTGATTCATGTTTTATTCTAAACATGACTGAAACCTTCAAGCAAAACAGACATTTAAAGAAAATTAATCAAATTTATCAACACTTTACACCAGAACCATTCAAAGAAAGGATTTACAAAAGTGGCAAACCAAATCTGAAACACGATTGTAAAGAAGTTGGAATTTACAGATTCTGCATTGGAAATTTCCTTCATTGCATCACAACAAATGTTTCTTCAAATAGCTCAGTGATTTATCCACACGATCCGTGCTGTGAACGTAAATATCCTCATGTACTGAGATACAATTCCAAGGACTATTGTGGAGATATTTTAGTCTCTGAAATGTATTGGACACGAGGTTATGATCATGGAACTAGTTATGGAGGAAGAATAGATACAGGATTTTACACAATTGACTCGATTCCATTATGTAGATTGGTTTTTACATTACCTTCCAATAGTTTCTATCCTGAAATTTACCATTTTGTTTATTGATCTGTGTCACACTTGACAGATATTCTTGAAACTGCTGCAGCTTTTCCTTTGTAAGCAGTTTCTACAAAGGAAGATGAGTTATTTAATTTCTTGAAAGATGAAATTGTAAGAAATAAAATGTGTGTTTTCAATTTCAAAATAAATAAAGTTATTTAATTTAAGCGTGGATTGGTTTACCATCATAAGCAGCAACAGCAGCTTCCTTGATAGCTTCTGAGAGAGTTGGGTGAGCATGACAAGTTCTAGCAATATCTTCAGAGCTAGCTCCATATTCCATAGCCAAAGTAGCTTCAGCAATCAATTCACCAGCATAGATACCAATGATGTGAACACCCAAAACCTTATCAGTTTGAGCATCAGCCAAAATCTTGACGAAACCTTCAGTACCATCATCAATAGTACGAGCACGAGAGTTGGCACTGTATGGGAATTTACCAACCTTATACTTGATACCAGCCTTAACTAATTCTTCTTCAGTCTTACCAACTGAGGCAATTTCTGGGTGAGTATAAATAACGTTTGGAATGGCATCATAATTGACGTGACCACTACGACCAGCCAATTGTTCAGCAATAGCAATACCTTCATCTTCAGCCTTGTGAGCAAGCATTGGACCTCTAACAACGTCACCAATAGCATAAATATTTGAAACACTAGTACGGAAATGATCATCAACTGGAACACGTCCACGTTCATCAAGAGTAATACCAACATTATTCAATCCCAAGTTAGCAGTATGTGGACGACGACCAATAGAAACCAAACAAACATCAGATTCAAAGGTTTCAGCAGCACCAGTAGCATTGTTAACAAGTTCAAGTTGACAAGTCTTTCCATCAACAACCTTACCAGACTTGACAGAAACACCCAATTTGAATTTCATACCGAGCTTTTCCATAGTCTTTTGGAAGACAGCACTGACTTCCTTATCCAAAAATGGTGAAATACGATCAGAGTATTCAATAACAGTGACTTCACTTCCTAAACGAGAGTAAACTGAACCCATTTCCAAACCAATAACACCAGCACCAATGACAGTCATTCTCTTTGGAACATGATCAAGAGCAAGAGCACCAGTTGATGACAAGATAACCTTTTCATCGAAAGGAAGGAATGGAAGTGGAGTGGCTTCAGAACCAGTAGCAATGACAATATTATCAGTTGCAATTGTTGAATTCTTTCCATCTAATCCCTTGACAGAAACTTCATTCTTTCCAGTAACAGTACCTTCACCTTTAACATATTCAACTTTATACTTCTTGAAGAGGAATTCAATACCACCAGTAAGACCCTTGACAGCCTTATCCTTTTGCTTTTGCATAACAGATACATCCATATTTAAATCCTTCATTGTGATACCCCACTTGGCAAAAGTAGTTCCGTGAGCTTCATGATACAAGTGAGAAGCATGGAGCAAAGCCTTTGATGGTACTATTTTAAATTTCAATATTATTATTATTATTTGTTAATATATTATTTGTTAATATGTATATTCATCATCATCATTAGAAACAATCAAGTTGAAAATCACATATAACAGAATTAATTGAGGGTCATATTGTGAAATTGATCATATAATAGTACTTACTGCAACCAACATTCAAACAAGTACCACCCAAAGAACCTCTCTTTTCAACACAAGCAGTCTTCAAGCCGAGTTGAGAAGCCTTGATAGCAGCAACGTAACCACCTGGACCACCACCAATGACAACAACGTTCTCTATAATATATCATTCCAATAACAACATAATAACAACAATAACAAAATCCAACAACAGAAAATATTATTCATAGTATATACTCCTCATCATTCTTAAATCACACCAACTTACTCTTTTCAGCAGAATAGAAACGATTTTGAGCAGTGCCCAAGACCATAGCACTGGTTTTCTTATTGTTGAGAATGACTCTAGTAGATTTGAGCATTTTTCTTGTGTGTTGTATTAAAAAAAAATAAATTATTAAAAATTGTTTTTTTGATTGAAAATTTAAAATTTTAAATGAGCGAAGGTTCTTGATGAAGCTTTTATCGCGTTGGGTGATGATGAAAGATCAGCACATGGATAGTTATGAGAACCAAAAATAAACTTGATAATAGATAGATGCTGCTGATGAAAAAATACAGAGGAGATATTTAAATCTAGGGAGGAGTATTTTAGATAGTACTCTCTGTGTGCTGCCTCGTGGTGACACTATCAAAAAATCTTATAATTTAAGTGGATTGTTTATCATGTTGGTCAGCTTAATGTTGATTCAATTATTTAATGTGGACAGAGCACGGTTAGGAAATTAGGAATAATAGTGACAGATACTGTTTGATGAATATGTTCATATCCTTATTCACATAATTATTAAGTTGAACAAATCTAAATCGATTACAAAATAACAATCGTCAATGAACATTGCATATTTATTCTTGCTAATCTGATTTACTTTCCAAGTGGTACTTTGTGAATAATTTTGAAACAAGTATCCACATCAGGTCTGTAAATCATGCAAATTTCTCCAACTGTTACAGTTTGAGTTTTCCAATCCTCACTCAATTGTTTGTGAACTTTTTCCACAATTGTTTTTGGTGCATAACCAACAGTCATGTGTGGAATGAATTCTCCAGTTTCGTTTTTCTTCTTAGCACAATAAGGAAAGAGGGAAGCAACTCGTTTTTGTAATTCTATAAAGTTATTTCTTGCAGTTTCGTTTTGGTTGACCCACAAGACAGAAGATCCTTTTTCAAAATATGAAATTGAATCGAATGAGCATTCGAAAGGTTTGAAATCTTGCAATTCTTGAGTCAATAATTTCAAAGCCGAATCAAAACATGTTTCTGGAATAAAAGGAAATAACAAGTTCACATGAGGAGGCCATCTTTCCATTCCCTATTATTTGTTCGAAACCAAATAGCAGTATTCAAACATACCTTATCAATTTCCTGTCTTATATCTTGAACAGGATCCCATATAGACTCTGGTGGAATGTAACACAAAGCTGTATGCAAAGCATAGGTCGAATTGAGCTTCAAATCCTCATCCGAAACCTTTCCAAAAATCGAAAAATCATCAAGAGGAAAATCATAAACTGGCCTCTTCACCTCAACCATCCTCTTTTTATTTGTTGGTTTGTGACCCATATAATTCCTACTTTCCTTCATCAAAACAACTTGTTTTTCAGTTGATTCCGCTGATGGTGAACTTGTTTCTTGTTGAGACATTTTTTTTAATTGTAATTTTAAATTTTTCATTGTAAAACAACTTGGAACTTTTTATGCAAAGTTCACATTTGAAAACGAACTTTGTAAGGGAATGAGAAAGTGAGCTAGCAAATATCATTTTGTTTTTGGATTTTGTATACTTTTTGCCAAGTTAAGAATTCGAGAGTTTTTTCCATTCTTGAAAAGGTATCTTTGAGATTGGTTAAAACTTCCATTTCAAATATTGAAATTAATTCTTGGACCTTGAATTGGTGTTCAGCTATGGAAGAGGATGCAGAACCGACACCAGTCATGGAAGAAATTGAAACTGAGCTGGACGAAACATTTGCCTCTGCACTTGATCCTTCCACTTGCTTTTTCAGTTTGTAAAATGCACGTTTCGAACTTCCAGATACGTTCACTTCAAACACTCCAGTCAAATATTCCTTTTCCACTTCAATCATTTGTGAAAGTGTCAAATTTTTCATTGCCTTACTTTTCAATTCATTAAGATATACGAAAAAATTGTAATTTTCCAAGGAAAGTTCTTTAACACAATATTCTCTTTGAATTCTCCTAAAATCATCATTTTTCATAAACTCCTCAAAGCTCGATTCTTGTTCAGTTTTGTTTCTTCTCAGCTTTTCGAATAGATACTTTATAATACATTGTCCTCCACAGGTCAGAATAAATGAAAAGAAGAGAATTGTTCTCAGAAAGTAAATAGCATGTCTGTTAAACGAAAAGGCAGTCATCAATATGAGGATCACTAAATTAAACGAAAGTAGTATCATATCTATACGAATCATGAACGGATCGTCAAAGAATAACATGTATCTCAATCCCTTATCTTTCCACTTCTTTCTATTAATTAATATATCACATATAATGACAATGAAACCAATTAAACAACAAATTCCAATTGTTACTCCAACATTAATATTCAGTGCAAATACCAGAGGACGATCCAATACGAAAGGAATTGAAATGTAGTGAGACGAAACAAAAAATGACATTAGAAATGGTAAAAGTCCTGTAAATAACAATCCTGGAACTATTCCACTCAAAATTGAATTAATCTTTTCAGAATTTGAGAATAATCTATACAAATTTCTCAAATAGTACAATCTCAAATAGGTAAACACATTAACCAATGAACAGAATGTCAAGAAAAATCCAACTGTAATAAACAAAACACTTCTGCACCATGGAGTAAAGACATCAGCCAAAGCAAACATGAAATACAACATTAATAATGGCAAGTAAGGTGTCAGTAATCTTCTTTTCAGTGAAGGTTGTGTCAATGCTCCACTACATATCAAGAAAATCATGTAAATGATGACAAAACAAATTTGTGGAATGACCCAATATTCAACTTCTTTAAATTCTAAATCAGTGAGACACATGTCACTCTTGCAAACTGAACAGTTGGAAGGTAAGAGAAGGGAGTTCAATTGTTGGATAGTTGAGTTGCTGGAAAGATTAAATTGTTGAGATAGATATGTTCTAAATAGCTGTTGATTGGTGACACTCATGAGATTGATGTTAAATGAATTCCACAGTTTGAGGAATTGTAAATCTTCATTGTTAATAGTAGATGATGAATTATTTTGTGTCAAAATTGAATAGGCTGTCAATACATTTTGTTCATATTCGAAATTCTGCAATACTTCCTTACATGAAGGTTTTTCATTCGAAACATTGAACCGTATCAATTCATCATTCGAGTTAACTTGCAAAACAGTATAAGGAAGCAAATCAACAAATATAAAATCACTCGTCTCAAAATATTCTCCTTCCAACTTTCGAATTCCCATTCCCTTTCTAAATATTCGAAACTTTTGCAAGAATAAACTCCTACTCGTAATAATCACATCAAATTCTTCCAAAGGATGATAAATCTGACAAGCTCCCTTCTCGAAATTATTCAAAATTACTTGATTTCTATTCAAGGGAAGTGTTTTCCACAATTTCATTAGATTTTCTTCTGGTAAAATTGAAACAATTTTTAAATTTTGTGAAAAGAGTTGATTTTTAGAGGTAATATTGAAGGGCTGAGAAGGATTGTGGTAGATTATGGCAGATAAATAGTCATTGACGAAGGATATGGAGGAATTAGGATCTAGATCATTGAAGAAACGAGTTTGGTTGGTTGTGAGAGAATAGACGAAACTGGCAGAAAGAAAAAGAAAGAGTATGAAGAGAGAAGAGGGATGCATTTTTTGATTTTTGTGTGTAATTTGAATTGGAAGTATCTTGAACAGCAATCAATTAATCATCAGTCGAAATGCTTCCTTTCGTCCAGTCCAAATTAGTAAGAAATACACCAAAAGTCCATGTCATTGTAATAATCTTGTCTTTTTCAAACATTATTGACAATTATCACTTAAGTTTTTAATATCATTTTATTCGAAATTCACTTGAAAACAATTGAATATGATACAATTATAATTCCAATAAGGAAATTCACAAATTTCCATCTCATCCATCTTTCCCATTGTAAACACCATCCATTTCTTTAATTTATCTTAAAAACGACCCATTATTCAACTCAATCGAAGACACTTTTCAACATGACCTCATTTCATAATCTTGGCCTGTTGAGGATCCAAGTTTTATATTTTTCCAAGTTTTTTTAAACTTTTCACTAATGGCGTAATTTTCAACTTCCATCCAAGTGAACTTTTTGCGCGATGTGTGGACATGTTTTTTGAAATTTGGATTGAGGGTGACATTTATTGAAAGACAAGTGATAGGGTGAAAGTTTCTTTACATGGAACGGATGAAAAATGTTAGTGCAATTGATGAAGTGTAGTAGCAATCTGAAAGGTTTATGTACCTTTCGATTTGTAGAAGACGAAAGAAAAAATTGAAACTAAACAGTTGTAATTGTTATCATCTCTAATTATCACCTTTTCTTCTTACTCGCCAAGAATAGTTGTCATATTTAATTGATTTTATCTCAATTAGCAACTCATTCTTTCCTTTCGTAGTCCCTCTCACATTTTATTCGAATCAACAAATTAAAAAAATCAAACCGTTAGATACTCACTCAACAGACACACATGATAATTCATCATCATCACAACATAACCCTCTTTTTATAATCATGCCAATCTTTAATTCCATCAATGAATCTCTCGACGAGGACGAATTGACAATTTCTCAACAACGTCAATTAGCAATTCTTCGTAAACGAAGAGAAGACAGACTCATCATTCCATCATCAACAAGTAATAAGAAAACAAGTCCTACAGGAAGTAATAGTGGAAGATATTCGACAAATTCCTTGTCTAGTCCTTCTGTGGAAATTAGTCAACTTTCGTATGAAAATCATTTGCTTTCTTCTCCATCAACTTCAACAGGAAGGACCAGCCATTCAAGTCCAGCAACAGATAAACCATCATTCGATTCGAGAGCCAGTTTCTCCGACTCTGATTATTGTTTCATGGATAAACAAGCTGTGGAATTATTGAAAAATATGGAAAGTGAAATTGTGGAGAAGGGAATTCTTCCATTTCTTAATGTTAGTGATTTGTTATCATTGGGATTGACTTCAAAGAATCAACTTTCGATATCTTGGACGTGTTTGAGGATTATTAATGAAATTCACTTGAAGAGATTTCCAAATTTACTGTCAAATGCCATGATTGAAGATCAAATGGATCATGTTATGGCTATTTTAATGATGAAATTTTCGAGTAGTAATACCAATAGTGCAAATAATACTAGTAGTGGCTCAATACAGACAACTGGTTCAATGAATAGTAGAAATTCATTGAATGATTCGTTTGCTTCAACAAGGTCAACTGGAAGTTTTGATTTAAGGAGTTGTAGAAATAGTTGGCGATTGACTGATAATGCACCACTCACTTCAGCTACACTAGCCAGAAGAAGTATCATTATTAATAGTGCAAGTTATGATAATATTTTGAATGCTTCACCTCAAAAAAGAAATCACCATGTGAAATCGTCGAGTTTGGATAATTCAATCCTTTCTCAAAATGCTCATACAATACATAATTCATCAACAAGTTCAGTTTTGAGTGCACAATCGGTAAATTCTGAACATTCTCTGGTTTCTCCACCAATTAATGTTGGATTATCGGATGGTCAACATGCTTGTGGTATTGAACCTCTGCAAGTTCAAGTTGATAATAACGTTAGTCAATTTACCAAATTAATGACCAATGTGAAGAGAAAGACCAGAAGGAAAATATTTAGAATTGTCATTGTAGGTGAAGAGAATGTTGGCAAGACAACCTTTATAGAATCCATCTTTGGAAATGCCATGCCAGTTGGAAAGGAACATGGATACATTCCAACCGAACAAATGCAAACCTACTGTCATCCATATTACTTGTTGAATGGTGAAAGGATCGATCTGGTTGTTCATGATATTCCACACAATATTCCGGATCATTTCAAATCATCCAAAAGTGAAAAGACAATGAATGAAAAACTATCTGAAAATTCCAAAATTCTCAAGAATGCTAAAAAGAAGGTTGATCTATTCCTGTACTGTTTTGATATGACCAATCAGGATTCATTACCTTCCAAAGAGAATTCCTATTTTAAAAAGTTTATCGAGACGAGAAATACACACTTTCCTCAATCCATTGTTGCCATGATTGGATTGAAGCGAGATGAGGTCGATCACTATCTGAGGGAAAAGTACAAATTCAAGATTGGACGAAGGAGAACGATCACTGTTGCTGATATGAATTTTGTTTCATATATTCAGGCAACTGAACGAGCTCAAGAATTGAATGTTTTCAAGGCATTCCTCGGATGTTGTGATAGGAAGAACATGTTCAATACGTTACACATTTTCGATATGGGAATCTCACTAATGTATAGTCATATTATGAAGAAGAGATTTTCAGAATTTGATCATGCAAATAGTAATAGAAAATCTGTCAATTTGGGAAATATTACGAATGAGGAGGAAATTGTTTCGTCAGCTTCGATGGTTTCGTACGTGGGAAATGCTTCTTCAGCTTCAACAAGACGGGGAACAGTTCATGGTGGAAAAATTTCACAGACAGCTCCTTCATCATTTAGATCGAGAGCAAGTGGTAGATTATCCATTATTGGAAGAAAGGTAAATGAAAGCTTCCAAGGTCTTTTTGAAAAGTTTAATCATAATTCGAATAACAATAATTCGAACATTTCGAGTGTAGATAAGAGCCAACAAAATGGTGTTTCACATCACAGAACCATTCCATTAGAAGCTTATATTGCTAATGACACACAGTCTACAAGAAGTCACACCTCACAAACCATTTCAATTTCTGAATAAACTCTGCAAATGAATTATTCTTTGTCCTTGCACATGTTTTTCGAAAATTTTAAATTTGATGATAAAGTGTAAGGCGGCTTAGCACAGTGGCAGTGCATCAGTCTTGTAGGCAGAAATGCTGAGATAACTGAGGGTCGAGGGTTCAATTCCCTCAGTCGCCTTTTGTACTGGTGATTGCCAAAATCTTAACAAGAAAAACAAGCCTTAATTGTGAATAAGGAATATTTTCTTTTATTAATGTATCCCCCTTAGCTCAGTCGGTAGAGCGTCAGACTGTTAATCTGCAGGTCGGTGGTTCGAGCCCACCAGGGGGAGTTGTTTTCCTTTTTAAACTTTTCACGGCCAATATGAAATATCTATTTTACATTACCTTTACGATACACGAGACGTTATAATAAATATTTTAAGATATTACAACTTATATTTTACATTTTTAGGATTTATTGGCTAACAGTTTCAATGTGGGTAGCCATAGATTGGATTGTTAATTTTTCAAAGAAAGTCTTCAACTCTAACTGAATACCCAACTCTGTACGAACCATGCTTCTCAATTGGGCAATGAGAATGGAATTTCCACCAATTGCAAAAAAGTTATCACTCAACCCAATGCAATCCTCCTTCATCTTGAGTACTTTGGACCAAATTTGTCTTAGCTTGCAATGACTCTCTGGAATATCAGCTGGATCGACCTCTCCCATATTTTCTTCTAGTCTTTTAGTTTGCTGGTGGTCAACTGCTCTTGGTAAAGCTCTACGATCCAATTTTCCATTATTGGTTGTTGGAACTTTTTCAATGCAAATGATATGAGATGGAATCATATAGTATGGCAGATGTTTCTCCAAGTAGGAATTGACTAGCTGTATGATGATTGAGTGCGGTCTAGTTTCTCCCTCATTACACACAATGTATCCAACAAGTTGTTTGTTACTGACATTCTCATCATCTTGGAGAATCACAATTGCCTCCCTGACGAGACCACTCTTCCTCATGACATTTTGAATTTCACCCAATTCAACTCTGAATCCTCTTAATTTCACTTGATGATCCAATCTGGAGATGAATACCATATTTCCATCAGGTAACCATTTAACCAAATCTCCTGTTTTGAATAGTTTTCCATTAACATTGTTCTGTTTTTCGTCTTTAGTTTGGAATGGATTTTCAATAAAGCTCTTGGAGGTTAGCTCACTATTTTTCCAATATCCATTTCCAACACCATTTCCTCCAACGTAGAGTTCTCCAGGTACTCCAATTGGAACTAACTCTCTATTCGAATCCAAAACATACAATTTGACACCAGGAATTGGTTTTCCAATAGGAACTACTTGTTGTAAAGGTGCATAATCTTTTGGAACCTTGAAGAGAGACCAATCAATGCAAGTCTCTGTTCCTCCACATACATTGAATACTGTTGCATTGGGACACATTTGTTGGATTTCTTTGACTGCATTCGAATCAACAGGTTCATTTCCAATAGTGACAATTCTTAAAGATTCAGTTGATTTTGGATTCCTCAAAACATGGTACCTTATACCATGCCACAAACTTGGAGTGACACCAATGATTGTTGCCTTCGTTTGCTCAACCAAGTCAACAAGCTCCTCCAACTGATATTGAATATTTGGATTGGCCACAATAATCGAAGCACCTGTAATTAGTGGAAGGAAAATCTCTTCCAATGAAACATCAAAGCTATAGGAGCTGTAATGAATAAACTTGTCATCTTGCTTCATTTCGTACAATTTAATTAGACCATTGAGAGTATTGTTTACATTTCTGTGAGAAAGCATGACACCTTTTGGATTTCCAGTGCTGCCAGAAGTGTAAATGAGATAGGCCAAATCATTTGGTGATGTCAATGGTTTCTCAATACTAATGGAGGATGTGGAAGTGCTACTTGCTGACCAAACGAATCTATCAATAGACAACACTTTCCCTTGATAGTCTTTGAATTTTTCAGAATAATTAGATTGAGTTATTAACAGACCTGCTTGTGAATCATCAAGCACGTAGAGTAATCGTTCTTGTGGATAGCTTGGATCGAGAGGGAGATAGGCAAATCCAGCTTTGAGAATGGCAACTAAACTCACAATCAATTCAAAGCTTCTGTCAATGCTAATGGCAATGAAGGGATTTTTGGAGTGATTCATATCTCGTAATCTCCTTGCTAATTGGTCTGATTTTTGATCGAGAAGTTGGTAGGAGAAGGATTTACCTTGGAAGTAGACGGCGGTATTGTCTGGTGTTTTGATAGCTTGCTCTTCAATGAGTTCGTGTAATAATCTATTCGAAACTGAAGAACTGAGATCATTATTGGTGATATTTCCAAAATTATTCAAAGTTTCAACTTCAGAATTCGATAGGAAAGACAACTTGCTTATTGATTTGTTATCCGATTCAGTTGTGGCTGATTTCAATAGTTCAATAAGATTTCCAGCCATTCTTTCAATAGTTTCCTTCTTGAAAAGATCAGTTCTATATTCGAAACAACATTGTAAACTTCCATCCTCTATTTCTTGTAATTCAAGTGTTAAATTAAACATGGATGATCCATTGTCAACTCTAACTAGCTCAGTTTCAAGATTATCCATGACAATTTTCCGTTGTGGGTTGTGCATGGCCATCATGACTTGAAAAAGTGGATTCTCCATTGAATTACGTGAATCTTTCAATCTTTCTACAACTTTCTGGAAAGGAACATCTTGATTTTCAAAAGCTTCAATTACAGTTGACTTGATTTCCATCAAAGTTTCAATGAAATTATGCTCTGGATTCACATTATTTCTAATCACCAGAGTATTTACCAAGAGTCCAATCAGTGCTTCCAACTCAACATGTTGCTGTCTATTCACAACAGGTGTTCCAATTGCAATATCATTCTGTTCAGAATATCTGTACAGTAAAATATTGAATAGAGTTAACATGCCCATGTAGAGTGTGGCTCCTCTTGATTGAACGATCTTTCTTAAGGAGTTAACGAGAGTTTCTGGGATTGCAAACCAGAAATGAGATCCATCAAATGATTTGGATAAGTTTTCGCCTTCTGTTGGCAATTTGATAGATTCTGGTAAATTGGAGAGTTTTTCTTCCCAATATTTTAATTGAGTTTCATTCATTGATTGTTGTTGATTGCTCCACAGTGTGTAATCACCATATTGAAGAACTTGTGGAAGAATTGGCGATTGATGATTCTTAAAAGCCAGATAGTATTGAACTAGCTCTTCAACAAGTAAATTCATGGACCATCCATCGATTATGATATGATGGAAAGTCATGGCCAAAACATGATCACACTCTGACATTTCGATCAAGTTAGCTCTGAGAAGAGGAGCTTCATTCAAGTTGAATGGTGCGTTCACCTCATCAAAGAGAAACTTGTTCAATTCCAAATTCTTTTCTTCTTCACTAGTGAGATGTTTCAAACTAATTGAATTTAATTTGAGAGAAATTTCAGAATGAATGTGTTGCATTGGTGACATCTCTGTTTCTTGAAAGCTTGTACGTAAACTTTCATGACGTTCTACAAGTTTGGTAATGGAATTTTCTAAAGCTTGTTTATCCAAGTCACCTTTCAAACGAACACCTGCAAAAACATTGTGAATGGCAGGATTATCGATCAAGTGATGTAAGAACCAGAATCTCGTTTGTGAGTTTGATAATTCTAAAGTGTCACTTGTCCTTTCTCTCTTTGAAATTTGTACAGAGCTAGTATTACATTGATTGCTGTGTTGATCGACCAATTTAGCCATCAATTGCAATGTTGGCGACATTACCAAATCAGTCAAACTTATAATTACATTGAAAACATGTTGGATTCTAGATTTTAGCTGAATCAAACTCATAGAGCTTCCTCCCAAAAGGAAAAAGTTATTCGAAAGTGATGGATCAATTCCTGTTAATTCTTTCCAAATTTTAGCCAATCCAATCTCTGTTGGAGTACTTGGTTGAGAAGCGCTATCTGAGAGTTTCTCCTGATCCCATCTGTGAACGATTAGTTTTGGAGGAAGTTTGTTATTGAGAAATGCTTGTTTAGTTGGTTGACGTCTCAGTTTACCACTTGTGGTCTTGAGAATGCCTCCTTTAGTCATGAGAAGGATGGTCGATAGGGCATTATACATTGGAATTCCCATCGATTCGGCAATTGCAGATCGTATGGATTGTACAATACTCTCCAATACTTGTGTCTCACTATTCGAAACAACTTTAGTTTCAGCAATTATCACCAATCGATCCTGTCCATCACGATCAGCAATATTAACAGCCACCACACACCCAGTTCTAATCTGTGCATGACATTTAGAACATGCCAATTCTACATCTTGAGGATAATAATTCACACCATTCAAAATAATGACATCCTTACGACGACCAGTAATGTACAAGTTTCCATTCAACATGAAACCCAAATCTCCACTTCTGAGATACTCCCTATCATCTCCAACCACTCGTGCATGGAAAACCTCTTGAGAAAGTTCTGGTTTCTCCCAATAACCTTGAGCGACACTTGGACTTGACAACCAAACTTCACCAACCTTTCCATTCTCCATTTCTGTAGAAGATTCTGGATCGACAATTTTAATGGATTGATTTTCATCATAGTTGACACCACAATTAACGAATTTTTGATGAGTTTGTGTTTGTTCGACTGTTCCATTCTTGATAATGTATTGGTTCTTGTTGTCAATTGTGGTAAAGTCGAAACCTTTCATATAGTTTACACCAGTGACATAGAGAGTACTCTCAGCCAATCCATAACATGGATACATGGCTTGTTTTTTCAATCCAAATTCAGAGAAGAGTGTACTGAAACTTTCCATAGTTTCTGCTCTGATAGGTTCTGCACCACATGCCACAATTTCCAAACTGCTAAAATCGAATAATTTAAAACTTTCTCTGTATTCCTTCTCATGAGCTAGAAAGTGCTTTACACAGAGATCATAACCAAAATTAGGAGCACCCAGCAATGTGGCTCTATATTCATTGATTGCCCACATCCAACGTAATGGATTTTCCAGGAAGGAGATTGGAGATAATACAGTAGCACTACAATTCGAATAGACAATTTCAAGTAAACCAGCAATTAAACCCATGTCATGGTAAGGAGGAAGCCAGAGCACAACATGTTTCTGATTAGAGTATCGTAGGGCATAGTTCATAACATGAAGATTGTTGAGAAGGTTTCTATGAGTGAGAATGACACCTTTTGGATCACTGGTTGATCCAGAGGTATATTGGAGGAAAGCAACCGAATCTGTGTCGATGTTTGGGTGTTTCCAATATGTATACAATTGTTTATCACTGTAGTCAACCGCGTCTGAAATCAAAAGACTAAAACCTTCATAAGTTTCCAGACAACCACTGAGTACATCTTGTATTACCTGATTCTCGACATGTTGTTGAGAATTAATCTTGGTAAAAAACTTGTTAATGCCATGTTGCTCAAAGTTTTGATGAATGAGCTTGGATAACAGAAATAAACTTGGTTTAGAATCGGCCAGAATCTTACTCAACTTGTTGAATTCTTCCTTGTTCTTTGGAGGATAGACAGGTACAGCAATAACACCAGCAAACAAGGTAGCAAAGAAAGCAGCAATAAAGTTAATACCTGGTTCAAAGATTAGCAAAGCTCTATCACCACTTTTGGCTTGAGTTTGAATGAGAGTGGAGAGAGATTTCACTTTCTTTAAGAAATCACAATAACTAATCTCCTTGATACTTGAAGGTTTCAATAAGTCAGAGAAAAGTTTCTTCTCCTCCCCCACCACATCATTGGAGTAATCTAATTGTCTGTAAATGAGAGAGGATGTTCTTTCTTGTGTTGCATGCTCGAGCATTTCCACAAGTGTGGAATATCTTGGTTTACCAGACATGTTGTGTTTTTTTGATTGTGTTATCTGATTCTCCAACAAATCAACAACAATTAATCACACACTTAATGAGTGGTAGTAGCAGCAATGTCATCAGCAATCATTATGGTGATTTGCAATAGTAATTCAACTTAGTAGACTTTGAGATCTTTAATGTTCAGTATACTGGAAAGCTTACAATGGAAGGTTCTATTAGAAAACATTTCTTTCAGGTTGGTTCGTATGCTTAAATCCAGTTAGCTTGTCTGATTTGTACAACCGCTTGATTTTGGAACTGGTTTTAACTCGCAAAAAATCATGGAACGGGAATATCACGTCCAATCCTTATTAGTTTAACATTCCCTTCTTTTGAGCTTTCCAGCTCAACTAGACGGGATATCTCGTTTGAAAATAACAATTGGCCTTCAGAAATATTCTGCTTATTCGTAATATCAAATATAGTTCAAAGTTTAGAGTAAACAAAAACAAAACAACTCCCCCTGGTGGGCTCGAACCACCGACCTGCAGATTAACAGTCTGACGCTCTACCGACTGAGCTAAGGGGGATACATTGATAAAAGAAAATATCCCTTATTCACAATTAAGGCTTGTTTTTCTTGGCAATCACCAATACAAAAGGCGACTGAGGGAATTGAACCCTCGACCCTCAGTTATCTAAGCATTGCTGCCTACAAGACTGATGCACTGCCACTGTGCTAAGCCGCCTTACACATTTTCATCATATTTACAATTTTCGAAAAACGTTGAATGAACAAAGTATAACTTTGGCTAAATAAACTTTGAACAGTTTCTATTTATTGACCAGAATATTATCGAATTTACCTCTAAATAATACAGTCATTATAAAGGAAACAATCAATAGCGCAAAGCTCAACCACAATATGACACTGGATGAATTACTCATCTCGCTCAGTAGCACATTTACAATGACCCACATTATTACATTCCAAATTGTACTGAAGGCACTTGATATCACAAGACTTGTTGCTGGATGGATTGGATAGGTTGAATAGACTATCATTTGAGAAATTAGAGGTAAACTGGGAATGGCTGAACAACCGATAACGACCATTGACAGATAAACCAAAATTATTGTGAAATCTGACTTGTTCCATTGCAAGATAATGGCAAAACAAGCAAATCCTAAACATGCCATAAAGCTACTGATGCAAGAAATCAATTTGAAACGTTTAGTCTTGTCAAATACAATACTCAATCCAAAACATCCAAATACCACAAATACCAAATTGACAATGTTAAGATTTGCAGTGTCAAAGGTGGTGTAACCTTTTGGGTTAATGATCTGATCGAGAATGGACATTGTTTGAAAGACAGAAATCAGACAGGATGATGAAATTGTTAACATTATGAAATGAGGAGAGGTCATTAACTTTTTAAAACCTATCCAAAAAGTTTGTTCTGGATAAATATCTTTCGAATTGAAAGATTCAAAGCCTTTTTCGATATTGATGTCATCAGTGGTCAAATTAATTGTCAATCTGCTCTCCTCTGTTAACATTTGTTCGTTTTCGTCCAATTTCTCCATTGTTTGAATTTCCTTAATTAGTACTGGTGGAGTTGGTGGTCGATCCTTAAAGAAAATAACAATCAACAATAAACAAGCAGTTGAAATAAAGGCCTGGGAAGATAAATAAGCTAGCATTCCAATCTCTGATCCATGCATTTCTCTCTTGCCCATCGTAATTAAACTAGGTCCGATAGCAAATGCGACTCCGCCTCCGAGAGCTGCCGTAAGTAGAGCTGCAACTTGGACCAGTGTTCTTTCCTTATCTCCAAACCAATTTACTCCCAAAAGACCCGAAATGCTCGTAAGGAATGGTTGGGCAAAAGCAATGAAAGTTTGGCCACAAAATGCAATCCATAAATAGGTTTCGTCTCCTTTCTTATAGCCAAAACAACGAATCCACATTCCAATAAATGTTAGTGAACCGAATATGATCATGCAACATCTTAATCCAAAACGTTTCATTACGAAACTCACTATCAATGAAGAGGGAAGATGAACTATAAGAAATATCAAACTCATCATGTTGACTTTCCAATTCTGGTGTGGAATTTTATAATACTGCATGATAATTACCCTGATTGTAATGGTAGAATTCAATTTCATTCATGGTTTCATTTAAAATGAGCTTTAATTCGAAATATTCGATATACTCACCCAAGAGAAGAGAAAGTCAACTGAGCCAAAAACGAACTTAACATTGCCAACGCGAAAATCAGCAATATTATCCACCTCATCTTGTAAAGTTTTGGTCCATTTCCATTCTCTTTATTGTCTCTTCTAAAAAACTTGACAATTTTCCATTCTTTCCATTCGATTATTTTCACTTCTTTTCTCTCATACGTTGTGCTCGTTTGCTCCAATTCCGAAGATGATATATTCTGAAACTGTGCGCTGTTCGATTCTTGCTGCATTTTTAAGTTTATTTGAACATTGAAAAAACATCTCACCATCACAACCTTAAATAAATTGTTTCTATTTGGAAGTTGGTTTGGGTGTAGGAAATTTGAAAAACTCAAAGTTTATTAAGAAACTCTTGATTGAACATTGGTTGACTCGAGCAATTCCTCTAAAATCATTCGAGCATCTGCATCATTTCCATCAATTTCCAATAATTGATACAAATCATCGATGGCTTCTCTATATTTTCCAATAGCATCATAACAAACAGCTCTATTATAAAAGAGATTGGCTTGGAATGATCTAAAGTTGGGGAATCCTCCAAAGAAGGAATTTGATTCTTCATCTTCATCAACAATTACTTGTCGTTTCTCCTCAATTTTACACAATTCTTCACACCAGGTTAAATCATTAATGGCCTGATCATACATGTCCAAAGATTGGAAATTCACAGATCTATCGAATAAATGTTCTGAAATGTCATTGATTGTATCAGTTGGTTTGTAAATGGTACAAAAATTGAGATCTTTGATCAATCTCTCCTTTCTGTCTTTGGCCCAAAATTCATAAATATCCATCTCCACTTCTTCATCAGTGAGATAGCTTTCCAAATCCTCTCCAAGGTTTTCATAACCAATATTCTGATAAAAATTGATCATTTGTTCAATTCTCGACTCGATTTTATCATAATCGGTCAGATTAGATTGAATATTGAGAAGGCAAACCCTATTTACCTGAGGACACACATTGGCATAGTCGAGAACTGAAGAGAGAGTATAGTCATAGAAAGACATTTCCTCACGTAGTGATGTATCACCTTCAAATTCGACAGCTGGTGAGGAGATTCTATACTTGCAAATTCCTCTATTATTAAAAGCCATAGAATAGGTTGGACAAACATTGACTACATAACTATAAATTTCCACAGCATCATTGAACTTTTCAATGTGATCGTAAATGTATGCCACTGTGAAGAGAGTAGAAATGAACCAGTTAGGAACAACTGACAATTCTGAATGATAATTTTCCTTAATAATTTGCTTTGATTCATCAACAGTAATGGCAAGTTGATCAAAATCAGTGGTAGATACTCCATCTATTGAGGTCTTGATTTCGTGCATTAAAATTGGCAATTGCTCATAATCCTTCTCTCTCTTGGTGAGAATAATCCAAGCCATAATTATTGCCTTGAGTGAATCCTCGGAATATTTCATTGCATTATCAAAGTCCTTCTGTTCTGTCAATCCTTTGCCCATGTAGGAATAACAGAGAATTAGTTCCTGTAACATTAATTCCAACCTCAATGAAGATGAATCGAACAAGTCCTGATAACAAATTGCATCACTGGCCTCCCGTATATAAGATTGAATGAATGACTTTTCCTCAATAATATTCTCCAATGATATCAAATGGCTTTGTACAATATTCTTCAGAATGATAACAGAGGAAGAAAAATCAGCAACACCATATTGTGAGAGTGCTGTATTGAAAGTTCCCTTTGAATTTTCGTCATTGAAGAAGGTATTCTTGGCAAAGTATGATGCAATTTTTCCCTTCTCCATAGCATTTGTAACACTTGAATAACTGGAAATGAATTGTGGCAACTCAACAAAGGACCAATGATCCAACTTGAGCCTCAAAGAAGGTATTGGAAAGACCAGGGAGGAAAGAGCTCTACACAAGTATGAATACTTGTTGAAAAACTCCAAGTTAGGGAAGAGTGAATAATAATTGTATCCATCCATGAGAGGTTGTGATGGAACCTCCTGTAACTTGTCCAGCATATCATGAAGGATGTTTTTGATGTATCTAATCTGGAGGATTGGATTTCTTTTCAAATAAATAGTTAGGAGAGTGTCTTGAATTCTTGACTTGGAAAAGAGGAAACTCCTCATTATCTTTTCAGAGGTAACCACTTGTGAACTCTGCCAATTTGACGAGAAGAAATTAAAGATGGAAGAAGAATTGAAAAAAGGATCAGTCTGCTTGGGGAGATTCCTCTTCTTTTTCATTGCCGTTTCATAGAGTGCTGCTGTTATGCATTCTCCATAGTATTTCTCCTGAGATTTGGCAAACATCCACTCGACAGTTTTTCCCAATTCCTCGTTAAAGTAGAAATAGTCATTAGGGGCTTTGGACTTGGAATTTTCCAAATCCTTCTTAAATTGTTCATCACTCCATTGTGTAAATACTTTTTGAAAAAGCTTGGTCCTCTTTTCTCCATTCTTTGAATACAGATTCCTCAATTGTTGAGTAACTTGTTGAAGGACAGTAACTTCTTTGGTTGGTTTTTGGAAAATGATCATTCCCAACGTGTCCAAACCAATATAATGCCAAGTCACAACATCGAATAGAAGCTTTCCGAGGTGATAGATTTCCACAGCCTCTCTTTCACTATTCCAAATCTTGTGAGAGTTTTCCTTTTGATATTGATTGTATGTTATTCCAATCTTGATGAGTTCTCCCTTCTTTGGATCAAATTCTGATACAAATATCCGATCAATTTTACACACAGCAATATCCTCCAAATTAATACTATTATTATTATTCGTTTCCTCTACTTCTCCATGTCTATTGTTGGCCATATACTCGAGTGCTGCCTTTCTTTCAGCAATTAAGAATTGTGTTAACTGATAAATAATTTGGAATACGACAATCATTGAAAATCCATTCTTTGCATTGTGACTAGAAATGCATAATCTCATAATCTTATTTAGAAGGACGTGATCTGTCGATGAATCATAATCCCTACCAAATAAATCATCAATTGAATTCAATTCTGCCACTCGCAACATATCAACCAGACTAAGAAATCCATAGAATGTCTTGTAAACATTAGCTTCTCCAGGATATTGGACATAAATTCCATTTTCCGACACTTTCATCTTGTTAACACATTTGAACAAGTTGAGAGATACTCCATTCTTTAATTCCTCTTCATACTTGTTCAAATTTTCCTCAATTTGTTCATCTATAAAACAAGACAATGGAATACCATGTTGATGTGAGAAATTATTTGCTTTTGATGTAATATTTTGCTTTTTTGAAGGAGGATCCATAATATTACTATCCTGTTCTTGATCTAAACAATCGGAAGGCTTTCTTTTCAGTGAGGATGGAGACAATGGAGATGATGATGATGATGTACACTTCATAATAAGTTTGTACTCTATAAATTAGCTGCTGCTACTACTACTATATATTAATTAATACTATTGTTGAGAGAAGAGCGAATTCAAACTCTTCAACAAAATGCTTCGGAAGATGTAAAGAATGTAACCTCTACTACAGAATATATACTATTTACAAAAGTGTCTTCAAAAAAGATGTTGATGAATTCCTCTCTTTGTGTACACAAGAATAACAAAATCAAATAAGCGAGAATGAACAAAGAAGAGAGAGAATTTGATCTTTCCTTTTTTTTCTATTAATATAAAGCTTGCACAAATATTTGGAGTTTTTCAAGATTGAATTTGAAATAAAAATCATCACAGCAAACAAGTGGTACGATATTCGATATTATTTAATACCTTGATCATCATCAGCATGATTTGCTTGAAGGAAATTTCGGAATAATTCCAACATTAATACAAGTCTACATATACTGGAGAACCTTGCAATGAACTTTAACACTGATCAAATAATAACACAAAAAATTAGTAGCAGATGACAATCTTCATTACTCTTTCCAAGCCTTTCTATCATCCTGGTGAAGTGGTGAGTGGAATAATTAATCTTTCTCTCACTGAACCACTTTTGCCATCTTCATTCTCTCCAGCTAATAATTTAATTGTCATATTCAAAGGAAAGGAAAGAACTAAACTTCATATATTGGATGATGAGATTGGTGTAACTCCTAAAGGTTTAGTTGTGACTGATATACAGTTGGATACTAGAACTAGCTCTTATTCGTTGAATGGTAAAAAGGCATTGGTTGACCTGAGACCGATTGTTAAAAGCTTTCCTAGTGGAATAGAAGCAGGTGATTATTCGTTTCCATTCGAAATTCAATTACCAACCAATGGATTGCTTCCAAGCACTTTTATTTCAATGAAAGATTGTAAAGATGTTTACAAAGGAGCAGTTATTTATAAGGTAGCTGCAAGACTTGGAGATTTATATTGTAGTATGCTTGTTCCTATTACTCCAAACATTATCAGAGAACAAGTGACTGATTTCAAAGAGAAGAAATTCCTTTTTGGAGGTATTGGTAAATTGAAAATGAAACTAGAAATGGAAAAGAACTTTTTCCAACCATGTGAAGTTATTCCAATCAAATTGAGCATTCAAAATGATTCAAGGAAAGATGTTCAATCATTGAAAGTTAAATTATTTAGAACTGCAACAATTTCTTGTGATGAAGCAGCTCTCAAACTTACCACTTATGGAGAAACCAATGATAAAGAAGGTCGTAGAACAATTAAGCAAGGTCCAGTCGAAGTTTACAGAATGAAATTTGAAGGAGTTTCTGCCAAAACACATACTGAGAGAGTTTTAAATTTTTTCATTCCTAGAAAAACTTTACCTTCCACCAATGGAACCTTTTTAAAGATTGAATATTATTTAGATGTTGAATGTGATGTGCCATTTGCCTTTGATTTAGAGTCGAAACCATCCATTGAAATTGTCTATCAACCTAAAACATTCCAAAATATTCCCTTCTTTAAACGATTACCAGATAGTTGGAAATCATTATTCATTTAAATTATTATATTTTATAATTATTAATTAATTTAATAATATAATTTTAATGGAGATAAATACAAAAAAGAATGACTAGAAATTGAGCAAATTAAACCTCATCATCGTCGGTATCATCATCTTGGATTACCATTGAGTCTAAATCTGATTCTGATTCTGGAATATCTTGATTGTAAGTTCCTGAAACCATAGCCATAATGTCCTCAACATCTGATCTTTTGTTTACTTCTTCAATCTGTTTTAATGTTAAGGAAATATGATAACCATGTTCAGCAATTACTTTTGCATTCATCAATTCATCGTAGAATATTCTATCATGTCTATAGAAATACTCAGCTAATTGACTTCTCACAGGGTAGTTGGAATTCTGTGAGCATTTGGAAATTCCACAACAATCAGTATCAGTAAACTTTGATTCATTTTTGTAAATGATTGTGCAAGTGAAATGAGGATCCCCTTTGGGAAAGGTAACTTCATCCATCTCAATAACATAATTTCCAAAGTCGCACTCTAAACATTGAACTTCATAAGAAACTACTATTTCTGACATAGTAAAGCTTTTTGCATGTCTGGAGAATGATTTAAGATCCAGTGCATTATTGGTAATGGTTTTGATAATAGAAACTGTTTCGTTTGTTTCAATATCGTATCTCTCAAAGTGCCACTCATTTTCAAGCATTGCTGATTTGTTGTAGAAAGTGTCTCTAAATCTTCTCTTTCTATAATCTTTGGAAAGCATAATTTGTTCAAGTTCTTTTTGCCCCTTTCTGGTTAGACCCAATTGTTGGCTTTCCTTCTTGTAAATGGTGGTAGGTGCACCAGTATCATGGTTCAAAGAGACAACTTCAAATACCAGTGGAACTTTTTTAATGTGGTTATGCAAAGTGGAGGAAGCTGATAATGTGTTGTTCAACATTGTGGAAGAAGTAAATGCAATTTTTTTATAACTTTAACTTGTTGTGTTTTTGGCTTACTAATAAGCCTTATTAATAATAAACAATTTTAATGAAGATGTTTATTGTTGGATGAGGGAGAAAGGGCAATAATTGGTGATTTAGGAGAGGTTGCAGAATTTTTCCTACTGTTAGCATTATTACTCGATAAAAGTCGTGATGGAGAACACAATGCACAATTTTCATCATCCATTAAGGAGGACAAACTTCCCACGTCCATAACTCTATCCGATGATGGTGATGAAGATGAAGATGATGATGAAGATGTTACAGTAGGAGATGGAGGTGAATTATAATTATTATTAATACTACCACCTCCATTAGTAATACCATTGCATGTAATGTTCGTGATTGGTACAATTTTCGATTGTTTCATAATTTCTATTAAGGTGATTCGAATTCTCTGTTCGTACGAATAACTGACATATCGAAAGAGGGCCATCATGGAATCCCCAACAAGACACGAGAAGGTCAGAACGGTGAGTAAGCCATCTGTTGTGTTGACCTTACAAGTGTGCTCGAGAACTTTTGAGTATTTTCCCTTCTTGAAGAGAGAGGTAATGTCCTTCTCCTGTTCATGTGAAATTTTCTCCATCATCAATTGACTATTCATGATTTCTGTAGACTGTTTCAATCGATCAAAATAGGAATATAGATATTCAGAGTGGATTTGTGAAAATTTGTCTTGTGGAATATTGAAATAGCATATTTGGAGAACTCCTGGTTCTTTTGTGAGATTATTTCTAGGTTTTTCAAAAGGACCTTCAAAATCACATTGACAGATGACTTTTTTTTCCTTCTTGACAGACAATAATTTGAAATTCATTGGAAGACTTGGACAAAATGTTGGAGAAAATTCATAATTAAAAAAGGAATTCCTTTCATTCTCATTCTCACCAGCAACAATTCCATCACTACCTTGAGTAATGGAAGGAAACATTCCTGATTCTCTCTGTTCCTTTCGAATAATTTTGTAATGGATTGAAATAGTTCCTGAGGTTGTTAAATTGAGAATAGTTTTATGAAATTGATTGAATTCAAACCTATCAGAGGGAATGAACAAGGTGGCAGATCCCAAAAAATCCTATTCATTCATTAGTTCTCATTTCCAATAGAATTATTAGAAACTTACATCCTTTGAGAATCTATCCCAATCAAACACTGAAACAAAACGAAACACTATCTGAATCAATTTCCAAATCTCTATACTAACCTTCAAATGTCAATTGCAATGGATCTCTTCCTCCCAATGAAAAGAAGAGAAATTCCTCATTCCAAACCGGATTCAAATTCTTCTTGATAATTTTCGTCTTTTTCTCAAACGAATCATTCAACTTTAGAATAACGAAAGGATCACTGAGTCCATTCCAATCCTTTGCAGGAAGATTAGTTCCACGTTCCACCACTACAAGTAATCGATCACTTGGTTCGAATCTTGTGGTATGAATCATCTTTCGAATAGAATTGCAGGTATTTTTTTTTAATTTCCTTTTGTTGATGAAGAAAATGCAAGGAAATTGTCATTATCTTTGCTGGAAATTATTCGAAACTCAGAGGAAATTAGAAGAAAGCAGCTAAACCCTCTTGTTGGTGCCTAACTGAGCTTTTGTCACTGACGCCCTTCTCAATATGGAAAGATTATCAAAAAAAAACAGTTTAAATATATTTAATATTGAAAGTAATAGTGTATTGTAAAGATGAGAAAATATTTAACTATTTAACAAGTACTCACACCAATTAACAGCATAATGGTTACAACAAATATAATTCTCCAAATCAATACCTCGTCAATCTAACCTTCAAACATCATTAAAATCAAAAAAAAAATGCCAATCACCAACTTGACATTCTGTATCGAAAATATTCCAGCTTCTGAAACTCTTCCTTTCCAACTCTCTGTTGAAACCACAACAGGTGATCATATTGTCGTGTGTAAAACGGAAGATACCATAGAAATGGAAAGACACGTCGCTCAACAAGTAAATATTCCATCACTTGCCAAATGTCAAGTCAGAATTTTGATTGCTAAACGTAATATTGACAGTGTACAATCATTTAATATTGAAAAGGAAGGCCCATTCATTCTCATTAGAAGAGAAGAAGGAAAAGGTCTTCAACTCGTTCAAAGAAAATTGGATGATAAATTTGGAACCACTCAAACAATTCAGAAAACAACAAGTGGTGCAAGTTCACCTCGTCAACAACCTGGTTTCGTTGTCGATCCAAAAACTGGTCAGAAACGTTATGTTTCAAAAGCTCCAGGAACGACCACTGTTATTAATACTCCTTTGAGTGATTCTAACAGTTCAACATCATCCAGTTCAGGAAGTATTCTTGGTGGTGGTGGTAGCTCTGGTGGTGATGATGTTTATGCACAAATTGAGAAATTGGGTCAATTGAGAGATAGAGGAATTTTAACAGAGGAAGAATTTCAACAACAAAAGAAGAAACTCTTAGGATTGTAAAATTTACATAGTAAATATGCAATTTTTTGTAGAGTATTGGAAAGAGCAGTCTTTTTACTCGATATTGACTTGGAAATTATCAAAATTCACCGATTAGGAAAAGCAACACAAGCCAAATGAGGAAATTCATTTTCCAAATTTTTAAAAAAATTAAAAAATCACAATAAAAAAAATGATCAAACATCCACTAGGGGAAGATTTTTCGATCGGAGGAGGAGATGAAGCCTCCGATAAGAAGAATTCATCATCTTCAACTAAAAGGACCAGTAGTGTCGGAAGTAATGGCAACAACTCTAATTCTTCATCATCAGTATTAAATCTGGATAATGTAACACCGACTCTGTATGCCAATTTTATAAAGGAAACAATCAAGAAGAGTAATTTATTTCATTTCATATCAATATCCGTTGGATATTCATTCAATTGTTATGCTCATCATGAAACGGTGGTGAAATTACTCACTCTCATGGTGAATAAATTGATGAAGGATTATCCAGATTTATTGGATGAAAGTGATAGGACATTCTTATTGGAAAAACCAACTTCAGAAGAGTGTGCCATGTCCTCTCTGAATCAATTAGATATTAAAGTAATTTCATATGATGTCATGATGCTTATTGATACTAAATTGGTTAAATGGTCGAATAGTGGAAGTAGCAGCAATTCGAATCTCAATCAACAAGATAATGATGAATCAGTTAAATTATCCATAGAAAAGGAGAATAGGATTACTATCACCAAGATGGATATTCTCAAATTAAAAAGAGACATCCTACGAGTTGGTGCTCTCGTACACTTGTACAGAAAATGGAAGAAGGGTCAATTGAATACAGAAAATTGGATTTGGTCAAGTTTTGAAAAAGTTCTCACTCAAGCCATGAAAACAACTCCACAGACAGTTCTTTTGGATGGTGTAATTGTTGCACCTAAATGTGCAATGCCAGAATCTAAAATGGTTTTCAATCCAGAGTATGAGGAAGAGGAAGAATCAAATCCAATTCTGAAATTAGCATTTGCTTTGGATATTGGTTTTGTAACGTGTGAGGTTGACCAATTGAGTAATTATAACACAAGATGGACAAGAGGATTAAAACCTTTTGTTGAAAAATTGGAAAATTATGAATGGTAATTTTTCATTGGAATTTCACTTTGTAAATAATTAAATTAATTATTGTAAATTTTTAACTTCCAACTTTGGAAAATACTATTTATCACCAAACAACAATATGAATTCTATCGTTTGTTTCTTTCCGTTGGAATTAATCGATTCTTTACCTTACAACGGTTATGATTTTGAATTTTACCATTGAATATTCTTGAAAAGATGTGTTCTGTAAATTCCACTTTGAAACATGATTTTCTACCTCGACGTCTGCTATTTACTGAGATATAGAATTGACTCCAGAGTTGGTTGTAAATCCAGGTACTGAGCTTTTGTTAAATATTGGTCGTGGTTGACTGGTTGTAAGCTGTTTGGAAGTTTGTTTATCTGAATCAGTAGATGTGATTGTTGTTGAATGTTGTTGGCATGTTGTTACAGCATGTCCCAATTGACTACATGTTGGTTGGCTTGTTATTGGGTTGGTAAGTTCACTTTCGTCCAAAGACAAATTCAATCTAGGGTTTCGTAAAAATTTTGTTGCATGTGAAGGAACCAAATTATGCAGCCAAACCTCATCATAGATAACAATCGACTCTGGAATAATTGCTCTCAACACAGTGTATGGTTGGTAGTAAATTATCATTTGGTTTCTTTTTTAATGTTTAGAATAGAAAGTAGTGGATTGTTCTTTCGAGTTTGAATTTTTGTTTAGTGAACTAGAGAGCTTGTACCGCTGATGGAAAGTAACATTAGAACACTTTCCCCTTCGGAAGATTGTTCTGATCTGTCAAATGGAGCCCACTTTCAGTTTATTTAGATCTTAACAATTATTGGAAAGTAAAATTATACGAATTTCTAGATTTTCTTTTCTTCCACAGTACATTTTCTATAATTATTTCAAAATTCAAACTGAATATTTTTTATTTCTTTGTAAATAATTAAATTAATTTCACTTTGTAAATAATTAAAAACAATTCAAAAATTTTTTAAATAATTAAATATTATTAAATATTATTACAAAAATATTGAAAATCCTAAAAAGGAAATACAGGTAATTTGCAACCAAAATTCCATTCTCCCAACCTGTCTTATAACCTCCCAAAAACCAACTCATTAAAACTATTTCATAATTAAAAAACCAAAAAAACTAAAAAAACCAAAAAACTTGAAATTTAAATATTTTCAAGTGAAAAAAATTTGCTTCACTTCAAACCCTCAAAAAATTCATCAAAATTTTCCAAATTCTTTTTTCATCAATCAACAACAATTCCTCACCAAAGAATTTTGCAAATTAGTCTCCATTATCATCAAATCACACCTTCCGAACAACAAATATGAAGAGTTTCAATTTATATAATTTATTAATTAATTTAATATTCATATTAATATTACAATTAATTGTGATGAATCAACCGATCAAAGGCTATGAAAATTATCAACAACAACAACAAAATTATAATCACGAAGATATTGAAATTCTAGAGAATTTAAATCCTCACCTATTAATCAATCATCAATATAATGGATTTGGAGTCTCTGGAAATACTTCGAATAGTTTTGTGTTGAGAGCCTTTGTTACAGCATTGTCTGTGTGTTGTTTCCTTTTGGCTGTTATTCTGATGGTCTTGTTGAAACTGAATGAAGAAGATGGACAATTGTTGTGGTCAACATCTGATGAAGAACAACAATTAAAACAAGAACAAGCAGCAGCAACATCAACAATGGATAACAATGTGTTTATTCCGAGTAGATCTGTCAAGCATGCTGTCATGTTACTGATGTTAATTGGAGTGGCAATGATTTTACACGTGTGGACTTCATTCTCATCAAGTTTGTTTTATTATGCTTTGGTTGGATTCATTTTGGTGGGATTGTTCTTGTTTGGAAGAATTGTTTATCGATTTGTGGTTTTTATGAAGAAACAGGAAGAGGAAAATAAGAAACGATTGGCAAGAGTGAAGAGATTCTTTGTTTAATTGGTTGACCAATTTCACACATGTATTTCAAAACACTTTCCAAATAATTTCTACTTTGAATGGTCCACTCCTAAGAATGTTACCATTTACACAAGCAAGAGAACTTGTTTAAACTCCGGATTACAGTAATGAGCACCCCATTACTCAATTTACAACACAACACATATAAAAAATGTCTCTAATGCATGCTGTTCACGTCCTCTCGGAAACAGAGATGATGAAACGCTTGGGTCGTTTCTATCAGCAATCTCTTCGTTTATTGGCCTCTCGACACTGGGAACACATTCTGAGATATATTCTCACATGGATGACCTATGTTATCAATCCCTTGTTGTGGATTACCTATGGCTTGTGTGCTGCATTGATACCATTCGGAGGATTGCCAGAACCTTATGGATTTTCCATTGTCGGAATTGGTGTTTTGGCTTTGATCTTGTTTGCAATGCTCATCTTTTCACAGATACGAAAGGTTTTCATTAGTAGGGAAGAAATTTTGAGCAATAAGGAACGAGAACAATTGCTTTCCAATAAGAATGATGCTAATGAAACTGGAAATGCATCAAAACCATTTTTTAAATGCTCGAAATTGAATATTTTCGACACTGTTGTGTTAGTTATCATGATTATGATATTTATTGGAAGTTTATTCATGTGCATTTATCCATATGTGGCAAAGAATTTGGATCCATATACACATGATGGATTGATGATAGCAGGATTTATTTTATTACCATTGAGTGGATTTACGATTATTTCTTGGATCATGTCCTATGTTAGATTGTTCCTATTGAGGAATGTTAGGGTTTGATTCAGTTTGATTCATTCACAAAGGCATGTGATTGTGTGAATTTTTGTCAAGTTATTATTTCACATAAAGAAATTTGTAAATATTTCCAACATTAGCTATATTTATTGATGTGTGGAAAATCATTCACTCAGATTTATCCTGCAGCGGTGGCTGGATCAATTTCTTGTGGAGCTTCTCCTTCTTGAGCAGATGGTTGTTCAGCAACGTCTGGTTGTGGAGCTTCAGTATTATTTGGAGTTTCAGCTGGAGTTTCAGTTGATGGAGTTTCAGTATTGGCTGATGGTTCCTCATTAGATGGAGCTTCAACAGCTGGTTGATCATTCTTCTTGAAGGTATTTCTAACTTCCTTAACTTGGTCAACTAATCCCTTTCCATTTTCATAAACAGCACTAATTCCTTCCATGGCCTTTTCCAAATTTGCTTGAGTGAACAAATCCTTGCCATTGATGGTCTTTAAGGTTTCAACAGCTGATTTGATGCCATTAATCTTGTCAATTGAGGTAGAACCAGCATTGGCAAGAGCTTGTCCCTTTTGAAGAGCAGATAACAAGTTGGTCAAACCCTTATTCTTTCCATCGGTAACTTCATTCAATTGAGAAGCAATATGTTCACCCTTTTGGAAAGCAGTAGCCATTCTATTCAATGCAGATTGAAGACCTTCAGCTGTCAATAACTTGTTCAAATCTTCCTTCTTCAAGGTCTTTAACTTTTCAATGCTTTCCTTGGCATCCTTAGCTCCATCCAAAATTGAGGAAGTGACAGAAGTAACCTTTTGTCCCTTTTGCAACTTGGAAATCAATTCAACCAAAGTCTTACTTCTACCATTGGTGAATTCATTGAGTTGAGTGGCCAACTTTTCACCACCAGCCAAAGCACCATTCAATTTACCCAAACCATTTTGAATATTATCAAAAGTTAAGAGTTTCTTCAAATCATTTTGCTTCAAACTAGACAATTGATCAATGGATGATTTAATACCACTGTATTGATCAACAACTGTTGATCCAATACCAACAGCTTGTTGACCCTTTTCTAATTTTTGAATAATGTTATTCAAGGCCTTGCTCTTACCACCTGAAATATGACACGAGTTCAAGAAAATTAAATATTATCGATCAACACGAAAATAAACACAACACTACTACTTACCACTAATGTCATTAATTTGAGAGAGGAATTCCTTGCTCTTACCCAAGGTATTATCAAGCTTTGACAAGCTGTTTTGAATTCCATCAACAGTGAACAATTTCTTCATGTCAATATTCTTCAAATTCTTCAAATTAGAAACAGCACCCTTAATATCAGAAAATCTGTCAATTGCAGTATTACCAACACCAACAATTTGTTGACCCTTATTCAAAACGTTCAAGATATTGTTGAGAGACTTGCTCTTACCACCAGTAACGTCATTGATACGAGAAACAATGTCTTGAGTCTTGGAAATGGTAGAATCGAGTCTTGACAAACCCTTCTTGATATTTTCAGTTGTCAATAAACTCTTCATGTCAAGATTCTTCAAATTCAAGTTCTTCAAAGAATTCCAACCACCATTCAATCCCTTCAATGCATCAGTACCAATTCCAGCAAATGATTGAGCCTTATCCAAGGTATTTGAAATCTTGTTCAAGATCTTAATCTTGCCACCTGTTTCGTTTCGTCAACATTATGATGATTATTGAAAAATAGACAAAGGATTATATACTTACCTGTTAAGGTGTTCAATTTAGATGTAAAATCTTGTCCTTTTTGAATCAATCCAGAGGCCTTATTCAAAAAGTTTGATCCCTTTTCGAATAAAGTTGATCCCTTGAACAATTCGCTTGGTTTCAATTGAGAGGCAATATTCTTCAAACTGAAATTAGAAAGTCCACCAACCAATGAATTACCAGCACCCAAAAGCATTGAGCCCTTACCCAAAACACCTGTAACCTTATTTGTGAAATTCAAAACCTTACCAAGGAGCTTTGATTTACCACCTTCAATCAGTCCAATATTTTACAATAAATTTTACAATAAATTTTACAATTTGTGTTAAAATTCAAGAAATAGAAACAAGACACACATACCAGTAACCAAATTCAATCCATTCAAAATAGCATTACCCTTAGAAGCAATTGCACTAACCTTACTCAACAAGGCAGCACCCTTAGCCAAAGTACCTCCCAATGAACCAGCCAATGAAAAACCACCCAAACCACCAGTTGCAAATGTCAAGGCAACTGGAAGAATGATTTTACCATACTTTTTAATGAACTTTCCAACACCTATGCAATATAAGAAATTCCACAACAATATATCCATAACAACAACAACAAAAGTAAAATTGTTAACACATTTTGTGTGAAAATTCTCATCATTGACTTACCCTTTCCAATTTTGGCTAAACCCTTTCCAACTCCTCTGAAGACTCTTCCAACTCTTCTGATTCCTTTTCCAATACCTCTGAAGGCTCTACCGATTCCTCTGAAGGCTCTTCTGAAGAATTTGGCATCAGCATCAGATAAACTATTCATGTATTCTAATAAAACTTCATCAGATTCGACATCGAATTCGAAACCATCCAAATCAGCCAAAACACTTTCCAAATGGTCATCAAACATTGGATGGTGAGCCATTTCCAAGGCATATTCGTGATTCAACCATAATTCACTATCAGCACTTGGAGAGAAAATTTCTCTAACTGTCAACTTGGAAACTTGTTGACCGTTGACAACTCTCAAAGACCAAGAGCAGAATAAACTCAAGGTCAATAAACTAGCGAGGATGAAGGCTAGTGAAAGCTTGGTTGACAGCATTTTGTTGTTTTTTTAAAAGATGTGGAATAAAAAAACGCCAATTTGACAAGTGAAAGGCTCAGGAGGCTTGATTACGAAATTTATAATACAATTTGCTTGTTTCATTTCAGTCTTTGGTGATTGTAATCATTATGGTAACCATTTCGGCACAATAAAGAGAACGAATCTCTTTAAACATATTCGAAAGGAATTTAATTACAAGGATTAATATACAAAGTTACCATGTTGTTGAAATATTTAAAGTAAAACCTCAGAAACACTACCAAATATCATTCTATCCACCTTATCAAATGATTCTTCCTTAGTTTCAGAGAATAAAGCTTTCCACTTTTTTGGTAAATCTTCATAGAATGAAATATTGTGTTCTACACATGGAGGTTGGTAAACAATTTCTACAACTGGATGGACCTCCAAGTCAATGGCCATAGCAACATCACATTCAATATCCAAATGATATTTCACTTTCAATAATTTTCCATTTGTGGAAGGTGTCGTCTTTTTAGGAATTTCATAATTTAACATTCTTTCGGCTTTTGATTTTTGTGGAACACCTTCAAATTCCATTCTGTGTACTTCATCTGGACCTTGTTCAATAGTCTGGTCATCAGAACAAATAGTGGCAGTTCTCATTAGTTTAACTTTAAGAGAATCGACGTCTTTCTTTGATTCATTTTCAATGCTAACCTTAATAGGAACCATTTCACCTGGTTGGAAAACATTCTTTGGAATCTCAGTCTTCATTTTCAACTTTCCACTACCTCCGAAAAGGAATGTCTTTTCATTTGAATCATTCAATGGTTGTGGAATAATGTGTGGAGCTATTGGAATGAAGATTTTACAAAATTGATGTCCTAAAATTGCCTTGAGTTTGTACACGATAGCTCCTTTGTAAGTATCTTGAAGACCTTTCATTGTAATATTCGAATTTTGAGGTAATTCAGCTGGTAATGCAATTTGGAAGGGAAATGAATATTCACCTGCTGCAATTCCACCTGTGAATGTTCCAGCAATGGTTTGCAAATTAATGAGTGTCTTTTTACCATTCTTCTTGTAGATGTGTGTTTCAGTTCTCACTCTGCTTTTGTATCCTAATTGAATGTCATCATCAATGATGAGGAATTTGGTTCTTTCCTTTCCTTTGAATGTGAGAGACAAGTTGCTGGAAGCTTGGATTGGTTGACGGAGAGAAACAACAACGTTTCCTTGAAGAAGTTCACCTGGATGAAAGAATGGTTTGGATAATTGGATGGAGATGGACATGATGTTTTTTTTGATAAGTGGCAGGTACTGTTGTTACAAGTTGTTTAGAAAATCAAGTACTGAAGAAATGTGAAGGAATAACACTGTTCATTGGACTTCATTACTTGTATTGATATGCAACATTGATATTTGACATTTTGATATTAAAGAGGAATTTTGTTCTTCCAAATGGTGTCCAGGATCCGCACGTGCGGAATATCTGTAGATAATTACAATATTGTTGTAAGAAACATTGAAATATTATACACACTTACTTTTATTTCTATTAATGTCTTGGTTTGTTATCAAAAGTAGGAGGACCAGCAGCATACTTAACCTTGTACATTGGAATAACTTGGTCAGGATTGAAAATAATCACCTCAGAACATCCTAATTGATATGATTAATCAATAATTGTAATAATTGTATTGAGAAATAATGAAAATAATAAAACTTACCATCAGGACTGACATGACTATCGTGCCCCTTTTCTAAATCTCTTCCCAGTTGAACATTTGTCATGTGGAAGGCCTTTCCAACCATTACCATACAAACCAGCAGGTTTGGATTTCCTCTCGAGTATGAACTATTGAGAATGATTTGGAAATTATAGAAAATAAGAATGATTTGAGATTATTGAAAATAACTTACATGGACATGCTAGGATTTTCTGAAAAGTAGAAACCTCCACCATAGAATCCCTTATCGGTACTGGAACCAACCTTACTCAACATGAAATTTGTCTTGATAATATTTTCCATATTTACATCAGATGTACCATGGAATAGCAAGTAGCAATTCATGGATTCGTATAAAAAGTTGTGTTTCTTGGCGAGTTCCTTCTTGCAAGCATAGAATTTTCTAAAACATTCAGGATTTACAATGTACTCTACATCTGAAATATGATATGGTTGTTGATATCCTTGATAACCATAAATTTGCCTATTCATGAGTCTATCAAAGTGTGATTCTACAATTCTAAAGTGGAAATACTCTGCTTCGAAATCAAATGTTATATTTCTAGTAAATTGATATCTCTTGATTTCGTTTGAGGTACTATTCAGTAATTCCTCTTCTCCTTTACAATAGTATCTGGTGTTTCTGGACATTTTCTCTTCTCTCATCTTTTTCAAAATGAATTCTCGTTCCTTTTTTAATTTTTCCTTCTTTAATTTCATTTCATAATACCATTCCTTTTCTGCATCATTCATTTCATCCATGTTTGGTTGTGATTCTTCATGAATTTCAACCTCCTCATAAATTCCATACTCTTCGAATGCCATTTTTCTAATCTTTACAGCTTGCAGATAATCCTTTTCTAGATCAGAAACAGCAGGATCTAAATATTGGTTGGCTACAGTTGCCATGTCAAATCTCTTCAAATCTGTAGCATAATTATTTACATATGTATCAATTTCAGAAGAATTGTCTTCAACAATATCTTCCGTGTATTGTAAATCATTCGGATCAAGAGTTAACAAGACATCAACCAATCCTTCCACATGATTATTACAAACTTCGTGATATAATACATTGATACGTTTGGATGGAATGTGTGGAAACATTTCATAAATATCATACAAGTCAGGAATTTGACAAGATGAATTTTGACTCTTCTTTTGCAACATTATTGCCCTCTCTGTTTCCTGTTGCTCTTTCAAATACTGTTTATAGAAGGCCAACAGTGCTGATATTCTAACATTCATCAAGTTCTTCCCTATAATTTCAATGTCATCGAGAGCATCAAATTTGTGCAATAGAGTTGATTTCTCATCGGAAGAGTGATCGGTTGGTGGTATGTTTGCTCCTTTTTTGGTTTTCTTTGTCATTTCTTGATGATATATTAAATTACTAGTTAATCAAAATATTATTGTTACTACTATGAAGAGGGTTGATATGTTGTGATGAATATTTTTTTGCTGTTTTTTATTGCAATTTTCCATCAAATTGTGGTGATTGTAATAAGGTTCATTGGCGCCATTTTTGAACTTTGTTGTGTATCAGTGTGAAGAACCTGCATTGAATGAAGACAAGATGGTAAAGAATTTTGAGAAATGGCACTATTAAACACAGTTTAGAAGAATATATAGGGCAGAAACAAGAGGTGGACGTTGGTATTTGGAGTAATGCTAAGCATAAATTCACTGTTTGCACAATCTTTCCCAAATCCTCACCCTCAACATAGTCGAATAAGCCAACACCTGCAAATTTTTCACTAGAAACACAAAATAATTGTTCACATTCAATATTTTGTAATATTATTGTTTTAATTGTTTATGGAGATAAAATTGAGCCCACTGTGGAAGACTAGCCAACAGAGGAGTCAGCACAAAGGAAGGCAATTTAGCAAGCTCTCCTCCATAAATATTCTCAAGCAATTCGTGAGTGTTTTGCAGAGCGAATTGAACAAGTTTTTGATAGAGGGAAGGGAACTCATTTAAATCGTATTTTTCAATGAATTGAGCAAGAGGGTCAAATAGATTGAGTGTAATATTAAGGTTTTGAATGCAAGCATGTCCAAGAGAGTCCAATTCATGAAGTTTGGATAATTGAACGAGTTCTAAAATATCACTTGCTGATAACGTATCAACATTTGGCTGAATATCATATAGGTATTTGATAATAATTTCTGCCGTTGTTGGATTGGTGTCTGCATCCATATAAAAGGCATTCTCTTTTTTGTCAGAAAATGCGTGTGAACTTTCGGTCAGTGTTTTGAAGAATTTGCTTTTGGAAAGGATAGTCTTGTGACATTTCCATTCATTGCCATTCAAAAAGATTGAAAAGTCAGAGGTATTAACATCATTAAATAATTCAGGGAGATGATTCTTTGTGAAATTTAGCTCTTCATTATTTGGTGATTCCTGGTTTGGCTTTTGAAAAAATCTTCTCTTATTATGTTGTTCTTGTGATGGAGGAATCATACCAGAAACTTTCTGAATATATTCCAATAGTGGTTTAAATATTGGATCAAATTCGGTTTTGAAATAACTTTGTAATCCTTTCATAAGTTCAGAATTTACCTCCTTAAAATCATTGTAATTATGATAAATGCAATAGTCAACCAAGTATTGTATCTCATCTGTATCGAATTGTCTTTGTTGGATTTGTTTGTACAATATTGGTGCAACTTTTTTTAACAGAGGTTCGAAATAAATAACGTTACCAATTTTGGTATCTCTTGGTAGTTTGGGAATGTTGAATGCACTGTTACCAACAAAGAAGAATTTTCTAGGTTCCTCATATTGTTTGTTTGCACTAGTTCTGATAATTGTAGAATGCAAATTACCATCCGAAAGTCTCAATTTACAACAAACAAATCTTATTGGTTCATGTTCATTTTCATGATATTTCATCATTATCAGAGCTGTGTTATTGTCAAGTATAACAATATCTTTAAATTCGCCTTTCGAGTTAAGATCGATAATTGAATGTGCTGATAAATTGACAATATCAATTCTAACAACCTCACAATAACATGTTGCATAAATTTGATCGTCAGTCAGGTACCAGTTCATTAAAGCGTATTTCTTGAAAATACAAGTGGCTTCTTTTGTTTCCATGTCAATTCTAAAGAGACTGTATGTTTCATTAGAAATGTAGAGGAACTTTCTTGATTGAGAAAATTTCATATGTCCATAACACGAATTAATTTGCATTGAATTCTTTTTAAAAGTAGGATAATCTCCAACATCTATAACAGTTTCAACAATTCCTCCACTTGTTATCTTTCTCACACGATGATTTTGAATATCATAAAAGTAAATCTCCTTCTCCTCTTCAAAAACTATCAAACTAGAAGGTGAAAATAAACTAGTTTCCAATGCTGACTTTCCATCCCCATTAAAAGCAGCAACATTTTCCATTCCTGCAATAATTGTAACCTTTCCACTCTTCAAATCCATCAATTTGATAGTGTGTGAGTCTGATGATGTAAAGTACAAGTATTGTTCATCTTTGGTAACATAGAGGGATTTCGTACCAACACTATCGGAAAGTGTAATTAATTCGGCAGAGAAGGGACAGTATTTGAATAGCCTCCTATTATTAATATCACTAAAATAAATGTTACCACTTGTAGGATGGGCAAATAATGCCTGTGGATAATCGAGACGAATGTTGATCATTTTTTTTCAATTTTAAAAACATTAAAAATCAGGATTTTCCACAAATGTTTGGAATGATTTCTAATGTTCCTAACGAGTTCGTTAAATCGTAAAAAGATCCAATTACAATGGCCAGGTTATTAATTAACACTTTACAATATTACTTTACGATAAAATTGTAGCTTTTGGTCTATTGTATTCTTAAAGAACCAAATCTTAATTTTAATTCCACTGTTCTTGTGAGTGGAGAATTTGAAAGAAATAATTCCAAACATTCAATGAACTAGAAGTTAGATGGAGAGAAAATGAAAAATTAGTATCCACTCAAATATTCAATAAACCTATTATTCAATTTGTGCTTTTAAGGCATCTGCAACACCTGAAGGTTTCAAAATGATAAAAGCAGTATGTAAAGCTGCAACAACATCATCAATAATCTCCTTGTCTTGCGAGTAAACAGTCAGCTTTGTAAGAATTGGTACTGCTTTTGCAACTGTTTTCTTTGGTGGAAATGGAGTCTTTTCCAACATATTTTTTAAACACCAAATCACTTAAACGATTCAAATTATATACATGAGTAAATGATAACTTACCAGTTCTAACCAGTTCAATATTATTACTAATGTTACCGATTTCCATAGTTAAAATATCCACTATTAAGGGCACTACATCTAAATTCAAAACCAAATCTCTACAGGTAACTGATTCAGCAGCAATGTTTCCCAGAGCCCAAACACATTGTTCTTTCACCAATAAATTTGTATGTGTTTCAAGAATGTTGACAATGTTTGGAATGCAACCTGATGATACAATATACTGAGTGTGAACTGTTGTTCCAGAGGCAATATTGGAAATAATCCACGTGACTTCCATATAAAACTTGTCCAGTTGATTTGTCGGTATAGTAGAAGCAATCTTACTCGCATCCCAATTTAAAAACTCCAAAATACAATTAGCAATTCCACTATCAATAATCACAGAAGTCATGTGCAACACATTCTTCTTTTCAGTGGATACTAAGCCCCTAATAGTTACAATAGTTTGCATAACAGTAGTAAAATTATTCTTCTCCACATCAAGATAATCCTTCAGAGCAATTATTGCTTCATCGGTGAGTGGTTTACGTAATCGACATCTAAGATTAAAAGTTAAAAATTGTGATCGGGCGTTTTTGATGAGAGATTTTCGGAATTTTAGCTTTTCTTTTCGAATGGTTGGATAATCCTTGATGAGTGTAGTATCGTCTTCCGTTGGGTTGTGATGCTGATTGTCTTTGGTCATTTTTTTTTAAATAATTTTTTATTAATATTTAAATTTACTCTTAATAATTTTGGCGCCAATTTAAAGTGGAAACTGAATATGAGAATATAACCCTTAATATTGTTTGGAAGTTAATAAAAAAACAATGTTTCTAATTAGTTTTACAACTAAGAGTTAAAGCAAACTAAACTTTTCATTATTCGAAAGATAAAGTGAAACTTCATCATGGAAATATGGATAGAATACCGACAGTGGAACATTCAACAGAGAGAAGTGATTACTTTCCAACAACAGAACAAAGTTTACAATGTGAGAACGGCAAATATTGTCAACTTTTCAGTGATCACCTCAAAAAAATTGAAACAACTCAAATTTACTCATCATTCTAGGAAAATAATTGGTAAATAATGTTGGAGTACTTATGGAAGACCTACATTGAATCAGTTCCTTCATGGGTATGCTATGGAATTTATCCTGTCATTTGTCAAATAATTTCTTTTTGGTTTTTGAATGGACCTTTTGTTATTTATCAAATAGCAAAGACAAGACAACTAAATGGACATTCAGTTCATTGGATAATCAACAAATATTTGAATTTTATGGATCAATTCTTGATAAATCCAAAAAACTCGCCTCTCGATTCAGAACTTTACATGAAAATTGTAAAACAAGTTTGGAAAATTCATATTTTAATTGGATTACCAGTGAGTATATTGATGGGTGTGTTCTTTCCACCTCCTTTCAGTCGCAGCTATCAAGATTTACAAAACGAGTCACTTGTCAGTCAATTAGTCATCATTCCAATATTTATTTTATGTGATGACATTTTCACATTCATAGTTCACTTTCTATTACACAAAATTCCATATGTTTACAAGTATGTTCATTACCTTCATCATGAAATCAAATACTCAGTCTCAATTGGTTCTCAATATTTTCATCCAATTGAATTTTTAGTGACAGTGCCAGCTGTCATGAGTGGTCCTTTATTGACACATGCTCATTTATTTTGGTCTTTTGTTTGGACTGTGGTTAAGACGTTTGAAGCAATTCATTCTCATTCAGGATTTGATTTTATGAAATATTACAGAACTAGTCCTGTCACCAAGTCAATTTTATTGGATGCCAGTGAGCATACCTATCATCATACACATTATCAAGACTGCTATGGGGCGTGGTATTGTTTAATTGATAAATTGATTGGAACTAACCTTAATTTTGTGAAATTCACCGAAAAGAAACAATATTCGAAAGATAAATAATCAAAATTAAATAAAGAGTTGCTTAATTTGCATGGAATCCTAAATTAATACACATGATAACATAGGATACTGCCTTGGCTTACTTTTAAGGTTGAGACTATTGGTAAACCTTAATTTAAGGTTTAGAATGGCGAACAACATCATTACTATCTCAATTTTCAATACTGGACCAAGGGAATTCATTTAAAATTCAGATTTTATGATTATGAATGGCTACGGCCATATCACGATGAATGCACCTCATCCCGTCCGATTTGAGAAGTTAAGTATAGTCGAGCCACATCAGTACTGAGGTTGGAGACAACTTGGGAACCTGTGGTGCTGTAGTCTTTTTTAATATCAGGAATGTTTTCCATACAATGCGTTGAATGATAATTATTATAATCAACACTTTATAAATTTCAATATAATCATTTAGTCAGTGAAAAACGTTATTGTTGAAACCAATATCATTCTCTAACACTGTTGCCAGTAACACCACAATGAAACTACAGTTTCTAATAATTTCTTTTCATATTGTTATTAAGAATGATGGAAGAAAATAGGTAAATATGGAATGGAAACAAGATAATTATTGAATAAATCCCAATTGGGTCAATGCTCAACTTGCCAAACTTACTATTTCCTACGTCCATAAAAGTCACAAAGAGTCAAGACAAGTGACGTTCCTCCATGAAAAGCGCTTCATTTTCATCATAGATCAAACACAAGGTGTTGAGTAAACAAGCCGACCTTGCTTACTAGCTCCATTATTTTGAGAATCCACAAGCAGTTTCGAAAAAGTAACAACAGAAAAATAGACGAAACCGAAAACTATTCTTGAAGAAATGAATTGGTCAATCGATGAATACTATCAACAAATAACAACGCTATGGAATCCTTCTTCACCAAAAATCAACAAACATTGCAAGGAAATTACAACAGAATTACAAAATTTGTGTTTTCAAGTTTTCAAATTTCCTTCAGATAATTATCACAAGTATGGAATTGCTGATTGTTGTGGATGCGCATGTGGACCGTTTCCACAAGTTTCTTACAAGATTATGAGGATATTTGCATTGATTACATTGTACTTGTCAATTGTTGATGACGCTTGTGATTGTTTGAAAGATGTAGACGAAACTATTCGAAAGGAGTTGATCACGCACATACAACTGGTTGAGAAATTTGAAGGTCAAGAAGAGTACTTTTCAAGAACCCACAATCCATCGATTCGTTTAGGTCTCTATGTGATGGACGAATTATTCAACTCTTGTTCATTCTTCACACAGTTTCAGATTCGAACATTACAATTCGAAATGGTGAAATATTTCAAAACAAGCTTGGAGATGGCAACTTACTGGGCTGATGGAAGTCAAATTTCAGTTGAAAAATGTGATCAGTGGCGAAGAATTGATTCTCTAGGTTCGATATATATGGAAATGGCTAAATTACAATTCGATTTTGTGACCACTTTGGAAATTGAAAAGTTTCAACGAATTTCCAATGAATGTTTCTTCCTAATTAATGATTTGGCATCTTTTCCTAAAGAATTGAGGGATGGAACTTTGGTCAACCATGCCATTTGCTTACAAAATGAAACTAAACAATCGACAGAACAGAGTTTCTTGATGACTATTGCTAGATTGTATGATTTTCTTATGGAATTGGAAAGGATGGAAACTTGTCAAGTAAGAAACTCGATTAAGGAAGCAATGAAAGGTTTTGGAGTTTGGTGTTTAAATTCGAAACGTTACAAACATCCTGAGCATTTGATTTCCGAACTGAAAGTGGAACAGATCAGTGAGAAATCATCAGCACCTGTGAATAAGATAAATTACTTGCAAATTTTAAAAGCAAATAATAAATTGTAAACTAATTTATATAACAGGAAAGTACTTGTTTTTGATCTACTTTCCAAAAATGGGGCATTTAAATTTCCTTGACAAAAATAGTCTTTTTCATGAATCGATTCAAATTCTTTAAAAACATTTTCGTTTTATTTATTTAATTAGAAAATGACTCGCATTAACAACCAGAAAACAGTTGAAGAAAATACAAGTCAATTAAACCACAATCCTTACTTTCAACAAGAAGATTCTAATTACGAAGAGGAAGTTCCAACTCTTATTATTCATTCATCATCTCCTCCTTCTTCAACTCCAACAACTGTAGCTTTTGATTATTCGAATAGTAGTAAAACAGTTTCGTCCAATCAACCACAGCTTTCTCTCAATTTACAAATTAATCAAAATTATTATTCAAATTCTTTTGATTCACCAGTTAGTATCATTTCTCAAAGCGAAGAAGAAATAGACGAATCTGATTTGGAATTTGCATCTTTCAAAAGTGTTTCAAATCAATATTTTCAAGTTTCGTCTCCTATTCAACAAGAAGAGCCAGTTGAAAATCAATACAATAACCAAGAAATTCAGTCAGTAGAAATGATGAACGCAAGTAATAATAATAACAATTACCAACAACCAATGAGCCAAGATTCGTATAAATCTTCTGCAATCGAATATGGAATGCATCAAGAAGCAAGTGTTCCTTACAATGACAATTTAGTTCATGACACTATTTATGATCATCAAAATCCGTACAGTACTACTACCCAAGAGTTTCAACCTGTTGAATACATTAATCCAAATCATTACAGTCAACCAGTCATGATTCCTCCACAACAACAAATTATCTATGATTTACCAAGAGAAACTCCAGAAATGATTCAACCAACTCTTATTCATGCTCCAGTTGATGTTGACATTGAGGCACACCATATCAAGGTAGATGAAGTGGAGAACAAACCAAGGAATATTATTGAGTGGGTGAAGGAGAATAGATTAATGACTGTCTTTATTGTCATTACTTCAATTCTATTCTTTTATACAGCTGCCATGGTCATTGTGAATTCAGTTGTGCACTTGATACCTTGTGTTTTGGTTACCATTCTTCCAATTTTGCTTGTAAAGAAGAGATTGATAATGTGTGGATTTGTATTGGGAGCTCTCTTCATTGATACAATTATTTCAGGTGTTTTGGTCTATCATGTTATGGAAGAGGATGGTGAGTGGGATGCCACCAAAATTGCTCTTGTTTTTGTGCTCTATGCTCAACAAATTATTAATCAAGTTCTTGGATGTATTATTGTGTTCAGAATCTATCAAAAGAGAATGAAGAACACATCAGAAAATAACCAATAAAATTATTCTATCCATTATTGTTATTTGAAAAGAGTGGATTTTGGAAGGTTTGATTGGTAAAGAGGGATAAAAATAGGTCAGCATAGGGATAATCAGTGTTGAGTAACTGAGCTCCACTTCTAAGACATGCCTCTGTTTTACTCAAATCTTTCAATTTGAGATTTGGATTCTTCTTCTTGGCCATCGAAATTCGAGCTCTCAATTCAGTAACAGCTCCAGCTGTACAACGAATCATGTAGCCACGTTGGACTGCCTTTGTAACAGGACTAGAAATGATATAGCTAGGATCCTCTACGTATAAAGTATTCTGATCGAGGAGAGCATTGGAAACGAGCATTGGTTCAACAGCACTCGTATTCATGAATACTCTAGCATCGTCAACCTCAAAGAATACTGAATCACTCTTAGCGGAGGCCATATTATTCCAATACTCCCTGTAGAATATTAAATCCATGGAGGTTACATTATTGGAATATAATGATTTCTCATTTCTGAGTAGATATTTACATTCATCATTCTCATCCCACAAGTTGAGAACAAAAAGAACCATACCTTTGACTGAACTTTTCAAAGGCCATCCTCTACCACTAACACTTGTTCTCAAACTTGAATAGTCTCCTTTAAGTTTGGCAGGTGTCAATATTTGCTCTGGTGAGAATACTCTAAGAATTTCATTCATCAAATTTGGAAGGGTATGTGTGTCTTCCTTTCTACAGAATGGAACAAAGTCTCTTGCATACTTTGGCTCTATGAAAATGGTGATGAGATCTGGTTTGTCATTGTTTTTGGTGTTGGTTGTCATCCAATTCTTAATTTCCAAAAGGCAACTTAAAAAACAATTACAATTACTCTTATCATCAATGAGTGGAATGTGATAAACCTGAAATCTTTCCGTTCTTCTATTCAAGTGAATGTCCAGCTCCAATCCTCGAACATTTCTATTGAGTTGATTTGTTAAAGAGTCGTGTTCGTAATTCATTGAAGGAATGAATGAAGCCATCATTCCTCTTCGATGATATGAATTGTGTGTCATGAGAGTATTGTAATAATTGATTGGTAAATTATCTGAAGTGGTGGTAGAATTCATAAAATCCAGAGAGGAGAAGAATAGTTTCTCCTTTTCCAAATTCAAATCAGCCATTGTTACAATAGGACCAAATACATTTTCACTATAGTATAGAGTAGCACATGATCCAGTGCCATCAATTGGCATGTGAGAATAGTATCCAAAACATGCAACAAAGAATAAGGTAAGCAAGAGAATTGTGCTCCAGCATAGACACAACAATGGAGTCGACAGCAAACAGCACTTGTAACAAAATTGCAACCTCGTCCTCTTGTAATACCATGAAATTCCAAAGACTGAAACCTGAGAAATGAGACCTACATCTTGAAGACATTCTCCCTTCTCTGCTAACTCTAATTGCAATGCACTGGGTGATATTCCAATACCCTTCATCTCCTGACAAATATCTTTCAGTTCTTCATTCATTGATTGTTTTTCTTTTTGATTTCCAATAAAACTGCCACAAACATCTTCTAATTCCATTTCTTCCTTCTTTTCATCCACAAGTACGGATTGTACGCATGGTGGAGTGTTGTTGTTGTTATTACTATTCCAATGATGATTATGCTCTGAAGAATCCCTCGGAGTCAAAGCAATCCAAGACTGTTCTGATTGACAACTATTTACAATTGAAACATGTTGTTCTTGTTGTCTAGGACTATTCTCCTGGTGATGCTGTTGCTGGTTGCAAGTACTACTGCCATCACTACTTTCATTGGATGTATGCTGCTGTTGATTGTTGGCTAGACTTTGATCCGATAGCACTATCTGATGAGAGGATATATCTCTAGTCATTTTGTTTTGCTGAAGTAAATATATATATTTCAGTCCAAGCAAATAAGTTATTCTTATTGTTGTTATTCTTTCAATTCGTTGGTTGTCTTCATCATCCGATGCCCAAACAAGCACACGAGAATATTCATCCGCCTCTGTGCGGTTATTCTTGGGTTATGAAATTTGCAAAGTAGAGCAACAATGAAACGCGTATGAAGGATTGATGAACTTTTTTTTGGAAAGGCTACTGAACATAAGAAATCGAGAGGTGATGTAAAGAGAGTTAGTTTAGATTAAGAGGAATATGGAAGGTGAATATGCCTTGATTTTTATGGAAGAGGTAAGAAGTGGATTTATTCGTTTTTATTGGAGTGAAGAGGATTAAATACGGAGGTTTAAGATGATTCTTGTAAGCAATATTGAATAACCAGGTTGTACAGTTTTGAAATATAATGGAGGTGGTTAAAATGAGAAAGATGATGAAAATATTCGTATTCCCTTTTCTCACTGCATTGTAATCTAAATTCATTTCATACTAAATTGTAATCCATTTCATCACCACAAAAAAATGTCAGCACAAAGCCATCATCAAGATGAAAAACAACAAGAACAACACGTTTGGTATTGTTCATACGGATCAAATTGCAATCTTGATCGATTTAATGTCTATCTATGCGGAGGCAAACCACAAGGAAGTGGATCTAATGCTCCTAGTATTAGTGGAGCAAGAGTTTCATCTCCTCCATTGAGTTCGGAAGGAATATTATTAAAGAATTATGAAATGATATTCTCTCGGGTGTCGAGAACATGGCACGGAGGAGGTGTCTGTTTTATTAGGAAGAATCAGAAGGGAAATTCTTTTGAAATTTATAATCACAAAGAACATTCAAGCCTTTTCGATGGTGCTAATAATACTCATCAAGAATTCAACAATCTAGTACTCGGAAGGATACACAAAATATTATATTCACAATTTGTGGATGTTGTTTCACAGGAGAATGGACATGTGGAGTGTCATAGTAAGGGAGGAAATGCTGTTCAACAAAAATTGGATAATCAATTCAATGAAATTGTAGGAAAATGTTTGGAGCAGGAAGAGAAAACAGGAGTTGCAGAATACAAACTATTTAATACTTGGTATGGGAATATAGTACTTGTAGGTATCCATCCAGTGGATGGATGTCCAATTATTTCATTCACAACAAGTTGCTTTTCAGATGAGATTGTAAATAAGGCGCACGTATCCTATCTGAAAACTGTTGGCTCAGGTATTATGGAATGTTTCAATTTGAATATAGCCCAATGTGCAAACTATTTCCTTTCCAAGGAAGGTGTTAAGGGGTTTTACACACAAGAAGAATTGGCCAATAGTTTGAATAAATAAGAGAGGGTGAACGGTTTATTACAGAATTCAGTGATGATCATTTAGTATACACGCATTTAGTATACAAGCATTTAGGATGGGAATGGAATCTATTATTTACATTGGATGAATTATTATGGCACATTTGTGTGACTATTTTACAAAGGCTGATTCTCTAGAAAGCTTTTTCAATGCCTTATCTTTGGATGTTTTATCGAGTTTGGAGAGTAGAACTTCTTGGATTGTCGGCGATAAGTGCTCATAAGCATGAGGTTCTTCAGGTGTTGAGACATGTATTAATGGAACAGTATTTCTGTTAATTCCAATACACAAAGGAGGCGAATTGCTGCTAGCTATCATATTAGAAGATGATGATGAGAAGAGAGAGAGAAGGAGCGGAGAGCTAGGTGAGGAAGGAGAAGAAGGAATTGATCTAGGTGAGCTAGGACTACTTGGACCAACAATAGAATAAGGATTGGCCACCACAGCAGAAATACCACCATTATTATTACTGAATGACGAGCTTCTGGAAATGCCATTTTTTGGAACAGAGCCTAATGTTGATGATCTACCTCTGCTGATTCCATCATTTTTATCTGTACGAAGGGCATGCATACTACTTGACTTTGGTAAGGCAACTTCAGCATTGACAGGAATAATTCTATTCTTCTTCAATTCCTTGCACGAGTTTACCATTCGTTGCTCCTTGTACAATGATTGGCTTCTCTTTCTGGATGGGCTAAAGACTGGAGGTGCTGATTGAGGGCTCCCGAAACTCATAACACTAGTCGTGTCACTATTGTTTGAGAGAGAATCAGAGCGTTTTGGAGGTGTTCCCACAACAAAACCAAAGACCAAACTTGATAGCTCTGGACTTTCATAGTCACTCACCAGAGAAGACCTTCTACTGCTATTGGTCTTCTTTGGAGAGGATGATATTGTTTCATTAATGATTGTTGCTGGCAGAATTTTAGTTGGAGAGGATGGTTGCACTCTGTATTGTTGTTGTTTTGGCTGTGGTTGAGGAGAGCGTGAGGATGGTGGTACCTTCTTTGATAGAGTTATGTTGGTTGGTTGTGAGTTCCCCATCCCAAGGTCCTTAGTGGAATATTAAGGATTTTTTTATTGTTGGAAAAATTTCTACAGATTCATTCTATATCACTGGAGCTTTTTGGTCGTGTTTTTACACCTATTTACCGCTTTCCTTAATTGTGCTCCCTCTGGAATTGTTCTTCAATTCCTAAAAATTACACTACATACCCGTAGATGGTAGAGTACCATCCATTGAAGTCGCGTGGACACGCACCTTTTCAAAAAACCAACATTATTAATAATGTATCTCCCTTATCATAATACCTAACAGTGGTTACTCTTGGAGAGATAGATCAAGAAAATTTGGAGAATATAACGTGATCAAATCTCATTTTAGTGAGTCAACCAAACATTTAAGGGAAAATAGAGAGATGAATAATTTTTCCTTTTCAACTTTAATTCATATTGTTTCCATCCTCTTCTTGACTTTTAACAAATCAATTCAAACAATTTACAAGGCACTAGGTACTATTAGATCAAATACTTCGCAAAGTCTTTAGAGATTTGATTGGGAAAAGATATTTGAATTTTTAAAGTCAGCCCCGAGATTGTAAAACATACTCAGAAAATTGTATGGCCAATAAAACAACCAATTTAACGAATATCAATTAAGGAAAGTGTTATTCAAAACAAATATTGCGCGAAATGAACCTCTCAGAAAATCAGCCAAAAAAACTTGCAGATTCTCTTCTATACCAACGTGTCAAATACCTTAATTGGACCCATATGCAAAAAAGAGCAATTATATCGAAATAATTTATTGTTGCTTGGATTCTTCCAAGTGATGCTAATGGTTTAATCACCACAAATTTTCCATCCACGAGGATCTTACTGGAAAACATTTATTACTATTCTAACAATATTAAAGTTGTGGTAATGCTGCATGAGTTTGACCACCAATGGCGACTTCACCCATTCTAATTCTGTGAAATGTTAAACATTCAAATCGTTCAAAAAACAAACTTACTTGAAATATCCCTACATTATTGAAATTGATAAGGCTAAAAGTTAATAGTTGCATTACTTACATTTAATCCCCAAGTTTCTCCCCAACCTATCAAGCAAATTGTAAAATCATTTAGGATGCAAAAAACTAGTTAATTAACTTACTGTTAACTCCAATCCAATAAGATTCTCCCTTCTCTTTTCCCCAACCAATTAATTGCACAGCATGAATTCCAACAAGTGTATCCGAATTCCTTGTGTAGATACCACTTTCATAGGTCAAAAAGTCACGAAGGGCAATCATGATGGTGTGGACACTGCCCTCATTCATGATTGATCTCTTGATTTCCATTTCTCCTTGCAATTGCTTGAAACTTCCTGGTTTAGTTTTGTACATTTTCAATGGAGTGGCTCCATCATCACAAACATCTGGACATGCTTGGACATTCCAATGTCCAGAACGATACTTTACACACTCACTGGTTGGAACTCCAGTCTTTTCCAAAAAATCCCAGGCTGAAGTTGTCTTTCCACCCTTACATGCTTTCGTCTCTGAATTGCATCTGACAAGATAATCTGGTGCTAAATTTGGATAAACTTTGCCACGAGATGCAACACAAAATCTGTGAGCCAATGCACCAGTTGATGTAAAGGCATAACAACTACCACATTCAAGTTGGTGTCTTATTTGTGGTTTGCAATTTGGCCATTTAGTTCTAGCATCAAATGATTCTGGTATTCCACTTCCATCAGCGGCAAGTGTGCTGGCACCTCCAGAGCTGATTCTAAGAGTTCTCTTATTTGCTTTCTTAGTTGCTTTTACAGTTGTGGTAACTTTTCTTCTGTTGGTTGGAGAGCGTACTTTAGTTTTGGTGGCAGGTTTGCTTCTTTTTGGAGGTGATGAAGATTTTTGAGGAATAACCTTCATGGACTTCTTATTGGATTTAGTTTTCTTGAAAGCAGTGCTTTTCTTTGTGGAAGAAGGATTGGTCTTTTTTCCAGGGTTCTTGTTATTTCCTTTTGTTTTTCTAATCTTGATACTATCGCCTTTCTTTTTAGAAACATTGGAGGAAATGCCATTATTATTATTGTTATTACCAACACGATTTGCTTCCTTCTCCTTAGCCTGTTGATTGATCATATCAATGGCATCCTTAAAGTGTGCCATTACAGATGGATCCACCACAAACATCTTCTTCAATTCTCCTAAAGTTTTACCTTCGAAAATTTTGTGAGCTTTTGCTTTCCAACCAAGATTTTTAGAATTAATTCTTTGAATCAAAGAAGGATCATTAGCAGGTGTATTGTTTGGCTTTCCACCAAGAACAACCATCACTCCACAGAGAACTAAACAAACAGCCAAGAAGAAATACTGACAAGTGGCGTTTTTGTGAATACGTCTCATTTTTTTACGGATGACCCAATGAAATACTAAGCTATTGTTGCTTTTCATTGCGATTTCACTCACCAATCACTTTCCACAAACACGCTAATGAATATATTTGGTTGAGGAAATTATTTCCATGCAACAATGCAAAGCCAACCAATGGTTGTTGGTCAACAAGGAACTTTCTCATAATATTACAATGGGAAATTTCATTTTTAGTTTCTGTAAATGGATTGTTCTCCTAATTCTAAGCGATGCTGGTCGTATTACAATTTCCTGTGAAAAGTTCATTATCTTTTACCTAGCTCAGTAGAATTCAAAAATCTTGTAATAGTTCCACAGAACCAACAGGTTGAAAATGTCCAACACTTACATCCGCCAACAGCCAATTCCTCCACTCAAAGTCCGCCTTACTAAAAGCTCCTTCTCCATTTTGAAAATTAAAGAAAAAGTTTGGATTTTCAACGTTATAAAATCAAACTAAAAAAAAATGAGCGGGAACGATATTGCATCCCTAGCTGGTACCCACACTTCAACGGAAAATCTGTTGGCAATGAGTAACAGCAGCAACCAGATTTTTAGTAGTAGTAGTAGTTGTGAAAGTATTATGAGTAGTAGTGATAGCTCTTGTAGTAGTAGTAGTTGTTTGGGAATGATGGAGGCAGTAGGGATGGAATCATCACCTCCAAAGCAGCCTTTGAAGAGAAGTCTTCCGTGCCATAGAAGAAGCCAATCGGTTGGTGTTTGTGAGTTAAAGACAATGATTAGTGATTTTGAGATTACGACTCATCCACCTACACCTCTATCACCTTCATCATCATCTCGGAAGATGAATTATTCATCAAATAATTCAGCAGTCACATCTACTACATTGGATGATATGAATATTTCATCAACAACAAGTACAAGAGTTAAATCTGGAAGTTTAATACATTTTGCACAGCCGAAGAGTAGTAGTCAGAATCCAATCACAACAAGAACGACCATGTTGAATTTATCACCAAATTCACCTGAAGATGGGTTGAGTTCTTCACCTAATAGCAGTGGAAGTTCAGCAAGTCCTAATACTAGTTTTAATTCATCATCATCACCACCATCTGGTTCATCGGAACGTAAAAAGACACCAAGAAAAGTTAGTTTTAAAGAATCATTCCTTAATGCTCTGAGCAAACCAAAGAAATTCATTGAAAAACTGTCTCCGAGAGGAAATCATGAAAAACAACACGATTCCGAAGTTAGTAACGACCTTAAAAAAGTGCCAAGTGAGGAAGTAATTGCAGATACAGGTGAGGATATGAGAAGAAGTTTGGATCCAGGACTTTTACAACGAGAAGCCATCAAGAGAGATTTGAAGGAAAAACACAAACCTGGAAAATCAACCATTGGAAAATTCACGACTAGTAATATGGATAGTGATTTGCATAGAAATGATATGTCACCTCCTCTAATTCGATTGGTAGTGGATAAATATCCAATCACCACCCATGTTAAGAAATTTTTGAATCCTCAACTAATTTTGTACATTATGAACTTTATTTCTCTTCCATTTGGAAGATACCTCTCCAAAACAACAAAAACATCCTTCAATAAGGATAATTATTTCAAATTATTCTTTGGAAAATTTAAATTGGGTTTCTTCCAACGAGGAAACATTAGTACACACGACTACTTTTTGATTTTCAAACATATTTACATATCAGACAATTTTAATATTGATTTTACGGAAATAGGGCCTCTTTTCAAGGGAGTACCACTTGCAAAGATTGAATCTCTCTCTTTTATCCAGTTTAGAACTGATTCCAACTATTCCTGCCTTTCCACTTTGAAAGGAAAGCTTCCTTTCCTATTGCAACACATGAAATCTCTAAAGAAACTCTATATTAATACTGAATACATTACCAATGATGATATGAATTCATTATTATTGGATGGCGAGGCCAGCAGTAGTGGTAAAACAGGTGCAAATGACAAGAGCACTCAACTTCATCACAAGGAACATCACGGACTATTCCACAGGAAAACAAAGCAAATAACCTGTAATTTGAATCAAAACCGTGTCCATAATATTATGAATAACATTGAGGAACTAGTAATTGGTAGTTTGAAAGAAATGTCAACTGTAAATATTCAAAACTTGCCAAATCTCAAGTACTTTGTTTGGAGAACACGTGTGGACGGTACGCTATTGTTCAATTCACAACCTGAGCTGTTTACCTGCACAACATTGGAACTCAGTAAGGTAATGCTCAAACCAAACCAACTCAAATTGTTATTCTCTGGCCTTCCTACCTTGATAAACTTGAAGATTGAATACTTGTCATCGAGACTTTCTCACAATTCAGTTTGCCAACTCCAAGAAAATAAGAATTTGAAAAGACTTACATTACGTTATTGTAAAAATACTGACTATAATATTGGAGATGTGATATGTATTAGTGTGAGTAATCATCCTAATCTTTGTGTGTTGGATATTAGTGGTATGGAAACAAGAGATGAAGCCATTCAATATCTCTTTGTGACCAATGCAGGAAAGAATGTGGTTACTAACTTTAAGTGTAAAGGAAGGCTCATTCAAACTGATAACAATAATCCAGACTCATTTTCAATGATACAGGGACCTGGGTTAAAGGACATTCAGCTCAACACAAAGCTGACCTTTTTGGATTTAAGCAATCACCCAATTACTCTTGAGGGATTGTCTCTCATTTGTCAGTCAACTTCTATCAGACAATTAATTTTGAGGAATTGTTCAATGGATAATGCCAAGGTAGCTCCTCTCCTTTCACCAAACTCTCCACTCTGCAATCGTATCAAGCATCTGGACTTGTCTAGAAATTCGCTCAATGATAGATTTATGAATCAGTCACCACTCTTTTCCTCTCCAAGAAACCAAACGCCAGTTTGCTATTGGAAGAATTTAAATTCCTTAAATTTGAGCTATAACCCAATGAGTGTCAATGTATTGAAGGGTTTAATTGCTCACTGCGGTAATTTGCAACATTCATTGAAAAAGTCATTGAAATCGCTCTTTTTAAATGGATTGAATATCAGAGATGAAGGATTAATTCTGGTACTCTTTACCTTTGAACGTTTGGAGGAAGTTGAAGCTGTAAATTGTGGAATTACGAACAAATCTCTTCACATGCTTGGAAACTCAAAGAATATCAAGAGATGCAAACTCAATCAAAACCAAATAGTTTTCGACAAGATGCTTCTCACCAACCTGTTACTGCAAAATACTACCCTTGAGAGTCTTGGTTTAGTTAGTTGCATTCCTCCACAGGAAAAGGATTTCAAACGAATTGCCAAATATCTTATCACAAATCATAACTTACAGAGTATCACTCTCAATCACTGTTATTTCCCAATCGAAAGTGAAGAGCCGGTTGAAGAGAGCGAACTAACTATCGATTATAAGGCTGAAGATCATTTCAGAGCTACCTGCAGCCACATTTCCAAAATCAAATTCTTCAATGTGCAAATTGAGTAAAGTATTAATTTATTACCAACCTTCGTCGGCTTGATCATCTTGTCCAAGCATTTGGAAAACATTTGACTTTCTCTTCTTATACGTATTTACGTTGACAAACTTTTTAACACCAGAGTGCTTGTCATCTTGTTCAACAAAACCTCCCAATAATTCTCTCTTTCTCTTCTTTTCTTCTTGTTGATCTTTGGTATTTTGAATGACGAGACTTTGTTCTGCATTTTCTTTTTTTCTTTTCATTAATTCCCTTTGCATTTTAAGTTGCATTTCAACAGGGATTTGAATTGGTTGGTAATCATCGAGTTGTTGATTATTATTGACCTCTTCTGGCTTTTCTTCTTGGGCTTCTGGCATTTCAGTTTGTTTCTCTCCTCTGTCTTGCTTTCTTGGTCTTTCCTTATTGGCATCTCTCTTGTCTCTTCTTTCATTGGAATCGAATTGCTTTCTCTCACTGGTTCTTTCTCTATTGTTTGATCTGGTCCTCTCAGGTCTAGCAGTTTTAACTGGCTTTTCTCCAACAGGTTTATCATCCAAATGTGTCAAGGAAATTCCTTCCTTTGAGAATAAACTCAAAACTTCGTCCTTAAACTTTTCAGCTCCAACTTGTTCAATATATTGCTCAAAGTTTCCAACAATGGACAAATTCCTCAAGTTTCTATTCTTCTTGATAATCATAACCAAGTGAGATTTCATAACAGTCCATTCAATTCCAATCTTGTTATGACTGAGTGCAAGTAATTTCAAACTATCCAATTTTTCAATTTCCAACAAGGTCTTTAAACAAGTTTCCTTTGTAAAAATTTGTGGATTGTGAGAAAGTCTCAATTCTTGCAATTGTTTACATGTAGAAACTGATGCATGCAATTGCTCAAGAGCTGTTTCAGTAGCTCCAAACTTGGTCAATTCAGGAACAGAGTAATAATCGGTAAACTTTTTCAAAAGTGGATTCTTACTAATAATGATAGTATTCAAAACTTGGAATTTTCCTTCCAACTTTAATTCCTCAATCTTGTTATCAGTCAGAATGATAGCCAACAATCCAGAATTTAAATTATCCTTTGGTTGTTGTTGAATTTTCTTTCCTCTATTCAATTTTTCAGCAATTCCACTCACAACTGGTTCAGCAGCTTTTGCCAATTTGGCCTTTATAACAACTGTCTTGGTCAATTGATTGTGTGAAAGATTGAGAACTTTCAATTGTGGGCTATTTTGAATAAATTGAGTAATTTCAGTATTATTTTCATCGGAGGAAACAATTTCATTCTCGTGAGCATCTACGTGTTGAATTTTATCAACTCCCTTCAAGAACTATAGTTCAATGTTATTAAAATTTTCCAAATGAAAACAATTAAAAAACAAACCTTGAGTGATGAAAGTTTGTTCTTGATAACTTCCAATCGTTTCAAATTCACAATCAAGTTCAAATTCTTAATATCTTTAAATCCCTTTCCATTCAATTTCAATTCAGATATCTCCGAAAGTGCAATCTTCTTTGGATTATATTCCTTTTCAAAGTATTCCGATTGAATATCCAAAATTTCAGGAATTGGCAATGATGATGTTGTGGATTTTTCCTTATTTTCTCTAAATGGTTTATCATATTTCTTATTTTCATATTCCTGTGATTCCGATGATGATGGTTTTCGTTCCGAAAATCTTGGTCTATTTTCATCTCCTCCATATGGTTTGTATTCTCTTGGTTTTCTATATTCTTGTTGTTGTTGTTCATAGTTGTCATAGTTGAATCTATTTTGCTTGGCTTGTGTTCTATTTTGCTTTCTTATTTCATTTCTTGCATCTTGTTGACGTTTTCTACGTTCCTTTGAAGTTTCTCTTGCCATTTTTTTTCAACTTGTTTATTGAATATTGAAATTGTTAAACAATTCTAATTTTAACAATCAAATTGTTGCAATATGAAACAGTTTCAATGTTGAAGTCATAAAAACGTGTGTTGATATTAATATTAATATTGAAATATCAACAAGAATTGATTTCTGAGATTATTGTTACAATTTTTATTCTCCAGCAATGAAGGCATCACCTGCAAGATTATTGTTTTGCAAGTTCCAATCCATAATTTCATTGTAGAGCATTCTCTTAAGATCACCATGTTCGGCTTCTTGTTCAAAACTGAAATCGAATGGTGGACAATCTGGTTCATCCTCTGGTTCATGCAAATTGGCCAAGTATGGATGTTCGAGAGCTTGTTGAACTGTTATTCTCTTAGTTGGGTCAAAATGTAACATTTTCTTCAATAAATCCAAAGCCATTGGAGAAGCATTTGGGAAGATTTGACGGAAATCTTTACCCATTCTCCTTGGTAATTGTTTGAGATAGGTCACACCCTTTTCACAACCCTTGACGTCACTATCTGGTGGTGTTCCCATAACATCCAAAATCAAATCTAATTGATGCAAATAATTGTTACCAGGGAAGAATGGTTTTCTGCCTAAAAGTTCAGCCATAATACATCCAACTGACCAAATGTCAAGAGCTTTGGTAGCTTGCTCCCACATGAGAAGAAGTTCAGGAGCACGATACCAACGTGTTGCAACGTAAGGTGTTGACATGACAGGATTTTGTGGTTCAATACCTCGTGACAAACCAAAATCACAAACTTTAAGTTCACAATTAGAATTTAAAAGAAGATTTTGTGGCTGTCATGTTGTTATTCAATTTGATTGTTGCAGTTTTGTTGTTGTTATGATGATTATATAAATAAATATATCAATCATTAAACATAACGATCAATTAATTGACAATATTAATAATCTAACATTCGAATACTAAATACTATACCTTTAAATCTCTGTGGAGAACATTGGCAGAGTGCATATACTTCAATGCACGCAAAATTTGATAAATGAAATATTGAATATGTTCTTCCGAAAGCTTTTGTTCGGATTTGATGATTTGTCTCAGGTCAGTTTCCATCAAATCAGTTACAATATAAACATCTTTAAAGTGATCATAGGAACGAGGAGGAACCAAATCAGTCAAACAAATAATGTTTTCATGATCAAAATGTTTGAGGATTTTAATTTCTCTCAATACACGTTTTTGGAATTCTAAATTATTCATCATCATGATAATTAAATAATAACATATTATAATATAACATTATTGTTGTTGATAAAGTAATTAACGATAAATATAATAATTATATATTGTAATAATAATAATTGGTCAATCATCATCATGATCAATAGATACCTACCTCTATCATGTTCGAAAATATTAAAAACCTTCTTGATGGCAACCTTTTCATTCAAATCAGTATCTTGAGCAGAACTTTAAAAACGGTCGGTTGAATAAATTTGTGTTGTTTTGATGATGATATTGAAAAAGACAATAATAATAACAACAATATATCATTGTACAGTTGATAATCAAGAGAGAATAATCTAGTATTAAAAACTCTTCACTCCAAGAAAAAACCTACCAAACAATACCATAAGCTCCTTGACCAATAGCATAGTGCAATTGATAACGAGTTTGAACTTCGAAAATATTCTCTCCGACTTCGTATCTTTGCAGAACAGGTTTCTCAGGTGGTCCACGTTGTTTACCATTGTGTTCATCTTCATCGACCATAGTGTCGTGTTGTTGTTGTTTGTTGTTTCCCCACATTTTTTTTACAGAAGTAAAAATAGAGAGAAATTAATTGATGTTCGGTGGTTCATTGAAAATTGAGAGAAAGCAAAAGGAAGAATTACTATGCAATAATAAGATGTAGGTTGCTTAAACCTGTATTGTCTTTCATTTGCATAATAATTATAAAATAAATTTTAGTAAAGAAAACGTAACCGATGATAGCTCAGCTGGTAGAGCATGGGACTGTAGTTGTAACTGTTATCCTGTGGTCGGCGGTTCGATTCCGTCTCATCGGATCTTTTAATGTTTTTAGTAATTTTTGTTATCCATATCCAAAAACTAATAGTTTTAGATTCTCCAAAGATAAAGGTTTGCTCAATGGCCACCCCATGACTACAAAATGTCATTGTCAGCATTTTTAACTCCTATTTAGATCCTATATTCAAATTACATTCCAATTTCATAATTATAATTGCAAGATCATGGAATTTACATTATGTTGTTTCATTTGTTTCCCAAAACTTTCTATTTGCAATTAAGAGAAAAAAACAGAATGAAACACAAGTCGACACGTGTTTCCAACTCAAACAAACATCGCTTTTTATTTCTATTTTTCATCACAATTTCATTGTTTTCAATTATCAAATGGGTCAATTGCAATTTGTGTTACAAGAGTGGTGGTGCTGCATTTAGACAAGAGTTGTGTTCACATGAGGAATTAATTAACTCTGATATACAACCTTCGTGGTGTAAATATTCGAATCCTTTTGCGAGTGTTCCATTTCTGTTTAGTGATGAAGATTTCTTGTTGAATGTTGAAGATGGAGCAATATGTTCAACATCTGATCCGAATGTATACAGTTACATGAATGGCACACTGATCCATCCACATAGCAGTTCGAAACTGGACTATTCCAAACTAATTTCACCTCGTGATAAATGTAAATACATTTCCAAGATTACAACAATTGAATTTCAAGATGAAGAGAATGAAACAAGGAGATTTATTGTTTTGGGGTTGATTTCTGGACATATCATTTTAATTAATTTCAACACAGGAGAAACTGTTCATGTAGGAAAGACAAGTGACGGCAGTAATGTCAGAACTTTGACAGCATTTACAAATGGAACGGATTATTTTGTGGCGACCATTTCGTATGGAAATAGTCTTTCATTATTTAAGGCAAAAACTTTTGATATTTCATCTATTGAAACTTGTGCAACATTTGAGTTGACAGATCCTTCGAATATGATTCGTATATTCGAATTTGAGGATTCAATTTATTTGAATATTGTTGAGAAATTGACAAATGACACCAATGTAATGAAATTTTACAAATTGAAAGATTGTTCTCATGAATTGGAATTTCACATTACCATCAAGAGTTTGAATAGTTTGCAGTTTAGTTTTAAAAATCAAGTTGGTGGATTTAGAAATGCCTTGACAACGAGCTATTTTCAATACGAAAGATTGTTGTTGATGATTTCATCCAATGATCAAGTGAAAATCATTGAATTACAAAAGAGGAATATGTATTTGGATATGAATGAAATAGATTCGTCCACTTTCTATCTCACCAATAAGGATGAAACTATTTTGAGTGCTTCGTTGGCAGCTGAAGAAATTAGAAGAGTCGATTTTTATAAATCTTCATGCTTTAAGGTCATTGCTCATCAAGCCCAGGGACTAAACTTGATTATTGCCATTCAACTTTCGAATGGAACAAATAGTTTACATGTTCGAAACTTGTTGGAATTTGCAAATTATGATTTTTTTAGATTTTCAGAAAGAAATTCCAGTAATCCAGTTGGAAGAAACGAAACATGTCAAATTGCTGATGGTTTTTACTTTGATATTTCAACAGGAGAATGCACCAAATCATTCGAAACATTCACCGAAATCAAACTAATGAAAGGCGAAACCATATTAGAAATGAAACAACGATTTTACAATGTACCAGACATTTACACTTCCTTTTTCAATACAGACTTTGGAAAAGATGTGGATATTCAACAATTATGTGAAAATATTATCAGAACTCCCGAATTGGAAATAATTTGCTCAAAATATCTAAACAACACAAATTGCTTTATTGAATTAATTTCCCAATATGGAGAATATTTCATGAAGGATGTTTTGCAGAATTATTGGATTTCTCAGATATTTATTTCCAAGTCGGGGAAGGAAATTTTGGTTTACGGATTACAACAGGAAATGTGTTCGAATAATGGGTTGATACTTTCGTATTTTAACAAGATTAGTTTAATGGGAGATGCAGATTTTATGGAAATTACTCCAAATTCTCAACACTTGTTTGTGACCATTAGTAGAGAAAGATGGGAATTGCAATCCACTAATCGATTTTACCAAATTTGTAAAGAATTGGAGTCGAATCCAGACGATTTGTTTCTGAAACCTTTCGCTCAACAATGTCAATCAATGAAACCTTCACCAGTGACACTGAATCAATTTGGGCAATATACTTCAAGTTGTTTCACTGGAATGTCGTGTCCATCTTTTGATGATGTGGTTATGGACAAAGTTCCTAATGGATTCTATACGATTCGACCTAATCAGATGAAATATTGTGAGAAGAGGTATTTCTGTTATGGTGGAGCTAGACAGTTGTGTCCTCAAGGTTTTCAATGTCCATTCGATGGTATGACTAAACCACTTTCGTGTGAAATTGCCAGTGACGAAAGTGATTTAAATTCATATTCAAATCTTGGATGGAAAACTCCACGAGGATCAGAAACTTGTTTCTCCTCAGGAAGTGAATCTCCCCAACCTTGCATCAACGGTACCATTTGCATCACTCCTTATTTCCCGCCTCTTCCAATCTCTCCTGGCTTATTCTTACAAGATAACCAAATTAAGGAATGCTCAATTGGAGAATATTGCAATTTAGGAAGATTTGTGGAGGGAAATAGATCTGTTTTAGCATGTCCAGAGAATACCTACTGTGAAGAGCCATCCATTATGGAGCCAACTATTTGCATTCCTAATGAAACTGTGTCTTTATATTGTCCACCTGGAACCACCGATAGAAATCCATGTCCAAAAGGTTTTTACTGTCCATCACCAAGTACAAAGATAGATTGCCGATTGACACAATATTGTGATGTTGGATCCTATGTCCCATCTCCATGTCCAGCGGGTTACTATTGTTCCACTCCGATTGAGAAGAAAAAATGTCCGCAAGGTCATTACTGTACAGTAGGAACTGTCCTTCCAATTGCATGTCCACTCTTTTCCAATTGTCCAGAAGGTACCAAATCCTTTGATGGATATGCTATTGGATTCTTGATCGATTTATCCATTATTGGGCTTGTAATTCTGACCTATTTCATTTATTCCATTTCCAGAAAGTTTTGGATCAAGAAACAAGAAGAAAAAAGAATGGAAGAATTTATTAAGAGAAAGTTGGCGCACATTACAGAAAGTTCCTACGTTCAAACTGTTCCCAAGTTGACCGTTTCACAAATTATGAAAGGACTTTACAAAGATGTAAAGGCGGAAATTTCATTTGACAAATTGTCACTTGATTTAGTTTCGAATAACAAACGAATTTTGCATAATTTGAATGGAAAGTTTCGACCTGGAAAGTTAACTTGTATTATGGGACCAAGTGGAAGTGGAAAAACAACTCTTTTATCAGCAATTTTAGGAAATGCCAGTTATGCAAATGTGAGTGGTGACATTTTTGTGAATGGCGTCAAGTCATCAATTAAGGAATTTAAAAATATTACAGCATTTGTCACACAGGAAGATTGTATGTATAGAGAATTGACTGTGGAGGAGTGTATTTATTTTTCCGCTCGTACTAGATTGAATTTTCCAAGTAAGGTAATAGATCAGATAGTAAACGGAGTAATTCAAAATCTGGATTTGGATCATATAAGACATTCTCTTATTGGTGATGAATCAAAGAGAGGTATATCAGGTGGACAACGTAAGAGAGTTAGCATTGCAATGGAATTGGTTACTTGTCCTTACATTTTATTCTGTAAGTTTAGTTTTCATGGTTTCTTCTAATTTTTATTCTACTTAGTGGACGAACCTACTAGCTCACTAGATGCATACAGTAGTTTTGAAGTTGCCAAATCCATGAAAGACATTGCAGAGAGTGGAATTACAGTAGTAGCTGTGTTGCATCAACCCAGATTCGAAATCTTTCAAATGTTTGACGATGTTGTTCTTTTGGGAAATGGTGGACGAATCGTTTACATGGGCGAATCCAATCAAGTATTGAACTATTTCGAGAAACAACTTTCTCTGATTCCTCCTCCATATGTTAATCCAAGTGATTTCCTATTAGATGCAATTTACGATCCAGAATTCACTTATCAATCACAAATTGAGAGAACTGGAATTCCGGTGGAAGTTTTGTCATGTAAGGAAATGTTTGAGATTTGGGAAAAATTTGTGACCATTGAAGATCGAGTCAACACACCATCAATTAAGATGTTACAACAGGAGGAAAAGGCCAGAAATCAAAATTCGCTCATTCACTTTTACATGTGTGTGAAAAGATCTTTCACTTTGAAAATTCGTGATTTTGCTTCGTTTTTCATTGATTGCTTGTTGGTTTACATTGGTGGATTGAGTTTAGGATTGATTTATTTGAAGGATGCTTATATTGGTCCATTGCCAGTTGATATAATCAATACGTGTCCATCCCCAATTAGGAAAATCTGTGGCTATCCTTTAAACAATCCAATAATCAATGTTGCAAGTACTGTTCCTTTGGTTTTAGGATTATGTGGAATCATGTCTTCACTTGGAACCTTTGGAACCAAATCAGTTCAAGTAATTTTCAAGAAGGAACGTTCAAGTGGTTTGTCCGTTTTTGCCTATTTTATTGCAAAGAATTTAGAACAGATTCCAAATATGGTATTTGGACCGATTGTCTTTCTTTCAATATTCTTTTCATTGTACTCTCCAACTGCCTCATTCTGGGAGTATTATTTAATTCTATTCCTTTTGCATTTTACGACATTTGGCATTGGAATGCTTGTCAGTTTAACTATCAAATTGGAATTAATTCAATTGGCAGGTGCCATTTTTGTGTTAGTGTTGCAATTAGTGAGTGGTTCTAGACCTACACTTGCTCAGATGAGACAGGAGGTTCCTCCATTGTATTGGTTAAGTTTCGTCTCATATATTCGATACGCACAAGAAGCTCTCTACATTATGGAAATTAGAAACTATATGAACATTTTCGATATTCAATCTTCGTTGGATTTATTCGATTACAAAATTGAAGATTTGAATTTATGCATTGTTTTGATTCCAGTATTTGGTATCTTCTTTCGAATAGTTTCATTGATAATTATTTATCAACAAGATGAGGAGTCTTTGACGAATTTAATCAAGGGAAAAGTTTCTTACTACTCTAATTGGAATAATATCAAGAAACTATTTAAAAAGAAACAAGACTTGGAACAAGCTCCATTATTAAACTAATCACAAACTGCCATTAAATCTCAATAAATTGTAAACGGAATTACAATCAATAGTTTATAGTATAAAAGCTGCTCAATAATATTAAACAACATTGAATTGATAAGTTGGAGTAACATCTTCCACACCAAATTCCAAAACATCTCCAGAATTAATTTGAGAAACACCTTCTGGAGTACCTGTCAAAATAAGATCATCCTCTTCCAAAGTCATTACTTGACTGATTGCCTCAATAGCTTGAGGTACATTATAAATCATATCATTAGTAAATCCACGTTGTTTAACTTGTCCATTAATCTTAATGAAAATTGTCAAATTCTTCAACTTTCCATCTTGTACAAGATTTGTCGATTCAATCATTTCTGAACCAATTGGACAAAAATCATCAAAACCCTTTGCAACAGTCCATGGCTTTCCATTCTTCTTGGCCTTATTTTGTAAATCTCTAGCTGTCAAATCCAAAGCAACAAAGAAACCCTTCACATGTGAAAATGCATCTTGTTGTGAAATGTTCTTTCCTCTCTTTCCAATCACAACTCCCAACTCAACTTCATGATGAACATCTTGAGTGAGATGAGAAATGGATGAAATGTGAATTGGATTTTTGCCATCCTTTTCATGAACAACAATTGAAGTGGTTGGCTATTAATATATTCAGCATTATTATCATCATCATTATTTTCATCATCATCATTATATTCCGATCAAGATATTTTCAATAATTCCGATCATCATCAAATAATTTAATATTATTTAAATTAATTCCATGATCGGAATTTGAAAATAACGAACCTTTAAAAAGAATTCTGGTGATGAAGGAACAGCTCCTTGCATTTCCTTTGCGTGTGCTTCATAGTTTTTCAAAAGACAAACAATCTTACGTGTTCTAGCAGTAATGGTTTGCATCATTTTTTTTGTAAAGTTTTTCAATTTTTTATTTATGTGTTGCATAATTTAACACTTGGTGTCGAATTCTGCATCCTATTCAACCTTTGTGTCATTGAAATAGTTACATAAAGATCTCTGATGGATTGTCACAAGCGCTCCACTTTACAAAACTCAACATTAAAAAATGAGAGTACAAGCGAGCTGTGCAAGCTGTTTGGAAGAGGAAGAAGAATTACCAGCCACACATTGTTGTTCTTCTTGCTCGTTGGCCCTTTGCACCTATCATGCTAAAAAACATGAAAGAAACAACCATGTTGTTATTCCAAATAATTCTAAACTAGACGAAAGTTACAATCCTGTAAACACAGCTCCATTGTGTAAAGATCATTTTATTCCGATCAATTGTTTTTGCAGTAATTGTAAAATGTTGATTTGCTCATCATGTGCTGTTAGTTTACATTCAGCACATCAAGTTTCGTTAATTTCAGAAATTGAAGCAACTGTAAAAAAGGAAACAGTTGATGAATTGCAAAAGTTTATCATTAAGTCTGAAGAATGGAGTCAGAAACATCAATTGGATGAGAATAATCTTACTGAATGCGTTACAAAAGTTAGAGCTAGAGGTGAAGAGTTGAAAAAGCAAATCCATTCGAAACTTGACGAATTAATGAATGATTTGAAGAAAAGAGAACAACAATTATTGGTTGATCTAGATGAATTGGTGGATAACCAATGCAATATTGTAACATCTATTCGAAATCATCATGAAATAGTCGAAGATTTGAAAAGAGAATTAACAAGCATTTTGTCAATGAATGGATATACATTGATGGAGAGGAAAATTAACAAATTTAAACAAACTATGGATAGTTTCGAATTGATATCAACACAAGTTGGAAATTTTATTAGCTTGGAAAATATTGACAAGTTCAATATTGAACAATTTGAAACTAATGAAATTTCTAGCAAAATTGGCAAGATTGGAAAAATCGTAAAGATTTTACCATTTCCAACTGTCAAGCATTGTTTTGCAAATGGAGAGAAAATATTGGAGGTTTTCAAAGATAATTGGAATATTTACAAAATTTCGCCTGAAATATTTAACGTAGAAGACAGGAAAATTCGCAATATCAAATTCAAAGTCCACCAATTAGTTCAAGGCTCCAATACATGGTGCATCATATTTGGAATTGTGAATTCTTCATCACGACTTGACACTTATTTAAGTGAAAATGGTTATGGTTTGATATTTCTAAATGGGCAAAAGTCATGTTCGGGCAAAGGAACGCCATTTTTATCTCCTATGAAAGTTGGAGATGTAGTGGAAGTTATTGTACAGAATAATTCACTTTTATTCTCAATTAATGGTGATGATCCTAAAGTAGCATTTGATAATTTACCAAACTTTGAGTACACTTTTGGTGTTTCTATTTGTGCTAAACACGCCAAATTGGAAATTATTTAATAAACATTAGTTTAAGAGATAAAAAACAAGAAACAGTTTGTAAAATAATAGTTATTTTCATTCAATTTTAACTTCACACAAATACTTTGCACAAATACAATATTGTGACATTTAAGCATCATGAAGAATGAATGTGTGATAAATAACACTGAAAATACTACTAGCAAAACATGTAACACCAATTGTAAGGACAATAATACATATAACCTTAACAACTGCTCTGAATAGACCTGTCCTATTACTGCAGCATCCTTTCCAAGGGTCCAATTTCAAGAATAAGGCAGGTGGAATAATGTAGGCCAATGATGTTGCAGAAACACCACCACAAAGATCTGAGAACATTCCAAGGTCAGTAACTCCCAATCCAACACCACAAGCAATTGCAACAATACTCAATGTGACAATCACATGGTAAGTTTCTCTTCTCCACTTGGTCATATTAATCCAAACTGAAAACTTTGGAAAGATGCTTTCAACAATGGTCTTGACACCATCACGAGGCATGAATAATGCAAAAGGTACTGAGAGTGCAATGTCCAAAATCAAGAGTAAACGAGCAACAATTGCCAATCCATATGAACGTGGTAATAAATCCAAAATGTTACCCTCTGTTAAATTCTTATCATAAAAGAGGAAATACCCTGACAAGCCAATTGCAAAAATGGTGGCCATAGTTAAAAAGACAACTGTGAAAACGACTGTGTAAAATCTAGTCCTTGTTGGTCTTCTCATTTCACCAAAACAGTGAAAGACAATATCATGAGAAACATAAATAAAGGATAAACCAGCAATGGATGATAAAAATTGCGGATGGACAAAATTGTAAGCATCTGATGGACTAGGAATGGATCTATATCCGAAAATTGACTCAAACATAATAAGTCCAGTAATAATCAAGACTGAACTAACCGAAATAAATGATGTAAAGGCAAAACTCGAAAGGTTTTTCATTAGTGCAATAGGAATCAAAAATGCAGTCAAGTACAACAAGATTGCAGTTCTACTAATGAAAATATTAGGAACATCATCAAATAAATATAATAATAAATCTCCAGCAACTTCTCCAAACATAATGTACATGCCACAAGCTCCTCCAAAATTGAAAATAAATATGAATATACTATATTTCATGCATGTTTAAAATGCATTTTCATGAATATTATTCAAAAGTTTCAGAAATTATGTGAAAATTAAACTTGAGTACATTAACATGCAAAACAACATACCATGTCAAAATTGTACCAGGTTTACCATATGCCTTCTCTGCAAGACTAGCCAAACTCGTTTTTAAATGTCCTCTCGACATTTCATATAACAAAATCAAAGTAAATGAAGTAATCATTCCAAAAAACGTTACACTAACAATTGACATCCAAACACCACTCTGAGAAATCATTTGACTCATAGACATGGTACCAGGTGACAAGATATCATTAATTAAATTGAAAACTGTCAAGAATAAATTAGTCTTTCTCGTAAATAATGGAAAATCCCTCTTTTTCCTTCTCTTATTTCCATTACCCTTCTTTAAAGCAAAATGTTCTTCATTAATTGAAAAGTTCAACTCGGAATTTTCGTTATCATCATCATGAAGTAAATCCCTTTCTTCTTCTTGATTTCCTTCATTGTTATTTCTACTAGTTTTAAACACTCCAGACCAAAGCCTTGCCAACGTTGAAGTCTTATCACTTTTATCTTCAAAATGTAATTTTCTCTCCCTTCTTTTGAAGGATTTAATCATGTCGCTCGACATGTCTTCATATCGTTTGACTATTTTAATATTACCTTGTTCCATTCCATGTTCTTCTTCTCTACTAGTAATATCATCATCATTGTTATTATTATTAATAGTATTAGAATTTAATAATATTGAAGGAGATGATGTTTCTCCTTCGGGATGACTCTGATGATAATAATAATTGCCATCATCAGCTGATGTGCCATACGACGTTGTTATTCCTTCTTGCATTCTCTAATGAAGAGTTTCATGTATGAATAAAAGTTTCAAAATAAATGTTGTGCAATTTTTTTTAACTTGTTTTTCAAGAGTCGGAGTTAGGCGGTAAAGGAAGAATTAAACTCCTACAAGGGCAACACTTTAAAAGATGCGATGACCATGTTAGTAAGTATTGTAAAATAGTTGAAATTTGTAGATGAAATTATTGGGAGCACATTTAATTTTCAGTAATCTTCAAATCCTAATTTTCGTTTCCATTCTCGAATATTCTTAAAGTATGGATTGAATTTTGAGGTCAATTCATCAATGCTATCATTGTGTTTCACATAGCAGAATTCAAAACATTCCAATCTACCCAAATCTCCATCTCTATTCAAAGCACTTTGTAAAATTTTCTTGATATTTGAAACATGAATAGAATTTGATCCTTGTAATAAATCATTCCTGTGAAGTGAGAGAATTTTCAAATTTCTCATTGGAACAGAGAGTAGGGTAGAGGTTATTTCTGCAGAGGGACCTGTTCTGGTAACATTCAGATATTCCAATTGATTTCCAATACTTTTTAGAACTAGTTTGCAAGTTTCTTCATCGACAAATGTTGAGATGGAGAGACCTTTCAATTTTTTGAAATGTTGTAAGTTTGCAACGACCTTACTATTGAATGAACTGGCAGCGTAACCATCCTCTCTAAAATTCAAATTTAGAAATATCAATTGTTCTTTGCATTTTTCATTGGAAAGAATATCTGAAATTATTTCACTGTCTATTGCAGAATAATTTTGTGGAGAATCAATGTTCAATCCTTTCAATGTATTGCACTGCTTTCTCAAAAATTCCCTGAATTGTTTAGTTGTGCAATTTGGTCTTTTGAACACAAATACTTCCAAGTTGGGAAAGAATGGAAAGTTCTTTTCTACGTTTCCACTATCCCAAGATCTGTAACCTCCTGCAAGAACTAGACGTTTTAGATGTGTACATGTATCGGCAATTTTACATAAACAACTCAATTCTAATCTTGGCACATAACTCAAATCCAAACTTTGTAAATTAGTTTGAAAAGTAATCAATTCTAAACTATCACTTGTCAATAATCTACAGCCACACAAACTTAAATGTTTGATATTTGGAATGAGTGATACCACTCTTGCTAAAACTTGATCGTTAACATAGAGAGCAGCACTATATAGCGATAACATATAATCATTTCATACATTCAATTAATTAATTAAACCAATTAATTATATAATCATTCGATCAAAACATGTATCCAATTATTAATAATTCATCATTCCAATCATAAAACCAACCTCTTACTCTCCTTTGAAATATCAATAACTGTCAAATGTTTCCAACACAATGAATTAAATTTCTTACAAACACGTGAGGTGTTAAATAAATCAGAAAATGGTAAAAACTCGAAAATATACTTGATAGCATCAAGTGGTAGATTGGACCAAATATTTTCTGATCCGAATAAATCCTCCGAACAATCTAATTCGATGGCACTTGTTTGTTGATAGATGGAATTGTAAATGTTTCGAGCCGATTCAGACGATTGATTGGTGCTAGATTGGATTTGCTCCATGTCATTGTCTGCTTCATCATCCAAGCTCAGTGATTGACCCATTTTTTTCTTTTTGAAAAGTTCATAAGTTCTTCCCTTTCATTTGAAGTTCGAATATCAAATAGTGTTATCATAACAAAACTTTTGTTAAGATGAACATGAAGCCTTCCTAGCTCAGTTGGCAGTAGCGCTGTCCTAGTAAGACAGAGGTCTTGGGTTCGATTCCCAAGGGAGGCATATTTTTAGGCATTTCTCAATCGTTGCATCATTATTAAGGAATTTTTACAAGTAGATGGAAAATTGCTGTAACATTCTAACACAATTCAAATGAACATGGATTGACTCAGGCTGAGCATATTCATGAAAGTGGATTTCAGATCTTTTTACAATTCCATACAATAAGTTTATGAAATATTTCTAAGATTTTCATTTAAGAAAATAACAATCACATATGCCTGCTGTGAATCATGTTTTTGTTTATTCTTGCAAGCGTTTTACATTAATCAAAATTCCTGTTAATTTGAAAAGGGAATAACTTGGATAGTATTCATCATTGTATTCTCCTTCCCAGGACTTCTCCTTACTTGCCTTTGTTGTAAGGTCAATACCTTTCACTTTTAGACCACACAAATCCAACTCTTCTTCTAATTCATTTGGATCTTTAATGTTCTTCTCATCAATTAGATTACTTGCCATGTTATGCATTTCAAAATCATATTTGCTTTTGGAAGTAATGTCAGATTGGTCTGATATTATTACTGAGGATGCATTTTGTTCGCTATCTCTGGATTCCATTACAAACTTTAAATTGCTTACTGAAACAAACTCTGGACCACCAAAGAGTGCAAGACAAGTTTCAAATAATTCCTTGTCAGACCCTAAAAGGAAAAAGTTTTCATCATAAAAATGATTCAAAATAATAACCTCGTACTTGTTTTCAAGATTCTCTTTCACTGCGGAAATCATTTCAAAAGTTGATTTGTATTTCTTTTTGTAAGAGAAATCGAATTTCAGCTTCTCTTTCACCTCCTTAATTGCTTTCAAAATAGCAAGCTTTGCCTCTAACTCATTCTTCTGTTTTTCCAAATTAAATTCCAATGGTTTCGATATCAATGATAGCTCTGCACTCTTCCATGGTTCTTGTTTGTTTGAATATTTGATTTCATTCGATATGGAATTCTTATCAAATGGTGACAAGAGACCCCAATATTTGAATTCACTATCAATCTTTTCCTCTTCACTAGGATCAAAATTGAATGGAAAATCTAAATGATCTGCTTGATTGAAAATTGGCAAGATGAATCTCTTGAATATGTGGGGGTCTTGGGATGGAAATTTAAACACACGAATACCATCCTTATTGATTTCAACGTCACTTGCCATTTCCGTATTTATGAGTGTGTACAGCATGGAATCAGTAAAATTACCAATATTTTCTACACTCATATTAAAAGCTTCATCTCCTACTTGAACAATGACGGAACCTTCTAACTTGGTCTTGTTGGATTCCCCAGAGAAAAACTTTTCTGCTAGTTGTTTTTCATAATTTTCATTCTCTTCGAATAACACTGCAGACTTGATGACAAACTTGGTGTTTTTAGTGATTTCTTCAGCAGTGTGTTTGATTTGATGAAGAAACAAGACACATTTTCCTAACTCTGGCTCAATGGTAACGTCTTCATCCTCAAAAACTGTTTCTCCACCCTCAAAGTCATCATTCAAATAAATCAAAACTGTAATAAAGCTTGGATGTCCCTCTATATTTCTTCCAGAATCAATATGAGAATTAAAAAATTGTCCCTTCTTGTATCTGTATAATTTCCAATTGCTATCAATCTTTACAGGATTAAATTTAGAAACAGAGTTTGCAAGCATCCTACCATTTTCTTAATTGCATCCTCACACTTTACAAAAACTTTCTTGGATAGCTCTTCATCATTTAATTCAACCTGTTCACTGTTTCTAACTTTCTTGTTTCCAACATTCTTCTTTCGAGAGGAATTTCCAACTTCTGATTCTTCGAAAGTGTAATCGTAACTTTTTCTAATCTGTTCTTCACAGTCAGCCTTACTTAAAAGTTTCGGAATGGAAACAATTCCTTCAGCCAGTGAGAAATATTGTAACTTTTCATCAGAGTCTGTTGATAGATCAGCCGATCGGCTTTTGGCTTCTTCCTTGTTCTCTGATGAAGAACGTTTGGTCTTTTTACTTGGAGGCATTTTTTTCTGTTGATTATTTCTAGTTTTTAGGAGATTTTTTAATACTTTACAACGTTAATCTCATCAACCAGTCTTTTCATATTGTTATGCATATGATGGTACAGTGTATTATGTGTTATTTGAATAATTGTTGAACTCATTGTAGCTCCAAACTATTAAACAAGAATTGTTGAAAAAAAATGAGCTCCTCCACTACCACCACCACAAAAAAGCCAGTCATTCAAATTAAACTCTTGAAAAATAATGCCCTGATTCCCCTCTCTAAAAAATCATCATCATCAGCATCATCGGAAAATGTTTTTAATAGAAAATTAACAGAAAATGATAAGAAGGAATTGGACATGTTTTTAAAGGTTCTCTCTCCTATTGAGCCTCTTAAATTTACAATTTCTATAATTTCCGATAATTCAACAATGGGTATTCCTAATAGAGTGGTTGGACAAATTGTTCATACTTTTGAATCAAAGAAGGATAATACATCGGTATCGAATGTTGATTCTATTAATTTATTACCTGCTTTGGATGATGTTGTTTCACACTTGGATAATTGTTTTGTTTCCGAAAAGGAACAATTCTTACAAATTCCAGTTAAGGCATACAATATTGGACAAGAATATAGTTTACGTCTCGAGTTGGGAGGAAGAAGTACTGGTGCTGCTAAATCAACAGTTGCTGCTCTTCCTTTCGAAGATATTATTGTTACTTTGGTCAATCAACAACAACAACAACCAAATGAACAAACATCATCCAATACTCCTTCAAAGAATGATAAAAAGAAAAAACCTTCCGAACAAGAAGTCATGATGAAATTACTTTTGGAACAAGAGGATGCAAACGAAAAGAAGAAACAATCCAAGAAAGGAAGCTCCAAGAAAAAGTAAAGAGTACTAAATTTTCATTTCACCTCAAAATCTCAAATTGACAATTCATCTTTTATGTTGAACGACTCACAATCCTATCACCAAACAAGAGCAACGCTCTATTTTGTAATGTAACACCTTTTTGATATTTTACTCAGAGTATTAATAGTTGGTTGTTTTCTCCACACTCGATCTTTTGCTCTACCACGTTGAGAGAGGTTGTGTCTTCATCGACTTGATGTTCCTTCCTTCTTCTGTGAGTGTTTCGATAATTTCTCTCAAAGAAAAAGCACAAACAATTTGGTGGCTCAGTTTAAACTCCAACTCAAATTGTTCTAAACTTGCACATTTAAAGACTTCGTAAGAATCATTCCGATCATCTGTTACCATTCGTGAGGTGGAATTGATAAGAACTTTTCATACGCAAAATATAAAAAACTATCTCGAGATTAATTGCTGGCTGACGGGAGCTACAACAACGCAGCAATTTCTCTCTTCACATTCCCATTATAATTGACCACCTAATAATTTCTCGAGAAAGAAATTATTCGAAAGTATTAGAAAGTGGCTCAAACAATTTTGACAACATTTAGAGTGTACAAAGATAATCCATTCCCATCAGAACTTGATGATGCAAAATAATATCATCAAGTTAGCACCATACCTTTTCCATCATCATTTCTAATAATTTAATTTCTAATATAATTATTTAGCTAAACATACAACCAAACAAACAACAACAAACATAATAATATCATCATCATAATGGGAAACAAACACTCCCACCATTCCGATCCTTCCATCAGCAATAGCAATATCAAATCACACCAACCAATCGATCTTTCACTTTCCAATAATTCACAACAACAATTACCTCCCAATCATCATCTCTATCATGAGGTCGTTCATAATGAGGAGGCAGATGTCTATCTTCCCAAACATTTATTAGATTCATTAAAACAACAAGCAAAGAATGGAACACTCACTGCGAGAACTAGCAATAACAATGGAACATCAACAACAGGAAATGTTAATACTACACCAAATTCTACAACTACACCTAATACGGCGAATACTCCTCGGTCAACTGGTGCTGGTAAAGTGGGTCATCGTAGAGAACCATCATATTTGAGTACAGGAAATGGAGGTGGCCATGAAACAGTTCCTCCAATGGAAATTGTCTTGACCATGACGAATAATAATGAGAAATCACTCTCAGCTACCACTCCACGTACAAATTCAAAGAATACTCCAAGAAACAAAACTTTGGGATTTTCCTCATCTTCATCTTCAAAGGAGGAATTGAAATTGCCAACATCAGCAAATCCAGGTCAATCAAGATCTGGTTCTGGAGGTAATGTGATGCAAGCTGTGAATAGGACCAAGTTTAGAATGGAGAGAGATTTACAGAACAAATCTTGTTTTACATTGGACGAATTCAAGTTATTTAAGGGAATTTTTCTCAGTTTTTGCAACTTGTGTTTTCAACAATCTCATTCTCATCAAACAATGCAAACACCGAGAGGAAATACACAGGAACAGTGGAAGAATGGTCAAAAGAGAGATTCCGTCTCATCGACCATGTCAAATTCATCTAGTATGGCCAGTATTAATGGTGCAACTCCTGGAAAAACTATCTTGAGACAGGCATTGTTGGCCTCCTCTGTTTCATATTATGATATTCATCAGCTGTACTTGGCACAGGGAGAATGCCATCAATTGCTTTTCCAACATGGAAAGGTTGTGAACAAGACGAGAACAAAATCAAATTCATTGCATTCCCATTATCAGGCAACACCATCGACTAGTAATGTTCAGGCAACATCACAACAAACAGGTGTACCATTCCTCCAATCAAGTTTAGATAAGAAGACTTCTCCACCACTCCTTTCAACTTCCCCAAATAATGCTTCTTATGCCTCTCCTCCACAAACAACCTTCATTCCTGCAACTGTACCACCTCTCTCATTAACAAACAATTCTGCCTCAATGACTCTTTCTAATATTGAGGATATGGATTTGGAATTGGTGGAAAAATTTGTCTTTGATGCTGTTTATAGAGCAGTCACTGATGGACATTTGGCAAATGAGCATAATCACTATCACCATCATCATCAGTTCATTCTATCGGCAGATTCTTTCGTGTTGACGTTCCAGAGATTCATCTTGTCACTTGCTGCTGCATCGATTTCAATCCGTGATGGCCAAGTTTATGCACAAAAGATGAGTAGATTATCAATGAGTACTGTCTTTTCAGATAACGATTCTGATATTGAAGAGCATGAGCAATTGAAAAGAGAAGCACTTTTGAGAGAAAGATCCTCACTTGTTTTTACAATGCTCGATTTGGATGGAGACGAGTGTTTGTCACGAGAAGATCTATTGACCTTTTTGATTGCTATGGACAGGTTGAACTTGTTAACACTGAAAAGAACTAAAGGCATGTTAGCCTCTGCTAGGAAAATGCTCTTCTCTCCACGAAGTACAAACAATATATCTGATCTGGATACATATTCTGATGGAGGAATGTCACCTGTGAATTCTGAGAAAACCAAAGGAAAGAAATCTGTAGAGGAAGATGACAATAATGAAGCATTGAGCAGTTCACTGCTCACCTCAGCAGTTGCTCTATCTTCAGAGCATGTGGAAATTATCAAATTGGATGGTTTGACCACAACAGAGAAATTCAAATTATTCGAAACACTTGTCGATCAATTCTTTGATTTTTCATATAACCAGAGAAAGAATTCAAGTCTCTTGAATCTCAAATCGGCTTCCAGTTTAACATTGACGAGGGGAGAATTTTTCGATAACAGCCAAATATTCGACGATGTCTTTCTGAATGGTTTGGGAGTTTTCGAAACCTTCTTCATTCCAATTATGAAACCTGTTCATGAATTCCTTTCCAAATCCAAAGATGCCTATGAAATTAGTGGCAAGTTGAAGAATATGTTCTCTCAGCAAACCTACTTTTGTGAAATTAAGGGCTCCATGATGTTCCTCTACGATGTTGATCCATCAACAATGACAGGAGAAAATTCCGACATTCATTCCAAATGTATAGAAACTATTGATTTGAGAACTTGTGTGAAAGTAATCAATGAAAAACAAGCAGAGCTCATCACACCTCCCACCACTCCGTCCTATGCAGTTCACACGAATGGAGGAAATAATGAACGAAAGAAACGATCCATTATGAATTCACGACATTCAGGCGATGGTGATGAAATGTTCCAGGACTCCCTCAATCCACAAAGCCCTGCCTCTCCCTCCACGAGCATGCCAACAAGTGTCACAACTGCGGCTTCAACCCAACAGAGCTCTTCACCAAACTTGAATGGTGGCAAACCAACATTTTCCTTCTCAACTACTCCTTACTTCTCCTTCCTAACCTTACAATCAGCTTCCCAACCAAACGTAGGCTCTCCAAGCAATACAGCATTTGTTTCAGTTTCGAGTAATTTCGTAGCTAAGAAATTCATGTTTATGGCTGATGAAAATGAACAGAAAGTTGCATGGCTTTTTACGCTCTTCATGCAAATTACTCAGGCAACTGAGCTCAATAACAGATTCCACTCCTTTGCACCAGAGAGAGACAATGTCAAAATCAAATGGTACGTCGACGGAAAAGATGCATTCAGAGATATTGCCATTGCCATGGACAGAGCAAAGGAAGAAATTTTCATCTCTGATTGGCTCCTCAGTCCTCTCATGTATCTCATTAGAGGCGATGCTCCTAGAGTTGCTGAATCTCGTTTGGATATTCTGATTAAAAATAAGGCAGCTCAAGGTGTAAAGATTTACATTATTTTGTGGAAGGAGACTTCAGTGGCTGGTTTGAATCTTGACACGAGACAAACCAAAAAGTATTTGAGAAGTCTCTTCCCTCGAAATATTTACGTCTGCAGCCATCCAAAGAGATACCCTATCAATTTTACACATCATCAAAAGATTGTTGTGGTTGATCAATCGGTGGCATTCATTGGAGGATTGGATTTGGCTTATGGAAGATGGGACGATCACCATCATTCACTAACTGATGACAATCACACTGCCCTCAAATTCCCTGGAGGTGACTATATGAATCCTAATCTTGTACCATCGACTAGATTTGAAGACAAACTAGCTCACTTTAAAGATACCTTCGATAGAGAGTTCATTCCAAGAGAACCTTGGCATGATGTTCACTCAATGGTGAGTGGATTGTTGGCAAGAGATGTTGCACTTAATTTCATTGAAAGATGGAATCAGCACACAAAGGCAACACCTTCAACAGCTCTCCAATTGAAAACTGTCAAGAAGAATCCTCTCTTTGAGTATTACAAACTCCAGAATGCATCTCTTGCTAGAAAGGAAAAGATCAAAAAGAGAAGATTTGCAGGCATGCCTACTAATCTGTACAATAATATTTCTAACATTCAAAATACTCCTAGACGTCTCAAACAATTCTTCACTCAGCAGTACAATACTCCGCCAAGTATTCAGACAGAAGATACTGCCACCTTAATGAACAAGGCACCAGGTAGTTCTGGAAATGCCAATACCAGCTCACCACTGATGATTCGTGATGAGAATGTTACTAATCAGGACGGTGTGCAGGTATCTTCCAGTAATGCTCCTCACTTGGATAAGAATGTGGTCGGTTCTCCAAGAACCTCTCAGTTCGAAAGCAGAATGGAGGGTGTAAGAGCAAGAACCAAGAGTTGGTTCGAGAAACACAATCCAAATCAACTCATTAGAAGAGGAGCTGAAAGAGAACGACACAAGGACGTTGAAAGAGAAAAGGAAAAGGAAGAAAAGATTATGAAGGAATTTATGAAAGAAAAGAAGAGAGAAGAAAAGAAAAGGGAAGAAAAGAAGAGCTCAAAGGAAGAAAGTAAATATGTCGAGGAAATTTCCTGTCCTGATGATGAAGGATTCGTATGTAACGCCCAAGTTGTCAGATCCATTTCTAGATGGAGTGGAGGAAATGATACAGAACAATCGATTTATCTATCCTATTTACACTTGATTGAGGAAGCTCAACACTACATTTACATTGAGAATCAATTCTTCATAGGAGGCACTGCTGGAAGTCCTGTCAAGAATGCCATTCCACTATTCATAGGCAGAAAGGTTGTTGAAAAGATGAGAAGAGGAGAGGTATTCAGAGTTTACATTGTTGTACCTTCACATCCTGAGGGAGATGTTGCTATTGCATCTGTTCAACAATTAATGAAATTCCAGTACAAGACCATTAACAGATCTTCCACTTCTCTCTTCAATTACATCAAACAGGAGTATCCACAGGCAACTGAGGAACTCATTGAACAGTATATTGTCTTCTTTTGTTTGAGAAATTATGGATTTATGAATAATAATGACCTCATGAAATATTATCAAGCAGCTACTTCAGTAGATGATGATGATGATTCAGGTGATGATAAAATATTCGATGACAAGTGGAGAAAGCCAAACTATGACATTTCCTCTGATGAATATACCTCTGATGAAGATAAAAAGAAGAAAAAGAAGAAACGTAAAAAGACTGAAAGCTCATTTGTTGATAAGATTCCAACTGGAAAGAGAGCAGTTACTGAGCATGTCTATGTTCACAGTAAGGTTATGATTGTCGACGATAGACATACAATTATTGGAAGTGCAAATATCAATGACAGATCCATGTTAGGAAATAGAGATAGTGAAATTGCTGTTGTGATTTCTGACAAGTCATTTACCACTTCCAAGATGAATGGAAGACCATACAGAGCTGGTAAATTTGCTCACTCTCTCAGACTCAGATTGTGGAAGGAACATTTGGGACTGTTCCCAAAGAAGAAGGAACAAAAACTATTAGAGAAACACATTCAAGAAATCAGCTCAATGGAATCTGAAGAGGATTTGAGAGCTTCCATGGATACCACCCCTGACCAGATTAATCATTTGGTTCCTCCTCCTCCAACAACTACAGCTGGTCGTTTGATGGGAACCAATATGGCAAAGATTTTCCACTTTGATCGTTCTCAAAATTTATCAGGAACAAAGACCAAGTTGGAATTGGAATTGGAAGAACATGAAAGAAAAAGAAGTCAAATTGAAGATCCAATCCATAATGAAACACATAATATTTTAATGACACTCGCCAAGAAGAATACAGAAATTTATGATACTGTATTTACTGATATAATAACTGACAGATACAAGACAATTGAAGAATACGTAGCAGCTAGATCAAAAACAGCAATTTTCGATACAGTATTGGATAAAACTCCTACAAGTAATGAAATTGCAAAGGATGATAAGGTAATGGTTGTTTCAAAGAGTCAATTCTTAGATGACGTTGCTTCTCCACTTTCTGCAGGACAACCACAACAGCAATCTTTTGAGGATGATCATGAACATCACATGATTTTGAGCCCTTCGAGAGCAGTTCTCAAATTATCAAAGAAAATTCATGACATTTGCAATAGTGCAGTTAACACCACTGATGTAGTGAGCCAGGTCAATAACAGTGAAGCAGCCACACCCAATGAAGCTCAAACTGTCACTGATCCAGCAGCATCTGCTCTAGCAAAGACAGAAGTAGAAAAACGAAAGCTCCTTAAAAAGGTGAATGGTTATCTTTGTTTATTCCCTCTTAAATTTGCTGAGGAAGATCAATTCAAGAAGACCATGACATTGGCAGTTGCTGTAGATGATGTTGTGTTCTTATAAAATTTATCTTTGCTGTTTCATAATAATTTACAAGTATTTTTTAATAGTTTACAAAGTAACAATTACTTTTTCAATCCTAATTTGTCTGTTGCCCAATCACGCAATACAAACTTTTGAATCTTTCCTGTAACAGTCATTGGGAATTCATCCATAAACATGACATATTTTGGAATCTTGTAGTGAGCTATTTGTCCTTGACAGAAAGCTCTCAATTCTTCTTCAGTTAATGATTTTCCACTCTTCAATATAATACAAGCACAAATTTGTTCTCCGTATTTCTCATCAGGAACTCCAACAATTGCAACATCCTTAATATTTGGATTCATGTAGAGGAAATTCTCAATTTCACGTGGTACAATATTTTCACCTCCTCTAATGATAATATCCTTAATTCTTCCTTCAATGCTACAGTATGGTCCATTTTCATCGGTTCTGAATACGGCAATATCACCAGTCTTCATCCATCCATTTTCAATGACTTTCTTAGTGGCTTCTGGTTGATCCCAATAATATTTCATAACCAAATATCCTCTCACTTGCAATTCACCTTGAGTTCCAAATGGGACAACCTTTCCAGTTTCTGGATCCACAACTCTTGCTTCAACATGAGGATGGATTCTACCAACTGAGGTGGTACGAACTTCCAAACTATCATTAATATGTGTATTGAATGAGTAAGGAGATGTCTCAGTCATACCATAAACATTAATCAATTCTCTCAAATTCATTTCATTGATACATCTTTTCATGAGTGGCATTGGACACAAAGCACCAGCCACAATACCTGTACGAAGGGATGACAAGTCATATTTCTTAAAGTTTGGATGTTCCAATTCAGCAATAAACATTGTTGGAACGCCATGAAGAGCTGTGCATTTGTATTTGTGAACTGCTCTGAGAGTGGCTTCAGGATCAAATCCAAAGCTTGACAAGACAATTCCACAACCATGAAGGGAGAAGGCCAAGAATCCCAAATTTGAACCAAAACAATGGTAAAATGGAACACACAAGGCCAGTTTGTCAACTCCAGTCTGCAAATTCATTGCCTTTCCAACAAAATATGAATTATTTACAATGTTAAAATGTGAAAGGGCAGCTCCCTTTGGTAATCCAGTTGTTCCAGATGTAAATTGAATACTAATTAAATTTTTGGAAATGTTAAATTTCACACTTTAAGATCTGCACTACTTACTTTAAAGTATCATTACAATTATGCTTGGCTTTCATCCATTGTTGATGAGTCAATCCTTTTGGAATGGACATGTTCAACAATTCATTTGTAAAATCAATCATTCCAGGGAAGAAAGCTCTAGATGGAGAACAGTAGAAAATATGTCTCAAATGAGGTAATGCTTCAGATTCAACAGTTGGCACTTGCATTTCATCTGAATAAGCATGTTTTCCGCCATTTTGATTCACATTTCTATCCAATCCAGGACACAAATCATATAACATTTGAACATAATTAGTTCCCTTATATTCTGGAACAATAATCAAACCCTTGCATTGTACCAAATTCAAAGCATGTTGCAATTCATGCTTTCTATAAGCAGGATTAACATTTACAACAATCAAACCCAACTTGGCAGCTGCCATCAACACAATTGACCATTCATGTGAATTAGGCATCCAAATTCCAATACGATCCTCCTTCTTATATCCCAATCTATGAAGAGCATTAGCAAGTTTTAAACTCTGCTCATGAACCTCTCTCCATGAAAAGGTCTGATCCTGATTTAAATTATGTTCGGAACCACTAACTTGCAACAATGGATGAGAATCCATCTCATAGACACGTTTCTCAAACAATTCAAACAAGGTTTCATGAATGAGTGGTTCCCTTGTCGATCCCTTGATATGACTCACCTGTTGATCAACAATCAAAGGCTTGTTATCAACAAGAAATTGATGATGATGACCAAAGGAAGATTCAACAATTTGTTGTGTCGAAAATTGTCTTTTTTCTGTTAATGTATTTTTCATCTTCATCTGATGATGATTCTTATTATTGATCAACAACAGGTTCATCAGCTGTTGTTGTTTATTGGCCTCTTGTGTTGGTTGGCAGAGGATTCTTCCCAAGATCTTTCTCTTCATTTTTTTTGTCCGTGAGTTGTGTGTACGGTTCGAAGGCAAATTTGGTGATTTTTGTAAACTTTAGAGCAAGATGTGGAAAATTTGATGGAGTAATGGAATGCCAAATGGGAAATAGGTTAAAAAAGATGACAGCTGCTTGGTAATATTGTAAATTGTTGAAATATTTAATGTATGATACAAGTAGATGTGGTGTGTGGCAGTGAAGGTAATATTGAGAATGATTCAATGATTTTATAAACTGGATTTGATGAGAGAGCCTCCATCGATGGCAATGATATTACCAGTCATCCAGGCAGATGCAAGACTGGAAAGAAAGAGAGTAGCTCCAACAATGTCAGATCCTTTGGAAACTCTTCCAAGAGGAATATTTTCCATAATGTGATCTCCAAAGTCTTCAAAGGTTTGTTTTGTCATTTTGGTAAAGAAGAATCCACAAGCTGTAACATGATATCAGCAGAAATTAATTTAGAAATGTAATTAATTTTAAAATAATATTCCAATAAATCAAGTGTGAAATAATTTGTAAAGTATTTGAAATTCAATAAAATTTTCAAAATCAAACAACATACCCAATGCATTGACAGCAATATGATCACTTGCCAAACGAAGTGCCAAGTGTTTAGTCAAATGATGCAATCCAGCTTTAGAAACAGAATATGCAAATGTATCCATATTAGGACAAGTCACTCCATTAATTGATCCAATATTCACAATTCTTGCTGGATTATCAATTGAGGCAGCATTTCTCAATTTTGGCAGTAACTTTTGAATCACATAGAAAGGTGTCTTTAAATTCAAATCCATAACCTTATCCCAAGCATGTTCAGGATAAGTATCCACTGATTCTCCCCAATTAGTTCCACTATTATTGACCAAGACATCAACCTTATCTTCAACAATTTGACTACAAAATGATTCAATTCCTTCCATTGTGGCCAAATCAGCCTGTAAAGCAACAAGTTTTGGAATTTGATCTTTTCCACTATAGTACTTTTTAACGAATTGATTCACTTGATCTTCAACTTGTTGGCAGGCTTCCTTCCTTCTCGAACAGACGTAAACTTTAGCAACTCCATTCATGAGAAAGCCTTGTGCAATGGCCAAGCCAATTCCTCTCGTGCCACCAGTAATGACAACAATCTTTCCCTTTACATTGAACAAATTATCGGATAGCATTGCTGTTGGTGATTCTGGTTTAGTATTAGCAGATGATGATGATGACATTTTTCAATAGTTAATTGTTTTCAATAAATTATAATGAAATTAAATTAATTAAATAAATTCGTGATGTGATGATCAAAAAAAAAGGATTTTGCTGTAAATTTTTTAATAATTTTAAAAAAAATATGAAGAGAGATGAAGAGGATGATTGTTATCGGACATGAAGGGAGGACTGTGTTGTTTAGTAGGCAATGAAGGTGGGTGTTAATTATTATTGATGGATCAATCTTAGGAGATTTACCAATAATTTGACATCATTAAAGAATATCGGAATATTGTTTTTTGTCTTCATGATGAATTGCCAAAATTCGGGTGAAACAATTGGATTGTTCAGTGGAAACCAATTAGAAGCCACACTGTTCTTAATTATACTACTATTTTAGATGCGACCACAAATATAAAAAAAAATTACACACAAGATGCAACAACGAGATGATGAACGTTTAATTACCTCGCCATCCAATGATCTGGCTCACCATACATCATCATCAAGTATTCAACATGATGAAGAGATGTGTACCTTATTCTTTTTCCTTGGATTTTTGATGAATATTGTTTGGATTGTGAATTTTGTAAAGGTAAGTTGAATGGTCTATTGTCCACATATTAAACTGCTCAATTAATGATCAATTAATGATTACATGATATAGTATCGTAATTCGGATAGTCCAACATGTAAAAAGTTGGCACTTGCTAGTATAATATTATTCGGGGTGAGCAGTGTGATTGCTTTTGGATTGGTTGCATTTGGACTGTATGTTGTCTTGACATGGAATCCAAGAGTCATTGCTTAATTGTGTAAATAAAAAGAAATGAATTATCTCAGTTATGAATTTGGATTTTCACAATCCCAAAATTTCCCATTTCCAGCTTATTGGTTTAGCATTATTGTTAAAGTGCGATCTTCGTATGGATTGAATGGATTGAAGATGCATGTTCTGATGTTAGTTTAAAATTCTTTGTTTGTAAAATATAGCTCATAAAGTTAAATTTAGTCCACGATTGACTCGGTTGATCAATAAAAGCTACTAATTATACTCAAATGGAACACATGTAAGGTAATATTGTATCTTCATTTCGATATCATTGCATCACATGCGAAACTGTAGTGTGAATTGAATCTGTTGCAAATCATGCTAAATAGATTGTTTCTCCTCCATCTCATGTGTTACGTTTAAAAGGAAGATAATTGGACACATGGAAGTTGTTGCAATGTGAAGGGACACATCTTCTTGTAGGGGGCGAACCATAATTGCAAGTTCTGATTTTCTTTTTGTTTTATACAAAACCAACTTGAAAACGTCTGAACCCTTAATGTATAATGTAGTGAGCATTCAGCAAGTTTAAGCAAATTGTTGAAGCAACATATTAAGGAATGCGACTAACTAGATATAGAATGTTAAAATAGTAAATATAACAATAAGCCATCTCTGATCGGCACTAGATTTTGTGGTGACCACTAGTTCATATAAAGAATTAAACTTCCAAATATAGAGATTGAAGGGTCCATTTATTTACTGTGATTTTCATTCATTACATTTTTAGGTCTTATTTAACACACACACTTGTTTAGCCTCAATAGACACACTGCTGTTTGCATTCATTGATCAAATCTATATGGAAATGCTTATCTCCTTAATTGAGGAATCGAGAGAGGAGAGTAATGACATGCTTCTGGTTGCATTCTCGTATGGTTGTCTGTTGTGCAGATTACATGATATGTTAACACTACTAACACAGCTAGCTGATCGATTTTTCACTGCATTATCCAATCTAAATTCAATGCTTGTTTCCTCTTCTTGATTTACCTCCAATCAAAAAGTACTTTTGCCTAGATCCTCCCTTAATTTGAGTCGAGTTTGATGTTATTTGTGTCAAATTTACATCGTCATATCGTTTAGTCTTCTCTGAAGGTGGAATATAACTCAGAAATTGTCTTTGTACTTGGGAAGGTTGTTTCTCCTTTACCTGTTTCACCTTTGTCATTTGAACTGTTGGATCTTCGAATGCTTTCAATAGAGTTGTCATACTTTCAGATGAAATGTACTTTTCAGATTCATCCTCTTCATTGACATAGTACCAAATACTCTTTTTCCTCTCCGCATTCGCTAACTATTCCACATAAATGCACATGTGACATGATTTGAAATACATGATTAGTAAAATGATGCATGCGTAAATACGTACTCTCTGATAAGGCCATCTTGATTTATACATTTCATAATATCTTCTTTTGAGAGTGGAAACACTGACATTGAGCATTCGTGCTGCCAATACTTGAGGAGCATTAAAATACTTTTTCTAAATAGCATCATGATTAGCTTGTTTCTGATGGATGGATATCTACTTACCATTTCATCTTTATCCTATATTCATGATTTTGAAAAGTAGTGTGGTGGTGATGGGAGAATACACATTTGTGCGAAGAGTTGTTGTAAGGAGGATCTCAATTGTATTTCAACTTACAATATTGATTCTATTGGACGATGAAGAAGTGTAATAGTTCTGAATAGGATCTTGACTGCACATTGAATTATTAAGATTCATACTGCTCATGATGCTGTTTTCTGATGAAAGAGACACACCTCCAACTCCAACTCCCATTCCATAAAATTCCTCACCACTATTAAATTCATTATTGATTGAGCCATGTTGATTAACATTTAGTGGATGTGTTTCTTGATAGAAATGATACTGCTGCTGATGATGATGATGATTCAAACATGCCACCTCTTCATCATTAAATTCAGAAGAGGAAATTGAGGAGGGACATGATGAGGCAATGGATGAAGAAGTGAAACTCCTATTGCTACAGTTGCTTGCACAAGTAGTCGATCGTTTCCTTATTAGCTTCCCACAGTCGTCAACGAATTGGTCAAGTGAAGCACCACCAGATGCACTAGTTCTAGATAACATAATATTTTGAGGGCAATAGCAGGCTGTTAACATGGAAGCAATTTTTACAACTTGTTTGACCTTTGAATAGTATTATGTATTGGTGTTGATGTTTGTTTGTTGGACAGCAAAAAACATAGCGCCTCACACATGGACATTGTCAAATAGAGCCAATTTCCAACTCTGTTACTATAATTTTCCTTCCTTATCTCTTCCTTATAGAGTTGATCACACATGTTATCAATGATGCTTTAAGGGGCCTTCTTTACACAATTAAGGCGCAAACATCTTGGCAACAGTTTAGAATTGAACCCTTTTTGTTCCCACACTCGTCGACGGCTATCGTACCGATCTATATATACAGTGATTATTAACTGTTGACTTGTATGGATATATCAAGGGTCCTTTAATGGCTAAGGTCCTTAGCAATGAAGCTATCTGTTTTTGTCTTCCAATTGTGAATGTATTATTAGACAACATTCTAATTGTAGTTATTAAGGGATGCACATGAGTAGCTGCTCCTCAAAGGAATTGTGGGAGTTGGGAGAGATATACCTTTCCAACAGGAGAATTGCTTATTCTATAAGAAATGAAACCGTATGGTAATACAGTACGACCGAATTTTGATATGATCAAATTGGAAACTGAGCAGTGTTACACTCCTTCAAGTTTCAAGTAGCTAGCTCTTTACGGTGATTCACCATAAAACCAGCAATTCTTAACACTATCCCAATCAACTCCATTGGAGTGCTCGCTTAGTCTATTAATATCATCAAGTAAAAAAGAAAAATCCACATGAATATTTGCATCCATTAAGCAAATAGTAACAAGGCAGGTAGCACATTAAGAGGTTGATATTTGGTTTAGGTTAGATAAGAAAAATTTTCATCTTGCTAGTTATTGATACATATTATACACATTGCATGGTGTAATTTCATTCTCATTCATCAACAACATTGACTTGGACATGTTGTGGCATTGGCCAGCACAAGTAAGGAAACAAGTTCAAAAAAATGGTTTACGGCAAGTGCTTGGATATTGTGTGAATGGATCATAAATAATTTGGTTGGAGGAAATTGAGGACAAGAATTAATTAAGGATGGAGGTATTGGATGCATGCATCACATAATATGCACCAATCATATGATAGCATGTAGTGATTGAATCTATCAATGATGCTCACATGCAAAAACAAAGAAATTGGATGCATGTGAAAACAAAAACATGATGCTAAATAATTTGATAAATACATGTGTGATAATTTATCAAACATGAATTAGAAATTAGGAGCATTTAAACCCCAAATTAATGGAATCAAAGTACCACATGCAGCCAAGAACATTACATTAAGAGGAAGACCAACTTTGGTAAAGTCAAAGAATTTGTATCCTCCAGGTCCTTGGACAATGAGATTTGTCGTGGAACCAATAGGAGATGTATAATCAGAGGATGCAGCAACAATCACAATAATACTAATCATTCTTGGATTTAAACCATTGGCTTCAGCAATAGCCAAAGCAAGTGGAAGATTAACGCTCACAGCAGCTGTGTTTGTAATGACAGCACTACAAATTTGTGTAAAGAGGAAAATTAATGCTGGAATCACGAGTGGTGGAATTTTCAAATAGACAACCAATTCAGCAAGAGCCTCAGCAAAACCACTATTCTTAATAGCTAAGCCAACACCAAAACTTCCAGCAATTAATAATAACAATTGCCAATCAACAACTTGGACAGCCTTAGTTGGATTAATTAATTTGAGCAAAATCATCAAAACGAATGCAATCATGACACATTTGATCATTGGATAACCAGCAGTTGCACCAGCAACCATGAGGACGAAAATTGGAACAACAAGATATTCCCACCACCACAAATTGAATTCCTTTCCTCTGAATTTGACAATGAATTTTCTCACATCCTTCTTTGGATCTACTGTGGAGCGAGAAATTAAGAAAAATTCTCTAGTTTCAATCCACTTGTCATGGAAATCTTTTGGAGCAATAATTAAAACAGAATCTCCTGTTGAAACATTTGCTGAGTGGAAATCATCAGTCTCTGTGTTTGTTTCAATCAGTGTTTCTCTGTGCTTGAGAGCAAAAACGACTGTTTGGAAGTGTTTTTCAAAAGCTCTATAATCAGATCCAAGAAGTGAATTATTATTTGAAATGACCACTTCTAAGAATTCCAAATCAGCACCAATTTCTTTACCTTTGAGTGATTTTTTGACATCACTAGAGGTGGAAGGTGGTGCTTGATCTGTAACTTCTAGCAATTGTTCATCCTTTGGTTCTTCAGTCAATTCCTTGATTTCTGTCGAGATGGTATCACTATCTCCACCGCCATAATATGTGGCATTCTTATTGGATTCCATCAGGGACATGGATTCACTCTTGTCCTTCTTCTTCTTTCCAAATGAAAACTTGGAAAATATGGATGGCTTTTCTTCAATGATTGGAGTTTCATTGCTCTCCTTGAAGATTACATTATTAAACTTTACCTTCTTTTCAATACCAGTAATAGAGTGCAAATGCATGATATCTTCTGGAAGACCTCTGAATACAAGTCTGTCACCTTTTTGAATTCTGAAAGTATCTTCTACTGGTGTAATTTGCTCCACTGAGGTAACTGTAGTATTATTGGCAACTTCCAAATCTTCAGATGCATTTTCTTTGGTTCTTACAACCTTGATAATTTCCAAAGATTTCAATCCTAGGTGAGCCAAAACAGATTTCTTTGATTTTCCAGCAAGTGGTGACTTTTCTGGAACAACAAAATGACTCATGAATGATTCTCCCTTTTCCTTTGAGTAGGAATCCATCATTCCTGCAGTATTGGATGGTAAAATCCAAATTGAAATAAAGCACAAATAGAACAACATGATGACCAACAATATTCCTCCAATGTAAATCAACTCAAAGAATGAAAGTGGATCCAAATCATAACTTTCCATCAAACCTGACCCAACCAAGTTGGTGGATGTTCCAATAATTGTACAACAACCTCCAGCAAGTGTGGCATATGAGAGCGGAATCAAAATCTTACTGGCAGGTACTTTGTTTTCACGAGCCCACTCTACAATTAGTGGTGTGAATGCTACTACAATTGGAGTATTATTCAAAAACATGGAAAGTATTGAGATTGGGAAGATAATTCTGAAAAGTGTGAGTGGCAAAAATTTTGGTTTACCAAACATCAATTTGGACAATTTGAGTAGAATTGGATTGTGACTAAGTGGTTGAACTACAACAAATAGTAAACCAATTGTTACCATACCCTCTGTTATTATTATCATTTTCATATATTCACACATTATAACATTCCAAATATGTAAATAATAAAACTAATCTATAATGATACTAACCATTACTAAATCCTTCAAGTGCTTCTTTCACAGAAATAATTTCCGTTATGGTAAATAAAATCAAAGTTACCATGACCACATAGTATGGTCTAAACACATCCATAATCAATGCAATTAACATGAAAACTACAAATATTAACACAATCCACATTTTCCAATTTCTTAAATTGTAACTTCCGATAGGTGAGCTTGATTTACAGACATTCTTCATAATTCCACTTTCAATCACTGTTATTTTCTTGATATCACTTCTTTCCACTTGGATAACCATCACCTTGTACAAATTTTCGAATAGATCCGGAATATTGATAGATTTTCTAGTTTCATTCATTAATCCCTTCCATGATTGACTATTATTCAAATAATTAAATATCAAATAATTACAATAATAAATTAATATTTAAATTAATAATAATCTTACCCTAAAACTATAAATCTCCTCGTTGTTTCATTCCTATCCCAATATTCCATAGCATTAGTTTCATTGACATAATCAGAGTGAGCCAAAACAAACCATCTATCCTGCTCAACACTCTGTTCATAGGTAAAATTCGAAGCCTTTGACAATATTTCCCACTTGAGAATACTCGACTCGTGGGAGTAGGTAAATAGGGCCACTCCATTAGCTTCCTTTGTGTTGTTATTAGTATTGGAAGATAGAGTTTCACTTTCCATCGTCATCATAATGTTATTCTCATTATTACTCAAGGAAGTATCAATCCATTGCAAAGATGAAGAAGAAGCCTCCGAGTCGATAGTTTCAAAACTGTACAATTCACTTTCAAACTTGAAAGAAGAGCCACTCACTAGCCATGATGATGACGATTGTACAACTACCAACAACAAACAAAGTAAAACAATTAATAAATAATACGAGGTCTTCCTAGGACTCAAAGATGATGCAGAAGAAGATAATAATAACCCGTCCATTGTTACCTATCGATGATGATGCTGCTTATGATGATAACTGGATGATGAACAAAATCTGAAAATATCAAACTCTATGTAGGTTGGGTTTTTTTGTTGTGAAAGTCCTCCAATTCTTCTTCTTCGTGATTGTTCATGTTTTTAAAAAGAGCGCGAGTTTTGAAAAAGAAGAAAAATAGGAAGTGAACTCCGATAAAGATTTTATCATTGAAAGAAAACTCTGAATTGGAAGATTGAATTTTCAATTATTTAATATTAAATATTTAATAATTTAATTTTACAATTAAAGCAGCTTATTCCTTTAACAATTTTTGAATATCATCTTCCATATCTTTCGGAGAAGTATTCGGAGCATATCGTTTCAATACTTTTCCACTCTTTGAAACGAGAAACTTGGTAAAATTCCATTTTACTGCATCAACGAGAAAACCAGCACCTTCCTTCTTTAGGAAATTGTAAAGTGGAATAGTTTCGGATCCATTGACATTAATCTTGTCAAATATTTTGAAGGTGACTTTGAATTTGGTTCTGGCAAATGTGCAGATTTCTTCATTGGTGCCAGGTTCCTGATTGAGTGCATGGAATTTTAATTTTTAATGATGAGGAATAGTTTGGTTTAAATTGGATGATTGAAAATTTAGAGGAAACTTACTTGAGATCCGAATTGATTGCATGGGAATGCCAATACTTCAAAACCTTGATCCTTATACTTGTTATAAACTTCTTGAATTTCGTCTATTGATTCGGTTAGCATTTCCAACACTTTCCAATAACAAATACCTACCGTACTGTTTGGTGAAACCACATCTAGAGGCAACATTCACAATCATTACTACTTTTCCTTTATAATCAGCCATAGATACATCATTTAAATCAGCATCCTTGACAGTAAATGAATAAAAATCAGAGTCAGTTGACATTTTGCAAGATACAAGAAGTGGAGATGTTTTTTTGGATTGGAATTTGATTACAATCTTGTTGAGAATCTTAAAATCACAAAATAGATCAAAGGATCTTGTAAGAGATTGTTGACAGAAAAAAAATGTCAAGCCAACTGTCACTTCTTCCTAATGATAATGTTAAAATAAACATTATCGGATGTAAAAATCTTGTAGCTGCTGATACGAATTGCAGTTCTGATGGTTATGTGATCATCGACTCGTTTATTCCGAATGGATCGATTGACTTGATTGGAAATGAAAAGAAAATCAAGACAAGTGTCAAGAAGAAGAATTTAAATCCTATTTGGAATGAATCATTTTCAATGCCAGCACTTGTTAAAGCTGTCGATCATGTTAAAGTGAAGGTGATAGTGATGGATTATGATTTAATTTCAAAGGATGTAAGTTAATTTTATTCGAATGTGTTATTGGAATGTGTTGGAAATGAAGGATTTTCTTGGAAATGCAGAGTTTATTATTGACAATTCTTTTGGATCTAATAAGGAGAAAGTAATTACATTAAAATTGGAAAATATTGAACATGGAGAAATTACTATTGGAATTACAATTGAAAGGTCAATTGAAAATATCGAAATTGACAAGTATAGAAATGAACTTCTTTCAACCATACCTTCCACTAGATATACTATACACAAAGGAAAGAGATATCTTCATTTCCACTGTCCAAATTTCTTTATTCTTGATAAAGACGAATCTCAAGAATCTCAAAGAATTTTACTTAGATGTGAATCAAAAACTTTACAATTTTACATTCTAGAAAATGGAAATGATTATCCATTTGATATGAGCAAGGAGAAGGCACTCTCCACAATTACCCATGTGGAACAATACAGATCTCATTTCAAAATGGCAGAAACAGAGATTCGTATTAAACCTTCGAATTATTTTGGCTTGAATTCTAAGATAGAACATTTGGAAGAAAGCAAATTTCATAATGAATTGCATGGACAATTGAGATTTGGTCAAGTTCTTGTTTTTAATCAAGTGGATTTGCCATATTGCATTGCAGCCATGATGTTAACTGCAGATGAGAAGAAGAATTTCAAGAATTCAGTTTTGATTGATTTCATTTTAAATTCAATACAATTCGAAGAAAAATAATTTTAAGGCAATTTCTAGAGATACTCCTTTAAAAACAGTTGGAAAATTGTTTACAATTGTATTCATCTGTATTAAGCAATTCCATGGCTTGCCAACTTTTCCATTAAAGAATATTCTCAATTCTATAAGATTGCATTCTAAACAACAGTTGGTAATTCACTAAAATCAGATTCATTTCTTTCTAATCCAATCTTTAAAGTGCTGAAATATGGTCTTTTTCATAACCACTGAAAATCTATACGAATTATTGATTTTACCATTGATTCTGTGCACCATAAACTTTGCTGATTTTCAATCTATTGTAACATCTGTCACGTAGTCAATCAAGAATTTGTAAACTTTCATACAATTTAACCTTTTTTCCATTCCAATCTTTTTATCAAACATTTTTCAATACTAAATAAACACACAGAGAATGCTAGTCTAAAGTCCATTCTCACACTTTTCCTTCCCTTCAAGAGGAGGAATGGGTCCATAAATTTGTCCTTCATGGGACATTAGCAACTTTTCAAATTCTTTTTTTGGGTTTTGCATGCGAGCAAAGATTTCACAACTAAAAAAACACTTCAAATCATCGTCACTAATTCGAATATTAATCATGAAGAGAGATTGCTGCAGTTTGGAGAGTTTGGAGGTGGAAAGAGAAGATGGATGTGGAATGAGAAATGAGAAACAAGTTTCGAATAATGAAAGTGAACAAATAATGGAAATGAATAATGGAGAGGGATATGTAACGGCGAGAAAGGCTAATTTTTCATTTCATATAGAATTGGTGACGAGTTTATTATGTATGATTAGTTTGTTTCTAATAGGTGGATGTGTTGGATTGGGAGGTAAACTTTATCTGTTTCTGATAATGTTAGCAATAATTTTAATGTTTCTTGCAGTGCTTTCTTTTATGGTTGGGATAAAGATGTGGAGGGATGATTATTTCTTTAAGGAGGAAATTCAATTAGAAACTGGAAGAAATTATGTCAGATATGAATCGTATCGTCTCCAGGAAAATAATCTAATTCACATCTAATTTGATTTTTCAGTATTCATTTTCTATTCAGTCTTGTTGTGAGTCATTGGCTTCATGTCCAAAACCAAGTTTCGAATAACACAACTAAACACTGAAATAATCAGAAAAGATTTACTCAAAATATCATCCTCCAACAACCACAACAAAACAGTTAAACAATTAAACAAATGTCAGCAATCCAAACATTAAATTCATAAACCATTTCTGTCAATGTTTCATTATCAAACTTAAATACAAGCAATCTAATCGTATCATATACAACAGGAGAATGAAATGGAGTTTTCACAACAAGTAAGAATTGAAGAAACCTCACGAATATTGAAGAATGACAATTTATTCAGATTCGGTTATTTATTCTTGCCTCCACTTCTTGAGGATTGATAGGATTGACTATTGGGATTCATTTGATTGGAATGATTTACATTGGAGGCTGTTCCACCTGATCTAGAAGATTCATAGGATGGATTGTTTGGATTGAGTTGATTAGATCTATTGTTGTCCATTTCGTTTTGTTTCGTTTAAATAGTTCGAATGTTGTGTGAGTTTTTAAAGCTTCTCTCATGATATTACTTTAGAATATTACTCAAATATTACATGTTTATTTAAGAAAATACTATATTGATTTAAACCACATTAGTACATTATTTATTCGAAACATTCCAAATTTAAACAACTTGTTCTTTCAAAATGAGATTCTTCAAAAACAATTCTCCAGCTCTATAACTTGAACGAACCATTGGTCCACTTGCCACATATTTAAATCCAAAAACTTTCTCTCCAATTTCTTGTAACAATTCGAATCTCTTTGGTGTGAAATATTCCAAAACTTTCATGTGCATTTTCGTTGGACGAAGGTATTGACCAATGGTAATGCAATCTACACCTGCATTCTTCAATTCCCACATGGTTTCGAATATTTGTTGATCACTTTCTCCCAAGCCAACCATTATTGAACTTTTTGTAATGAGTTTCGGATTAAATTCCTTTACAAGTTTCAAAACTTTCAATGATTGACGAAAGGTAGCTCTGTAATCTCTCACTTGTGGAGTCAACTCTTCCACAGTTTCAACATTATGCGCATAAACATCCATTCCAGATAAACTCATCTTTCGAATACATTCCAAATCTCCTTGAAAATCACCAGTTAAGCATTCCACCAAAATTTTAGGATTTTTTTCCTTAATCTTTTGAACAGTTTCATAAAAATGTTGAGCTCCTCCATCTGTCAAATCATCTCGATCGACAGATGTCAAGACAACATATTCTAAACCCCATTTATGGATGGCATCTGCGGTGTTTTCAGGTTCTGAAGGATCTAAGGGTGGAGGACATTTGCTTGTCTTGACTGAGCAGAATCTGCAACCACGAGTGCAAGTATCACCCATTAGCATGATGGTTGCTGTGGCCATTTGATGGTTGTTCGATTCGTCTAGAATATTTATATTCGAATCTTGATGTTTAGTTTGGGATTTTCCTCCCCAACATTCTCCAATGTTTGGACATTTGGCTTCTACACAGACAGTGTTTAGTTTGAGTCCGCTTAATGTGTTTCTGAGACGATTGTAATTGGAATTTGATTCTTCATTCTTTGGAATTATATTCGAAAGTAACCATCTTGGTTTTGCACGAATGGTATCTACATTCTTTAGTTTACCATCATATCGAATAGAATTATCCGAATCTTTGAGTGCTGGATAGTATTTAGTGAGTAAATCAGCATCTGATATAGATTTTGGAAGAAATGAACGAATTATCTGAAAGTTTTCCATTTCGTCCATTCGGGATTGTAATATTTCTAATGATTTTTTAACCATTTCGTCTCTTTCTTGTAAAAGTGCTTCAGAATGTTGAGTTTCTTCCACTTTCTTTTCTTTCAATCGATTCATTCTCTTGATATTTCTTCGTTCTTGCCAAGTTTGATTCATTTCTTCAACATTATTCGAAACTCCAACAGCAGTACTACATTGATGCAAAATTCCTCCTCCCAAATTACTCAAATGAAAATCCACTCCCTTTCGTCCACTCATCTTCATCAACTGCTCACAATGAGTACCTTTCGAATAAAATTGCCTCTTCAAACCTGCCTTCACAATCTTGTCTATTATCCCACTGCTCCTCTTCATCTCTTTTTTTTCCACTCTGCTAATTAATTATCCACGCCCACACAATTGAACCCTCACACAATCCACTACTCGAATCCTCAACAATAACAACAATCAACCTCAGCAAACAAGCAACAATTTGGTGATGGAACGAAATTCTGCATTGTTGATAATATTGAGAATTCAATCATTTTGTGTGCTGTTTTTAACACAAACGCAGTGTAAGAGAGAAACAGTAAGGGAAAAAATTGTCGTTTTTTGATTTGTTGGTGAGAAATCTCAGTTTTACGGTGAAAAAATGGAGATGTTGTTTACAAATAACCTAATTTAATACGGAAATTTGGATAAATTGAAGCAATTGTTCAATCAAAAAGAGAACATTCAATAGGTATGTGGTGGCTATTTGGATTCTCAGCAATTGCTGGTGTGTAGTGTGCAGTATTATGGTTGATTAGCAGCAACTGTTGGGTAAATACTGAGAATTGAATTATTAATAGTTGAGTTGTGGGATATTTTGATAGAAAATGCTTCGATTGAGTTGTGGAAGGAGAAGGATTGGATTGATTTCTGGTAATAAATGTGGAGGATTATTGAATGTTGGGAAGAATGTTTATCAGAAATGTAACTATTCAATATCGGAAGGTTTTGGAAAGTGGATGGAAAAGAAAGAAAATGAATTATTCAATACTGCACAAACTAGAAATACAAAAGGAAAGGAAGGATACGATTCTCTTTGTTTAATTCTCTTATCCAATTCGAAATATGAACAAAGTTTACAATTTCAACAATTTCTATTCGATTATTTGAGGAATTTGAAACAAGAACATCAAAACAATAATTTACAACACAGACAATACATGATTGCAACAGAACATTCAGAATCTTGTTTCACTATTGGAAAGTTAAGATTTGACGAAACCTTTTCCAAAAATCACATTCTTCACAATCCAAGACAATTGGCCATTCACAAAATTGGTCGTGGAGGTGGAATTACCTTTCACTGTCCTGGTCAATTAGTTTTGTATCCACTTTTTGATTTGGAGAATAGTTCATTTCTCCAAAAGAATATCAAATGGTTTTCAGATGAGTTTATGCTTCGTTCTCTGTGTGTTCCATTTCTTCAACAATTTTCAAATGATTTACTGAAAGATGTGAAGGGCCAAGTGGAGAATATTGAAAAGGGTGAAAGAATTGAATTGAATGTTGGAGGAGAATCAGAGATGGGTATTTATATTAGCAGTAGTATGAAACTTTGTGAACAGTCTGATGAGAATAATTCACAAGAAAAGAAGAGAAAGTTAGCAAGTATTGGATTGCAATTATCGAGATTTGTATCAATGCATGGCGTGGCAATGAATCTGAATTTGAGTAGTCAAGATTTACAATCTTTCAGGAGTGATATTGTAGCTTGTGGACTTCATCATGTTAAAATGACAAGTTTGGCCAATGAATTGAAATTGGAAGAAATTTCGAATGAACAATATGTTCACATGATGGATATTTTGGTAGCTCAGTTGGGTAAATGTCATCTTAATGTTGACCAAATTGTACATACCGATTTGGAAAATTCCAAATCCAAGGTGGTGAATTTCAGTGAACAAGAACCTAGCTCTGAATTGTTGAATTTTATCAATTCCAAATTATTTCAAAAAAATTAATCACTTTTTATTTACAACTTGCAAAATCTTACTTGATACAAGTCTTTTTTTTTACATTTTTTTACATTTGAGGTTCATAAGTAGCATCCTTTGACAAATTCTTGTCAGTCTTGACAGTAAAGTCATCAGACAATGGAACACTGATGGCCTTCTTTCCTTCTTCGAAACTTTGAATCTTACCCCACATATCAATCTTCAAACGCAACTTCTTCTTGAACAAACTAATCTTGGAATTACGAACAATAATTGAGCTTCCGACCTTAGCTTCTCCTAATTGTTCAGTACGAGTAGTCAAAACAACACAACCAGTTTCATCACCAACTGTTACTTCAGCAACAGCATGTCCCTTGGTTTGAGAAACAATTTCTATACTAACAATCTTACAAACAATATTAAATCCACCTTGTCCAGGATAGAATGATTGACCTGGTTCGACATCCTTGACCTTACAGACTAGAAAAATGTTAAATGTGAAAATTTCACACAATACTTACAAGTTGGAATTCTGAGTTTTCCATCATCCTTTTGTTCTTCGGAAGAAGCAACATTTGGTTGTCTTGGTTGTCTTGGCTGTCTTGGTTTTCTTGGAGCTCTTTCCTTCTTTTCTTGAGGAGTGGTTGTTGATGGTTGTTCAGTTGAAGTGGTGGTAGTAGTAGCTGGAGTAGTAGTGGCTGGCTTTTCTCCATTTTGTTCCTTAGGTTGTCTTGGCTTTCTTGGTTTCTTTTGCTTCTTTGGCTTGGCACCTTCTTCGGTGGAAGCAACAACTGGAGTTGTAGTAGTAGCTTCAGATGAAGTAGTAGTAGCTTCCTTTGGTTGTTGTTGTTTTGGTTCTCTTGGAACTCTTGGTTTAAATTGTCTCTTTGGCTTACCAGAACCTTCTACTACTGGAGTAGTTGTTGCATTTGTTGTGGTGGCAGAAGTAGTAGTAGAGGCTGGAGTACTAGTTGTTGTTTGTTGTTCAGGAGTTCCTTCAACATTTTGCTTAGGTTGTCTTGGTTTTCTTTGTCTTTTTGGCTTCTTTTCAGTGGAGGCTCCTTCTTGTTGTGGAGTAGTAGATGGAGAAGTTGTAGTAGGAGTGGTAGTAGTACCTTCTTGTTGTTCACCTTGAGGCTTTGGTTGTCTTGGCTTTCTTTGTCTCTTTGGTTTTTGTTGAGCAGCACCTTCGGTAGTCGTTGTTGTATTAGATGGAGTAGCTTGTTGATCTTGTACCTTGGCTTGTTGTTGTTCACCTTGTTGTTGTTGTTGAGGTTGTCTGGTTCCTTGATTATTTCTAGTTCCTCTACCTCTTCCTCTAACACGTCCACGGTTATTGTTGTCGTTGTTTCTTCTCTTGAATCCGGCACCACCTTCTTGTTGAGGGGAAGTGGTGTTGTTGTTTTCTTGTTGTTGTTGTGGGACGGAAACTTGTTCTGTTGTTGTACTCATTTTTTTATGTGTGATTACAAAATACTTGTGAGTGTATGGAAAGCAGTAATCTTTTCCGTGAAAAATGCAAATTTTGGCTTGAAAATTAAAAATACATTTCAAGATTGATTTTGAAAAAGTGAACAAAGATGACAAAATGGATGTCATTTGTTTGGTTGCCAATACAAGGTGATTTGAGAGTTTCGGTCTTGACAATGTTAATTCACATGTTATATGAATAAATGACATAAGGTGCTACTTGTGTTATTCTTCCAAGAAGGGAGATAGTTCAGTGGTAGAACATGGGATTGTGGTTCCTAAGATCAGGGTTCGATTCCCTGTCTTCCTACACCTTTTTTAACACCAATTTTTAGTCTATTCACAAAACCAAAACCGGTTTTTATTTGGTTTAGTGAGTTGTATACCATGATGCAATGGCAAGGATAACCACAAACAAGATAAGGGAAATCTTGACACTATTTGCTTGGCTTAGTCTAGTGGTGGATGAACCAGTATTCATTGATTGAGATTTTCCAACTGGAGTTTTTGTAGATGATTTTGGAGATACGGAAGAGGTTGCAGTTGGGGTTGATGTGGATGGATTCACTGTTGATTGTTGTGGAGTAACTGAATCCAGTGAAGGTTGGGCTGGTACTGTGAAAGTCACACCAGATGTGCAATTCGAAGAGAAAGTTGGATTAGTAGTAGATGAACAGGCATAGGTTTGAGCTGCTGTTCCAGTCTTTACAATTCTATTAGTCAGAATGGTCTTTCTACTCAATTTTTGAGTATTATATGGGAATGAAGCATTCCAAAAAGTGATTGGATTACAAGGATTAGTCCACAATCTTTCTGCAACAGCTGCTGCTCTTGGCCAAACATATTCCTCCAAATCATTATCTGTATCACCAGATGAAGTCCACATACAGGTACTTCCTCCAATCACTGATGGGTGAGCAGGTGGCTTGTATTGGTAAATCTTTTCAAATGTTCTACTACATGGAGCATCAATGTACCACGGCTCTGAAATTGAAACAATTGTCTTGTAATAGTATTTCAATGTTTCAGTGAGGGTAGCATCATTTCTCCAAATTTGAAGAATAGTATCTCTGGGAAGTGCTGAAGTATTGCCAAGTTGATAATCAGTAATCAAGTCGTCTGCCCAAACAATTGGTAAAATCTTATCAGTTGAATCACCACTTGCAATTAGACTTCCATTTTGAAGAATATTATTGAGAACAAATGTTTGGTACTTCTTAAGAGTTGCATCATTAGAGTAACAATTACCATCTATCTCATCAAAGCCAGCATGAAGGAATTGATTGGTAAATTTGATTCTTGGAATTGTTTGAGTCCAACTTCCAAGTAATTTGAATAGGAATTGATAGACATTGGCAACTACTTGATATGTTTCTTGTTTTCCCATATCTAAATGATTAGTACACGATGGATACATAATGGATGGATAATAGGTTGACCAAGATTGTGAATGAGATGGTGTATCAATCTCAGGTATAAATTGAATACCTCTATCAGCACAATATTCATTCAAATCTCTCAAAATTTCAAATGTCAATGGTCCACCATTAAATTTGTAAGTTGATGGTGAATATTTTGTCATGTTAATTGGGAAACTTTCATCATCAGTGATATGTAAATGAAATGCATTCATCTTAACTTCTTCCATTGAATCAATATGTCTTTTCAATGAGTCAACTGCAATGAAATGTCTAGCAGTATCTAACATTAAACCTCTGAATGATAAATTCTTGAATTCAGTGTACAATAATTTCAAAAACAAACCTATAATTGTAAAATGGATAATCTTGAATGTAAATTGATGAAATAATAACTTGAGATTTGGCATTCTTTACAATAGAATATGCTTGATCAATAATTTGAGCAAGAGTTTGAATAGCTCTCAATGTTCCAAATACATTTTCAGCTTTGATGGTAGAATAGTTTCCATTCAACCACATTTCGTATTTTTCACTTGAATTTAAAAGTGAAATTTTGCATGAAGAAGTTTCTTTCTTCAATGAGAATTTAACACAACTTGACGAATTGCTTGGACCTATGAATTGATATCTTGTGGAGAGTCTATTTAATGCATTGGACAAGAAATTCCTTTCACATTCGGCCAAATTATTCCAATCGCTGGAAATAAATGACGAAACATTAAAGCAAATTCTTGTAAATTCAAGTGATGGTTTGTTTTCATAATTTTTAATAATTTGTGGTTGTGGCCATATTGATAAATTATTTGCATCCAAAGTTACTGTTGTGGCAGCTGTCGAAGTGGTGATGAGAACGCCACTTGTCAAGCAGAGGAAACAAATTACTGACAGTAGCAATTTGAGCATTTTTTAAAGATGAAAATTTGGTAAATTAGTAGATTTGTTAAAATAATGATTAACACTCTAAAAATCATGAAAGTGAATTATTGTAAAAAGTTGAGCGAATCAATAAATATCCGAAAATGTGTGAAAGAACTTGTAATTTACAATGACTTTCGAATAACTTTCTGAATCATATTGCTGCCCCAAGAAAATGTTTCATTCAACCAATCGTGTACTTCAATCCCAATGGTTTTGTTGTAAACTTTCTAATTGTCTTAATACCATCACTTTTTAGGAATAAACTAATGTTTGATATTGTAAGATCTATTAAAATTGGAGGGCGAAAGTTGACTTTAACCATTCATTTCTCCGAATTGTTTAAATTCACATTCTCTTTCTTTCAATAATATTCGAAACAAAAAAAACAAATATGAAGACATTCATTCTTCTTGCTTGCCTCTTGGCATTATGCCAATTAATTTCATGTATGAACTCTGTCTCTGTCCATAGTGGTGTAGGTGGCCATATCATTGGTTCTCCTTTCGAATCAAATAGTCCCTCTCCAAAATTCACAACTAATTCAATCCCAACTATTCCATCCCATGCGTCATCTAATATCCAATCTGTTAAAAGATCAGTTAAAGCTTGCACTTGTTCTGGTTGTTTTTCAGATACTGATATCAATCGTAAAATTTACAGTTTCAATAGCACATGTCAAGATTCCAGAAACTTTGTAGGAATTTCTTTCAATCTTGGTTCAGATAATACTCAAGAAATGTATCAAACTTACATGTTGAAGAATGAACAATATAAGAGTTTGTTAATCAATCAACCATTCTACTATTTCGATTCATTCTATACCAATTGTCTAACTAGTCAGGATACAACCGTTTACAATTCTCCATCTGTTATCACAGCTTACTATTGTGATTCTCAAATATCAAATGCCACAACTTGCAATTCCAAGTATAAGCATAATGGCGCTTGTTATATTGGATTGAATTGGATTAATGCTACAAGTTATTTTGATTCCACTAATTTGAAAATTAATATTGATTTGATTGGAAATGATGGAAAGTTGTGGATTCGATCTGCTTCAAATATTAAGGTTACTGTGAAGGGAACATTATATTCGAATTCATTCACTGCCAAGAATTCCTATTTGGGATCAATTGTTTTCACATTTGGTGTTCCAACTACAAGTGATACCTATTCAATCTCAGTTGAGGCTGAGAATTACTTTGGTGTTGTTACGAAAGATTTAGTTCAAGTGGCAAATAATAGAAATTCTGCAAATGTTGTGAGTTTGAGAGGAGTTGTTATCATGTTGATTGCCATGATTGTCTCCTTCGCGTTCTAAAATATATATCATTGCCATACTCTCAATAAAATCAATTGAAGATTTAATCCATTTAGTGATAATACCATTCTCCATTGCAACAACTACAGTTTGAAGAAGAATCTACTGTTTTTTTCAATTCAGTCAGTTTGTTAAATAATTCTTCCCTCAAACAAAGATCACAGAACTCTCCCGAAAAACCTTCCAACTAATTTACTCTCAGAAAACTTTCTAACATCCACAACAGGGCCCAGTTGGAACCATCCAAGTTCATAATTATGAAAGCAGTGAGTTCTTTTGTTTCTGTCCACTTGTTCACTCTACTTGAATATTCACAACACACAAAAAAAGTTCTCAACCACTACCCCACACTAACTCACCTACTACAAAATGATGGAACAATTATCTCTCCGTAAATTTCTTCTTGCCTCACTTTTTACATTCATGATTAGCATGGCATTGGTTACCTTCTTTTTGGATTCACCATTGAATGCTGCTGCTGAACCTGAGAAGATGAAGCTGATTAAAATTAATACTGATGATGAGGGAACAATGCCAATGTTTATCAAGGAAACTTATGATAATAGTACTCCGTAAGTAGTTGTTGTTTTTTTATTGTCATGATGATCTTATTCAATTATTCCATATGTTAACCATGATGATGATGTTTTTAATAATAATTTCTTAAATAATTATTAAATTTCCTGAATAGACCTTATGTTTGTGATGCTAGTCAAACAAAATCCAAAATGGTCATGTTCTTACTTTCATTCTTTGTTGGAGGTCTTGCTGTTGATAGATTTGTAAGTTGAAAGATGTTAAAAATCAATTAACATTCCGATGATGAAATATTTCACATAAAATTCGTTGAAGATTATGGGATATACTTGCATTGGAGTTGCCAAGCTTTTAGTTCCAACTTGTGGTATTTGGCAGCTTGTGGATTGGATTTTAATCTTGACTGGTGGATTGTACATGGCCAATGGTTGTGCTCTCATTCAAGACATGTAAATATTCATATTGGATTTAATATTCGAATGTTGACAGTTTTTATACTAGGAATTCTACTAGGAATCATCATTTGAATTGTTGTGAGAATAAAATCTCTAAAACATTTTACAAAATTAAATAATTGACTTAAAATTTCACATCCTTAATAGTACGTTTGAGTTCCTTCAAGACCAATTTTGCTGTTTGTTCTGTTTTCGTCATGATTTGGAGAGGTGTTTGGGATTTGGCATTTTCCAAGTTCAACAAATTTGAATTCTTTTTTACAATTTCACACAATAGACTATAATCCAAAGAAAAGGAATCATCTCTCAAATATAAAAGGAGATGAAGAATGGAATCTCCTCTTTCGTTCACACCCAATCTGTTGAATATGTCTTGATCCATTTCCTTAATAATGGCATAAAGGAAGTGAGAGGTGCGGGTATAGAACAAGGCAGCAAGTAATGGAATACTGCATGGTTTGGATAGCAATGTGAAATGGATTCTTTCTTCAACCAAATATTCACAAAGCCTTCTTGGATTATGAGAAAGAAGATGACAAATGAAAAGATTAATTTGGTCCTGATGTTCATGTTGATAAACTGAGCCAAATGAACCAATGATAAACTTTCTTAATAATCTCAATAGGGTTTCATCATTGATTGGGAAGTTATCAAGAATGGGTATGATTGTATCAACATTAGTAAATAATTGAACTAGGTTATTAAGTGCCTTTGGCTTTCTAAAATCCCATCCAAAATTAATGAATCTCAAAGCATGTGAAAAGGTATTCATATGCGTATCTTGCATCAATTCTATGACAAATAATCGAGACTCTTGATATTCATTGCATAGATAGCAAATATACTGAATCATGAAAGGTTGTATAAAACAAGTAGTGCAAAAATTCAACAAATCCAAATATTGAATTGGGATACATCTTTCTTTGAAAGCATAATCACACAAATCTCTAAACTTTCTCAATTCTTCAAATGAGGATGGATCCAAAAAGGATGAAAAAAGCATTCCTGGAAATTGTTTTCTTATAAATGAATTACCATAGATTTTCTCCAATTCTCTGAAAACATTCTTGCTTAAGTGTGATGACTTGGACGATAGAAAGATGCTGACCTCTTTTTTTAAATATTCTGAAGGGCTGTCGAATGATTTGACTAGAGTATTCTCACCATTCTCTTCCTTAATGAAAATATTCATCTTTTTAAAGCTGCGATTATGCCATCTTTGGGGGTTTAAATACTTCTCAAGTTTAGAAATTGGATAGTTTTGGATGAAAGGAGAAAATGTAATGGAGTGGAGTTTTGGGCATTCAGAAAATAGGAAATTCAAAAAACTCTTTACATTTTCAGAATTCAAATCAAGTACTGAAACGCTACTGCAAAAATGTATTTCCTCCAAAGATTCAAATACTGTCCAATCATCAGGTACGCTAAATCTATCAGAAACTACATAGAGCTTTTTCAAATGTTTGCAATTATCAGCAATGGATGAAAATTCATCACCATGTTGTTCGATAGATGATAATTGATTCATACTTATTTCCACAACCAGACTCTCAATTGTAGTATTAACATTCTTAATTTTGTAACGTTCAACCCTATTATTATTATTAATTGGTTTCTTGAATGTTTGGCAGAGTGCTTTCTTATATTCTTTCAATTCTTCACGTGTAAAGGGCAATGCAGGATAATTTTCAAAACTCAATGGAGATTGAAAACCTAAACCCATGGTTCGATTTGTTTCTTGTTCCAATTGATTTTTGATTAAGAGTAATTCTTGAGAATTGAAATTATTTTGTTCTAATTTGTACTCAGCTTGAGCATTTAACAAATTGTAAAAATGTGATTTTGTTAATGGGTGAGATAAATCAATTTCCATGTGAGAAAGAGTGAGAATTCTGTGAATCATTATTGAATTGAATTTTTTGGAGATTAGTCTCATTTTGTGAAGGGTGATTAGTTGAGTGTCGAATAGGGGAGAAGTTTCGTCTTTGAAAGTGGATGAACATGTCGGAATGAATTGAATAATTTCATATTTTAAATCATCATGGAGTTCTTTCAACTTGATAATTTCTTCATGTTTCGAATAAACATTTTTCTTCTTGTTTTGCAAATCTTCAATAATCCATTCACGAACAAACTCTTCACAATTTTGATATTTTGTCAGAACGTAATCTTGTAAATTTCCAGAGCAAAGATATTCATCAGATTTAATTAAATCATCACGAATTTGATTAAAGTCAACTGTCGGCTCCTTGGGAAGTCGAACAGTTAACATTTTTTTTTTGTTAAATATCTTATTTTTTTTATGGTTGATTACAAAATCTTTAAATAGGGAGAAATTCTGTGAACATGGTAGAACTATTCGAAACTATTTCGAACAAAATTTAAAAGAAACCATTTATTCAAAAAAATACGAATTTGTCACAATCTTTAGTCAACTGTACAACTTTAAAAGATTTTACACTTTTTTAAATTCTAATAAAGCAGACACCTCCATATAATTTCAGAGATATCACTTCCCACCTTTCCAATATCCTATTGTTAAGGAAACTAAACTAATCTATACAGAAACCTGAAGGAAATAACTCCATCCTTAAAAGGTATCCTCAAATATCCAACACTAATTACCAATCATCGCAAATCTCTTTGAAAAACTCATCAAAACCACACACAAACGAAGCGTTTCCAGGCGATCATCTTTCAGCAAACAAAAAACCAAAAAAAAAACATTCAACATCCCGCTCATTTCTACGGCGATTTGAAGATTGCAGCAAAATATCATCCCGTAAATTATTTCAGAGTAGTGTTTGATCATATCATATTCTGTCCGTGCCGACAACGCAAATAATATACGGTCAACAATTGTTGTTGTAATTTTTGACGAGTTTTAAAAGAGTTTCATACATTCAAACACCCAAATATTCATATATTCAAATATTCAGATAGATAGATAAAATGTCTAATCTTCCTCCTACACCTCCACCAATGAAACCATCAAGGGTGTATAGTAATCAACCACCTAAACCTCCTCCAAAATTGTCTTCCTTGATGTATGGGAAAGGAGGTAACAGTGTAACATCACCACCAACAATAGAGGCTAATAATGATACTTCACCACCATCATCCACATCAACAGATAATATTGATCATGATGAAATCCAAGAAAGTAATTTGGATTCGAATGTTCTTGCTGAATCAGAAAGTGGTAATGAAGAAAAGGTCATTCTATCGATTGACAGCCCAAATAATCTTCATTCAAGAATAACAAGTGCTGATAGTTTGGAGAATTTTGAAACAAAATTTAGTTTGAGTAATTTGACAGCTTTAGGTTCAGTTTCGGATAGTCATTTTAGAAAGAGATCTACTTCTGATATGGACAGTACAGATAATAGCAGCTCATCTCCAACTATTCATGAAAGTATAAGCAGTAATGGAAGTTTTGGAGTTTCGAATAGTTTAGATTCACCTATTATTCCAAAGCTAGATCTTGAGGAAACATTACAGTCACCATCAATTATTAATTTTGATGATGACGAAACTACTGAATCATCTTCTGTAGTAGAGGATGACGAGATTAGTACTGTTTCCACACCAAAGGCGACACTTGACAAGGATAAGGCTATTTCAATTTTGGGAGAACGTATTCCACAATTATTCACACGTGTTAGATTCTTCAATTTTATACGTAGAGATCCATCTCTTAAAAAGGGTAGAAAACGTCAAGAGTTGATTAAGGAGACCATCGAGACAGAAAAGACCTACGTTCAAAATCTCAAGTCCTTCCTTAATTTGTACTATCAACCACTAATTGAAAATAGAGACCACGGAAAAGGTGTTTTTAAAGGTCAATCAGAGATTCAAGTCCTGTTTGCCAACATTAACCAAATTTCAAACATTAATCAAACATTATTGAATGATTTGGAAAAGGCAAATCCTGAAGTCAAAATTGAAATCAAGGAAGAAGAATCTCTCCCATCTCCAACCTCCAGCATATCCTCTCAAGTTTCAAACAACTCAACATCCACTCCAAATGGTTCTGGTGAATTAACTAGTCCAAGAACTGTTGGGTTTGTCATCAAGAGAAAAGATGACCCAAATCTTAAAAAGAAGAATCAACCTTCATCATACAGAATTTATGATTCTATCGGTAAACCATTCGGTCATCTTGTTCCATTTTTGAAAGTTTACACAACCTATATTAATAACCACGATAGAGCAACTGAAATGTTTGACAAGATGAAAAAATCCAATAAGAAATTTAAGGAATTTTTAACAGAGTGCTATCAAATGCAAAAGGGAATCAAATCAGATTTCTGTAGTTTCCTCATTTTACCAATTCAAAGAATTCCAAGATACAAAATGTTGCTCTCTGAAATTTTGTCTAATACTCCTGAAGAACATACCGAATTTGAAAACTTACAAAAAGTTGTGAATGAAATTGAAAAGATTGCCTCCTACATTAATGAACAAAAGAGAAACTTTGATAATGTGAGATACATGTACGAAATTTATGGAATGATCGAACCAATTTATCCTGGTTTTGTCCAACCAAACAGAAAGTTCCTGCGAAAGGCCTCCTTCCATGTCAAGTATAGACAAGTGAAGTCACAAAGAAATTCCGTAGCACTGCCAACACCACCAAGTAATGACTCCAAAAACTCAGGATCCGTGACTCCAAGAAGTTTACCATCTGTTCCAACAAAAACAACTTCTACTGCAGCTACAGTATCGAGTACAGGTAAGAGAGTTTTACCACCTCCTGTTCCTGGAAAACAAGGTGATACATTCTCTAATGTATTGGCTCAGATGGCTGGTTCAAAGAATCTGAAACCACAATACAATGAGGGAAGATTTACAATTTATCAATTTACTGACATGTTGGTATTACTTGAGGAAAAGAATGAATCTGATGAAGGTTCTTCATCACTTTTCCAATCCTTTACTCGAAAGGCAACCATGTTTGGAAAGAAGAAGGAACAATCAAATACCCCAACCAATTCAGATTCAACCAAATCTAAATATCATCAACTAACATTAACTGTCGGAAAGAATTTACACTTTATTTTCTTCCACTTTATTGATACTGATACCTTCTTTGGGAACAATAGCAACAATCTAAACATCACAACCAGTGGAGGAAGGAATTTACCTGTGCCTCCACCAAAAAGAGGATTTTATGATGTTATTGATGAGTGTGACATTCCAATTCGTGTCATTACTAAAGGTTCTCAATATGAATACATTCTCACAACAAGTACCACTGGAGACAGAGATGAATGGAAAGAATCACTTGGTAATTGTATTTCTGACATTTGCAATGTTAAAATATACGCCAACAGAGGACTTAGTCTTCAAAATTCTTCAGAAATGTACAAATTGGGAAAGGAAAGAGCTGCAGTGCATACCCAAGCTAAAGAAAATCTCAAGTTCCATCAGCAAATCCAACAGGAACAAATGCTTTTGCAAGTAAGAACTGTTCAGGTGAGCAATGAGATTCAACAAAAGAAGGAATTGTTGGCTGCTCTCCAACGTGAAATTGCGGACCTCGAACAGGAAAAGCAAGATAAAGAAAAACGTCTTGACGTAATTAAGGAAGAAAAGGTTCAAGTCCGTGACAAGATTACAACATTGTGGCAAGATTTGCAACAAAAGGATAAAACTGCTCTCAAGTTACTTCACGAGGAAAAAGAAGCTTTCAAACATGTATTTGGATGTGAATATGGTGAAGAATTATCTTTCAAGGCACCAACTTCATCAACTTCGACCAGCGGTGGATCTTCCACAAGCAACAATGGCACTGAGAAGAACAATAATTCACCTCTTGCTCCAGGTCAAGTGAATAGTGAGCTGATGGAGCAATTGATGAAAGTTAAAGCCAATGCTGAAGCAAATAAGAATCCACAAGTCAGCGAAAAGAAGAGTAGCTTACTGAAGAGTATTATTGGAGATAGCAAATCGAGAAAGGTCACTATCAAACACACTCAATTCATTGAGAATCAGCTCAAGGCAGTCAACCACAATCCATCCAATAAGAGCGCAACCAATTCTGAAAGTAACCCTACTGAGAGCACACCAACAAAGAATTAGAAAGTTAAAACTTTTTAATATTTTAATGTACATAAATGGATCAAAAATGATTATTTCAAATCATTATTCGCTTAGAAATACGAATGTATCAACCAAGAACACACAAATGTTTTGAAATCCAGCATTGCTAATATTATTGTTCCCAATAAAAAGATTAGTCAATTGATTCATTCCACTAATGTGTCTAGCACCTTCATCACCAATATTATTTTTGGTAATATTAAGATTAATCAATTGTTTCATTTCACTAATATATTTGGCACCTTCAACATTGATATCATTGTAAGAAATGTTAAGTCTTGTCAACTGTTTCATTTCGCTAATATGTTTGGCCCCTTGCGCACCTATTCGATTTGAATAAATATCAAGGTTAGTCAATTGTTTTAATTGACTAATATATTTAGCCCCTTGCTCTCCAATATTATTGCTACTAACATCAAGTTTGGTCAACTGTTGCAGTTCACTAATAAATTTAGCCCCTTCAAACTTAATACCATTTCCACAAATATGAAGAATGGTCAATTGTTTCATTTCACTAACGTGTTTGGCACATTCAACTCCAATACCATTATTGCCAATGTTCAAACAAGTCAAATTATTCATTTCTCTAAAATATGCAATACTTTTCTTAATCCTAATACTATTACTAACATTAAGAGAAGTCAATTGTGTCATTTCACTAATAATTTTGGCCTCTCGATCATGAACATAAGTGTAAGAAATATCAAATGTAGTCAATCCTTTCATCAACTTAAAGGCATCACGATACTGTATTAAATGATTAATCGCATTAAGTGCTTTCACACTTGCAATATTTTCCAAAAATTGACCTTGCACCCTTGACATTTTCCCAATATCAATTCGAACTGCAAGTTGTTTCAATCTCTCCAAAATGACTCGAAACCACTGTTTTGAAACCAGTGCACAATTCATTACAATAAATTTAAAATCATTGTCGAATGATAAAATTTCATAAATCACATCATCGTTGAGGAATTGGTTAGAAATGAAAATGTTATTATCATCAGCATCATCATCACTGTCGTCATGATCGGCATATATTAGTGTTTTTGCAATAAATCGAGTTGGTTTGGCTGGTCTTCGTTTTTTGCGCATTTTTTTTAAAGATTGAAATTGAAGGTCGAGTTTACAACAAGTCAATTTATTGTACTGAAACTGTTACGAATTAATGGATTTCGTTTCTCTGATATAGTTATCATTCGAAAAGGAAAAAAATTCCAAAAATGAATCAAATGATTAGTTTACAATAGTTTGTTAAAATTCTAATTTAAACTAGTTTGTAATAGATTAGTCATCATTGGGGAATGATGCAAAATAGGGATGATGCAGTGCCTCCTTTGCCGTCATTCTTTCTTTAGGATCATATTTTAGTAATTTATCTAAAAAATCAAGAGCTAGCTCATTCACAAATTCTTCATCTTTTACAAAATTTCTCCATTCCTGTTTTTCATATGATTTCAATCCTTCCAAATAGGAAGGCAATTCAATTGAGTATCTTTCCAAATATTCAAATAATTGCTCACTTCCTAGCACTTTTATCATTTTCACCATTTGATCAAAATTATCTCTTCCAGGAGAGAATGGTTCCTTTCCAAAAATCAATTTTGCAAAAACACATCCCAAATTCCACATATCAATCGAATAATCATAATTTTTCACGTTCAATAATAATTCTGGAGCTTTGAAATATCTAGTTGACAATCTGGTATTCAATTCTCTTCCATCATGATAAAATTCAGCTAAACCCCAACTGATTAATGTCAATTTCTTATTCTTTTGGTCAATTAGTACACTTTTTGGTTTTATATTTCTATGAATCACTCTCATAGAATGACAATACTCCACACCTTTCAATAATTCCCTCATATAATATCTAATTTCCATATCGGTCAACTTTCCACATGAATTCAAGCTGCAATTTTCACAAAATTCCAAAACAATTGCCTTGTTAGGTAAATCCCAAATCACATCTTTCAATTTTACAATATTCGGTCCATCACCCAGTTTTTCAAGTATTTTAACTTGTCTTTTAATCTTGCTCTCTTCTGAATTGTTGTAATTTGTAAAAATCTTAACGACACATTTTTCATCAAGATTTGATTTCACATAAATTCCTTCAAAAATTTGACTTTTTCTTCCCGAACCAATTTTTCTAATAATTTCAAACGAATCTGAAAAATTCAATACTTCCTCCATATTCATTCAAGATATTTTTTTAAAAATTGTAACACTTCAAAATATTGTAAACTGTTTTATTTTTAGATTTTGAAAAAACTTTAAAAATTCCTGCGCAGAAGAACTTTCACTAAAATTCCAAGCTAAAAAAAAACAACTCGAAAGAACACACAACAGATGAAGAGAGACGGAGTCAGATTTAATGTAGCCTCTAATCAAACCATTAAAAAGTGCCCTCTTTGCACCAGTTGGAAATGTCGTGCCCATGCCTCTGAAATCAATATTAAAGAACGTTATAATAATGATAAGGAATATAGAAAGGATATTAATAAGAATTTAAAGGATAGATTGGCTGTTTCAATTCATGGTCATTTGATTGAGAAGGATCATGAAGTTTCTCTTTGTAGTGAAGTGAAACATTTTGAAGAACGAAGATTTGTCAGTGGATTTATTTCTAGAAATGTCGGATATTGTAGAAAGGATCATAAGAAGAATTATGAAATGAAGGATAGAAAGGATTTTAGACAATTCTCTCGTTTTGGAAAATATTATCAAAAGAAATTGAAATTAGATGATTTATAATTTAATTGAAACCTGTTTACAATAATCAAATATTGCAGATAATTATCAAAATAAATAATTACTCAATCCAAGTTGAATATAAATATTTATTTTTAATTGAGCTGACATATTGGAACATTCAAAGGTCTGTAACAATACCAAAATTCAAAATTGACTCCACATCTCCAACCTAAACTATTGGACATGAGCATTTCTCCAATTGAAAATACAAACTGTGTCCTTACTGACTACAGTTTCTGATTTTTTAGTGAACTCTTGTAAACATCATTCCAAGTCAAATGCCTCATCTCTCACATGGACCATCAATCCATCGATTCCTCTTCCCAACCACTTCTAATCAAAATAACTATCATAAATAATCCTCTCTTCCTCAATGCAACAATTACTGAAGATTTCTTTAATAACGGACCTTTCAAAATATCCACCATCTTCTTCTTAGCGGACATATCACCCAGTTGATCTTCCACTCTTTAATATCATTCCTTCACCCAATAATTGTTTATTAATAAATATTCCTTCTCATTCTTTCATCGTCATGCAATATCTTAAAAACAACGCTGCTCACAATATACTGTTGCACTTTATCATTGTTTAAAAACTCCGTCAACGGTGGCGCACTGATTCCATCAAAGAGATTAAGAAGAAGCGCAACATTTCATCTTATTCATCAACAAACAAACAGAAAAAAAAACCTCAACACCTTTTAGTTTTTTGAGCAAAAAGGAACAATACATCATCACGTGTTTTTAATAGAAGGAAACATAAATTGTAGTAGATAATCGATTAATATATACAAAATAATAATACTTGCTTGGGAATCATCATGACTGATATTGAATTACCCGATAATGTAATTGTTGATACAATTCCTCAGCAGCAGGAGACTATTGTTAGCTTGAGTAATAGCAGCCCTGTTGATGATAAAAAGTTTATTAGAAGATCGCCTCCTATTCAGTTGGAATGGCACAATTTGGAATATAAAGTCAAGGTTAAAGCTCCAGCACCTTCCAATTTATTAACTGCTAAGGAAAGATTCAAATTTACAATGAGTAACATGTTTAAGAAGGTTGAAAAGCAAATTCTTCATCCAATGACTGGTTATGTTGCCCCTGGTTCTGTCCTCGCTATTATGGTAAGTTTTGTCACACACATAATGAATGGAATGACTAATTCAACTATTATATAGGGTCCATCAGGTGCTGGTAAAACTTCATTGTGTAAGTATTGATATGAAATTGATTGAAATTAATCATCGGAATTAGTGAATATTCTCTCACAAAGAGTTAAAGCTTCTGGAGGTGAAATTAGAGCAAACGGAGAAAAGGCAGGAAAGGCCTTTAGATCACTTTCTGCTTTCGTTCAACAGGATGACGTCTTGATGGGCAACTTGACAGTAAGAGAATCATTACGTTATGCTGCCATGTTGCGTTTGGACAGTAAAATTCCACTTAAAGAAAGAATGACTAGAGTTGATACAATTATTGAGGAATTAGGTCTTTCAAAGGCTGCTGATACTAAGGTTGGTATTCCTGGTTTTACAAAGGGTATCTCAGGAGGTGAAAGAAAGCGTTTGTGTATTGGTATTGAACTTTTGACTGAACCTAGTGTCTTATTTTTGGATGAACCTACAACTGGTTTGGACTCAAAGACCAGTTACAATGTCATGAAAACAATTTCCAAATTGGCTACTCACGGACGTACTGTCGTTTTGACAATTCACCAACCTTCATCTAATATTTATGAAATTTTCGACAAACTTTTACTTCTCTCTAGAGGACGTGTTGCTTATTTCGGAAATGCTAAGGATGCTGTGCCATACTTTTCTGATATTGGACACCCTTGCCCAGTTGGTTACAATCCTGCCGACTTTTTGATGGATGTTATTACAGAAAATGCTGCCCTCACAGGTGACAATCTTGAAAAGAAGAAGAGACAAGATGAAAGAATTGAAGGAGTTTTGAACCATTATTCCAAAAATGTACAATTAGAAATTCCACCTACCCAACAATTAGATAGTAACCTTAAGAGATTTTCATCGTACAATTCCAGTTGGTTTGCACAATTTACAGTGCTTACTATGAGAGCGTTCATTAACATTATCAGAGATAAGAAGGTGACAATGGCCAAGTTTGTGCAGAATATTGTCATGTCTCTGTTTGTGGGTCTGATCTTTTTACAACTGGGGTATGAACAATCCAATGTTCAAGACAGAATCGGTGTGCTATTTTTCATTTTAACAAATCAATTTTTGGGCTCTGCCATGTCCTCAGTTTCAATGATGTACGATGAAAAACCAATCTTTTTGAGAGAAAGAGGTGCAAAAATGTACAAAGTCAGTAGTTATTTCCTTGCCAGAAGTGTTGCCGAAATGCCAACCATGTTTTTCTTCCCTCTATTGTTTGGTGCTATAGTGTATTGGATGACGAACCTTAATCCTAATATTGAACGATTTTTCATGTTCATGTTCTTATTGGGTGTAATTGGTTTGACTGGTCAATCTCTTGGTTTGATGATTGGTACATTGATGCCAAATATGGGTGTTGCTATGGCTATTATTCCACTTGTAAATACTGTGCTCATGCTTTTCGGTGGCTTCTACAGAAATGTGAACAATTTACCAAACTATACTGTATGGATTTATTGGACGTCTCTATTCCACTTTGGATTTGAGGCCCTTGTTCTGAATGAATTTATTGGTGAAAAGTTTGTTTGCCCATCAACAGGAGTATGTGCTTTCCCAACTGGTGAAGCTGTCATTGAAAACTTGGAAATGACTAGTGTCATGTCCAATGTATGGATCAATGTTGGTCTCTGTTTTGCTTTGGCACTCGCTTACAGAATCATTGGTTTCCTTGCTTTGAGAATTCTCGTTAAACCAAAGGGTGGATAAACTATCTAATTCACACTAAATTGTTAAATAAAACACAAATCATTTATTCTATTATCAGCTCTACTTCTTCTTTGAGTATTGACCTATTACAAAGTTCTTTGCATGTTGCAGCATTTGTTCTGTTTCTTCCTTACTGATAGCACAATGAGGTTGAACTAGAATGGTATCAGTTGATCGTTCCTTACATTTACCCAAAAACATTTTCGAAATGAAATCAATACATTGTTGGGGATTCTTTTCATCACCTGTATAATTTGGGAAATATTTCTTGAAACTCTTCTTTGCAATCTTCCTCTCGAATAAGTCACGCTTATTTAACATGAGAATGAATGGAACTTTTTGGAAGAGTTTGTTGTTAATGACCTTTTCAAATGTTTCCAAAGATTCAACAACACGTTTAAATCCTTTTTCCTCATAACATTCTTGATCAAATTCAGCTAAAGATGTCATGAAAATGACAGCATCAACTTCTGACATGACTATTTTTCATCCAATTCGAAATTATTTCAATATTCCAATCATTCAATTATTCATTTCCAATATTAAATTACTATAAATATCCAATTCGAATAAAAAAACTTACGTTCAAGCCACTTTCTTCGTTCTTTAAATGTTAAATTCTACCAAGAAAAATCATCAAAACTTACCAGAACGTTGACCACCTATAAATATTATAATAATAATTATAGAAAAATTATTGTAAACAAATCAATAAATATTCTCAAAATCCATTTATAGAAACTACTTACCAACATCAATCAATTTAAATTTAAAGTTTCCATCCATCATGAGTTCAACATGATGCACACCAAGTGTCTTTACACGACAATGAAGAACATCATCAACTGTTGGTGAGTAATCTGGCTTGGCAATTCTATCAATATTATTATAGAGACTGTAAAAGAATAATTATTCGAAAGGTCAACAACAATTAGAGAAATTCATGTTATGAAAATGTTAAAAACCCAAATCGTCTAAATTACTATAAATTATTAGAAACTTACTATTCAGCAGAATCCAAAGCTTGATCTCTATTATCATAAGCTTCCCTAACTACTTCATAATTCCACAGTTTCTTCAACTTTTCACATAATTCTTCATTAATAGTAACATTTTGATCAGGTAATTCTAATATTTCTTGAATTAATTCGTGCATTTCATCCGAAACTTCTTGAACATCCATTTCCTCAACAATTCCAATCAAAGTTTTCATGTCAGAAATTACATTGCCATGAATTAGAGTAGCCCACATTGATTTTTCATTTTCTTTAATGATACCCACTCCATTAATCAATTCAAGTTGTTTAAATAATGTTGATTTACCTAATTTCGAATAAATTTATACGAAACAATTAATTATTCAAACTAAACTATGAGATATAAAACCTACCAGTTTCACCCGTTCCCAACAATAAAACAGAAAGTGAATTCTTTACCACAGGTCCAGTAGAAGAATTAGATGATAAAGATGAAGTTGATGTATTGTTGTTGACACCACTTGTTGAGGAATTTGTTGGTTGAGAATTTGAAGAGTTTCGGGGTTTTTTAGGGTTATCTGTTTTATCTTTCTTTGATGCAAAAGCTCCCATGTTGAAGTGTTATATTATTAGAATGTGATGGATTGTTATTCGATTGTTTATTCGAAACTTGTCAATGATATAGGATAACAGTTGTTGGAAGAGGAATTGTAACTCAAGTTCGAAACTCTGTTTTTAACGGTTTGTAGAATGAAGTGGAGGTAGCAAGAATTTTTTTTATGATGAAAATGGACTGTTGACATTAATTGCTGACAGGTAAACAGAGTTTTGATCCGAGCAAGGAAGAGTAAGGCTTGTTTGGATGACAAAACATAATGGCTGTTAGTCAATGTTAATGTTTTATCAAAATATTTGCCAAGTATTGTCTTACTCACTTTCGGCTAATATTGAAAAAAAATTATCCTGAAATGATTGTCAAATGACAGTTCAATTTCTGAAGTGAATGTTTAAAGAACTTTAATAAGGTTTGTTTTTTGGTTTGTTGATTCTGGAATTTGGTACAAGTTGTTTACCAGTTGAGTTATCAACACGTCCCAATTGACTATTTGTTACAGGTGAATGTGGTGATGATGGTGATCCAGAAGCACCTCCTGAGCTACTGGTACTACTATTATTCTTTGTCTGGTCTTTGTAATAAGAAGATTCAAATCGGTTGACTAAATCTTCCAAATCTCTTCCCTTCTGTGTGGTATCTTCTCGAATGGTATTTCTATAAGTGGCGTCTTTTAACAATTCTATCAAATCTTCAAGATTGAAATCGTGAATAGAACGTTTAGTCTTGGAAGTTTGTTCCTGTCTGAGGAAATACTTTTGAGCATGTGATTGAACTTGTTTTGGAGATTTACCTGCAATGACTTTTGAAATATTCTTCCAATTGCCTCGACCAAAGAGATGTACACCTATGAGGAAACGAATGTGTTCATCCTTTGTCCATCCCTTTCTGAAACGATAGGTTCCAGAACCACCAGCTTCATCAAAACCTTCTTCATCATCCATGTTTCCATTCATCATGGGGGATGATTGTTGTTGGGAAGCATTTGCTTGAGTACTGTTGGGAGCTGTAGTATTGAGTGTTGAAAGTATGGTGGATGATCCTCTTAATGATTGATGTGGCGAGGAAGAAGGTATTAATGAAAGATTATGTTCAAATCTTGGTTTCTGTTGGTGGTCAGCATGTTGGTTTGATTGTGGAATGGAATCTCTAATAGTTGAGTGGTGGTAAGGTGTTGCTGTATTGTGTTGCTGGGTTGGTTCACTAGTTGCTGTAGTAGCCGTAGTGTACATGGATTGTTGTGAGGGTAAACTACTATTTAGTCTTGCTTCTCTATTAGTATTGTAATGAGGATGATTAGGATAGGAAGCTGTGTTTGTTAAGGATGTAACTACTCTAGGAGGAGGAGAAACTTCTTTGGAAGTGCTTTGCCAACCAGTATAATTATGACCATTATTCGAATGTGATGGACACACACCCTGCCCAAATTCAGAATTTCTACCGGCATTATTAGATGAATTTGGAAAACCCTTTGAAGAATGATAGTAACCCTCAGTGGTGGCAGATATCGTTGGGGTTACGCTACTATTATATTGGGTATGTTGTAGAAAGTTGCTGCTTGTAGGAGGAGATGCATCACTGTAAGAATTCGAAGAGTGTGGATAATGGTTATAAGACTTGTTTGAAGTGCCGAGTTGTTGTACCGAAGAAGATGAATAAGAGCGTTGCATTTGGATATCAGTTGTTTGATAGTGTTGCTGTTGTTGGATAGTGCCGTTATTGTTGGGTATTGAATAGTGTTGATGATGATGTGGTGATCTAGTTGTGGAAGTGGTAGTTGCCAAATTGTTATTAGAAACTGTGTTGTTATACAAATGTGATGAGAAAGTTGGTGGTTTGGAATTCAATAGAGTATCAATACTTGGTAGATTGAACTTTTCATTGAAATTTCTGTTGGAGCCATTTGATGAGCTTTCGAATGGTGATGGTGGTGGCGGGGATTGATAAAGTGAACCAGTGGTGCTGTTGTTCTCTATTCTATCATTATGGTGAACTATTGATTGGTGATGTGATTGTGATGGTAAAATTGTTTGTTGATTATAGTGATGGTTTCGAATACTTTCTTGTTCCTTCACTTCTTCATGATGGGAAGTTGTGGACTTGATCAAATCTTTAAAAGATAGCATCTTGATGTTTTTTTTGCGTTATTTTGATGCCACAAGTTTTAAAAGGTGCAATAATACGCTACAAAGACAAGTGACGCCGTAAAATGAGAATCAGAGACTGTTCTTCGGACTGATTGTTTTTTTTTGATTTTTGATGCTGTTTTGTTTGATTGAAATTGTTCTCTACCCAACCATAAATACCACTTGGTCGATATTTAGTTTGACAACAAGTGAAGGTCGCAGGTGCCACTCTGGAGTATCATCACTAATTAATATTATTGAACCATGTTGACATTTGTTGACTGTTATTCTTTACAATTATATTAGTGAGGGGAGCTGAAAATTTGTATGAATGAGTTGTTTAGGTAACCGTATCTCCTCAATTAAAATTGATGTTGTTTTACTGCCGGCAAGAGTAGGTGATTCACCAGCATCAATTATGAGTGATTTCCATGAGAGAAAGTGTTTCGAGTTTGGAAATTGAAAAATCCCAAAACATACTTTCAGGAATGATTTTCTATCTCCTTTGCTTTCAAAAAGACAATACATGAAAGTTGTAGATGGCACATTGTATTGTTAATTATGGCTTGGTTTTCTGTTGTAACAAAGACGCAGTTATAAAGTATTAAAAAGGCCGTTCTTTTTGTGAGCACTTTCGTATGGTGTTGGTGTCTACTAAATTGAACAAGGAGGGCCAATTTGATTCAGAATAGAAATTTGTGAATATCGTGCTGCTACTACTACACCATTTTCAATTTGCGTTCGCTGATCATATGTACGATTTCGTAGAGATAGAGTTGCAAGCTTGATTCCGATTTTTAATTCCAATCTACAGTGAAGTTTTCAATAGGTTTGAGAAAAAGCCTTATTATATTCAAAACCTCAACCATTTAATTCATCTCTCTTGAATTATCATCAATCCCAAGTTAATAAATAAACTTCCAAAGGCTTGAGCAAAAACCAAATCATAAAAATTAATCATCAAGAAAATTTAAATTTAAAATTGCCTTATTTTTTTTTATTAATTTAAAATATCTTTAAGGCTAGGCATGGAGCTTCTCCTGGTTTTCTGATGAGGTGAGGATGAAGAGATGTTGGTGGTTGATTGATCACTGGTCGTCGAACTATTCACTCCTACTGTTGTGGCTGCCACTGATGGAATTTCTTCAACATAATTATCATGTATTACAAATGAAGTACTACTCGATGTTGCTGCTGTTGCTGTAGCTGGTGAGAGTATTTTCTCAGCAGTATTAGTAATTGTGGTGCTGATGGTATTATTCTGTGGTGAAGATGTTGAGAACTGATTCATTACTGTGGAAGTAGTTGTGATTTGATTTGTAAACTTGGGAGGTGAAATCTTATTACATGAGTGGGTGGTGGCTGATGAGGAAGGTGAGGGTTTCTTTGAGGTCATTGATACCTTATAATTGTTCGAATTAACTTGAATAGTATCATTCAGAGAGAAGGATAATTCACCATGTTTTTGATAAGGGGAAGTTGATGGAGACAAATCTACCTTCCACGAATGATATACAGAGGCACTTGGTGAAGGAGTTGATTTTGGAGAATGGGAAACTTGTTTCTTTGGAGTGGAAAATTGGCTTGTTTGAATAGGAGTTGGAAATTGGTTAATATTCTGAATATTCTGTTGTTGTTGTTGTTGAGGAGGAGGTATTGTACAATATGGAGGAAAGTAATGACTATTATTATTAGTATTTGGCATTGGATAGGAGGGTATTACAAGTGGAGATGATTGTTGAGGAAGAGATGAATTGAAAGGAGGTTGTTGCTTAGGAGCATTGTTAAGAAAGTAGGATTCAGGTGATGGCTGTTCTGGATATTGACATGCTCTGCTACTACTAGTATTATAATTATTAATATTATTGTTGTAATTAGGTAGATTAGTATTGGCAGTTGTATCATTCATTGGAGAATATTGTGATGATGATGGAGCAGAATTTGATTTTGTGAAATTATTTAACATTGTGGCAGTTGGAGGAGGAAGAGGATGGGAGCCAATCAACATGTTAGATGATTCAGTTAGTTGAAAACTCGTTCTAGTTTGTTGTGAAATTGATGAAGGAGAGTTAGTTTGAGCAAGTGATGAAGTGGAAGAAGAGCATGAAGGGGATTCTGTTCTTGGAGAAGCTCCTTCTTTAAACATATCATAACAATTCACTATACTGATATCATTGTGATAACGGTTTCTATTTGATTGTTTTTTTGAAACATGTACATCTCCCTCTTCTTTCATAAATTGCCATCTGACAGGATAACTTAATGGAGAAGTGATTTTTGGTGGTCTACCTCTCCTCTTTTCAATCTTACTAGGAGGATTGTGAATCTTTGCCGATGAAGAACTGGAAGATGATGTACTGCAACTCATGGTTGGATGTAAAGTCATTTCTTTGTGGGTTGAGTTGTTGTGAAAAATTTCCTGAGATTCTTCGTTGGGCATTTGTGGGGAATTTTTGGAATCAACTAGCACGTTTTTTCAACACGTTATAATAATGGAAAGTTTCGTGTGAATAGCCTTTATCAGTTGATAACGTGTTAAATATATTAACCAACGTTCAAAATTAATGTAGGACTGTCGTAGGGGAGGACTTTGGTTTGCGGAAGACAAGAGAGATAAGAGGGTATTAATTCGAAATATCCTATCTTTGTTTGGTCTGGAGCAATTTTTAGAATGTACAATGGTTATTAATATATGATGTTTATCCTCCTTCAATGATAATGCTAATAATATAATATTATTGATAGGCTCTTATTGTTCTAATGAATGAGTGGAAACCAGTAAGATCTAGTTGAGTTGTTTTTTTATAAAGTGTGTGTGAGGACTAGATAATTTGGCAGTTTTTAACAAAACAAAGCGAAGTGAGCTATTGACGCAACTGTTGGTTGCCAATTGAGGACTGAATATTCTGTGCACCATGTCCTCTTTCTCTACCCAAAGTTGTTTAAAAAACAAATTGGGGCCACTAATGGCATATTATCGGCACGATATTTGACAGCCTTATTGCCAAAGCAAACACCATTTACAATTGAAAACGTTAATTCAGGATGTCTTTTATTGAGATGTTTGTCCTTATTACTCTAGGAGAGACTTGGTTTGGAGAGAGAGAAGTTTCAACGGTTGTCAATGGCGATTCTTGATTCTTGACCATGTTTGCTTCTTGGTTTTTGGCAATGTGAAGTGAATGTTCGCTGTTGTTGGAATAATTAAGGATACCATGAAGTTGGTTGTTGGAATTATTAGAAGGTATATTCGATTCTTTGGATTCTATTGGAAATGTTGGTTGACTCGATTGGATAATGTTACAATTTGGGATATTTGAAGAAGGTAACCAATTATTATTAGTATTGTGATGGGGTCTTTGATAATTTATATTATTTACAAGAGTACAGTCTGAGAGAGAAAATGCCAGACAACCATATTTCACTTTCTTAGATCTTTTAGAGTTTGTACTTTTTCCAACAGTGCTGTTAGAAGAAGGGAGACTAGATGTTGAGGTTGATTGTTGAGGAGAATTATCGAAACTTTCATTGAATTTCCAATGAATATAGGCAGGTTGAGTTGCTTGTTGTGAAGCAGGTACAGGAGGTGATTGAGTTCTCTTTGCTTTTTTAACCTTCTTTTCAGGTTGTGTCATGAATTGATGATGATATTGTGGCTGAGATGATGACATTGTGAATTGATGTTGAAGTGCTTCTTGTGGTGGAGGAAGGATTTGAGAGCTAATTTGAGATGGAGGAGGTGAATTATTCACAAAAATAGGTGGTATATAATGATAGTTTTGCATCATCATTGGTGGATTGGATGAATTGGAAGATTTTGGTTGTGGAGCAACATGTTCTTGGTGCACAAAGACATGTGAATTGTGTTGTTTCATTTGATGTTGAGGTTTCTCAACTTTGCTCGGTTTGGACAATTTGAATTGTAGGAATGGTGAAGTGTATTGTGATGATTGCATGGTCATTATAAAATCTAGATTGCAGTGGTATTAGAGGACTAGAGTTTAGTTTCGTTTAGTATACAACAAGGTAGTAATAACGAGTTGTTTTTTTTCTAGATGATGCTAATGGGAAATGTTTTATTGTTCCACCATAGTATGTTGTTGTTACTCAATTGTGCAATCAACGAGAATAGAACATGCTATTCATTAAAGGAATATCCAAACAAAGTCTTTGATTGCCCCTGAAGAGATTTGTTCCACTTGATTACTCTGACAATTCTGGATGTTGATGACCCAACACAAAAAATAGTTGTTACAAGTTCCGTCATTTGCCATACTGTCAGACATCATTATCTAAAATTAATCAACTTTACCCTTTTTGTAATTCGACAATTTTTAAGCGGCAAATGATTTGTAATTTAAGAAGTGATGGGATTAAAAAAATTTATCAGGAATCATTCCCCATCTGTCTCTAGTCAAAGTTCAATGGATTCAGAGATGAAAGAATATGTCAGAATTGAATTCCTAAATAATAGTAATTTGATGTGAATACAGTAATAACTTCCAAGAATATTTGTGAAATGCACATGTTACATAAATGTTGAATCATCTCTTCTAAATTGTAAAATTAGGTTTTTATATTATTCGAAACTACAAAGTTGTAATTGTTGCATCTGCAAACAACTTTTGAAATTGTCTCAAATGGATCATTACACATCATTTTTTATTTCTAAATTGGTTTGTTGATTGCTTGAATAATTGTTTTGTATGTACCACATTGTAATAAGTTTCGAATTCAGAGTTATGGCAATGACATAGCAAGACAGGAGCTTCGATGAATGGCTGCCTAGAATTAGTTTAATGGAGTGAAAAAAAAAATATAAAACGTGGAAGCTACAATGTCGGTTGGTTCATCATCATTAAAACAAAAACCAAAACATCCAATTACACATAGACCACTTACCGGTCAATCAAACAACACACAATCAACACACTCACACAATCATCATGCCTAAACACACATCAAGAAGCACCAAGAAGGAGACTGCCAACAAAGCAAAGAACACCTACAAACCTCGTGCTCATCCACTTGATCCATTCGTGTATACAGATGAGGTACCTGTCACCACATATGTTTCTCCACTCACTACCAACCATCCATTCTTCTCCACCAAATCCAGGACAGAGGCTGCACAGAAAATGGAAAGAAAGATCCGAAGCTATTGTGATGACCACAACATTCCACTTCATGGAAAGGCACTTGAAAGAACTGCTATTGGAGAATGTGCTGAAGATGTATTCGATACCTATATGTCAGCCACCATGCCACCCCATTTGTACATTAGAAAAGAAGAATACACACCATACTCAACTAGAGAACAAGATGGTCACATTTCTCATATCGTGTACGAATTTAACTATCCTCATTTTCCAAGTTTTTCCAAGCCATCCTGGACTAAATATTACACCATAGTTGACGTGTCAGAGCTTGCAAGTCAATTCGAAGGGTTAGGGGGAATTATTCCAGAATATTTCAGAGAAGCAGAGTATCGATGTGTTGCTGACAAGCTCTTTGTGTCATTGAATACTCACACAGATGTCTACCATGTATACATGACCACTATGATCCAAAAGAAGATTGCTTCTTCTACTTCTGACTGTGGTTTTGTTTGGATAAATAGTATCTAATAAATTCTTCATTTTCAAATATTTGAATTTCAAAAAATTAATGTTTGAATTTTCGAATGTTGTTGAGCTGATGAATTTTAGACTATCCGATAAAGAACCAACTGTTTCAGGTAATGAACTTTTAGTTTCTGATCCAAGAAATAGCCCAATATAGAAAACAGATGAGACTGCTTGAGTTGGAAATATATCTCGTAGATTAAGAGGAACAAGGGCAATTGCAATTTGTTTCTTGCCATTAATCTCTCGTCCATCTACACACAGTTTGAAATAAACTGTTTTTGGTAATTGTTTCCCGCCAAGACATCTATATAATTTCAAGATTTGCTCAACTGACACATGTAGATCAGCAATAAAACCAACAATGCCGTTTGAGGGAGCAATAATTTTGAAGATTTTTTCCACTTCTTCATCAATAATTTTCTTTCGTGTCTTCATATCTTTTGTTGGTGGTAATTCATCACTAAGCGTACATTCTTTTCTTAAATTATTCACAATTTTGAAAGAAACTAAATTATTATCTTTCCAATACATCACATCATCCACATTACGTGTTTGCTTTCTCTCCTTAAATAGCACCTTAATTCGTTCACTGTCTTCATTATTTAAAATATCAAATACTTTTTTTCTTCCTTCTCTGGTTTTTAACAAACATTCAAACCAAAGATACAAATCATGATTTTGTGCCTTAAGGAGTTTCTCAAAGCAATCTAGATCCATTCTACATCTGTTTCTTGAATATTTTGAAAAACAATCATGACTATCTATACCTGAATACTTCCCTGAAAAGTACACTGATGCAGGGTTATTGCAGTGTGAACATGAAAATCCATTGATGATAACTTTTTCAATCTCTTTTTCGATGATTTGGTCAACTGGAACCCTTGATGATGTTTCTGTGTAATTTGTTGGTATTTGAGAAAATATTGGTTGACTAAATTGAGAGAGGCTATTTGAATTGAATTGTGAAACTGAAAAATTATTTCCAAAGTAACTGCACACGTTTGAAAATGGATTGCTTAATTGATCGAAGTGACTAAAATTTTGAGTATTGATTATTTCTGTTATTTGAGAAATAGCAGATGAATACGAATCATATTCCAGACGGTTAATAAAATTATTTGACATTGGGGTATTGCTTTGCTCAACAACAACATATTCGGGGAGAAATTCTTCATTTCGTTGATTATTTGGTGGTAAGGAATCTGAATTAACCCTTCCCTCATCTAACATAATATCTTCTTGATTAATTGAATCGTTATTTTGAGTCGATTGAGGTTTATTCGAAGAGTTGGAATCGGATTCATCTTCATCCTCTTCATCATCAAAATACTCCTCTAATCCAAAATACGAATCACAGGAACCAAGTTCAGAAGGAATTTCTTGAAGAGTAGCATTGTTATTAATTGGAGGGTTGAGAGTGGAGATGATATGATTGAAAACAACACTTTGAGTTTCCTTATTACTACTTGTCACATTCATGATCAAGTAAAATACAGCAGCTAGGTCAATTATAGTTTCTGGTCCTTTATCAATTGCCATTCCGATTTCTTTTCCAGCCTCCTTGGAGGGAACTACATGGCTCCTTCCCCAAAACACAGTTCCTAATATTTTGGAAGGTGAATGATTTGATTTTTTAACAAAGTATGAATTAATAACATCATTTATACGATAATAGTCAGTATTTTGGAATTTATATGATGGTATTTGATGAAATGGTGGCAGATCTGTGACATTTATTACAGCCAGTTGTGGCATTATTTTGTTAACAACTGTTTTCTCAAACTTTCCAGAATTTGAAAGAAATCTATAATTAGGACTGGATCAGTGTTCAACACTACAATGAACTACAGTGGCAACGGGATTTTTGGCGGCAATCGACCATCCCAGCGCTGGGATGGTCACTTTAAATCAACTCCACCAGCTAGTCTTGCTATGTTTATCTAAAAAAAGAAACACCATAAATAACCGAGTCATGTCTTTTGTTGCTTCCATTGGATCTACAATAGAATCATTAAGCATTCGAGATTCCAATAATCACTTTCCAATAAATATTCACTTTCTAATATCCTGTTTAATAATCACTGGGTCTCTAAGCTCTTTTTCAATCAATTCTTGTGTTTTTTCTGATATCACTCCACAACAATAGATGCAAATTTGTAAATTAATTTTCTTGAGTTTTTTGAAAATGTCACAAATATTGTCATATGAAATTTGATTTCCAGATATTGAATCATCTATATCATCAAATATTAGAATTTTCAACTGATTAACATCCAGCTTTCTATTTTTGAGATAAGCCAACGTGATTCCTGCTGTTCCTACAAGCACATGACAATTGTCATCTATTTCTTTGGTTGGTGAGAGAACTAGAGGTTTAGATTTCACATTCAGATATTTCCCATAATTTTCAACTACTCTGGAAACTCCATAAGCTAATTCCCTCGATGAAACAATTACTATTGCTTGTGGACAAAGTTTAGTCAACTTTCGACTAGTATCCAATCTTTGAATAATTGAAATACAATAGCTTGATGTCTTTCCAGTTCCAGTTCCAGACACAACTAGTACATCTACAGGCGGTTCTGATGAAATAATTGGCAAGATGCATTTCTTTTGAATTTCTGACATTTTTTCCAATCCATTTCCATAAATTCCTCTCAATAATTCTTCCTTAATTGGTAAATCATCAAAATTTTCGATTTGTTTAGTGGAAAATCTACTTCTAGGTTCACTAATTTTCCTCTTGAAATTACGGATCAGAGTTTGAAATTGTTCCAATGATGGTGTGGAGTGATCTTCATCACGAAAGAAAATAAAATCAACAAGTGAGAGAGAAACTGGATGCTCTTGGCCGTGTTGCATTTTTTTTCAATAACAAAAGTTTATTGAAGATATACTCAATTGTGATAATAAAGTTTGTGAGATGATGAAAATTCCCCGGTCAGTAGACCACTACATCTCTTTTGCTAATATTTTACAAGATGGGGATCAAACTTTACAATCCTGTTAAGTAATATTTATTAATATCAATGCTCGTTTTCAACATTAATAATATTGGAAATGTTTACAGATGACTTTTGACCATTAGCAGATTGAACAGGTGTTTGATTTGGTTGTGGACTTGGCTTTCTCTTTGAAGCAATCAATTTTCTAATCATATTAATAATAGTGTCAAGCTTTTGCTTTTCGGTGGTTGTTTGATTTGTTTCCTTCTTATTCTTTCTCTTCTGGCACTTTTTCTTTCCACATCTCTTGAGTTTCTTGTTTTGTGAACTCTTCTCTTTTGTTTTTTCATTATTCTTTTCGTCTTCTTTCTTTTCAGGATTTTCATCTATTTTGATATCCTTCTTTGGTTCAACTTCTTTAGGTTTAATGGTGTTATTGATTAAAGATTCTTTCCGCTTTTGTTGAGAAGGTTTTGGTTGTGGTTTTGGTGGAATTGGTAAACCAATGGTGGAAGGATCTGTAATAGATGCTGGCTTAATTACTGGCTTTGTAGAGTTATTCTTGGATGGAGAATTGATAATCTTTGGTTGTGGTTTTGGTTGTGGTTTTGGGTTTGGAGGTAAACCACCACTGTGCTTACATTCTGGACCAGCTTTACCAGGCATGCAGCGACATTTATCTTTACCAATACAAGTTCCTAAACCATTACAAACCTTCTTTTCGTCAGACTTAATACCAAAGCATGTGAAAATTTCCTTACTCTTGGTGGATGGATCTGTAACAGAGGCTGGTTTAATCTTTGGTTGGGGTTTTGGTTTTGGTGGAGGTAAACCACCACTGTGTTTACATTCTGGACCAGCTTTTCCAGGCATGCAGCGACATTTATCTGTTCCAATACAAGTTCCTTTACCATTACAGACCTTCTTTTCATCAGATTTGATTCCAAAACATGTGAAAATTTCCTTTTTCTTAGTGGATGGATCTGTAATAGAGGCTGGTTTAATTACTGGCTTTGTAGAGTTATTCTTGGATAGAGAATTGATAATCTTTGGTTGTGGTTTTGGAGGTAAACCGCCACTGTGTTTACATTCTGGACCAGCTTTTCCAGGCATGCAACGACATTTATCTTTTCCAATACAAGTTCCTAAACCATTACAAACCTTCTTATCATCAGATTTGATTCCAAAACATGTGAAAATTTCCGTAATGGATGAATTGGTTTGTTTAGCAGCTGGTGTGGCTGGGGAAGCTGCAACTGGCTTTGTTTGTTTCCTTGTTGGATCAGCTGGTGTAGCTGGAGCAGCATGGACATTATCACTGCATGCAATCACAGCGAGAATGACCAAAAGAGCCATCAAGAGTACGCCCTTAGAATAGCTCAACCTTCCCATCATACTTTGATTTTATACTCTATTGTTGAGTTGTTTTTTTATAAGATGTTTTTACAGACTCGCCTCAGCCTTCGCTTTTTAGTGCTCGTCTGACTATTTTTGAGCTTACTGTAGTATTATATATTAACTCAGCTGCAATAAGGAGTTGAGGTTACTGTTGATGCTGCTTGGAAATATACAGTTTTCCCTTTTTGTCTTCAGCTTCTTCAACAGCTTTCAATAATGTGGAGAATGCCAAATTTAAGGAGCAACAAACTCTCTTCTTGATATCAGTGGGTGTCATATTATTAATCGGAATTGTTTGGTTCTTGCTATCTTTTTTTAAAACATCATAATCATGCACTCTTCACTCATCAGAATGATTGTTAAATTCTTTTTTTGTAAATAGTATTAAATAATAGTAATTTTTGAAAAATTGAATAATATTATTAATTTGTAAAGGATGAGGAAATTTGGAGTTTGCTTGCCTTGTTGGCTGCTCGTTGTTTGGCTTCCTTGATAGATGATTCCAAATCAAAAAGCCATTCATTCTTCAATTCAGAGGAATCAAAACTCAATACTGCAACTGTTTGATCTTTGGAAATATTGGTTTGTTTCTTGTGTTTGCCTGTCAATTTCCCAAAAAGACTGAAAGATCGTTTTCTGGCAGAATCTGGCATATCTTCTGTACTGTTTGATGATTTTGCACTACGTGCCGAGTTGATTGTTGATCCAATATTAAAATTTCCAACAGATGTCAAATCATTGGTTGAATATGACTTGAGGGAGTGAATGGATGGTGTTGTGAAACGAATTTCAATGGTAAGTGCTGATCCTCCTGAAACAAAGGCATCCTCCAAACGGAAATGCTTCTTCTCTACCTTGATTGACTTGTGCATAGGTGGTGAGTTGGTAAGGTTATTTTCAGATCCACTCTTCTTTAATTTTCTCATAACGAACGATGAGGATTTTCTCAACTCCATATTGGTATTTGTTTCACCTTGTGAGCTTTCTGATGATTTGGTATTTTCTTCTTGTGTAATTTGTTTGTCAACTTGTTTGGTTTTTTCCACAAATATAATGACATTAGTAAAGAGGTATGCTCTCTGAACCTTGTAGGATCGTTTTGGACTGGATTTTTCATCCTTCATTATTTGAATCTCTACATCTCCTTCTCTAATTAATAAATTATCTTCTACAACACCTCCTGAAGAAATTGAGGAAGCTCCCAATTGTTCATAAAAATCAAAGAGTTGTGTCAACATTCTCACCTTGACACGGTTATTAGTAAGACGAATATTATTGTTTTGTTGGTTGGCAACATCCACAATCATATCCAGAGCTTTAAGTAAGTGAATATGGTCTGGATGATCTTCCTCAGTTGTTTCAATAAGATTTTCAATTAAGAGTTTGTATCTGACAACTCTTTGAACAGGAACCACAAGTAGTGAATTAATTTCCAAATTTCTACTTCTTGGGTGAGATTTACGTTTCTTAATCCAGGTGTCAAATTCCTTGTTTTGAGCTCTGACTTGTCTAATTTTGTTCATACAACTTTCATAAGTTTCCAAATAATTTTCATAAATTCTAAAGTATGGAATACTCTTTTCGAATATATCTCCAATCATCATGTTGTACATTCTTGGAATAATTGAACCTTCTTGCTCCTCGCTGTATAGTGCAAATCTCTCCTCCAATGAAACTAAAAAGCTCTTGTTGAAAGTGATAATGGTAAATAAATTGGCTGGGAACATCTCGAGAGCATCCTTCTTACCGACCAATCTCTTATCTTCATCCTTTAATGAGGAAGAACTCTTTTGCTTGTTGAAAATCTTATCAATGAACGAGATTTTTCTTTTGAGAGTCGAATCTTCGCTTGTGCTTGGTGGCTCAGAAGTGGATTTTCTCTTTTTAGAAACAGGTTGTTCAGTTCCTTTCAAATATTTGTTATCCACGAGAGGCATGTAATACATTTCCCATAAATCTATGAGAAACGAGAGGTACTTTCTCTCGGAGTGTAAAATTTCCATAAGGTTGTTAATTCTATTCTTCATCTGTTTGATATTGATACTCTTTCTCTCTGGGATTGGAGAAATACTTCCTTGAATAGTAGGTGTTCTGTCCTCACTAGTACTGTTATTACTGTTGGTTGTGGAAGGTTTTGGAGTTGAAAGGTATGGAATTTTCTTTCTTCTGAATTGTTTTTTAGATTCTCCAACCTTCAAAAGTGGATGTCTTGCTGTGCCCCACTTTGGTCTTGGTAGTGGAATATCCACAGGTGGCATCTTGACAAATTCATCCAACTTTTTAAATTCCTCTGTTGCCTTGTATCTTTTCAGAGGATCCATCAAATTCATTTTTACATAATATAATAAAGAATCAAAAGTTCCAGTTGAAACCACTTCTGTGAGTGTTCCATCCTCTTTGAATAGATCCAATTTTACCTTATCTATTTGTTTCTTATTTATATTAAGGGCGTGTTTTCCTATTGGATTTATGAATAAATCATAAATATTACAGGCAAGATCTCTAACTTCGACTGGGTTAGAGAGTTTCTTGAATGAAGAAACAGCATCATAAAATTCGATAGACTCTCCAGAGTGTTCCTTTTCGCAGAAATCTTTGAAAGAGTCTTTGAGAGCTTCAGTATTGAGAATAAAGATCAAATTTTCAGATTCAACAACAGGACTTGCCAATGAAGAATTAGGTGTACTCATATTATCAGAAGACGCAGAACGAGCGGAAAGGAAATTGTCAGCATTCAAAGTTAATTGATTGTTTGGAGTATTAGGTGATGGAGCTGAGTTCAAATTGAGCTTTGGAATATTTACAGTTTTAGTTTCGTAATCAGGAGGAGTGAAAGTAGTTGGTGTGTTTGTTGATTGCACTGTTGGAATATCTTGAATAAAGCTATATTTGGCCTGACCTGATATTGGAGTCAAAACATTGATTGATATTGGCTTTGGTTGTCCTAAAAGTTCTAATCTTGGTGTCTTTGGAGAATCTAGTTCTGGGGTATCTTTTTCCAGATCAGTTCTTGGTGAACCTTCTGTACTTTCTGTATTATTGCTATGTTTTGGAGTTTGACCTAACAAGAATGGAGATGCTGAATTAGCTCTGTTCTTTCTTGGAAGAGCTGGAGAACTAAATCTAGGACTAATTCCTCCAGAAGATAAATTAGATGTAGAGCTGTAGAAAGATCTATCAGTCATCAATTCATCATCTTCTGAATCATAGTCACTATTAGTGTTGATAGTTCTTATACTTCCTAGTGAGGTGAGGTTGGATTTGAATTGATCATGATAAGCCATTTCTGTCATTTCCGTTTGAGTTTCCTCCTCCATTAGAGCGCCAATCTCTGCATTAATTTCCAAATCATCCATTACTTGCTTTGATTCACTCTCCTTGGCAGCTCCTCGCTTATAGAGCTGACCTTTCAATTGTTTCAACAAGTCTGGACGCTTTTTGAACATGTAAAATATCTTACCAATTTCAGATTGGAGGAAAGAATTGTGTTCCAAATTAATAACCTTGAAATCCTTCCATCTCTTTAATAGATCAGAAGATTTCAAAGTAGGAAAAGTAAGCAATTGGTTATGTGAGAGATCTAGATTTTCAAGTTTGTTTAAAGAGACGAGCTCAAACATTTCACTGGAAACATTCAAAAGTTGGTTATAACTCAAATTCAAACTAGTTAGGTTTGGGAAATTTGTGGTCATAACGTTATCATTTTCATCAATGTAATGCAATTCAAAGTACTCTAATCTATTCTTGCTCAAATCAAGGAAGGTTAAAGTTTGAGAAATTGGTGATAAATTTTCTGAAAGTAACTTGTTAGTATCGAAAAATCTGTTTCCACTCAAATTTAACCTTTTAAGGTTCGGAAACTTGTCACAGAACCACTCTGGTAAGGTTACTAACATATTTTTGGAGAGATTCAAATCCGTTATGTGATAACAGTCTGTTCCTATTGGTGGAAGAGATTCGATATTCATATTTGAAAGATCAAGAACTGGTGACTTTGTAACTTTGTCCTTAATAAGTTGGGAAAGTTTAGATCTTCCTCCTGTTACTGCATCAAACGATGGAACTCTTCTACTGGTTGGAGGAATAACTTCAGTAGGACTGCTATCTGATGAATCCTCTGTGATTTCATCTTCAAATATTCTCTTGATGGTTTCAGTGACAGAAATTGGAGCAACTGCCAAGCTAGTATTAGGAATATACAAATAGGATTCATTTCTCCACAAATAACCTCTTATTAAGCCCTGTAAACATAATAGATCAGATTTCCTTTGATCTCTATACTTTTTAGATAAATTTCCACGAATAATTGCTTGCAATTGAATGATTTGTGTCAATTTGCTTTGATGGACCTTTCTTGATTGAGATGATTGAAGAAAGCCTGATAGAGTCTTAATGTTCTCCGTTGCCTCATGTTTTTCTCTTCTGATAAGATATCCCTTGACATTCGATTGTATTGTTAATGCAACGTTAGGTGTAAGGACATTGTTTCTTCTAACAATAGATTGGAGAATAGTAATTTTTTGAATACTGCTTTGCAAAAGCTCTTCTTCAATCTTTCTTTCTCTTAGAGCTAAGATATTTTCTACTAGAGCGTATATATGTTTCAATCTCTTTCTTTTAATAGAGCCAATTATTGAAGCTTGAATATCATAAACCGAGGATAAACATTTCAAAAAGGTAGAACGTTCAATTTTTCCAATAATTGATCCTCCCAAGTAGTAAACTGATGCCAAACTAGAGGATGCTTCTCTTCTGCAGATACTACCTCTTTGAAATGCCTGAATTGTGGTTATTTCGTCCATTTCTTTGCTGACCTCTCTGGCTGTAAGGGCTGATCTGAGATTAACTTGAAGAGTTATTACACTGCATATCGAGCTTGCATAGTTCTCTCTAGAAAGATGTCCTTTCAATATCGCTTGAATATTTGTCAATGATTGCTTCTCTTCTCTGAATTTCCTTTTGGCTGAATGTTTCTCAAAGAAAGCTCCTAGTAAAAGAGAAGAATTCTGGTATTGGGATAATTCGCTCCTGATTATTTGAGCTTTGAAAAAGGTTTGCAACGTGTCAATATTTTGAACAGCAGTTGAGTATTTTCTCCTCTCACAAGCCCCTCTAACCAGAGACTGTATAATCTCCGTAGACTGCAAGGAGGTTGCGAATTGTTGTATTTCCTTGTAACCTCTTAAAGAACTCTGCAGTGATATTACTAAATTCCAACATTTTTCAATTGCATCTTGTTCGATTTTTCCTCTAATTAAACTTTGCATTAAAGTAACATCGGTTAAGAATGATTGCTCTGTTAAAGCTTGATGAAGTAACTTTCTCTCTAAGGCACCTACAATAGTTGCTTGAATGCATTCAGCAGCTGATAATTGAAACTCCTTTTCTCTCTTCACTAAATTTCCTCTCATTGTGGCTTGTAATGTGGATGTGCAATCCACTTTACATTTCTCATGTTCCAATTCTTTAGTTCTGATTCTTTCTAATTTTCCAATTAAAAATGCTTGAATAGCCTCAATACAAGTTTTTGAGTTTACAAAAGAATTCACTGCATTTCTACCAATCATACAAGATTGAATTACTTCAATAATTGCCAAATTATCCTTGACAAGCTTGTTAGTTTGATATTTTCTGATAATACCTTGAATAAAACTAGCATTTTGTACAAATTGTGTGAAATGAGCTCTTAGAGTTCTTCCTCTTGTTAAACTCTGAACTGTTTGACAAGTTTCTTTCATCTCATCAAACTCCCTTCTCAAATATGCAGACTTCCAGCGACTTTGCACCATAACAGTACAATTAACTTGGTTCTTGAAATCACAATATTGTGAATTTCCTCTAATGACTGATTGAATCATTCTCAACATGACAATCTCCTCAGCAATACGATACTGTATCTGCTTGGAATGCAAAAAACCCGTCACTAAGTTTAGTTTTTCCAAATCACTCTTCATAACCTGTTGATTAAATCTTCTTTTAATCAATGATTGTAAATTGGTGAGACTGTTTCTTTCTTGATCGTGTTCCTTCCTTTCCAAATAATTCCTACACACTTGTCCGATCAATTCAATGGAATGATATTGGTTTCGTAGGTGTCTATTGCTGTCATGAGCATGAATGATGGCCTGAATAAATTCGGCAAGTTTTTCTTCGTCTTCAGTAGTAGTATTTTGAAGACTAGAATGATGATCGTCTTGAATTACATTACTAATTGTCTCCAATCCGAATTCTTCTTTACATTCCATTAATATTTCCTTCTCATCACTATTTGATAATTTAGATATTAATTCTACATTATCCTCTTCTTTTTGTATTACTAAATTATCGTCATCATCATCATCATGATGAATATTATTATTATTAGTATTAATTAATTCCTCCAAATCCTTTTGCAAAGCCTCCCTCGTCTCTCTCAACTCACACAAAAACAATAACTTTCCTTCATCATTTCTATGTAATTCCTTCGTGTTGTTTTCTTTGTGTTGTTGATAATTATTATTTACAGTAGAGGAAGTGTTGTTTGGAGTCTTGTCGGGTGGCGGGAGAAAAGTCTGAACACACCACACAACAAACCAACACAGAAAGAATTGAAGAAGGAAGGGAATGAACATTTCTCGATTATTCTTTTAGTGTGATGAAAGTTGTGTGTTAGAGAACTTTCTTTATGTTTGAAAATTGTGGAGGAAACTATTCGAAAGTGTAGAGGCAGGCAACCAGAGAGGAAGATTATGAGAGAAGTTGTTGTTTGGTTTTTCTTGTTGAAAGAATAACAAGGTCCTTCCATAAAGCGAGTATGCTGACAATTTATTCTTTTTTAGAAACTTTTGACTAAAAGCAATTCGAAAGTATGACTGACCATTTATGGTGTGCACTTAATTTTCAATAGATAAGATCTACAATGTTCTTTTCTATGATTCAATTTTAACTAAAACACCTTATTACATTCTTTCATTCTTGATATACGTTCTGTCATTTGTTTCAATGTGAGTTCTTGTTCAATTACCAATTTCAATTCATTGTAAGTGGTCATTCTTTTTGATGTTCTTTCATTGATAATTCTTGCTTGCAAAAAGTAACGAGAGAATAATTCATCCTGTTGTTTCAATTTCTTTTCGAAATCTTTGGAAAGAACCAATAATTTAGGTAACTCTGAAAGTGGTAAAAAGGAAAAGATTTCAATCATTAAAACTTCTTCAGGCAATTCGTGAATAATTCTCGAAGATCAGGAAGTGTTTCTCTATGGAATGCATTCTTACTACCAATTGAGTTAATTAATGAAATAGATCTAGAAACTGTAATTGCATGTTCTGGAATGTTGATGATGCGTTCATTGATACAATTTGAATGAGAACTATTTCCCTGCTGTATAGATGGTGCCTCAGTAGCAGGTGGATTAACACTAAATAAATTACCCATTTTTTTTTTTGTAAAGTTTGTTGAACTAATAATAAACAACCACTCAACACGAATGCATTCTAATGAACCAACGTTTAACTTTCCACTTTACAACAACTTCTTAAATGTTTACAATTTTCATCCATTGTTACAAATTTTTTCATAAAAACAGAAAAATCATCAAAAATCATCACGCAAAAATTATGAACTTGGTACTTTGAAAAAAAAAATGATCTTTTCGCCAGGCAACAACAAGGAGAATGATGTTTCATTTGCCAAAGTCTTTGATTCATCCTCGGATATTGTTGGTGGTACTAATAATAATAGTAATAATGGTGGTGGTGCGTTGTTATTGGGAGGAGGAGGAATTGTTGATCAGTCAGCGTATTCAGATGCTGGATCGATGGATACAGAATGTCATCAGAATCCTAATTTTGATTCAATTGATTTAATTATTATCAAGAATAATTATAGACAATTTCGATTGATTCCGAGAGAGGTTGTTCATTACATGATGGAGAATTTTATTGATGATGAAACTCTATTGAAATGTATTTTACCACTCTCGAGGGAATATGAAGACTATTCATTGGATTTAATTTATAGGAGGAATATTGGACGAGGAGATGCCATGCTATCGTTTATATTTAATTATAAAACCATTGCACAGATTACACAGAGTGCAGAGACATCAGAGGAGGAATCCTTGTTGTTTTCAAGTGAAATGTTTGACAAGCTGTTTCAAAATAATGTTTTAAAAGTGATTGATTTACATGATTTTTGTAAACATAGTACTCAGATTGCTGTTCCATTAATGTTGCAATACTCTAGGCAGTGTGAAGAGTTTATAAAAGTGTGTAAGAAGGCAAAGAAGAAGATTGTTTCACCAACGTCACTGGTGGAAGGAACTGTATTTCCAACTTCACCTGTTGTGGAGAATCCTGATGTGTTTCTTCTAGGTGAACAACATTTCAATTTTAAGAGATTGAAACAAGGGGTACTGAGCCCACGATCAGCGCTTCCAGTACTTCAGGACGAATCTCTGGAAAAGAAACAAGCACTCCTTCATAAGAGATATTATCAACTTGTCAGTTTACTCAACCTGATACTGAGCGTTGATTATTTGAAAACTTGGCAATGGTGTATCATGAACGACATGTCAATGTTTAGAAGAATATCATCAAAGAATGGTGAAAAACTTGCCAAAATTCCAAAAAGTGTTAAAAGAAAGGAAGAAGAAGCATTCTTATTTTATAGAGAATTATTCTTCAATACAAGAGAGATTAAGAAGATTAAATCCCTTACAATCTATAAGAAGACACTGTAAGTAGCAAACAAATATCACTACAGAGAAATTTTTATTCTTAAATTTTAACTAATTAGGGAATTTCTTGTTTTGCAAATGATTGAAGGGGATAAACCAATAAGGAATCATGAAGAAAAGAAGGCATTCTTATTGCTTGTATCAATTTATGATAAGATTAACGAGGATCAACCATCAACAAGTAAGAAGATACAGAAAAAGATTATGGAATTTTGTTCCAAACATTTAATTCAATCTGATGATGGACTTTCTCGGTTTGAATTATACGAATCTACAACATTTAACACAAAATTCTTTATTGAGAAATGTTGTCCAATCCTCAAGAAGGAAATGGATAAGAAATAATTGTAAATTACTCTCACAAAATTATAATACAGATAAAATGTGAACTAATCTTCACACAAATTTGGACAATATAGATTGATGGTTTATCTGCCATCAATAATACTATTTAGAGTTGTGGTTAAATAGTCTCTAATTTGTTCTGTATCAGTACAATTAATCACAGAAACTTGGGTCAACCTGTTATTCTTATCTAAGAGTTGATACTTGGCAGTGATGCCATCGATAATCTCCTTGGCATTTCCGTGTGGAATAAGATTTGACTTGAGGAATGAGATAGTTTCTGGGCTAATATGCATTTCTTCAAGCTCATCAGCATGAGTTAGAATAAGTCTAAAATCTCTAATATTCTTTGTAGTATTAGAATCAATCCAATCACTGAATACTGCCAGGGAGTCCTCGAAACGATTAAGAGTATTGTTTTCGTAACACATCTTGGTGAAATCGGATAGAGAACCAACAAACCAAACGCTATCAACTGGTTGAGAGAACATGTTTGGCCACTTTTTACGTTCATTTCTTTGTCCTCCAGAGTCGAATCTAAAGGTAATAGATCTAGTTGAATTCTAATAGAATGAGTTACTTACAGATGAACAATGAAAGAATTCATATATTCGAAACTTGACTCGACAATACCTGTTGTCTTTTTCTGAAATACTATATGATCTTTTTCGAGAGGTTTGAAATCCATATGCATTACTCTATCATATTCTGAAAAGTAAGGATCCACAGAAAAATTAAAAAGTGATGAAAATTTCGGATTAAATTCCATAACTTGCTTGAATATTTCCTTCGTAAAGAATGTTTTCCAAAGTTGAGATTTTTCAATAATATGCTCAATACAATTGATGAGAGCATGTTCGTTATGATTACACTTCTCCGATACTATCTTCAAGAAATCGTGAGCTATTTGTTTTACATTTTCATTTGACACAAAATCGCCATTATACAATTCATATGCCAAACTGTACATGACATGAAGAAGCTCTGTATGAACAATGAGTCTTGCTTGTTCATATTCTCTCTCTGAAGTGTAGTGATGAAATGCAATTTAGATGGTTCTCATCTCTCATTAAAACTTACCACTAAAACCGCCCCCTAACACAAGTTTTCTCTGTTTAAAGAGGGTTGTCTTTCCGGAACCTTGAAGAAATACAATGTGTTATTCGATAATTCTAATGCATAACTTACCACCACCTCCTATCAATACAATTCTCAATTTATTACTTTCTGGAGTTTCTGGAACAAGACTACTTCTTCTCTTTCCTTCGCTCATATCTGCCAAACTGGTTGCTACTTGAGTAGGAGAAAGAAAAGTCGACTTCTTCCTCTGTGTTTGAGCATTGTTGCTGGCATTTGAATTGGTTCGGGTTGGTGATTTAGGTTCCTGAAGATCATCTCCATTATTTCCAGAGCTATGTAGGAAACCAACCATTTTTTTGTAATTTGCTAATAAGCAGAGATGGAAGAGTGAAAGCAATAACTTAAACGAAAGATTTGGGAGATGAGATGCATTGAGGTGTTATGATGTACTAATACTGAAGCTTTCAATTTAAATAGTACTAGAGAATGTAAATCAGGAATGCACGATCTTTGATTACAACGAGGAGTATCGAATAACTATTTGGTGATGTGGTGAATCCTCTTTTCTTCCTCTGTCAGTGATGCTACAATCTTACTCCAAATCTCGCATTTGAAAACTGTAGCAACAGTCTTATCACCCTCTGTTTTAATTGTTGTACTCAGATTCAAATCATCAAAGTGGAACCAATAGACCTTATCTTCACACTTCTTTCTTCTATAGATACTTCTTGGGTCAAGAATGAGCATTTGTTCAATGGCCTCTCTAACATCTATCCAATTCTTATATCCAAATTGTTTTTCAATATCCAATTCGATTGAACATTCTTTAATTTGAGTAATTGCTTCCTCAGTAAATTCTACACTATTAATATGTCCCACAACTGGATCCAAATCAATCCATTCAGGTTCTTTATATTCAACCTTCTTCTCATCATTGTTTTCATATCCAGTTGCCTTTCTTCCATAAATATCAACACCACCAAATACTGAATCATATCTTGAAATATATGGTTTAATATCTAGAACTGGTGTTCCATCAATTAAATCCACTCCACTCAATAATAATTCACCCTTTTTCAAATCAACTTGTTCAATAGTGGCCAATGTTAGGCCAATTGGATTAGGACGATGAGGAGAACGAACAGAAAACAATCCAACCTTCTTTCCATTCAATCGGGGTGGTTTAACTTGTGGACGAATCAAGCCTTGTTCTTCTTCACTGTTATTATTATTGTTCTGACTATTATTATTATTATTATCACTATTACTATCGTTTGTAGTATTGTTAGTAGTATTGTTCTGATGAATTGTATTTAATTTCTCCATATTATTATTATCATGGAAATAATAAACAAGCCAAACATGAGAAAATTGTTCAATTCCCATCAGAGAGTGATGTTGATTGTTCATGGCAAATAGAGGTGATTGAATCTTGAGACGTCCTCTTCCGATTGGTGCCAAGGCTCCTTGTCTTGGTGTGGCATTCTTGAATTTATAACAAGAGTGAAAGATACCTATTGGTTTCATTTCAATGGTCATGGAACGAATAGTGTCCCAATCTTGATCCGAAGTTTGTTGTTTTTGGTTGTTATTGTTTGCATTGGAATTATCAGATGATGATGATGATGAAGGTTCACTATGGTTGTTGCTTTCAGACATTTTTTTGAATTTCAAAATCTTTAAATTTATTTAATCATTACTCTATTGTTTTTATTTAAATATCAATTTAATTATTATTTGCATGCAAAATCGATTTATTCACATTCACAAATGCACAAGGTCAACCTAGGAATTGCATTCAATTTTTCTAATTAGAAAATAAATCGGTCCATGATGAAACAGTAGCAACAGATGGTGTTTTCTTCAGAAAACTAGTTGCTGATGGTTCTGTTGATTTTCTACAGGCAACACAATCCAATGGAATGATAACATTGAATCCCATTTCGGTCATATTGAGAGCAGAGGTCTTTACACATGAATTCGTTGTGACGCCCAACAGAATAATGAACAAGTTCTTTCTATGCTTATATTGAGAAAGGAGTTTGATGAATGCATCCTTTGGAGTTAGAATTTGCTTTGAATCATCATCAGTAGTGCTGACAATTGTCTCACATTTGATCAAATCCAATATAGAATTAGTTGTCTTGACTACTCTATAATCAAAACAATCATCGGGAATGATGCATTCTTGTCCTTGCTCTGTTACACACAAATCTTCCAATCCAGCTGATTTGAATTGTTTGTGTTTATACACAGATTGGCAACAGATAGAGTGATGAACTGTAATGTTTTCGGAAGCTTGATCCTTGACATAATTCAAGCACTCCAACACCTTTTCCTTTACATTGATGATATTACTCACATCATCATATCCAAAAGCTTTGCAGAAGATTCCCTCCTCACAAACAAAATCTCTGACAATATCTATCGTGATGAAAATGTACTCCTTTTCAGACATTTTTTAAGTTACTAATTTAGTTGGCAGCGGTCCAACTAATGGATCTTCTTAGTGTTGGGTATGCATCCTCAATTGGTTCCTCATCTAATAATTTATCTAAATTTCTCATGGACATGCTGTTGGTAGTCTTTCTCTTGCTACTTTGTTTTCCTCGAGAAAGCAAATTCGTCTTGGCAGCTACTTTACTCTTCTCGAGTGCTGCTTTGAGTTGTCTGACTTTTCTGAAACTAATATCTATGGAATTGGTTTCTTCATTATTCAATCTGATTCTCTTTCCATTCTGTAAGACACAACAAACAAAATATAATTCATCGAATTCATTTCCACTTCCTTCCTTTTCAATGTCAAAGCTGCTAATGTCATTAAAGTCAATAAAATCAATCTTTTCATCAGTGTGAGGCAATTTGCCAATGTGAATATTTCTGTACACTAGGGTATTATCTGGTGATGATTCATGATAGTAGGTTACTTGATTTGGTACTGGGCTAGAAATATCAGCCTCTTTTGGAATAATACCCTTGTAACAGATCGTTCTATTACCACTAGTGTAGAGACGTTTCTCAATTTTACATGTATGATGATCAAATACCAGATATCTGGTCAGACTTTGCTCTCTTCGCTTCTTCTTGTAGTATGCATAAATCCTGTAGAGAGCAAATGGAATGGCAATTAATAAGAGTGGTGGAAAGATGAATGATCCAAGTACAAAGAGTAATGAATCAATAATAACTGATGAGTCCATTCTCTTTGGGCCTTGCAATCCTAGACAAATATTGTTGGTTCCCATCTCTTTAACAATAACAAAAGGCATTCCTATTCCTAAAATTTGGCCATTCTTTCTATCATAAAAATGTTCCAATTCCATTTTCATACTGTGTGATTTGATTGTGTCTTGATCCTCTTTGGTTGGTGTTACTGGGTGGTAGAATGGTTTTTCTCCCAACTCAATGATTGATTCTTCATCTTGAGAAATTTCATTACTATGTGTTGTAAAATCTTGTTCAAAATAATTAGCAACTGGATCGACTATTAAAGCCTTTTCCTTATTAGGGTTACGCATAATGAAAATATTCTTTTCATTGCCAACCTGTGGCAATACATCAAATGATTCTCTACGTATTGTACTATTATTTACATTAATGTGGTTGTGGAAAGCCTCCATAGATGAAGATTTCTGTAAATGGTATTTATCATCTATTACTGGTTTAGTTTTAAAACTTAATAATTTTTTTAACCATTTTCTCTTTTTGTTAATTGGCTTATGAACGTAAACAGCTGGGAAATGATCATCAAAATTGCCATGTAATTCATCTTCCAAATCCAAAGTAAATATTTCATTGAAAATCTTGTCGAATTCCTCTGAATTTCTTCTCATTTCCTCAATAAAATCATCCTTTTCCTCAACGACCAAACTTTGAGACCTTCTATGATTTGATGATGGTGAAGGTTTTATGGGAGTTTTATCTTGACTTGTTCTCTGACTTCCAATACTCGATTTTCTAGATATTTTCCTACTTGGTGTATGGTCCATACAGGACAATGAATTTGCTTTATGATTCAAGTAATTTGGTTCCGACTTGAGATCACTGATGGATTGTAACCTAGGTTGTTTAAATGTAGATTGGCTATTTTCCTCTTCCACAATATTATGGTTAGTAAAATCCTCCATATTCGCCAACATCATCACAATTATTCAATAATGTACTTGTGGTGACAAAATAATTAAATTATTCCTACTATTGAAAGCAAAATTTCTTCTAAAATCCTCCTAGCAACCAACTTCTTGCGAAAATATACCCCAAAGCAATCCCAATCACCAGAACAACCTCTGTATTGGATATCGTTTATCCTCCTTTCTTTGAAATATTTAGTGGATAATAATATCACCAATGCGTTGAAGATTGTGTTTTAAATGTTTTAAAATGATTTTTTTTAGAAGAAATTTTGCAAGAGAGAGGAGATGAGCATTTCAAAGTTTTCTGCTAACAATAACCGATCCTGTTTCTCAATAAATTGAAAATGAATTAGAAAATATCTAATTCCAGGCGATTGGTAAGAATCGTTTCTAAGAGGTCTAATGGGTAAACTGATCGGTTGTCATTATTATTGTAATAATTATCAAATAGAATAATAATTCAACTAGTTCACAAATAATAATGATATATAATCATAACGAGTAGAAAATTATAATAAATTAATTGATTATCTCTTTATCAGAGTTACATCTTCATTTACAATTTTGGTACAAATGCAGGCCATAGTGCTTGAATTTCTTCTTCACTATAAACTCTATTTTCTTCTCCTAGCTCTTTAGCAATGTAAGTGAAAAATCTTCTTCTTGTTTCCTCACTATCTGGTAAATTTACAAAATCTGGATGTTTCAATTCGTAACATCTTTCCAATACACGATAATGAATTAGGTCAGCTCCACAAACTTCTTCAACTTGCAAAGTCAACTTGTTTAAATCAATGTGATCTCTCTTTACAATATAAACATCAATAAATTCATTATCCAAATAAGTTCCATTATTCAAAACCAATTGTACTCTAATGGTACCAAACTTGTCCAATTCTTCTATAGTGACATCAGAAATACCCAATTCTTCTTCAATTTCTCTAACACTTGCTTCATCACTAGATTGTCCAAAAGAAATATGACCAGCAGATGAAGTATCCCATTGATTTGGATGATTTAACTTGTTTGGTGATCTTCTCTGAACCAACAATTTGCCAGTGCTTGTTTCCAACACCCATGTATGAACAGTATTATGCCAAATACCTTCGGAATGAATTTTAGATCTTGGTTCCCCTCTTCCTGTTGGTTCTCCAGCACTTGTAAAGACTTCAATTAATTCATTATGAGAATTAGTAGTCTTTTCTTGATGATCTTGAGACATTTTTTTATTTAAATTATTTAAATTATGAATATTTGTGTGGTGAACTTGAAATGATTGATTCTTATTGTCAAATTGAATGTTGTTTGATTGGGCAATCAATTTGTTTGTGTGATGGAATATTTTCCGATACCTTTGGCTTATTAGCATTTAGTTTATTTTTTAATCTCAACAATTATTTAAATTAAATACTCTCTTTGACTTTCACACAAATTCAAAACATCATTTCAAATATAAAAGAGGAACGTGAGATGTCAGACTTTCGAGAATTTAATTTTGCTTATTCAAGAGCTTGTTAAATTGTTTGAGCAATTTGTTCAATTTCTTTTGAGCTTTCAAATGCTTGGCAATTTCCTCAGTGAAAAGTAAATTATCCAAACCACCTGGAGAACGACCAGTAATTAAATTGGTAGTACTTTTCACCACTGGAACATCCAAATACTTGGCACCTGCATTTTCCAAATCAATAGCAATGGAAGGACTACCAGTCAATTGCATTCCAGGTTTAATCAATTTTGCATTAATCAAAACTGTAGATCCAGAACAAACAGTAGCCAATAATCTTCCACTAGCAGCTTGTTGTCTAATCAATTCCATAGCATCTCCATCATTTCTGACAACAGTTGAAGACCATATTCCACCCACCACAATCAAGGCGTCATACTTTTGAGAGAGAGCTTGTTTGAAATCAAAGCTCCTCTTGGCATATCTGGTTACTCTAACAAATTCACAACTAGCAATTTTTCCATCCTTTACCCACCATGGTCCAATAACATCCAATGTGGCATTACGAGCAGCAAAATAGAGATAAGGGAAGGTCAATTCGCATTCTTCAAAACAATGAGAAGCAATCAAACCAACACGATATCCAGTAAATTCACTTGGATTTTTAACAATAGGCTATTATCATCAATATCGTTCAATAGTAATCATTATTATTGGAGCGAGTTCAATTATCCAACACAATCAACTCTATACTTACTTGTGTTTCGTTGTATTTCATTCCTCTCAAGTCTAATTCATCTTCTTCCTTCAATGATTCAATCAACGGAAACAAGTGATCAATATTCTGAGCCTCGACCATCACATTGATCATCACAACAATAACCAACAAGAGAACTATCATGACACTCATTCCAACACCAACTGCATGTCGCACCATTTTTGTTTGTTTTTTTTGAATGTTGTTTGTGCATGTATTCGATATGGAAAGTTTAAATAGCCTCAATGATGATAATAATCAGAGATGTTAGATGTTGAAAGGAAAGTGCTCACGCAGTATGTGCTGGAAATTCCAGATGACAGTGACCATGTGACCATCAAGATAATGCTGACGATTACTTTTCCTAATATGTAGAAATGGATTTGTATGGATTTTAGTTATGAGATTTTTGTGAGAATGGATATTATTTGATGTTTACAATTTGCTTCTACATATTCCATTACTCTCTACATTCTACTAATTGAATAAAATCTTGAAGATAAAGATTAAAAAAATGGTGAAATAGCTCATTTATTGGTGACTTGATTCCATCATCTTTATCTTTTCCAATAATTGAGAAGAGTCAATTCTATTTTGAGGATCTTTCTCTAAAGTCATAATTACAATTTCAATCAAATTATCCGAATACATTCCACTTTGACTCATATTATTTCTTAGAATCTCCTTAACACTTGTAGAATCTTTACAAAGGTGCAATTGACCAACAGAAATAGAACTATCCTTGGTCATTATTTGATAAATAGTTACTCCTAATGAAAATATATCAGTATTAAATGAATATTTAGATCCCATTGCAAGTTCAGGACTCATAAATAATGGAGTGCCTGCATATGAGTTATTTGAAGATCCTTGATTTTGTTTAGCCATTCCAAAATCAGCTAAAATAACCTGAATTGAATTATCATGGACTGATTTGATAAATATATTATTTGGTTTAACATCTCTGTGAATGGATTTCAATTGAGTGTGAACATAATGAAGAGCTGAACAAATTTGATTCATAATTTGAAGAATGATTGCTTCCTTACAAGGTTCATTTGATTTTGAAATTAAAGAACATAAATCTCCCTGTTCATAATACTCCATATCAATGTATATCAAATTATTTTTACCCACAAAAATGTCATTCACATGTAAAATGGTTGGATGTGATAAATTCATTAGTTGGGTTCCTTCTTTCATTGCTAAATTCAACTCTTCAATGTTAGCATATTTGAGTGTTTTAAGGGCTCTAATCGAACCATCTTGAATATATTTAACTTTATAAACTAATAAGGAAAAGATTCGAATAAAAATATTTCCAATAAACTTACCAGAACCAAATCCTCCTCTTCCTATTCTTTCCAAAATCTCATATCTATTAACAGGATCGTCACTATCATCATTTTCATTCATTAATCCTTCCTCTATTGAAATGTTATTAGTTTTAAACAATTGTGGTTGTTGATAATCCAACAATGATTGATTCAATTCAATATTTGTTTGTTTTGGTTTTAAATTATCATAAACTTGTTGGATTTTAACTGAAATAGATTTTCTAAAATAATAAATCAAAATAATTAATACAATTACAATAATCATAATACCCATAAGTAATATAACTAGAATTGGTGCAATAATGACAGCAGTTCTTGATTCCCAATCAATTCTATTCGAACAATCAATTCCATAATGATCATTATCACAAGTGCAAATATTTGGAGTTTTGCACTGTCCATAAAAACATCCATTTGGACATTGTGTCAACTTTCTAATAGCATAATTCCCTGCATCTACTATATAGATATCACCACTTGAGCTAACAGCAATACCTTCTAAAGAAGAAAGTGGAAATGGATCAGTATTGGTATATTTCAAAGTTGTAATTGTTCCATTGCTTAATATGATTCGAATAGAATTGTCACTTGTAACTAGAATGTCATTCGTTACTGGATTGAAAGCGATTGATTTTGGAGAATTGAATTTAGAATTCTTTGCCAAAACACCATCTTCATATGATGTACCTGATCCTGCAACAGCTATTCTTCCTTTGGTTGTCATTTTGTAAAGTATTGAATTGGAAAGAAAATAAAATTCACCACTCTTTGGGTTGACTGCAATATAGTCAATAGATTCACTAGAACCTGAATTTTTTGTAATTACGCTAGTAATTGTTCCATTTTTGAATATTTTCCTTACAGCTCCCTTGTAATCATCCAAAATATAAAGTTCACCTGTTAAGGGATTTAAGGAAATTTCAGTAGGATTGACCAGCTTGGAATCTACTGCTAAAATACCATCTACAGACCTACCATACTCTCCATTTCCACAAATTGGAACAATTCTACTGTTGTTTACCATGACAATTGCAGGATAATTAGAATTTGCAATGAATAATTCATTCAAATCATTGATTGCTAATCCAACTGGATTGCACAATTTAGCTTGTGTTGCAACATCTTCATCTGACATGTAACCACAGACACCAGTTCCAGTCATTGTTGAGATAATTCCTGTTCTTAATGATATCCTTCTTACAATGTTAAAATATGTTTCACTAAAATACACATCTTCATTTGAGGAACTAACTGTAATTCTATTAGCATTGAGAAGAGAAACATTTTGAACAGGACCGGAATAGGATGGATCTAACATTTCATCTTCAATTCCTGCAATTGGTATAATTTTAACTTTTCCTTCAATAATTGATAACTTTTTGATTTGTCCAAGATTTCTTGAAGATTGAGTAATGTAAATCTCATCTCTATAAATTGTAAATCCTGATAAATAAATAACTGTTACCAATACAGTGGAAGTGTTGGTAACTAAATTGTAAGAAATAATAGAATTGGTCAATCCAAAAAGAACTTCTGTATCAGATTTGAATGTAATGTCAACAAAATAATTATTGGAAATAAGCAAACTGTTTCGTATTACTACAACAGTACCGTTTGAAAATACTCTAAATATTCCCTTATTTGAATAAATCATCAAATCTCCAGTATTCAAATTCATTGAAAAAGATTTCAAATCTCCAAATGTAGTATTAAGGGCCATACCAAATGTATTAACTGTACTATTTTGCTTTGAACCTGCAATTGTTGTAATATATCCATTGGAAACCTTTCTAATTAGTCCATTATATGTATCAGCAAAATAGACATCTCCCTTTGAGTCAACTTGAGCATATTTCGGATAATTAAGATCTGTTGCGGTTGCCAATCCATCACCATTGTAACCTCCTTCTTGACGGTACGTATTTGGAGAGATGGGATTTAAAGTTGTTCTACCAGTTCCAGCGATGGTAGAAATAACACCATCAGACGACACCTTTCTAATTCTATGATTGTTTATGTCACATATGTACACATCTCCATTCATTGGATTAACAGATATACCCAGCGAATATGACAGTTGTGCATGAATTGCCAACCCACCATCACCACTAAATCCATAACTGGTCTCAATTCCAGCAACCGATGGAACAAATAATCCATCAGAAGTAATTTTACGAACAGTTCCTCTACCCAAAGTTGTATACATATCACCATTGGCAGAGATAGCCAATTGACGACCAACATAATTGTCAAAGATAATAATTTTGGCATGGATGGCTCTTGTTTCGTTCAATGTTCCACCGATAACAGAACTAGTGTAAACAGCTTGACCGGAAACGAAAGTAATATTAGTAGTAGTGGAAAGAATAATCACGAGCAGAAGAAACAAAGTGAAGAAATGATGAATACTGCTGAAGTGTTGTTGGGTCATTGTTTTTTGAAAAGCTACAAATGTCAAGTGTGAGAAATTTACACGTCACAAAAAACCTTGCCTTGATTACCCAAAATTGCAAAACGTGATTCTCTTTAACAGGAATAATAATTTTGGCGGGAAATCTTATTATTTTTGCAATGAAGTTTCTCACTTGTAATTAGTAGTAGTATATTTAATGGTTGAATTCGTTAAGTGCTGCATAAATTAATGGAAATGTTGTTTTGAAGTAATTAATAACAACATTATTAGCCTTACTGAATAGAATTACAACATCACTAGTTGTGACTTTTTCCTTATATTGATTAAATAATTGAATATTCTCAAAAGTATAGTCAAATACTATTCTCAGGCTGGGATCTTCAAATTCCTTACCTTCCTCACCAGAATAAATATTTTGATCTCTTATTTTCACTAGAAAACGTAATCGTTCTTTCCATTGGGAGTACAGACTTTTGTATTTAGAGCTTGCAGCACTGCTTGAATATTATTAACAAATATCTGGTTTTCATTTTGGATTTCTTCATCCGTATCTATGTTTGGTTTTAACTTTTTAACTTGGTTGACTATATATTCTAAAGATTCGACAGTAGAACGGGTTTGTCCTCAATAGACCCGAAATCAATTGGACGGGTGAATGCTGTGTTGCTAGTATTCAAATAGAATAGAGAATGGCTCTAACCAGCTCCACTTAGAGCTAGTAACACAAATATCTTTGATTCTTTCGTTTCTTGGATTTCCTCTGCACTAAATTCGTGGATGGACACGTTACAATCTTGTGAGGTTTCATTCTTCTCACGTTCTTCATGAGTATTGTATGGTTTATCGAATTCGATTTCCATATAAGTAAACAAATCAAGAACCGATACTTCTACAATGATGGTATGCTCACAATCAAGATGTTTTTTAAACCACCACCCTAAATACTCGCAATCATCAATTAATCCAGACAAACGATCATCATAATATGAGGTAATATTTTTTCTAATATTTGGAGGATCATTGTATCATCTTACCAGTACATGAAATTAAGGCAAAAAATGAAAAATTTGAGTTTTGTTTGGTTTATGATCGTCGTACTGATCATTCTATTCACCTTTGTACCGATTGAACATGAGGTGGGACACAATTATTTTGAAATTTATGAAAAGGGAGATTATTTTAAGGTGTTGAGCAGTGTCTTGTTTCATCGGAATGTTGTTCATCTTCTTATTTGCTTGTATGGTCTCTGGTTATCAGGAAAGCTCTTCCAAAGAAGAGAATATTCATCTTTCACAGTGATTGCTATCACGATCAGTCTATTGATGGTGAATGTCTGCATTGATTTGATTTTCAAAAAGATGTTTGCAGATCCATCGAGAAAGATCTTCCAACATCGACACATGCTCGGTTTTGGTAATATCATTTTGGGCTATCTCTCCTATCTTAAAACTAGATCAGAAATTGAAATTGGTTTCGCAGCATTTGCATTACAATTTATCAGTGGAGACAAGACTAGTTTGCTATTAGGAATTTGCTCTGGATATATACTTGGAAAAATAGTAAGAAAGTATAGAAGTTTGAGAATGGAATTTTGAAAATGTTTATTCACATGAATAAATTAACTTTGTATGATAAAGAATGGCTTCTCCATCTGGTGATGATTGTAAAGGTTCCTCATTGTGTGAAGTTTCTTCATTGACACGTCTCAATTGTTCATACAGAATATTGACTGAAAGAGCCATAGTTCTTGAAATGAATGAAACTGACATGAAAGTAAACAACTTGATAAGGTTAAGGCAAAATTGGAATGAGGAAATGAACTCGATTAAAATTTCAGATCCACACTTGATACAGAAAGTAGGAGTGGTAGATCCAGTTTTGGATTCAACTTTTTCAATGTTAAATCCGTGCTTTCGAATATAGTCGTAGGCAATTCTCTTGGAAATAATTTTCTTTGGAAAGACTTTGTCTAATTCTTCTTGACTGTATCGGTTGATATGTTTTTGAATGTATTTAGGATAACTCTTTAGAATGGCAACTGATTCCAGGCATTGTTCTCTATTATTGAATACCCATTCAGATTCGAAATATTGGGCACTATTCAATTCTATACTTTCCTTTTGATAAACAGCATACCAATGAGCGAGTATTAAAGGAGGACAAACCAACATGGTGGCCATTCCAAAATTCTCAGACGAAACAAAGTCCATTACACCCTTGCTTAGTTTGCTCTTTTTCACAATTGGTTGAGCTGGTTTGTAATATTGAATATTACCAGCAGTTTTGGCAAACTTGGAATACTTATTTACATGAGTGACTTGTTTACACTCCTTCCAATCAATATAATCCTTCAAATTCTTCAAATTCATTGAAACATTAGTTCTTTCAAGTTGTGAGTTGGTTGACTTTTTCTTTGAATAGACATTCGAACAAGCAACATATTGCCAATCTTGATCAAAGTCAACTTGTTCCAAAATCCATTCTCTCGATTCAATATCAATCATTCTTAATCCATCTTGAAAAAGAAGACACATCCAATCTTCCTCTTCCCTAACCATGATATCTGAATCGTTGAGAATTGACAAATCCTCAAAACTGTCACCACTTTGTACAAAGTTGGAGTTTGAACTATTCTTTTGAATTGGCATTGTATTACTTAATTCTTCAAGAGAAACTATTGACGAAACAGCAGATAAACTCTCGTTACTGGTAGTATAATAGAATGATGTTGATGATGATGCAAAACAACTATCGTTGCAGTCTTCTTCTTCTTCGGTATTAGTTGAGTAAGAATAACTTGTTGGTGATTCTACTCTATAGTCATCAAGGCAATTTTCTTCAGTTGATATTGTTGATGATGAATAATTCCAACTCTCTGATGATGATAAATAGGAGATTGGTTGTAGATGAGCTGATGATGATGGTGATGATGGAAATTCTTCCATGCTACCTATATTACTTCTATTGTTAATGCTTCCATCCTTATCAGTGAAGGGAATGATTCGGGTCTTATTAATAGCACGAGTGGTACGACACTGATAATTATTCTCTTCCTGATGATGATGATAATGGTAATTAAATTCTTGATGATGAGCATCAGCAAAAGTTTCCGAGGTGTTACTATTAAAATTAATAATATTCGAAAGGGAGTAGTACTCTTGATGAGAGTGGTCGATATTTGACCAGTTTTTGGCTGGTGATGAATCCACTGATGTTATTTCTGGATAATTATGCATTTGAAAATCACCGAGAGTGATAAAGGCATGAATGGACATTTCAGAAGTGTCGCTGGATTATTTAACTCTTTACTGAAAGGGTTGTTTTGCTATTTCAAATTAGTCCAAGACTACAGTAATAATAAATTGTAGTAAAGGTAATTAAATTAATTAATAGAAGAAGGTTAAATATTGAGATGAAGAAGAATGCAGAAGATTTTGTTAGTGACAGTTGAGTTATTATTTTTGTCAGGAAGATCCTCTTCAATGGAAGTCCTGCATTTGATATTTGAGATCATACCATTGTTCCCAACTTCCTAGATAATGAAATAGAGTCACAGAGATATGAACTAACTTGGTTTATTGTCGAACATCATTGATTGTTACCACAAGGCATCAGCGTTTGGATCTTCATTTGTAACTTTCTTCGTTCCATCTGTTTTGATAAATCTAAAGGTGAGACTCACTCTTCTGTAATTTTCATCCCTTATTAATGTTTCACCAGTGCTTGGGACGTAGACTTGTTTCATATGGGTAATTCCATGTTTCCATTTGAATCTGGAATCGTCTTTCATTACAAATAAACTTCTTGGTTCGAGTAGAATCTTAGTTTGAATATTCTCATTGGATGCCAATTTCAGAACCATGTAAATTGGTTTGTTGAGTGAAACCAGTGTGATGATATCTCCAAACGGACCAGGATTATCAACATGACTACTAATTCCCTGTGTTCCAATATATTCATTCACAAGACATTGTGTTGGATTTCCATAATCAGTCTTGTACAGTCCATCCCGTTCCACAAGTCTTTCAATAAGCCAATCAAATTCCTTCAAATCCAAATGTTGATAATTGGAAGAGCTCTCATTAACTGGTTGCATTGTTGGAAGATTATGTCTTGTATGATAATAGGTATAGCCATACATTTGTGTTCTTCTACAAATTTCATGGCACCATGCCTTAGAGTCAATTAATTTCATAATTCTCTCCTCTTCCTCTTCCGAAATGTAGTTTTTAATGTAGATTGCTCCAGGAACAACAACCTTTGGATTGGTAGAAAATAATTCCTTACATCCTGTTAGGGAGTTGTATTCAACCATGTGTGGCTCAACTATTGTGCTAATACTATTTGATGGAGTTGAAGAAGTGCTCATTGATGATGAATCATCACCTCCACAACAACACTTTTCTGTGGATGATAAAGTACTCTCGGTTGTTGCCATTTTTTTTCCTATTCGGGTAATTTTTAAACCACATGGTAAAGGAAGGTGCATTTTCAAAATACTTTGAAGATAAATTGAGATTGAAACAATTGTTTTATTTCATATTATTTTAGCACACTTTGGTATTTATTTGTTTCCTTCACAAAGGTAACAATTATGAAATGAGTTGGTTGAAATGGAGGTATATTCATCAAAACCTCTCAATTCTTCTGCTATTCTAATTTCCTCTTCTCAGATTGACCAATAAATGACCTCTATCAAAAAAAAGTTAGAGTTTGAATTGCTGAAAGGACATTTTTCCACAAATGCCTTAATATTACTGTGAAATGAAGCAGACTTGGCCGAGTGGTTAAGGCGACAGACTTGAAATCTGTTGGGGAAACCTTCGTAGGTTCGAATCCTGCAGTCTGCGTCTGAAATTTTGATTTTATGCTATTCCTTCAGTAAAAAGCAAGAACTGTTTACTTCTAATGAGAGGAAAATTGTTCCCATCCAAAATGATTTTCAGGTCTTCATATCACGATCCGCAGTCTGAATCTGTTGATTGAGGAGTATTATTTTTGAGAAATGTTTTTTCACATTTGGCAAATTGATTGAATTTTTGTGTTGCAGGAATATTCCGGAACGAATCCCTTAATACATACCTTGCAATGAGAAGCGGTCTTGACCGAGTGGTTAAGGTGATTGACTAGAAATCAATTGGGGCGACCCGCACAGGTTCGAATCCTGTAGACCGCGAAAATTTTTTGACAGTATCTGATATCGAATTTACTTTGATTCAAAATTATTTTATATTAAAACTCAAATAATACAACGACAGGAAGGTGATCTGAAATACCAGAAGCATCGGAATCAATCCATGATTGTTTGAGATATGGCTGCAATTCAGTATTACTAATGACATAGTCAATTCGAGTGTCGAGTCTTGAAGAACCAGTTCCTTTCTCTCCCTCAAATATGATATCTGGATTTAAAACTTTCCAACAATCCACGAGTGGCATTTTTAGTTTAGGTTCGTCAGCTTCTTCTGTGGAGTGACTTTCTGGTGTTGTTGGTTCATTAAATAATAGGGAGGTAACTTGGGTATCTGGAGCTTCCCAACCATATTGAATTCTCTGCTTAATGAGATAATCCCAAAACTTATCCGTATAATCATCCATTCTCATTGAATTAAAATCTCCAAGAAGAATGAAATTCTTATTCTCATCATTTGGATAATCCACCAATTTCCTATCAATAAAGTGTTTCATAAAAGACAAGACTCTCTTCAATTGTAACACTCTCTTATTTTCACTCACATGATCCAAATGAGTCACAAATACATTCCTCACCAATGGATGATCAATTTTAATACCAAGTACTGATCTTTCACCTCTTCCAACATCCTTCTTTTCCTGAAATAGAATTGGATATTTACTCAGAATAATATTCGATTCATAATTAGTGGGTCCAGATCGATATTGATAGGGCCGAGCCACTTCCACCTCCTCAGGTAATGATGAATTCAATGCATAAACCAAATCTCTCAGAGGATGAGAATACTCGCTATCTTCATAAACTTCATTCAGGCAGACAATGTCGAAATTGTTTTTATGCAAATATTTGTATAATTCGGTGAGGTTACTCCTTCCGTATGCAGTGGAGAAGTGATGAACATTGAAGGAACAACAGGAGAGTAAATTGTTGGATTCTGGAGGTGGTGGAGATGAAGTTTGATCGAGAGACATTTTTTTGATAGAAGAAATCGGAACATGGTTGAATGTAATAATATTACAGTGTAATATTAGTACGTGGTTTACAAATTAGTATTTAAATATTGTTAAATATTTGTAATCTTTAATATTTATTAATAATTTAATAATTAATTATTATTTAAAAAAAATGGCAATCACCAAAGTCATCATACCTATTGCAGGTCACGGCACGAGAATGTTTCCTGCATCAAAAGTCATGCCAAAGGCTCTCTTTCCAATCCTTGATCCGAAAGATAAACTTTGCAAGCCTATTTTATTAATAATTATTGAACATGCAGTGGAGGCGCTACTTGCAGAACAACCAGAAATCGGATGGGATGATATTCAAGTTTGTATTGTCATGCAGGAAAATCAGAGGAGTATTATAGAGGAATTTTTCAATGCGCCTTGTGCTTTTTCTATGGAAGGAAAAGCAAAGGAAATTCAAGATTCGATGAGAATGATTGAGAAAATTTCAAAAACTCTGACTTTTATTGTACAGGAGGAACAACTTGGATTTGGACATGCATTGTTGTGTTGTGCTGATAAATTCATTAAGGAGAATGAGGCATTTATTGTCTTGTTGGGAGATCATATCTATACATCGAGGACTCAAAGTGGAAAAAGTTGTTTGCAGTATGCTGTTAGAGCTTTTAACAAGTTCAATAAGGCTATTGTCACATTGGATACCATTTCAGAAAAACATACGTATGCAAATGGTGTGCTAAAGATTGGACAAGTATTGGAGAAGGAGAGTGAGGTTGTTTATACGTCCATTCTGACTACTATTGAGAAACCGAACAAGATTCAATGTGAAAATCACAATCTCTATATAACAGAGGAGGAGTTACAAATGCTTGAAGTGGAGAGAACATGTAAGAATGAAAATGATGTTGTCTGCTATTTTGGCATTGACATTTTAACCTATGAAGTGTTTACCCATTTGAGAGAAAATTGGAAATGTGGAAAACTTCATAATGGTGAACTTAATTTAAGAGAAGCTATGTGTCCCACTATTGAACGTGGAGATATGGTTGGTGTTTTTGTTAGAGATGCTTCACGGCACGATACAGGATTACCATTTGAGTATTGGCAATCACTACAAGATTTTTACAATAATATCAAGAATAAATAGATCTAATTTATTTAGGAGATTTTCTATTATGCCAAAGATTGGGTTCTGTAGCATTAAAACCAGAAACGATTATGTCTACCTGTGTGGCCAGAAACAAGTAGGTAAGGGAAATAAATTTATAACACATTAAACTCAATTTTTGAAGTAAGTTTTACTAGTTGAAAAGGTTATTATAAACGTCATCAGAAGTTTCACCATCAAACAAATCTAAATTTTCTTGGTGATTGACCACTTCTTTTGCATCTTCGAATTGTTCAATGTAAAGTTGCTTGTGTGCAATTGTATCTTGTGGATTCAAAGTACATTTGAGATCGCAATTTTCCTTATTAAGACGATTGATCTGTTGGAACAGTTCTTGGATATTGTTAAAGTGAGCAAGAGCCATTTCAGAAATTTTAACATTGTAATGTTGATGGGTAGAAGCAACGGTATTGTCTCTGTCTTCTATTATGCCTTCCAATCGAATAATTTTGGCTATGAGATCTTCTTGAGACATTTGGGCAAGTTCAGCTGGGCGGGATTTATATACTACCTTTGGCTGAGAAAGAGGTTGACTATTTTCATGTGGAATAGGATTATTTTGAATGGTTGTGCTTGCTGATTGCAAGCTATTAGTGTTTGAATTATTTGCAAAAGCAAGGTCAAGTTGAGACACCAAATCAGTACTGGCTGCGTCTATTCCAGAAGATGAAGCTTCTCCTGGTTGACTATTGCGCTTTACTTTCTTTCTGGATTCAGAGGGATCAAGCTTTTCATTGGTAACTGGATAAACCTTTGTACAAACCAATAACTGCAATATTTCCTTGTTATCTTTCGTACAAATCCATAAAATCAATCGACATTTTTCACACTTCTTCATCACACTATGAATTGTCTTGCAACTCTTAATGTCCAAGGAGCCAGAAGATTTCTTAATATCTGTATCTCCAATAATCTTACAAACTTTGTCTTTTTGACTCTCATCAACACCAAACAAGAATATTTCCAAATTATCAATGTCTCCATATTGTGAAATTCCACTTTTTTTAGACAAGGCAAGTTTTCTTCTTCTCAAAGACACTCTATTTTGATCATTCTCAAATTCTTCAGTCTCAACCAAATTCGTCTTCATGATGATGTCTTCATAGATATCCTGAATAAAGGTTGCCATGTCCTTGTCTCTCTTCGGAGGACTTGTTGGTTTCTTCTCTGCAGGAATATCATCTAAAATATTGCAAAAGGTAATTCGTTCCTTCTCCACAAGCTGAACCGGTGTAGGGAAACTGTTGAAAAAGTCATCTAAATCGCTCGTTGTTGGCAACATTCTATTTTTTTTATGGGGACGTTGTGGCTTTTTCTTGTTTACAACAGTGGAACAGACATTCCGTTTTGCGGGTTTTGCTTCTTATGGGAACAATGAATTGTGTTAAAAATTTTACAGTTCAATTACAATTTATGGATCTAACTCGAATTTGAACAATATGATATAATTTTTAATTATACATTTGAAAAAGGTTCAAATTCAAAAAAATAGAAAAAATGTCACAAGATAACACGACGGTGGAAATTATTCAAGCACAAGAATTGGCGAAAGATATTCTGGATGGAAAATCATCGAGTTTTATGATAATAGATGTTCGAGATGTGGATCACAAGGGAGAATCAATTGTCGGATCGAGGAATGTTCCATATTTTAACAAGGATAAAGCTAGTAATTTGTTGAAGGAAATTGTGTTTGCCAATCAATCGAGACAAGTTAAGATTGATACTGTAATCTTCCATTGTTTTTATTGTACGATTAGAGGACCAGCTGCTGCCAAGCTATTTGCTGATACTATCAATGATGCTGCTGGTACTAGTACTGATTCAGAATCTTCTCTTCTGAAAGTGAAATATCTGGAAGGTGGTTGGGCTAAATGGAAACAATTATATGCTAAAAAACCTGCCAATCTCATTGTTAAAGTAAATAAAGATTGAACAGTATTGAAACTCCTAAGTTGATGAAAAGTATTGTTGATTTTTAGACAAGTCAATCACTCTATAAATTAAATTTCCAACCTTAACTCTAGCAGTTCCTTTGATAATCCACTTGACAGAGTGATTTGACTGAAGACTACTGAATATTAAATCAGAAATTGTCTTGATGACTGCTGGTGAAAGTGCCTGTTGTGTGAAATCAATTGAAATTGGTAAAGTATATGATGTTTCTCTCCAACCTCTCAAATTCAAACTAGTTCCATTATTTTCATAATTCCAATCAAATGGGGTTGATATTAAATCATATGATGTTTGAGCTACAATATCCTTGATAGAAATCTTTTCAATGCAAATATCGGTAAGTAGTGAATCTTGAATATTCATATTATAAATAATAAAATTCAAATTAAATCCTAAAATAGCATGTGGGCTATCAGTGTCTGTTCTGAAACTTGCGGTCGGTAATTTGGTAATTGACAATTGGTCAATATATACATATGGCGATCTAAAAACATAAAATATAACTATTGTAATAGAAATAAGTAAGGAAATTAAGAATGCCATTATTGATGCTGCAATACACATGTACTGCCATCTCCTCTTTCGATTTTTGTGAATCATTAATTGCATATTTGTACCATTACCAGCACCACCACTATTTACATTCAACACTGGTGGTTCCTTCATCATCACTGTATTATTATTATTATGCCAGCACCAATATTATTATTGCTCTTGATACTTCTCGATGTTGTATTATTACTAAGTGTTCTCCTGTGAAGAAATCTCCTCCTTCCTCCTAGATTAGGCTTTGCCACATAGGAAATCACTGTAACATTATCCTGTTGTTGTTGTTGTTGATGCTGTTGATCTCCAATTCCTCCATACGATTGTTTATTACCCATAGTAATTGGTGTTATGAGTCTTGATGAATCATCGGTGAGCGTACTCTCATCATCAAATCCTACCCGATCATCATCTAAATATTTCATTCTCTCCTCTTCATCATTGTTGGAAGACTTGATGAAGGCTCTGAGTTTATTCTTCTCAGCCTTGTCACTCCTGAAGGTAAAGAGTGTTTCATCAGCTCCCGTCTCCAAATCACACGATGATTCCACAACATGTCGATTAGGTGAAGGTTTATTTCCTTGTTGTTGTTGCATTTTTTCAAGTTGAGAACTCCTAGGATCTTGTTGGATTATTTATTGGTTGACTAACAATAAATTATTCGTCTTGTTGGAAAGATTCTCCTGTTGTTGGAATGTTAGTGAAAGAATCGAGAGAGGAGTGGTATCTTCTGGCTAAAGATTGAACCAGTTGAGCACAATTTGTCTTATCATCTACTCGAATGAATTGGAGAGATTGGATAACCTTTGTATTCAAATATGAAATATTTCTAACAATGTACCAAATAAGGTTTCTCTTGTGGAATTCATCAAGACTATAAATGAATAAAAAGTCCAAATCACAACTTGGGGCATTCAAAATTCTCATCACATAGGACAATTTTTCTATAACATTCGATTCATCAATAGGTCCTCTCAAAGTATTGAAATATTCTCTCTCATCTTCAAGCTCTGTTACTTGCTCAACTAGCTCCTTATCAGAGGAAAGTAAAATGAATTCACATGCTTTGAATAAATCATAGGATTCACAATCGATGGATAAAGTAAGGAAATCTACAATATTAGTATAATTGATTTCATGAGTAATACTTCTAGAAGCAATCTTTGATAAATTATTTTCCTTAAATTTGTGAGCCAGTTTGAAAAGTTCTACAAACTCATCAAAAGTAAGTTCTTCCTCATCTTCAATTTCGTCAACCTCTTCATTCTCTTCGGCAGTATTCTCAGAATTTTCTGGAGATTTTATCATTTCATTGTTCTCGTCATTTTCACTTGGTTCCTTTTCTTCATTTTGTTTGCTCTGTAAGGAGGATGAATTCTCACTTTCACTCATTTCTTTGTCTTCATTTTCGCTATTTTCTTCAACCCCTTCCAAATCTTCTTCCATTTTGCTTTCAACATACCTATCTGTTTGAAGTTTTAGATCATTATAGTAGAGATAAAAACCAAATCTTTCCAATACCAACTCTTTCTTAACCACTTCTGAAAGATCATAGCATGTTAAATCAGGGTTTTCAATAATAATCTTTCTGAAAAACTCAATTCTTGAAGCTAGAATAAATTTGTGAACTTTGATTTCAACCTTCTCATCTCCATCATTTCTGAAGAAGAGTGTAAAATCTTTTGTACTATCATCTTTCCACAATTTGTATAAAGTAGAACAGGAATTGAACGAATCATTGTACAGAATAGTGGTATCTTTCGACATTTCTCCATCTTCAATTCTAAACATAGCTTCAATTGCATGAACATAACTGTCAAGTAGTGATCCCTCAAGATCTTCTAAATCTGTGACCCCTCGATAAACATATTCAAAAAATTCATAAAGATTATCAAAATTAACACGAGGCAATTTCTCCTTAATAGTTTGTACGGAAATACCTTGCTTTGAATCACTCATAAAATCATTAAAAAAAATAGGACATCTTATTTTGATAAGAGGTGAATAAAGTCCCAATTTTCTTCCATCTTCAAATTCTATAAATGTGTCACAAACGATATTAGATCCTGGAATTTCTGACATGTCTCCTAAAAAATGGCAAATACAATCAGCTAGATGGTTGTTATCGGTAAGAGGATCATTATTTTCAAATCTTTCATCTACCAATATTTCCCTTTTCTCTATTGGTTGTGCATTATAGAAAAATTGTCTTTCAACTTGCACATCAGTTAGACTTTCTGGAGGGAATTGCGGTTTTGTATCAAATTTAAATTCACATTTAACATACTCACAAGGAGTTTCAAAATCATATGAACCATGACCGCCTGTGAAATGGGGTCTATGTACAAACTTTAAGGCATTCAACATGTCCTCCTCAGTGACAGTTTTTTCTGTATTTTTCAAGGAAATCCATTCAACCACACCTTGAATATATTCTTTGAGTTGTAAGAACGATTCAAAGTAGGCACCTGAATCTGCATGCATAACTGAACCTCTTCTCATCAATCTGGTCAAATCACGATAAATGCTATTGCTAGTTGGAAGTTGTGATTCCATACTAATTTCAAAATCTAATATGTGTTCAGCGCATGGAATGGCAATTGTCATTGATCCCCAAACATCATTTTCTGCGTTATCATCGTTCACAAAGTGTCCATCATCAGAATAATATTGTGTCACCAATTCTTGGTTGACAATAGGTTCTCTAACGTTTCTCTCCTCATAGAGGTCCTCTTCACCGTCTTCATTCAAGGTTAGTTCCTCTTCTGTCTCTGTGTGATCACTTTTAAGAAACTCAAAAGTGCTCGAAAGAGATTTTGCTACTGGGTCTATCATTTTTCTCTTGTAATGGTTCATTTCTTCAATATCGAACTGGGATATTTCCATAGGGTTATCCCACAAGGGATGCCCAACCATATAGTTATCGTTTTCAATATCACTGTCGGTATCAGTATCTGTATCCATGGAAAGATATCCTTCATCTTCTTCGTCTTGATTCTCTTTTTCTTCTTTTTCTTCTTCGTCTCCTTCATTATCATCTTCATCATCTTCATTATCTTCATGGTCATCGTCTTCATTCAACATTGGCTCTTCGTTTGCATCATTTTCACCTTCATTAAAGGTTGGCTCCACATTTTCCTTATCTTTCTCTTCAGAGTTGATGATTGTACCAATTGTTTCATTGGTTTCATTGTCACTTTCATCATCTCTCAGAGTAGAATCGTCTCCATTCAATACATAATTTAAATCTTCCTCAATTTCCTTCACCATTTCATTCTCTTTTGCAGTAACGACACTGTAAGTGTAAATATCGTGATCCATTCTAAAGCATGAGAAATTTCTATTATCAATAAAAGAGTCTATTACTCCTCTCACTGTCGCTCTGGCCATTAATTCATAAGATTTCTTGGAAACTCGGTTTAAAAGATACACAAGCTCGGTATTAATACAATTCAAAATAAATAAGGAAGTAGCCAATCTCAAATAAGAAACCTCAAGCGAGTGATGTTCTTGTGGTGTCTGATTCTTTTCAAACATGGTCATTGTTGTTTCAAGAATAAAAAGGAATGGATTGTGATATTTTGGCTCCAGGGAAAATTTCATATCGGCAAAAGGGCTTTCAGTATATTTCGTTTGTGATTCATCGGGCAACATTTCATCGAATAGATATTTGAAATAAAAGGCCTCATCATTCACAAAGCCATCATATTCTTCAAGTTCTTGTGTGGTGTAAACATATTCTTTGGATTCCTTGTCGAAATGAACGAAAACTGGTTCAGTGTTAGAGGCATTGTTCCATTGAGACTTTTCATGCACCTCCTTGATTTCTGTTTCGTCAAGGCTGTTTAAACGCTCCAGTCTTTCGTCTTCATTGTAATTATATCCTAAAGGATTGTGATTTCTATCCAAATGATAGGCAAAATCGTCGTCGTGGGTAATTTCCTCGTATTCCATTAAATTTTTCATTACTTGCTTTTCATTTTCGTCTAGGTTTTGTAATCCTTCTTGTTCATTATCATCGGCTAAATTGAGTTGTTTTTGAATTTCAACCAAGTTTGGTAATGTGTACTTTTTCCAGTTGTGAAGATTTTCTCTAAGAGTCTCTTCACTTTCATCTCCAAACATTATTTTTGCCTGTGAAATTTCATTGGCAGGACAAATGATTCTATTACTCTCCAACAAATCATTGATAAAATCTGTCGAATGGACCTGGATTTTAATCACCATCCTCTCAGCAAGATAAAGTGAAAGAGATTCAATCTCTTCCCTTCTCTTCAATACATCATCAAGGACATCTTTAATACTATTGGGTACAACTCCTCCGACCTCTATTTGTACAAGTTCTAACAAGAGATTTCTAGCCTTTCTCACGTGCCAAGTTTTAATAATTTCAGTTCCTTTAGAGAGGCTTGAAGAAAAATCAACCTCCTCTATACGATCATCGTACTCAATTTCTTCCTTCCGTGTTTGAAAATAATTTTTCAACCTTTTCGGAATCCTTTCTAATTGTTGTTGTTGTTCATGCTCAGAAGCATCATCATCCCTCGAGATAGCCTTTCTCTTGAGAGGATTTATTTGATTTTCTCCATCACCTTGTTCTTGATCGAGGCTAGGTGTGTTGTGCAGATTTTCAGTCATTTTTTTTTTAAGTTTTTTGATTTCCACATTTTGCTGGTAATACGTTCTTTTACAACAATTATTTCGAGCTGAGAATGGCCATTCTTTATTGAAGGGAAGGAATTGAAAAATCCAGTAAAATTTGATCAAGTTAATAATTTATATTGTAATCTAATTCCATTAGAATGATTAACAATAATGAGCGATGTTGTGTTAAAATGTTCTTTCTTCATAGTCACTTGATGACACAGTATGATGCCATGTAAACTGTAATAAGTCCATCAACTTCACACATCAATCTTGTCAACTTGACATAAATCATCATTTTTAACCCATCAAACTCAAACTGTATAAATACCTTTCCGATCTCATCTATCCTATTCTTCATAAAAAAAAATCAATCTATTCGAAAACATGTCCTTCTGTGAAGACGTTCAAGCCCTCGTTGTTGACAACGGTTCTGGTATGTGTAAAGCTGGTTTTGCTGGTGATGATGCTCCAAGAGCTGTCTTCCCTTCAATTATTGGTAGACCAAAGCAAAAGTCCATCATGGTTGGTATGGGTAACAAGGATGCCTATGTTGGTGATGAAGCTCAATCAAAGAGAGGTATCTTGACTTTGAAGTATCCAATTGAACATGGTATTGTTACCAATTGGGATGATATGGAAAAGATCTGGCATCACACTTTCTACAATGAATTGAGAGTTGCTCCAGAAGAACATCCAGTCTTGTTGACTGAAGCTCCTTTGAATCCAAAGGCCAATAGAGAAAAGATGACTCAAATCATGTTTGAAACCTTCTCAGTTCCAGCAATGTATGTTGCTATTCAAGCTGTCTTGTCCTTGTATGCTTCTGGTAGAACTACTGGTATTGTTTTGGACTCTGGTGATGGTGTTTCTCACACTGTTCCAATTTATGAAGGTTATGCCTTGCCACATGCCATCTTGAGATTGGATTTGGCTGGTCGTGACTTGACTGATTACTTGATGAAGATTTTGATGGAAAGAGGTTACTCATTCAACACTACTGCTGAAAGAGAAATTGTCAGAGATATTAAGGAAAAGCTCTGTTATATTGCTTTGGACTTTGAAGCTGAAATGAAGGTTGCTGCTGAATCATCCTCAGTTGAAAAGTCATATGAATTGCCAGACGGTAATGTTATCACTGTTGGTAATGAAAGATTCAGATGTCCAGAAGTCTTGTTCCAACCTAATTTCATTGGTATGGAAGCTGCTGGTGTTCATGAAACTACTTTCAACTCAATTGGTAAATGTGACATTGACATCAGAAAGGACTTGTACGGTAACGTTGTCTTATCTGGTGGTACTACCATGTTCGAAGGTATTGCTGAAAGAATGACCAAGGAATTGACTGCTATGGCTCCTGCCTCAATGAAGATTAAGGTTGTTGCTCCACCAGAAAGAAAGTACTCAGTCTGGATTGGAGGCAGTATTTTAGCCTCACTTTCAACATTCCAACAGATGTGGATAACGAAGGAAGAATATGAGGATGCCGGCCCAGGTATCGTTCACAGAAAGTGTTTCTAAATTGGCACTTTGTATAGTCAACTGTCGAGCTCTGTAAAAATAAATCTGTAAATTCAATGAATTTTTCAAAAATGACTTGATTTTCGGAATCTCCATAGTTTGTTTGGTAGGTAGGTGCTATAACCTTATTAAATAGTGAAGTAGTGATCGATAGGGAAGGCAACGATTAAAATTAGAGAGCTAGAAAATATTTCATTTTAAAAAAAAAAAAAAAAATTTGAAAATATTTTATTTACATTTTAAGGAAGGGTATTGAGTGGAGAAGGAGTTTGTAACAAAAAATATTTAGAGTTAAGAAGTAAATTATCTTGGTTGACCAAAAAAAAATTGTAAAAATTTTAATATTTTAAATTTAGTGTGAACAAGTGCCGTTCCCCTCAGAGAGGTCAGATTTTCAAGAAGGAATTGATATTTTTCACCAAAAAAAGACTACAGCACCACAGGTTCCCAAGTTGTCTCCAACCTCAGTACTGATGTGGCTCGACGATGCTTAACTTCTCAAATCGGACGGGATGAGGTGCATTCATCGTGATATGGCCGTAGCCATTCACTTTCTTAAATTAAGGCTTACCAATAGAGTCAACCTTGAAAGTTTCAGATTATTAGAATGTTTATTTCAGTTAGATTCATTCAACCATTCATTACCTTATTCCAAGAATATTGGTAAATAAACAAAACCAGTTATTAATAAAAGTGAACAACGTTTAAAGTAAGGAAGCCAATGTAGCACCAATGGATTTTGTAAGGTCTGCATTTTGAATCTCTGATTTGATCTTTTCAAAAGTGTTCAAATGTTTCATCTCTTGAATGGCCCTTTCTTTGCACTCTTCAACTTGTAAAATATTGGAAAGGGTTTCTAAACATACTCTAAGAAATTCATCACACAATCCAGAGTGTAATATTTCAATTACATTGAGATTGATTAGATGATTAATAATTTTATGGTTGCCACGGCAGCACAGAGTCTCTATGAAAGAAAACAGCCCAGGTTTGACAAAGAGATTATCATTAAATTTTGACGTTTCCAAAAAAAGAGGCGTTATTTTAGAATTCACTACCACCCCCTCGATTTGTTCTGCAGGTATACTTGAAAGTATATAGAATGCTTCTCTTATGAGTAAATTGTTTTCACTCGTAAGGAAAATGGATACCTTTTCCAATAATCCACTATTTAAGGCAATTTCTGTTTGAATAGTATTATCTGTACAAATATTTGAAATAGTACGAGAAGCAGGTCTGTATTACTATTGATGAGTAGAAAGAATCTATGTGATACTTACATTTGGTTATGTATAGAGCTGTCGGAGAGGAGTGCCACCAATTTTGAAATGGTATCGGATGTAATAACCAATTGATTAATTGCAGGTTCTACATCTGTTAGTAAGGAAAAATCCCAAAGAAAACCATCAGATATCTCAGATTGATGGAGCATTTTGGAAAGTATTGGGATTGCCTTTTCAAAATATTGTACAGGTGCTGTGGTGTAATTTCTCGATAATAAAATAGAAATTGAGTATGTTACTGCAAAAATTAATGAATATAATAAATTTTAAACACATACCATTTCGAATTCGCTCCAATTGATTATTGTTTGAATTAATAAAATTGATAAGTATGTCCAAATAGCCATGACTTAGCAATGTATCTCTGAACTCTATTATTTCGTGACTATTTTGATTAATGTTATCTAATGCCAAAATGGACTGATATTGCATTTCAGAATCATTACAAGCATTAACGAGCATAATCAATTTTGGAACACATCCTAGGTCTACAATATGTTGAACATACTCTATTGTTCTGCGGCCTATATTAGTAAGAGACCTCACAGATTCATATTGAAGTGCCAATAACTGTGCTGTGCTTATTCTATTTGTTATTGAGGAATCATCAATATGAAAATTCTCATCGCTTTGAATATTGAAATACCTTGAGACATATTTCACATCAAGAAAATCAACAAGATACTTTGTAATTCCAGCTTTAACAATCCATGAAAAGTGCAAATCTGTTCCAGCCGAAAACAATCTAATCATTTTTACACTTTCAAAAATTGTTTCATAATTATTAAATTCCATATTCATATATATTGCTAATCTTTCAATTTCAATTTCAGAAAAAGGAAGAACCACTCTTCTCAGCAAGAAATTTTTTGTTTTGAAATGTTTCAATCTTTGATGATCAATTAGAGCCTTCCGAGCTTGTTTTTTAATCCGATCCTTGCTGAGTCTGCGCTTTTCATAGTCGTCATTCAAAGTATTAACAGAGTTGAGGTCTTCTTGGCTAAGCATTTTTTTTTCTGGTTGTAAAAAGAAAAATCACAGTATTGAATTATCTATTTAGGTCAAGTGGGGTTACATCATTAAGACATTCGAAATAGTTTCAAGTTTATTTTTCTTGATGAATGTGAGTGTTACAATGAAAAAATTTCATGAAATAAATGATGAAATAGCAAGTTGTTAAATCAAGAAAATAATCAGTCATCTTCCAAAGCGGGATTTCGAAAATCATTATTGTAATCCCACGAACTTCCATTAAAATTTAATTATTAAAAAAATCACTCAACCTTCCTAATCATCTATCAACTGACCAATGGAGAGCAATTGATCACACAACAATGCGAAATTTAAATCTCATTAACATTGATGCATGGAATAAATTCCCTCACACCATCATCATTCCTTTTATAAATTATTCGAAACCATGTATTTATTATTCGAAACTTTTTACCATCATTCTAGTAATACTAGTATTTGTAAATAATTTCATCACTCCGATTAGTAGTAACACTACTAATACTATAATTAATGTAGCCTCTACAAACAATAATAATCCAGTTTTTTCACCCACCGAAAAACTAGATCATCAAACTCTATATCTTACTCCACGATACATGAAAGCAGGTATAAATTATGTCAAATATGAGGTGGATACCTTTACAGAGAGGAGGATTACAGATTGTTATTTTGTACAGAAGGGTAGATGTGCCTATCAGAAATTAAGTTATGTCTATGTTGCCGATACTCCAGATTCGGAATATATGGATTGTGTGATTGGATGTAATACTTTTACAAAAATTGGAAAACAAATAATTACAGATTTAACAACAAAATTATTGGATATTTATAATGAGGCCAATAACACAAAAATTCCAATTGCACTTGTTGTGATTGATATCTTGTTGGCAACTGATGTGCCGAGTGCATCTTGTACTGGAATAGTTGAATTGAACTTTCTTATGAAAATGTATTCATTAGATTACACGATCATTTACCAAATTCATGGAGAAAATAAGATTGTTAATTGTAATAATGCATATTTATTGCATTATACTCCCAATCCGAAAGTTTACATGATTTTTAATGGCATATCTCTTTATAATACATTTGTTTTGGGTTGTGTTGTGATCAGGGATGCTGTATTGAACAATACTACACTGAATAGTATTTATGAGTCTGTTGCGTTGATTAATGTAAATTCTAAAGGTCATCTCGGATTAATATTAGGGGATCCAACAGGTGTTGTCACAAGTGCCTTTTTTCACAATGTACAAGTGGAAGTGTTGAATCATTTGGTATTTAAAAATTTTAAAACCTTAATTATTAGTAATTCGAGTTTACCAATTCAAAAGAATGATGTATTCTCGTCCATTACGTCAGTATGGCTTTATGAGTCAGTACTGAGAGTTGGAGGATATTTATTATTTCAGGATGTGGATGAATTTGCAGCATATAAAGCTAGCATTGAATTGGTAGAATCCCCACGCGAAAATCTTCCAATTCTGAGAGTTTCATATTGTAAAGTTGCTGTCATTTTTGCAATGACTTTTGATAGATACATTGGAAAATCATCATTAAGAATTGAGCAGACAGCCATGGCCGCAATTTATGAAATGATTGTTTCTAATGGGATTGCAGGTATTGCTGGAAATAATGTCCAACTTAGAAATATTAGAAGTCTCGCTGTGGTAGACTCTGTGTTTGAGAATAATGTAGCAGACTTTAGCTCTCTCAGATTGAATCAAGTTTCCTCTGTCCTAATGAACAATGTTTCCTTTATCAATAACAGTGGTTCATATGGAGCTATTTCATTTACCAATGAGGAGTATACATATGGATCTCTTTCATATTTTACTGGGTGCTCCTTTATTAGAAATAGAGCAAGCAATGTGGGTGGTGGTGCCATTTATATCAGCTACACACCAGTATTGTTTTCAATGTGTCAATTCAAAGACAATTATGCAACAATAGGGGGAGCTATCTACTCTCGATATGGACTTCATTTGGAAGATTGCCTTTTCATTGGTAATAGGGCTCTGTATTCTGGAGGAGCTGCTCTGTCACATGATACCATGTCAATTGTCACCACAACATTCATAGAGAACTCAGTGGTATCAAAAGATATTGTGAATTGCAATAGAGAAATATGCAAAGGATATGGTGGTGCTATTTACTTTGATTCAAGCAATACTGGATCTGAAATTGAATTGGTTTCTAATAGATTTGAAAGGAATTCTGCTGTTTCTGGTGGGGCAATATCACTGAGAATCTTCACCCCAGACCCAGCTGCCAAGTTTGTCAATAACACAGTTATCAACAATAAGGCTGTCTATTCTGGTGGTGGAATTTTCTTCTCGCTAAATGACTTGGAGCTCGACACTAAAACCAATACAATTACAGGAAACTCTGCTACTAGTCATGGTAATGACATTTCCACACCAATTAAATCAGTTGACTGGGGACCAATATCAAGAGATGCCAAGCAAACTGAAATGACTTTATATCCAGGTCAAGCGTTTTCATTTACTCCAACCTTTACCGACTTTGTAGGCAATCAGTTTTTTACATGCAAGGAAAGTTTTGTCACTACAACTAACCCTGAGAGCTTTTCACTCTCAACTAGCGCAGATTTCAACAACATGTTTGTTACTGCTTCAAATTCCACATTCGTACCGACTAAAATTAGAGCCAAGCTCACTTTTTTAAGAACTAGTACCGAGTTGACCATCAACGTAATCCCCTGCCCAAATGGATTCAGTATTAACCAAGCTAACTATCTGTCACACTCATCTTCCTACATTTGTAAAGAGAATACACCTACTGATTATATAATCATTGTAGCTGTGTGCGTGACTATTGTAGTATTTGCTTTATCACTCCTTATATTGTCTCTAGTCATTTGTGTCTGTGTAAAGGCAGGAAGGAAGGTTCTGTATTGGGTGCAACGAGATAAGGCTGAGAAGGACATTGAGAAGAGACTATTGGAGAATGAGTATATTTCTCTCAATGAACCAGGTCATCAGCACAGCCATGATAAGAAGAACAGTTTTGTCATTAGTATAGATCAAATATTTTTGGAGAAAAAAATTGGAGAAGGAGGATCAGGAGTTGTCTATTTAGGTAAATGGCACCATAATGCTGTCGCAGTTAAATGCTTGAGAATTGACACTACTTCGTCTGGAAGTATGGATTCTGATGAGATTGAAAAGGAAGCGGCTCTATTATGTAAACTTAGACATCCTAATATTGTACTATTCTATGGTATTTCTATTAGTCTCCACAAACAATATTTGGTTGTCGAATATTTGGAGAAGGGAAGTTTAGAAAAGCTAATTAATGAAATGAGAAGAACAGAAAATCCTACTCAAATTTCCTTCATTCAAAAATTGAATACTCTCATCGATATCACTTGTGGAATGGTATATCTGCATAGTTTGAAAATTATTCACAGGTAAGTGAGCTTAGATTACTTGATATTCACTCTTTCTATTCTCAGAGATTTGAAACCTGCTAATATTTTAATTGATTCTAAAGGAATTTGTAAAGTGTGTGATTTTGGATTGAGTAAGATCATGTCCAATACTTGCCACACAACCACAACATGCGTAGGCACATTATTCTATATAGCTCCAGAAGTTATGAAATCAGATGACGGAAATAATGATAACAATATGATCACTACGGCAGTTGTAAGTACATTATTACTCAATTATAATATTTACAAATCTCAAAAGGATGTTTTCAGTTTCAGTATTATAATGTGGGAAATGTTCTTTGAGGACAACCCATACATGAACGGAAAGTCCTACAAGCTCCACAAATTCCACTCTAATCAAAAGAGAAATTCCTTGAATGCAGATCCAAAAACTCCATTCACAGTCCTAGCTCGTGTCATGCAAGGTGAAAGACCGCTAATTCCATTCAGTGAGGAGGAAAAGATGGAATGGCTTGAAGAATTCATGCCAGAATTCAAAACCTATCCCACTCAGAAAGATAGCATTGGACTGTTGGTGAGTGAATATTTGGAATTAATGAAATCTTGTTGGGCAGATGATTATCGAGTACGTCCAACCTTTGAAACCATTCTTAATTGCCTCCTACTCATCAAGAGACAAATGCAAGACATTAGTGAGAAGAAAGATACACTTCTACCCAATACTGCATTATTTAAATATGTCGAGCTGAAGGATATGAAGTAAGATTAATCTTTTCCTCAGTTTGTAACGACATTGACCAAAAAAGAAAACAACTGTAAACCTTCTCCTTATTAATCAATTAAGAGAGCCAGCTTGTTGCGTGATTATCTTTTGATTGTTTTTGTGTGGGCTACTAAATAAGATCGCGCCATTTTTTTTTACAACTTTCCTTGCAATGAGGCTTCATACAACACGCTCCCTTGTTGTAGTACGAAATAAAAATCAGAAAAAACAAGAAAAATGGTACTTGCTAAGGAACGTCTTCATCATCAAGAGGAAACAAATCATCTAAGTAACTCGGAGAAACCCTATGTAAATCAAACAAGAGAGTGTATTGTAGAAATGAATGAGCAATTGATGCGATTGGTCGAGGTTCATGATTTTGATTTTGTGAGAGTTGCTGGCTCTTTTCAGAAATTTATTGTATTTCTCAAGTCAGTTTATGAAAAGGAGTTAGTGAATATAGAACCTCAAATTTTTACACCCGATATTTGCAGGGCAAGGTACGCTGCCTTAGACTGGGGGAAATGGAATTATATCGGTGGTAAAACAAAACCAACCTCACCAAATAATTATGAGGAAACAAAGAGAAAACAAGCTGAAAATCTCAGGTCGAAATACAAACAAATGCATAAGGAAGTTAATAGAATTCTTCCCTCAATAGAAGATCAGGATAGTGACGATGAAAATATCTTCTCTTCAGGACTTCCACCACCTTCGGAATTTGAAAAACAATTCTTTTCTACAGATGTGGACTTTTGGAACATTCATAGCAGTAACAATGAAGCTAGGAGTGATAAACCAAAGAATATTGAGGAATTGGAACAGGAATGGGCAAAGGTTGGAGACTTTGTCAAAAGTCCACAACCAACTATAAAGAAAACAGCCCCTGTTATGGAAATTGATGTGTACAAGAAACTTTCGGAATATGATTTAGATACTAAGGAAATTGAATTCGAACAAAAAGTTGAAATCTCATCAAACAAAACCAATTCCGAAAAGAACTCTAAACCAAAATCCAAATCCAAAGAACCTCAAGAAGCAGTCACAGATAAAAGAGCCAAGAGCAGAATGTCAAGAATGCAAATCGTTGAGCACGACAGTGATTAATAAATTTATTTCTTCTTCTTATTAGCTCCTTGATTTGGATTTTCGAATGACTTGTTGGCAATGAATTCTTGAGCAAACTTTTGAGCAGCTGAGGAATTACCAATATATTCTGACATGTAGTCAATAGTTTCCTTTTCAGAGTTGAGGGACAACAAGAAGTACATGAATGATGGATCAACAGACTTGTTCAATTTCTTCAAACCCTTCTTGAACCAGTCCTTGAATTCTTGAGAAACATCTGCTTGGCCAAATGGATTATTCTTTGCAGAAATGGATGGGAAATCTTCTTCAACAGCAGTATTGCTTGGAGTATTGACGCTGGTGGTTGTTTGACTAGTGGTTGTAGTTGGCTTTTCATTGGTTGCCTTCTTCTTTTTATCCTTCTTGCTATTCTTCTTTTCAGAGGCAGTAGTAATTACTGGATTAGTAGCAGCATTGGCTGGAGTTGGGCTGTAATCCCAGAAGACACCTTCTTCTTGGTCTTCCTCTTCTTCCTTTGGAGAAGTAGAAGAGGTAGAAGCTGGAATAGTTTGAGGCTTAATAGCTTGGAATTGGAATGACTTGGTTTCAACAGTCTTAGTTGGAGTAACAGCTCCAAAATGGGTAGATGAAGATGAGGTAGATGGAACGTCCTTTTCAGGGATTGCCTTAAATTGAAGAGCACTTCCTCCCCAAGTTGAACTAGCATTCTTAACAACAGAAGCTTGATTTTGAGATTGTTGTTGCTTTTGAGCCTTTTGTTTCTTCTTCTTTGCTTCTTCTTCTTGAATTTCCTTAAGAGATGGAGCAACAACATTAGCATTGGCAACTCCCCATGGATTGGCTGTATTAACTTTGATAACTTGTTCAGCAGCTTCCTTCTTCTTTTGTTGAGTTTCCTTACTTTGCTTGAGGGCTTCCTTCTTTTGTTGTTCCATAATTTGCTTCAAAGTTTGAACAGGAGCAGTAGTAACAGCTGGTTGGACTCCCCATCCTTTAACTTCTTCCTTCTTTGGATCAGCAAAACTAACAGTTTCAGTTGGTGGAACAGATTTGAAAACTGGTTCTTCCTTGACAGGTGGCAATTCTTGCTTCTTCTTGCTTGGTGTGTTAGCTGGTTTAGCTTCAGCTCCCTTCTTTTTGTTCTTTTCCTTCTTTGAGGTCTTGTCATCAACCTTTGGAGTTTCTTGAGCAATAGTTTCTTCCTTTTGTGGAATTTGAGTTTCTTCTTCAACTGGTGTTTCGACTACTTGTTCAGTGTCAATATCTTCTTCTTCATCAATAGGTTCTTGCTCTTCAACAACCATTTGTTCTTGAACATTACTAATAGGTTGAATAGGAGTGTAATGTTGGAAAACTTCTTGATGAGTAGGATGTTGTGGAATACTTGGTTGAACATAGAGTAATTCATTTTCAATATCAGTAACGCTTGGAATGCTATTACTATTATTGGAGGCACCCAAATTCATAGCCAAGTTTGGCATGTTACCCCAGTGACCTGGTCCTTGATGGAATGGTGGCATGAAATGATTTGGCATGTTTGGATTAACAAATGGATATCCTGGATGAACCATTTGTTCCATTGGTTGTTGTCCAAATCCCCAAGGATGAGAAAATTGTTGACTTGTTGGAGTAATTGGTGTTGGTTGTTGTGGCTTATCCAACGAGGAAAGCAAAGATCCTTGAATAGGAGACTTTACAAGAGATTGAGACATGAAAGGAGAGCCCAAAATACTTCCAGTTGGAATGCTTGGCTTATCATTCATGAAAAAGTCATTGGAATGCATATTGCCCTTCATACCATTGTTGGATAGCAAATGTTGAGAAGCCAAAATATTGTTACCCATTCCATGATTCATGTGAGAATTGTTTTGTTGAGTTAAACTGTTCAAAACTTCTCCCAATGTAGTTGTTGCATGAGATTCAATATCTTGTTTGATTCTAGTTTCAGATTGGAGATAGAATAAATCCATCCATTCCTTCAATTTTTGCAAATTATAAGGACCTTTTGGCTCATTATCTTCGGAAAGATAGTACCATTGAGAATCCCAATCAATAGCTTCAATAGCACCGTCATTATCATTTAATCCTTGTGGCTCAAGAGAATCATCAAAGTCATCAAGAGGTTTCTTACCCATTTGAGTCTTCCAATGTTCATTCATTTTCATTGTAGCAGCAGCTAAACTTTCAAGTGAAACCATTGGTTGATATGTATGAGATGATTGTGGTTGTAAAGCCCCAGGACCAAAAGTATCATCATCCAAAGATGAATTAGATGTTGAATTTCCAAAGAAACTATTGTTTGAAAGAAGTGAATTACTATTATTGTTTAAACCAGTGAGTGAAGAGTCTGTTTGTGTCAGATCTTCATCCATGGCCCAAGCAGGAAGTCTAGAACCTCCAAGAGAAAGTGGTGATCTTGCAATAGCCCTTGGACCTGAACCTATTGGAGTACCAGCTCTTCCAAGAGAGGTTGGACTTGATCCAAACAAGCTTGATGTTCCACTTGGACTTCCGCCCAATGATGATGTTACGAGGGGACTAATTGAAGAACCTCTGCCACTTGAGGATAATCCACCACCTCTTCTACTTCCTCCTCTTCCTCCACGACCTCTGCCTCTTGTAGAAAGTGTAGGGAAAGTGGATTCTGGATTAATATTCTATTATTGTTAATTAGTATTATTATATTATTGATAAGTTGTTTTGTGTTTTTGTGTTATTGTTAGTAATACATTATAGCATATCATCATATGTTGATATTAATAAGAAATTATTGTAGAAAAATTCATCATGACGAATGTTGTATTATTTTGAAATAACAATATGTTGAACAAAATGATATTAAATTAATAAACAAACAACAATTATAACTTACATAATCCGAATCGAAAAGGTGAAGATTTGTTTCATTTACAGGTTGAAGTAATTTTGTAGACAAAATAAGTGGGAATTGTTTTAAATTTTCTGGAGGTTCTTGAATCTCAGGGCATGATGCTCTATAGTAATTGAGCAATTGTTCCTTGTTATAAGAGAGAGTGGATGTCATTTTGATGATGATGTATAAAACCGCTTAAAAAATAAACTTGGGTGATGTGTATTTTTTTTTGTAATTGACCAAGAGAAATTCTTTATCGGAAGGTTTTTGTGTATTATTTCTCTGGTGCCATTGGGCAAAGGAAGAATAATTCCATGTTCATTCGTAATAATTGCATGAAAAATTTCATCATCACGTTTGAATTTTTATAAAGTTTTTCACATCTACTTTTCCTATCTTTTTTAAGGTTCTTAATTTTATTTAATGTGATAGAAAGAAAGTTTCTTAATGTAGAAATTCTCCAGTTCAATAACATCATCTCCTCTACAGTAGGTAGCTTCTCTGGAATCAATATAGAGGGAGCATGAATCCTTGTTAGGATTGGTACAATCATTCGATATGAAGAGAGTATCTCTGCCAAACATTATTCCACCATACTTATCATCATCGAGAATTGTAATGGCAACTTTTTGTTGGAAATGAGCCAATCCATAAATGTGCAAGTTGGATTGTTCACATGATTCATTGGTGATGCTCTGTACTGATGATGAGGGAGAATCACTGATAAGATTCAAGTTGATGGAAAATAAAAAGGCATGCTCATCTCTAACATTCTCCACGTCTGATCGTTGTCTTACCCAAGCTTTACTGGTAAATCCTCCAAATATTGATCCACTATTTGTTTCGAATAATATCAGATTTGGTTGATTGTATTTGGCTTGAACATTGTGGAAGTGTGAATAATCGAATGGTCTATTCTCGTCACATGAAAAAACCAAAGATAAGTTACAATTACGAGTAATTCCCAATTTACTCCTGATGAGGTGCAATAATTCTTGTTGTTGAATAGGAGAACACCATCCCTGTAGAGAATTTGATTGATTTGTATCGAATTTACTTGTTTTTAGGTGAGTGTACAGATTCATATGGCCATGAGTCTCGGAATTGTGTACACTTTCACAATCAAAGGAGAATGAAATGTCATGGAATGGTAAAGACATTTTTTTAAATATGTGAAACGTGATTTTGCTTTTTTGTCATTCTGTGTGCCTTGGATTTTCAAAATGTGATGTTGATTAGGATTTTGGAACAGAATAATTAATATGATCAAGCATTTACAGTTTTTTCTTTTGGATTTAATCAACATTTTTTCACAGTTTGACAACTACTTTAGAATGTTTCCGATTGTAAATTACAAAATAAAATGAATATTCCGATACGCTTAATAAGCAACCTCAATTCCGAGAGTAATTATTTTTCCATGCTCAAAAAATTATTCGAATCTCATTTTGAATGAACAAGAACAGAACTCCAAAGAAGAAACACAAAAGATCATCTCCATCTCATCTCAAACAACTTCAATCCGACACAACTTCTTCTGGTAGCTCCACTGCACAGATTTACGGTAAAGCAGATTCTGCATCCAATATTTCAAGCAGTCAACAACTGAATAACCAAGAAACTCAACAGGTTAATAGAAATATGTCCTCTGGTGCTTCTGCTCTCGCTACCTCTCTTAACTTAAGACATGCTGATTCAGATGGCAAAGAAGTTGATAACCTCATTGGCAAAAGAGAAAGAGATTCTGAGGGTATTTCTTTGAAGAATTACCTTTGTGATTGCTATCAATCAATCACTGGGGAATCAGTTAATGATGAGTTATCTACAGATGAAATCTTTGAATTGTTGTTATCAGTTTCTAATGAACAATATTCAGGCGACAAAGAATTCAAACATCGTATGGCATTTCTTCAAAGAGTATTCAGAGAAGAAGTAGATGCTCCTATTCCAGATGCATTTTGTTACAAAGATTTCAGAAGTAGTTGTTATCCTATACTCTTGGCTCAATCTTACATTATTGTTCAGGTCTGTAAAAGATTGAGAAGTGCTTCAAATTTCAATTTAGTGGAATGGCTCCAAGGTGTTGAATTTATTCACAACATTGCTGATTTAAACTGTATTGCTATCAAAGCCACCAGGACCAGTGACACATATAAATCTGGTAGTACTATTGATGACATTACATCCAAACAACAAGAAAAGGCGGTCAAGAAAGCTGAGAAATTGAAAGAAAACAAGCTAAAGAAACTGAATTCTTTTTTCCAAAAAAGAAGAATCAATAAAGATTTATATCAAAATAACCGCTAAGGATTCATTAGATTTCAGATTTGCAACAATTACTACTAGAACATGAGGAGCACGAATTTATTGTAGGTAGAAAACAATAATAAGTACACGTTACAATCAAGTTTAAGACTTTATTTTTGTACAATTGGATTTAATTCCATTCAAAGCTTGCTGGTGGTTGTGGTTCATTTTCTTCCTTTTCTTCTGATTTTTGACCAGCTTGAGGTGTTAAAATATCAGCATCTTCACCTGGTTTTGTATCACTGAGCACGTTAATACCCAAATTGATACCAGATGAAGAAGATAATTTGATAGGAACATATCTACTGGTTGTATCGAATGAAATAAAGTTAAGTTGTGAAGGTGTTACACGAGCAGGATTTGTAAGAGATTCAGAAGTTGGTTCCTTCTTCTTCTTTTGTTTCTTTGTATCCTTATCTGTTTGTGAAGGTTGTGATGGTAGTTGCTTTGGATCAACTTGTGGTGTTGGAGTTGAAGTAAGAGGAGTGAGGAGAGGAGTAGCACTACCTTCTGGTCTTCTTCTCTTTCTTTCTTCTCTAACTCTGGCCTTAGCAGAGAGAGACAATTCAGCAACAGGACCAACAGTAACTTCCTTCTTTTCTTCTTCAGTCTTGAGTGGAGGTGGATAGGCAAACATGGATGGTTTTTGATTACTCTTGAAAGTGAATTGGGATGGCATCTTCAAATCAGTATTCAAACCAATAATTGAAGTTGGTTCAAGAGAAAGTGATAAGAAATGTAAATATGGATACCAGAACCAATATTGAGTAAAGAGAGCAAGACCAACAATATTTCTCATCTTGTTATTACCATGTCTGTGCAAACAAATTGTAGCATTTCTACCACCAGCATCTAAAATACCTGCAGAAAGGATTGAACCTAATTTACACATAACTTCTTCAGCTCTGGTTGACCAAGTCTTTTGCAAATGTTTACGGAAATCAGCAACCTTTGGTTCTTGAACTTCATTCAATTGCATCAAAACCATTGATTGAGCAATGAGAGCACCTTGACGAACAAAGTCAACTCTATCCAAAGCTAATGGTTCCAAAAGATCCAAAGCTTCCTTTAAACCAGAACCAGCACATGAAATACCAACAGCAAGAGCAACACCATATCTTACATGAGGATTATAACTTTCGGCGAGGAGAGAAACAATTCTTGGACATTGTTTTGGTGACTTGAAGAGGAGGAAACCCAAGTTAATAACAGCAGCTCTTCTGACATCATCAGATACATCAGAAACAGCAACTTGCAACAATTTTCTGATAGCATTATTATTACCAGTACCAGCAAATGCCAAACCAATAGCGTACATTCCACCATATCTGAGAATTGGATCCTTATCATTAGTCAATCTATCAATTAACTTGTTACCTTCTTCTTCTCTACCATAAACAGTTAAAGCCAAACCCATGGCAAGACCTCTAATAATCTTTTCGTGAGCAGTTTCATGAGCATAGTTCAACATTTCATCAATGGCCTTATCATCACCACTTCCCAACATAACGAGACCCATACCAATAGCAGCAGCTTCACCTGAAACAGCATTATCCAAAAACATGACATCCTTCATCTTTTCATAAAGTTCTGCTTCTTGAGTAGCCATACCACATAAACCCAAACCAAAACAAGCACCATGTTGGACAACTGGATCAGCTGATTGATTAGAAACAACATTGAGTAAATATTGAGTCATATCATTAGCTAAATGATTAGAGTGAATAATACCCAAACCAAAGAGAGCACCACCTTCAGAATAAACACTTGAACTAGCGGTAGAAGCAGTACCTGATGATGGAAGATATGGCTTCAAAATAGTGAGACTGTCCTTAATTCTACCCTTTTGAATAACACCCAAACTGGCAGTAGCACTGAATTTAGCCCAATTATTGGCCTTACCCAACCATTCAAGATTATCTCTAAGGAATTTATCTACAGTTGTACCAGCATGCATAAAAGCATTGGATGTAATTGTACCAGAATGGAGAACAGAATTTCTTTCAAATGATGATTTGATATTGTTAAGAATTTGAAGATCTGTATGGTTGTGTCTGAGTAAAAAGTCAACATTATGTTGAATAGTAATTTCTCCTGAAAGGACAGTTAAAAGTTTAGCAAGAGGTGTTTCTTGTTCCTCAGCCTTAGGATCTTGTAAAAGTACATCACGAGCAGAAACCAAAAAGTGTTGTGGTGCACGATCGTGTAAATCAAATCCAATTTGATAAGCAATAGCATGATCATTAACTTCATTGGATGTAATTAATTGATGTAAAATATTAGCAACAGATTTAGCATCATCCAAAAATGTTAAACATTGTGTCACTGCAAAGTAGTCAGTATTTTCCTTATCTTCCATATAAATATCAACTAATTGCTTCAAAACATTATGTCTAAAATCTCTTAATTCAATAAGATTCATAGCAACATCAAATGTATAGTTAAGCATTTCCTTGATATTTGGTGAAATTTTGATAGCTTGAGTTATTTTATCCAATCTTCTAGCTTCAATAGCAATTCCTAAAGCTTGTTTATATTCACCTTCTTGCAGACATCTATCAAACATTCTTTCTACAATATTTGTCAATCTTGGATCCTCCTTTCCATTGTTTTGTCTTGTTTGTATGTAAGTATCAATACACTTGCTGATGATCTTATTAACATATTCATCATCGTCTTGTTTACTAACATCAAATAAATTTCCAGCACCAAGAGCAAATTGTAAAGATTCATCAAACTCGTTAAGATGATAATACACTTTGGAGGTAAGTAAAGCAGCTAATTCACGATTTGGGAATTTTTCATTTTCATACAACGATTCCCTAGATTATGGTAAATTATTTAATACAATATTGATCATCACGTCAAATATTAAATGATTGAAATACTATGTAAGCCTCCTCTTTTTGTTGTATTAATACAACTTACAATTTACGAACGGATTCAGAAATTTCGGCCCAGTATTGATCCACAACTTGATCCAACTTCCTAAGAGCCATTTCCTGAAGGTCGAAATCATTTTCATCCAACAAAGATAAAATACCAGCTGCTGAATAAGCTGAATGATTTGAAAGGGTTGCTGTTGCCATATTTTTTAGATTGTGTATTTTACTTGATGGAAGTAAAAATAGATTTTAATTCCAGCTTTAAATTTTTAGCAGAGAACAATGAAGAAACCATACGCTAATAACTCTCAAACATCAAGTTTCACCTTAAGAGATTTATAACTCGAATTGTTTCACCTTTGCTTCAACTATGGCCTCAATTCAGAATAATTATATTGTTGTTATTTCAGAATGCAGAAAGTAACTATTGAGGGAACAATCAACCTTTGCTGTTAGTGTTCAATAGAGTTCAGCATTTAGAGCCAAACAACCAATTTGAACTTTTTATTCGAATTATTCTTCAAATGCAAAGTTGGCTAACAACAAATCATCACCATTCCAAATCTCTTTTGAAAGGTAAAGGTTGTTGTTGGAGTCTTCTTTTCCCTCTTTGATCAAATGGCTAACAACTGTGTTGCTCTCACTCAACACTACTCAAAAAAAATACAACGGTAAATATGGGAACTAATACCAGCTCGTTGAGACCAGAAGAAGTCGAAGAGATGCAAAAGGGTACTAACTGTAAGTTATTGTTGTTGTAGAAGAGTCATTCTTAGAGATTTAATTGCTATTGTATTTATTGTATGAAACTAATTAAATTTTCAAAATCTTTGCGGATACAACAATAATATTTTTAATACACCTTTGCATCATGATGACGGTGATGATATTATTGATATTATTGATTTAATGATTTAAATGTGATTGATCAATATTTACGATATGACGATGACAATTAAAATAATACAATTTATTGATAACTACTTCATCTTAAAATAGTTACCCAAAAGGAAATTAAAAAGTTATACAAGAGATTCAAGAAGCTTGATAAGGATGGTAACGGAACTATATCAAAGGATGAATTTTTGATGATACCTGAACTTGCAGTCAATCCCCTTGTGAAAAGAGTTATATCTATATTCGATGAAAACGGTGATGGATCCGTAAACTTTAAAGAATTTATTGCTGCACTCTCGGTATTCAATGCTCAAGGTGATAAGCAAAGGAAACTTGAATGTAAGTAATTAGACAATTTCTCTCCTTAGTTACTAAATATTTACCTTATTAATAGTTGCTTTCAAAGTATACGATATTGATGGAGATGGTTACATAAGTAACGGAGAACTTTTCACAGTTTTGAAAATGATGGTTGGTAATAACCTTAGTGATGTACAATTGCAACAAATTGTCGATAAAACAATTTTGGAAGCTGATGAAGATGGTGATGGTAAAATTAGCTTTGAAGAATTTGCCAAGACACTATCACATCAAGATTTGGAAAATAAGATGACCATTCGTTTGTAATTTCATTCTCCAAGAAGTTTTAATATCCCTATAAAATTTCATATTCAAAAATACTTGTATAATATCAAAGATTTTCTTCTTTTCATTGAAAGTGAATCAACAATCATTCATATTTCATTTTAGATTGGAAGTCAATTTACAACAGAATTGTGTAGAATTAGGGTTTCAATCACAAAGTAGCAATAAACTGAATGAGAAAATTCCTTCCTGTTGCTGAAATTCATAGATACCTTTGGTTGTATGTTTGGCAATTCGTTTCATCTACCACTACTAGTGAGCTAGTCACCAAACTTATTACAATATGATGGTTATCTGTTCAACATTTTTGATATCAGGACTCCTGTAACTCAAGAGATGGAAAAGAATTACGATTTGAAATCGTATTAATCGTATAAATAATAGAGTAGGTTCCCAAATTGCTTTGTTTGGTATTGTCTCCAAGTTTAATCTCCTCTATTACAATGCATATTAAAAAATCACTTGTATAATATCATAGATTTTCTTCTTTCAATTTGGTTGGTGAATGAAATCTTTGAAAATGAATATCATGAATTAATGCACAACTGTTATTGTTTCATCTGAGATTGAAGTTCAATTTACAATAGGTACCTCCTCAAACAGGTGAATCTTGGTTTGCACTTCCACACAAAGTTAAATTTCAACCATCAACATACCAATGAAACACTTTTTCTCGTGTATGCACTTTAGAAACACTGTTATCAATAGATATTTAAAATTGTCGTTTGTAGGAGATGTTAGAAGGTCATCTCCTCACGCAGCAAAACCGTAGTTTGCAGCACCTTGTTTCCGCCAATGTTCAAACTATAAATAAAAATCTAAAAATAAAGTTATCGTAGTTATTTATAATACCTGCTGAAGTTGTTTGCTGGAAAGAGTAACCACAAAAAAAACACTTCGTCTCACTCGCGCGCATTTCTTCTGCAGCACCTATTTTGACTTTGAATTTTTTTTGATCACTCCATTTTTAAAGTTTTCAGTTTGCAATTTCGAAAAGAAACTTCTCTACAAATACACAACTCCACCACCCTCAATCCACCAAACCCCTCTCTCTCTTTTAACATGTACAAAAATCAATCATCAGAAAAGATCTTTGCCAAAGTTTACTTCTATGCAAAGCAAAAAAAATCTAGTGCTTCCTCAATGGAAGCTTCTTCCAATGTTCAACCGAAAAAACATGAGGAAATCAGAAAGATTGCACTTTGTGATTCCTATCAAGAATTTTATAATTCAATTATGCTCAGTTTATCAAGTGGAAGAAATGAGGATGGAAAACAATATCTTAGTGACCATATTCCAATGTCACTTGTTAACACCCAAAAGAAAAAGAAGACAATCTCCTTCAAATACCAAGATGGAGAAAAGGATTGGATTTCTTTTGACAATCAAGAAGAGTATCAACAGGCCTTCTTGTTGGCAAAAGAACAAAAATCTTTACGAGTCAAAGTTGTTTACAAAAAGTCAATGTTTAAACCATCTTCAGGGGCCTCCAAGGCCTCTAAACACCAAATCTCCCAAAACCACTCTCTCACTATTTCTGTCGAATTTGAAAAACTCCAAGAATTATTGCGTTTGCAATCTAACCAAGCTAACTCTAACAAGTGCGCAGATTCATCATCTGACAGTACTTGTATTTTTGACTTGTGGAACAAATCTGCTCCAGTCCAAGTTGATGTCTAAACTTCAAGATAATACATCCATCTTGCTGGGAAGAATAGGAAACATTATCTCACAAAAAGATGAAATAAATGTTCATCCATTGCTGTTTGGCTCGTAAATAATGTAAATTTCTTGTTGTTGAACTCAACTGCGAATGTTTATTGAAATAGATGTTACAAACTTGTACTTTACATTAATTTACAAAAATTTTTAGAAGAGTTTGCTGTTGATTTTTCAATTCTAGAAAAACCTTTCAATAAATTATTCAAGCTTTTAACCTTCTCATTCAGAAACTCATCCTTCACAATTGGAGAATGGAATATCAATGAGGGAAATTCGCAATTCACAATTTCCACTTTTTGTGTATTTTCCTGTCGTTCGTCTAGGTTAAAAGAACCACTCCTTGTATTGCTACTAATAAAGAAATGCATTAGCTTTGGAGCTTTAAGTTCACTGAATGTGATTGAAATTTTGGAGTGGTTCAGTAAAACAAGCGATCTCAATGATTGGTGAGTAATATTTTTAGCTTCTAGGGAAACTTTATGGCTTGAGGAATACAACTCTTTCAGGTTAACCATACTATTGAGGTCTAGTTCTATCTCTGAAACATATGAACTGATGGAAAGATATACAATGTTTCTAAATAGACTATTAGTTTGTGATTTCAACAATCTATCTGAATAATCCCCATCATAACAAAGGAAGGACATGTTTCCAAAATCAGCAGGAGAACAAGTTTTAGAGTAGAGAAAATTTTCTATGTGATCAAAAGTTTCGGTGTCTGATTTCAGAGTATTGGAAACAATATTTAACGTTTCATTATTGGAACGACATTCAAATTGTCGTTTTGGTCTGAATTCTTTTGAGAGATGTGTAATTCCAAAATTATTACTGACTTTGGCTTTTCTTACTATTGAACAAATTTCTTCTGTTAATTGATTTTCTATATAGATATTGGAAATTTCCAAATTATCAGCAATAGAATTGAATAAATAACTTGAATTAATATTTAAATGATTAACTCTTAATATTCTATCAAATATTATCTTAAAAGTTCTGAATTCCGCATAGTAGCAATAGGAAATATCAAGATGTGCTATTGAAGATGGATTAAGCGTGTTTTCAATTTCCAAAATTTTCAGTCCTCTACAGAACTCTCCAAAGTTTGTTGAAATGGTAGAGAGTTTACAATCCAAGAGATGAACCTCCTCTAAATTCTTACACTGGAAAATGGTCACATTATCGCAAGCAGTAACACTGATGCAAGTTATAGATGGGTGTCCAGAAAGAACCATTTCCATGCTATCTAGAGAAGAATCCAGTTTGTTGGGAATAATTCTAAATTCTTTGAGATTTTCATGATTATTGAACCATGAGTTGGCATCAATACCTTTACAATTATCAATAGTCAGGTATTTCAATGTATGGAACAATGGAACAGTTCCAGACATATCAAACATTCTCAATTGGAGGGATTCTAGTGATCTAGCGTCCATCCCTTTCAAATTGAGTGTTTGCATACATCCTTTCATATTCAATATTTTTAAATTTGGAAAATCCATATTACTCAAATCTAGAAAATCTCCTCCCTGATATTGAACTAATGTCAATTCCACCATGTTGGATAGAAGTATTTGATTAGATTCATGCCCCAATTCCGCCTCATTTGTAAATTGGAATATTGAAAGATTCTTGATTTTTGATAAATATTTTGTAGCATTGGCTCCATACTTTTTCACATATTCCATTTGAACTGTAGCTATATATCTTAAATCCACTGTGCCAACAAATTCCACACTCTCCAAAATCTCTGATTCTATTATTCCTCTATTCAACAAGCCTACCATAATATTATTAATAATTCTGAAATTATTTCCCTTATTTACAAAGGTTATATTTTCTAGGGTTGCAATGTGATATTTGATAAAATCCAAGCAATAAGCAAGTTCTGCATCAATAACCAAATGTTTCAATTTCTTGAAAGGATGTTTCAGAGACAAATCCAATGCCATCGATTGATTATCTTCATTGTTTGGTAATAAAATCAACTCTTCCAAACTCTTAAAGATGTAGGACATGAAAGACAATGCAGGGCTCTCCCCATTAATCTGTGATATATTCAATAGCTCCAATCTAGAATTCATATCAGAATACAATGATTTCATTGTAAAATCAATTGAAATTCTCTTAATGACCCTCTTTACATGACACAACTTGTTCAATAAAAACAAAATATTCAACACATCTGCAACCATATTCTCTCTCTGAATCACATCAATCCCATCTCCATCCAACAAATAATATCCCTCCAAATTCATATTCATCATCCAAGATTTCTCATGTCCACTCTTAAAACCCAAACTAATCGGAAAGGAAATCAATATCGAATGCCACAACTCTTCACTCTCACTCACAAATTCAAACATTCTCCTACATGTATTCTTCAATGAAAATAACATCATCATTCCATTCAATTTCAATGGAGAATTTAAATAAAATCTCTGATGACCATCATGATCATTATTCAATGATGGAAAATTCAAAAAACGTCCAACACTCGAATTAGTTGAAATATTTGATGATTTACCATTTTGAAACCATCGGTGTGATTTACGAGTGGTGGAAAACTTGAGTTTTTGTTCATTGCGTTCTTGATAATTGTTGAATAACTCTCCGAGAAGAAATGAACAAATATAACAATGAAGATCGGATGAGAGATTGAGAAAAGGATTCCCTTCATTGTTTTCATGCATTTTTTTTCAATATTTGTGAATAACAAATGAACTATTAACTATCTCTCAAGATATTTTGTAAAGTTTGACAGTTTCAATCGTCAGTGCAGATCTGAATAGTTCAGAGTTGCAAAGATAAAAAAAATGAAGAAACTAAAATCTTTCTTTTCGAATGCATCCAATTCACATAATCAAGCTGCTGATGATATTGATCAAGTAATAGTGGAAAATAAACCATCACCATCATTAAATGATGCTAGTCCAGTAAAAGAACGAGACGAAAGTTGTAACAATGAACGAAATTCCTAATGATTTGCTAATTCACATCGGAACCTTTTTGGTTGCAAAAGACATTTCTTTCTTTGCGTTGAGCAGTAAATATTATTTGAAATTATTTTTCAACATGACTTGTGATGTTCCAATCAAATCCGAAAATCTATCAAATGAAATGAATGATTTAGCGATTGAACAAGAAAAGCAAGAATTCACACCAGTGCAGGTATCCATTTGGAAACCATTAGTATTAATGTATTTCCCTAAATTCTATGCTGATTTGAATGTGAAAAATTGGTTGCACATTCTCAAGAGGAGAATTAGACATATTGTCCAAAAGTCTCCACAGATGCTCCCTTTAGGAAGAACTGTTAGATTTCCATTGACTGATACACCATTTGTTGAGTTGTGTGAATTTATTTACAAGTGTCCAATGGATTTTTCTGCAATGCCAATAGTTGATGAGGAGAAAATATTGGATCCAGAGCTCGATCAACCAATTGAGAGTGTACCACCTCCACCTCCTATTAATTCTTTTGGTGTTCCTCCACCACCTCCTCCTTTAAATACTAACACTGTATATCGTCAGGTGAGGTTCTGCTCTGGATGTAATTCAAAGGTCTATCAAATTACCACTGCCAAGGAAATGACTTACAGAGCACAACAGAAACAATGTGTATTCTTCAATTTGAATATTCCAAAGCCACATCCATTAGAGTTATTGGGTGGTCCACCTCCACCTCATTTCTTCACACCACCTCTTCCTCCTCATATTCCTCTGATACCTCCTCCACCTTTTAAGTAATTTTCTCAGTCCACTTCATTTGCATTAATGTATCCTATTAATCTTGATAAACAATTAGTATTACAAAATATTATTGTTTATTAATTTCCAAATGCTAAAGTCTTAGTAATTGAACATTGGAATATATGTAGGAATTGGTATGTTTCTTTTATTTGGATTTTCATAAAGATCTCCAATTTGATTTTCTTAGCATAAACTTTTAAGGCTGACTCTTTTGATAAACCTTAATTTAGTATAGAGAATGGCTACGGCCATATCACGATGAATGCACCTCATCCCGTCCGATTTGAGAAGTTAAGCATCGTCGAGCCACATCAGTACTGAGGTTGGAGACAACTTGGGAACCTGTGGTGCCGTAGTCTTTTTTGCTAATACATCTTACGAGATGATTGAATATATTAGTATTTTCTCGAAGGTTAATGAATTGCTTTTAAAAATTATCAGGTTCAAATTTTGGCGATGTGAATTATTAACATAAAAATTAGAGGAATTATTAAGATTATTGATTTTGGATTGGAGTGACACAAAGGTTTAATTAAAAAAATGAGCAAACGAAACAGACAAGATTTTGAAAATCATCAATTCATTAATTTGGAGGAAATATTCACTAACAATACTAATATGGAAGAGAAAGCAAAGCTTGTAAAACTCGAAAAAGAAATATTTTCAGATGATGTTTGTTTTGAAATAATTTCAATGCTTGATTCGTGGTTTATTTTAAATAATTGTACTTTAATTTCAAAACAATGGTTTAATGTGATCAAGGAACGTTCAAAACTTGTTATTCAATTTAAAAAACAATTTACAGAAAATAGAATTGAATTGTTAATGAAAAGTCAATTCATGAATAGTATTGTAAATGTTAAGTGTTCCTTTAGGTTGCTTAACTCTCCAGATAAAGTTAAATTCATAAGTGGAATGAAACAATTAACATTACTTAATATTGGGAACAATCAAATTGGTGTAGAAGGATCCAAATTCATACATGAAATGAAACAATTAACATCACTTGATATATATTATAATGAAATTGGTGTAGAGGGATCCAAATTCATAAGTGATATGAAACAATTAACATCACTTAATATTAGTCACAATCAAATTGGTGTAGAAGGATCCAAATTCATAAGTGAAATGAAACAATTAACATCGCTTGACATTAGTCACAATCAAATTGGTGTAGAAGGATCCAAATTCATACGTGAAATGAAACAATTAACATCACTTTTTATTGGTGCTATTAGAGAACAATAAAACGTGAAACTTTATTAATGTCTCTTATATCAATAACAACCTGAGACCAAATCTTTAGACTATCTAAGATTCGTGTAGGGATTTGCTGCCTTACATTGTAAAGATTCGTTTATTTAATGGCCCCTCTGTGGGAGTATTATGAATGTGATTGAATATTTTCCAAACATTGATGAGTTTACGTATAAATATCCGTATAGGTAGTAAGAGTTATATTTACTGAGTTTTAATTTGATATTTAATTATAATAATTATGGCAATAAGCAACAAACAATCAAATCGACCACAATACCCACAAATCCAAATTCTGACACTTTCCAAAGTCTATACATTTCACAAAAGCTAGTCATTCCTAATGATACAAATATATCAGTATCTAAATAATTACTGGGAAAATAATTCTGGTAAATCCTGTTATTTGAAACAAGATAGTGTTCAAAGGAATAGATGTTACCCTCCTTCTGCTGAATAAACTTGATTCTACCTTGAAACAATTATTCTCCAGAAAAACTGGAGTTATTGAATAATCTGATTATTTCTAATAGTCAGAATCGTCTGATTCGTAATCATCTCCATCACCCTTAACCTTTCCTACAAAAGGAATCCAGCCCAAGCTGTCCAATCTAAAGGATGAATTGAAACTTCCAAAACTCAATTCTAGAAAATCATAAATCATTGCTTGTTTTACATCATCAATTTGATGAACTTTGACTCCATTTCTTATCAAAAACTCATTCGCTCTTTTGGAAAGGAGTATTGTTTTCAGTGAATCTAAAAGCTCTTGATTGTGAGTTTGAGAATATTGACTTACTCTCATGTTTTCTCTTCTCTGATTGTTGAATAATTCGTGAGAGTAAATGTATAAATTCTCAGATTGATCAAGACTATATCCATTAATAAATGTTGTTTTCAGTAAGAGAGGATATCCAATATTTGTAAATACAATAATCTCATTCTTGGTAACAAAATCAGTAACTCTTTCCTCCACAACATGATCCAACAGAAAAACTTCTTTCACTCTTCCAAAACATTGTTGAACTGTTAATCTATTAAATGTAAAGTCCTTCTCCTTAGTCTCAACACTTGCCAAACTATTGTTACCAAATCGTTTGAATGATTGAGCAATCAGTTCATCACACTCCATACAGGCAACCAATTTTTTAATTTCTGAAATCTTTTCTGCACTATTCCTATCACCTCTATTATAATTATTCAATGTTTCAATGATACGTGTCTTGGTCTTTTCCAGATTTACTTTATAGAATAGTTTGGTGTACATTTGTAAAATTTCATTCATTGTTTGTGGAGGTGAAAAGGTCTCTGTTACAATTTCACGATCCATCTTTCTCTTCTTTTGTGGTTGTTCATCTGTATTTTCTGAATTGTTTTTCCAAATCCTTCCAAATTCAAGACCAAATCTTTCCAATTGATTAATCTCCTCTTCCGATAATTGAAACCAATTCAACAAGTATTGCTTTGCAAACTCCTCCGATTCAAATACATTCCTAAATGAAGATGAGATGAGAAATGGCTTGATAACACTCCACTCTTCATGATGAGTGAATTTCAAAATGTTGAATGCAAGAACAGTATCAAAATTGGTATCAAAATTGTGATGATTTGATGACATTTTTTTATTATTAACTTTTTCATCAACAAAAAGAATGAAGGTGATTTTTGCTTTGATATTGAATTCATATATTATTTATTATTTTTCAATTATTATTGTAAATTCCTTTCCAGGAAATAATTGATATCTTTGCAAAGATTCTTACTAGTGATCATATTTATCAAGATTTTCCCCGACATTTTTGGAAGTCAGAATTTCCTACGAATGAACGAATATTCACTCAAGTCAATTGTTGTTAGTTAATAAAACAATCATTGAGAGAATATTCTTTCCTTAGTGTACAAGGATAAGAATCTTGAAGAATATTCTTATTGCTTTTTCCTGTGTTGTTTGATTTTTCTAATTATTTTCATTTTCATAAGAAAACAAATAAGGTTTCATAGAAGCGATTCATAAATTTGGGATACTTCTCCTCAACCAAAGCGTTCATTCTCTTATTTGACTACCTTGGCTTACGGGAGATTTTTATCTGGTACTTGCATTTAGCAATTTTATCAGCAACTCGCAAAACCGTACCTGAAACAATTTAAAAAATTTAGCAAAAGGTATTCCGCACTTTTTTCTATGTGTTGCGGTTTGATTTTATTGCTACTGCACAACAACATCAACTCCAAGAACAGAAACACACAAGTTTTGTGTCTAGAGATATTATTTCTTTTACAAACTCAGCCACTATCTCATTGTTTTTCAGTCATCTAATCCTATTTAAAATAGCAACAATTAATTGAAGAACCACTCGATGAACGATCCATCCAATCCATTCTTTTCCAATAATAACAATAATAATAATCCAGGAGCCAACAAGTCTTCTTCCAATACCACTACTGCTCAACCACAACAACAACAACTCTCGGATATCAATTCATTCCTATCACAAGAGTCATCCTTCCGTACAACAAGTTCTACTTTAAATAATAGTAGTACCAATAATAATAATAACAACAACGAGGGAGGCGATTTATTAATTGATCCTGTTGTTGGACAAAATATCATCAATAATACCATCTCTAAATTCCTCCAATTCAATAACATTTCCAAACAACAACAACAAGCTACTAATACTATTGCTTCACCCCTTCAACCTAACAATAATTTCCCTTCCATCAACAATATGAGCAACAATAATAGTGGTCAGATTCCTCCATCTCTTTTTCAATCTCTTCAAAGATCTCCAAACAACTACCAGAATAATCAGCAACAACAACAACAACAATTTAATACACCTTCTCCAAGCTCATCTCCCTATCCAATGATGAATAATACTCAACAACCTTACCCTCAATCTTCTCCTCCTTTTAATTTTACTCCACTCTCTGGTAATCAAAGACCAGTTAATAATAATAACAACAGTAATCAATCATCGGTAAGCTTATTGGCCTCTATTTTAGCCAACCAGAACTTTGCAGTTCCACAACAACAGCCACAACAACAGCAATCACAAATAGCCTCTTTGCCAGGTTCAAACAACCAACAAATTCAAAACTTGATTGCTAAAATTCAATCCTTAGAGGGTGAAATCCAAACTCTCAAACAAGAAAATGCTCGTGTAAAGGGAGAATTAACAGATTTTGCTTCAAGCTTTGTAGAATTCAAGAATAACTTTCTGGGAAGAGCCAGCTCTGGTTTGGGAGTCATAATAACGAGTGGAGACACTGGAAGGATTTTAAGTGCCAACTCTTGTGTTTTGAAACTACTTGGTTATGATGATTTGGAACAATTTAGGAGTATTGTTAGCAAGTGGAGTGATGTTGTTGTTCAGGAAGATCGCCAACGAGTATTTTCAACATTTTTACAATCTGCCCTTGCAAGCAATGATAATTGTTTCATAGTTTTTAGAGCTAAGAGATTAGATGGAAAGATTATAACTGTTTCTTCAAACCATGTGGTTGCCTATGATGATGGAGGTGAAAATCCATTCTTTTCCATGTCCTTTTTCAAACAATTGGATGTTCCTCCAGAGGATCTCATTTCTGAGCAAAGTATATAATAAAAAAACAAAATTTTCAACCATTAGGTACTATTTAAAATTATTTATTTAATTAGTATTTGTGTAATCAAAGTTATTCATTAGGTCAATAATATTTGCATCCACTATAAAACAACTTGTTCAATTATTTTTAATAAAATCAAAAAAAATGCAAAATCCTCACCCTTCATCCCACACTAATAACAATACACTGATCGGTGGTCTTGGATCATCTTCGGAATTAGCAACCGATTCTAAAAAGATTGGAATTATTATTCCACCTCCAGCATTGAAGAGGACCATTGAAGTTACCGCAGAACATATTGTATCTAGTAAAATTCCCGAGAAACAACTCTTGTCAAGTAATGAAAATACATTTAATTTCCTCCTCCCAGAAAATCCATACAACAAGTATTATAAACATATTGTGGAAAAATTAAAGAAATTTAAAACCTTGGAAGAGGAATTTGAGAATGATGAATTTAAAGATGATGATGACGATTTTGAAACATTAAAATCAGAAAAGTCGGAAATTACTGTTGGAAACATATCTAAGAGTGCCTCTGTTGCATTTTACATGAACAGATCTCGAGAAAAACCAACTAGGGACCCATTCGAATATTTCTATGATACAACAATTCCTTCCTCGATTAAACCTTTAGAATTGGATATTATCAAATTGACTGCTCAATATACAGCTGCTAATGGAAAGCAATTTATGTTCGAAATTGCATCTTTGGAAAGTAGTAATCCTCAATTTGATTTTTTAAAGCCTAATCACAGACACTTTCACTTTTTCACAAAGCTTGTAGATATCTATACTGGAATTATCCACCCAGACCGATTAACACCAATGCAAATTCAAAAGTACAATCAAGAAAATAACATTCCAAATAATCCAAATTCTGAACTTCAACAAATTTCAGTTAAGCCAGAAGATCACATCTTTAAATATCTCAACATGTTCTCAGATAGTGATAAGAAATTACAAGTACTCGATATGCTCCTTCAGAAAGCTGAATGGGAATTGATACAAGAAGAAAATCAAAGAAAGGAACAACTTGGTAGAGATGAAGACAAATCAGTATTCGACATGATTGACTGGCAAGACTTTATTGTAGTACAGACAATAGATTTTGATGAAGATATTAATGAAATTGAAATGGACGACGAGGAAGAGGAAGAGGAAATCAATGAACAAGAATTTGTAGAACCAGAGGAAAATATTTATGAAAATATGTATCCAAGTGGATTTGCTGATTCAGATATGAATCAAATGGAAACAAACGAAGATGAAAATGTTAATCCTGCAGAACCAACCTTTACAGATATACAAGAAGAAAACCGTATGAATGATGAAGATGAGGATGAGGAAGAGTTAGATCCGAGTAGATTTGCCAGAACTTATCAACCTCAAAAAGGTGTCAAATCATCCACACCTCTCATGTTTAAGGATAAAAAAACTGGTGAACTCATTCCAGTTGATAGAGCAGAGAAACATCTCAAAGTTTCTACAATTAATCCACAATACTTTGAACAGAAAGAAAGAGAAAAGGCAAAGAGAGAAAAAACTAACATTGCTCCAGGTATTGAAATGACCAAAGTTATTGCCTCATGGAATGAAGATAGTGAAACACAAGAAGGCTCATCTGTTGGTACTGATCAAATCTGGGATGGTTACACCTCATCAATTATGAGAACAACCAATGCTGCTCTCTCAAAGCCAAGAAAAGAGACAGCTCCTCAAAATCAACTAGGTCCACAAACACCAACCGAATACTTTAAACAAGAACAAGAAAAGGCAGTTGGAATAGCACAAATGGCTGCAACAATGGCTTTGAAAGAAATGATGAAACAAAACCACGATTCTACACTCGAAGAACCTGAAAGTAAAAAGAGAAGAGAATACAACGACAGTGATAATGAATAAAACCAACCTAATTTATTTTCTTTTTTCTGTTTGGCCCATCTCGATATTTACTAGTTATTTTGCATGCTAGCTGAATGGATTTATTCTTCCTTCTTTTGGGAAGCTCTAGTAATTGGATTACCAACATAAGTGGCATACCACAAACTAGTCAAAAGAGTTGGAACAACACTCAAAGATCCAAGGAAAGTGAGGGCAGCAGCCTTTGATGGTGGTCCATTATTGAGGCAGACGAGCTATTGTTAATCAATAATATTTAAATACAATGTTTTTTTGTTGTTGTTCAAGTCCAATGTTGGTTTGATCAAAATATTATTTTCACTTACCTCGTGATGATGGGCGTGGGCATCATGTCCTCTGGTGAGCTTTCTCAAGTTGTTGTTGAATGATCTAAGTACTCTCATTTTTTAAGTTTGACTTTTATAAATTCTTGTACTGATTTATGTACAAATTGGGATCGCAAGTGGTTGACTCTTACAAATGGTCGTTTTTGGATTGGAGAAAAAATTACCTTTTCATTACACCAATAATTGCTCGTATTGACGATCATCGACGCTTCTTTGATTCGAAATAATGATAGCAATGTAGAGTCAATAATTGTTCTTTGATATCCATGATAGCTCATCAAACGTACAATGTTGTATTACTTATTATTAGTTCCAAGCAATTTAAAAATGAGCTGAGTCACAAGCCTTCAATTTGCTTCAAATTCCAACAAGAAATTCAAATTTGCACCAAACCCGACTTCAAATAGGGATTTTAATTTGCATAGTATGTGCTATTTCTAAAGACCACAAACCACTAATAATATTATTTTGCCAATATATTGAATTCATTGTGTAATAATATAAAAGTTGATCGTGACTATTTAAATTTTCCTCTTCAAAAAACTAAAATCATCTTTAAAAAAAAAATATTTTTCATCATCACAGATGTCTGATTCACCACAACAAGAAACTCCAGTTGCTGAAACTGTTCAAAAGCAACCAAGAGAAAAGAAGGTCAAACCACCAAAAGAACCAAAGGCTCCAAAACAACAACAAGGATCTTCAGCTGCCGGAAACAAACAAAACGAAGGTGTTGATGTCAAGAAGGCTGAAAACTTCTCTGAATGGTATACTCAAGTTATCACCAAGAGTGATTTCCTTGATTACTATGAAGTCAGTGGATGTTATATCTTTAGACCAAATTGTTTCTATGTCTGGGAAAAGGTACAAAACTTCTTTGATGGTCACATTAAAAAGTTGGGCGTTCAAAACGTAATGTTCCCAATGTTTGTTACCAAGAGAGCTCTCGAAACTGAAAAGGATCACGTTGAAGGATTCTCCCCAGAAGTTGCTTGGGTTACAAAGTCTGGTAACTCTGATTTGGATGAACCAATCGCTTTGAGACCAACTTCCGAAACTATTATGTATCCATCATATGCCAAGTGGATTAAGTCTCACAGAGATTTGCCATTAAAATTGAACCAATGGACCAACGTTGTTAGATGGGAATTCAAACATGCCGTTCCTTTCATTAGATCAAGAGAATTCTACTGGCAAGAAGGTCACAGTGCTTTCAAGAATTTCGAACAAGCTAAAACTGAAGTTTATGATATTTTGGAATTGTACAAGAGAACTTATGAAGAAATTTTGGCTGTTCCAGTCATTAAGGGTAAGAAGACTGAAGCTGAAAAGTTTGCTGGAGCCGATTTTACAACAACTATTGAAGCTTTCATTCCAACAAATGGTAGAGCTGTTCAAGCTGCCACAAGTCACCACTTAGGTCAAAACTTCTCTAGAATGTTCAAGATTGAATTCGAAGCTGAAGATAAGAAGAGTAAGCTCGTCTATCAAAATTCATGGGGTTTGTCAACTCGTTCATTGGGTGTTATGATCATGGTCCACGGTGATGACAAGGGTATGGTCTTGCCACCAAGAGTTGCTTTCACTCAAGTTGTTCTCATTCCTCTCTACTTTAAGAATAAGGATAATAGTGAATTGGAAACAAAGTCAAAGACAATTTTCGCTCAACTTGAAGAAAATGGAGTTCGTATCAAGCTTGATGATCGTTTGGAAAAGACTCCAGGTTGGAAGTACAATTATTGGGAACTTCGTGGTGTTCCTTTGAGAATCGAAATTGGTCCAAAGGATTTGGAAAATGGTGTAGCTATGCTTTGTAGAAGAGATAATGGTGAAAAATGGTCAGTTCCTCTTGAACAACTTACTGCTCAATACGTCAATGAGATTTTGGACAAGATTCACAATTCCATGTTGGAAAAGGCTAGAGAAGTAAGAAATCAAAGAATTTCTGTTGCTAGGACTTGGGAAGAATTCATGACTGCCCTCAATGCTGGTAATTTAGTTTTGATTCCATGGCGTCAAACTCACAAAGATGATGTTGTTTTGGAAGATCTCTCTGAAGAAGAACGTAAGGAATATGATGCCAAGATTGAAGAAGAAAAGAAGGCTGAAGAATACATTAAGGAAAGATCCAAGAAGGAAAGCGCCATGTTGAGTGATTCTGATTCTAACACTGGATTGACTGGTGCTGCCAAGTCATTGTGTGTTCCTCTTGATCAATCTATTTATCCATCATTGGGTGATTGTGAAGTCTTCTGTCCAGAATTATCTGACAGAAAGCCAAACAAGTGGGCTTTGTTCGGTAGATCATATTAAATTATTCATAAAGTTTTATCAATAAACTTGAGATCGATTTGGTAAAGATTTTACAGTGGATTAAATGCTAATGAGACCACTAAACAAACATCTAATATCAGGGTATTGCCAAAACATGAAATGGAACTGTTTCTAACAGCAAAAAGGAAGCAGTTTCGTTTGATTCTTCAGTAAATAGATTGCCTTAAATGGCCATGGTTATTACTCCTTCTCATGTTATCTAAGAATTTCCATGGTATTGGCCAGACAAACTTAGACCTGCTTCCTATTTGTTCCATACACAAGTTACTCGATACTAACTCGGTTACAGTTGCAGTCCATCCAACTGCTTATTTCTTATTGAAACTCCGAATAGATTTATTTTGACATATATTATAGTGTGAGAGTCGGTGACATTTCCAGATCATTTACCACAACGGATAACCTTGGAGTGCTTTTGTTCAAAGTCTATGTTAACATATTGAAAAAATTGTGCTCATAATAAAACCAATAGTAACTTATTCAACAACAATGAAATCAGCAAAGAAAATTATACTGTTAAACCTTATTATCCTTTCGACGATAGCTGTCTCGCTGGTAATTTATTCTATGAAAGTCATCTATTCACATCAGCAGAACACAAATCCAATCACTTCTGTGACAGACAACTCAATTATAAATCCACATGCCATTGAAAATTCAAAGCACATACCAATAAGTGAAGAAGATAACAGTATGCTAAAAAGTGTGAGGAAAATCTCGCAAGATATAAGGACTGGAGATGCTTACAATCCATGTATCATCATGGTGAGCCAATTACATGTGGAGGATGCACATCAACTTGACGATTTATTAACTACCATTCAAATGAATTTATGGAATCCTTTTGTTTGTGAATATCATTTTCTTCAAAGGGATAAACGACACAATCTCGCAATTAGAAGTTTATTGCAGTCCAAAGAAAAAGTCAAGATTAGGATTATTGAAACGGAATTAACAATTGGAAAGTTTATGGAATATTCAAATGAAAACCTGAGTTATAGATTGGTTATGCTTTCATCGGGAAATGTGTTTTTCGATCATACATTGGTGCATGCCAGTAAAATAAGACAGGACTCTATCATGACCATTTCAATGGAGAAGGAGTTGACACATGTGAAGGTGAGTGTTTGAATGTTTCAATCTCTTAATATATTTACCAATTATAGGATGTTGAGGCTATTATATTCAAGACAATAGCTCCATTTCCTCGAAATGTTATAGAAGAGCTCTCAAAGAGTACACTGCTAGGTCAATATGCTGTTCGACCACTGCTGTTTTATTACAAATTGCTCTCAAACTCTATCAACGTTTGGAATTTAATTAAGAACTCTTCACATCTCCACTAATGATTCAAACTCTCCCAAAAAATAACATTCCCTCTCGAGCACTTATTCTTTCCACCCAACAAATCACCATTTCTTCACCTCAATCAATTTTTAATAATTAAACAATTTCCACAACACAATTAAAAGTAAAATTAAAAAAAATGAGCACAACAAACAATCCACCAAAAACTTCACAAGAAATTCTGGAAAGTAGTAAGTGGAGGGACGTAACACAATTCCTCCGTGATACAACAAAAGATGAATTCGAGGAGGGAGAGATGGTTCACGGACCAGGATTTAATTTATATGATATTTTGAGTGCAACAGAGATGGGAGATGAAAAGATGGATACTTTTCTCAATGGACCTAACAAGGAATATATTTATTGGCCAAAGGATAGACTTTCAAAAGGAATTATCAAGCCTATTTCTACCTTGAATATTAAACAAATTTTATTCATGATGGATAAGTTATTATGTGGAGTGGTAAGTTGTTGATGTTAATTGTTGATTAATTGCTTACATTTAAATATTATCATCATCATGTTCAAATTAATTTGTTAATATATTTGGAAAATAGTTTACTTGGTATGAAGGATGGTCATTGATTCAATCAATTTTAACTTGTGAATATATTCACCATATGGATCATGTCTCGGAAGCAAGTAGCTATGAAGATAGAAAGAATATTGTTAAATATTTCCATGCACTTGCTTGTGGTGTGTTATCTGTCAAGGAAAAATTGGAAATTGTCATGTCAAAAGCTTTGTGTAGAGAACAAGAGGAGTTCTCCTATGATTCATGTGGATTGAGAGTTGTAGCAGAGAAGGAATCGATTGTTATGGAACGATTGGAGAGTTTGGAAAAGGAACTTGGCTCTCGTTTGGATTATTTAACAAAAAAGAGTACACAAGTTGTCTTTGAGCCAATTCAAGAAGATGGTGCTATTGAGGAAACTATTGTAAAGGCATTGCTGTCTAGAATTTCATTTATCAAGGTTTGTTTAGCAGATACATATTTATTAATGCTTTAAAGAATTTCTTGATTATTCATAGTTCAATGATTAGTGTTGTTTCACCACAAGTTAACAATTGTAAAAAATCAATTACAACTTGTCTTGCTCTATTTACACAAATTAAGGATGAAAATACATTATTGGAATTAAATAGTCATAGTGTTGGATTCGATAAACATATTGCCTTGATTGGAAATTACATCTCTCCACTTAAAGCTATTGAAATTTTCAGTATGGAGACGTCACTCGAGATTGCTACAAACTATTTAAATGAAATGAATTACGTTTTGGGAGTTAGACAAGTCCAAAGTCTCAGTCAATTATTGCACTTTTTCAGAAATTTCTCCTTCTCAAAGAAAGCAGAAAACTCTGTTGTTTCTAGAGCTTTCCTTTACTATACTACACTCCAGGATGATTTAATCTTTGGAAAGCACAAGCTTGGTGATTGGATTGAAAAGCATTTAGAAACTGAAGTGATTTGTCTTACCGAAAAACATGCCCAGGAAATCAAAAAGCAAAAGAAGACTCCTGATAGATTGTATCAAGAATGGCTTGCTGCTCTTTCCCACATAATACAGAAAATATTGAATGCTTATTGTAATAACAAGTCGAGATTGAGAAGAATTTTCAATAACTGTATTGCTGACCTAGGATTGGCTGAACAACGAGCAGAACAAATTGATGTTACCTGGATTGGAATTGATGTTAATAATATAGAATTAGTTAGAAAGAGTGATAGCTATTCTCATTCTCACTCTTCATGATTGATTACATTATTGACATTATGCATCAAACTTTGGTAGTTGGCTTTGATTTGGATATCTATCATCATACAGAAATTGTGCAAGTTGCTTGGTATATTGACTACATTACAAAGATTAGAAGTTCTAATCTGGCCAAATTGTTTACCGATGTTAAAAAGAAAAAATCTGGTCCAGTCAATTTGAATAGATATCAATTATATGCTAGAACCTTAACAGAAGTTCACAATTTATTCTACAGAGGATTATTTAGAGTAAGTTGTAATATGAATCTAATTTTTCTAATAATTATCTAATTGTAAACCATCAAACAGTTCCTTATGGCCATGCATAAGAAAGGACTTTACACTAACATTAGTGCAGAAACTGATTATCCACTCACATCAGACGAACTTCGTTTTACGAACAGATTTAGAGCATTCTTCAATACTATGCAACCTCCACCAGTTAGTTTTGAATCATATACTAGAGCTAATGATTTATCATTTGTTGGTGAAAAGGATTTGTTTGATTCTGCCAAAGATCATTTCGAGGCAACACAAAAGGCCATTGATATGGTTTTGAAACAAGATATCAAACTTTCACCATCCGAAAAACAATCTTTAGAATTATTATTGAAAGTAGCCAAGACTAATGCAGTTTCAGTGGTTGTTTGTTCGAGGGTTCCAAAAGACGAAACTCAAACAAGTCAAACACCATTCTTTGATTTTTCAATTTCTTCCCAATTCCCTGTTGTGAAACCTCCAAAAAAGAAGTAAATTATTTTACATTTATTATGTACATTCGATTTGTATTATTTTGTGTTCGCAACTTATTGGAAACACATTGATAAGTTAGTGTTTTTCGTTTTCCAAATCATCGGACCAGTCTTCATCCAAAGTCAATGTTGCCACATCATGATTGAAAATACTTCTCATACGAACGTGATGATTTTCTGGGATATCTCCAAAGGTATTTTCTTCGTGGTCTTCTGATTCCTTGTATTTATTTATGAGAGGACTTGCATAGGTAGCTGTATCTGTTTTGACTGTGAGAGTTTGTTGTGTTGGTTGTTGTTGATCAGAAGGTGAGGATGACATTTTTTGTGTTTGAATTTTTTGACAAGAGATTTGTGAATGCCAAACAAGTACTGTTTCAATCCCGACTCTTCACTTGCAGCATAAAACCCAATTTTTCAACACTTTCATTAATAGATTTTAATTATCAAACTGCATCATTACCTCTTTGAGAATTTAAACACAAGGAAGTAAACAAATTCATTGAGAAATCTCAATAGACTCATTTCCTTACTTGACTACATTAAAACTCTATCTATGGTTGTAAACGCTCACTGGTCTTCTATCCGTCTGTCAATAATTCTGTCAATACTTCATGTTCAACTCAACTACAATAACATATTGCATTAACAAAATCAATGTAGAAATCTTTGCATGATCTTTAATTTTGTTCATAATGTCTATTAATGTTTGATGTAAGAAATCTCTCAATAGACAGCCTCATTTCCTCACTAAAATTTTCTCCTTCATAATATTCATAATAAGGATCGTTTGGATAATACTCAAGCTGCGTCAAATTCTTCAAATACTTGCTCTCTATAATGTATCTTGCACCCTCATCTCCAACATATGCGTGGGTAATGTCTAAACATTTCAAATTTATCATGTTTGGGCATTCTGCAATAATCTTTACACCTTCAACACCCAATTCAGTATATTCAAAGTATAGATCAGTTAAATTCTTTGCATTATTACTGTTGAGGAATAGTTTGAATGGTTCAAGTGTAAAATCTCCTCTATCCAACATTATGGTTTCTAATTTAGTCAAATAATTACTTTCTTCTAATAATTTCATAACATCATCATTGGCAAAATGAGAAAGTCCAATATGTTTCAAATTTGATAGAAATGGACTTTGACACATACATCTCACTCCTTCAACAGGGTTTTCATACAAATTACTCAGATCAAGAAATGTTAAATTTGAAAAGTTTTCACTTTCTGCAACATATTTAGCAGCCAAATATGAATGTCCAGCCCAAAAAGCTCTTAAATATGTCAAATTCTTAATGTATGAACTCTTGCTCAATGCTTTGAATCCTTCATCTCCAATTCTCACTCTATCAATATCTAACTCGGTTAAATTCTTCAATACCATTCCACTAAACAAGGGTTCTACATTAATTTTATCATCCCAATCTCTAATGTTCAATTTAGTTAAATTTATCAAATTTTGTGATTTTGAAAAAATTGTAATCATCTCATCAGATACACGACCATGAATATAGAGTGAGTTGATTAATAGTGATGAGGTAAGATCCGATAATTCCTTAAATTTTCTATTACTTTCATCAATATCTTTCTCATAACCGTATGAGCCAAATTGTTTGTCAAATTTAAAATTGAGTGAAGTTCTAAACCATTCACTGGATACCATCATGACGGAATTCATCTCATCAAAATCACAAAACTGCATCATGTGAAAAATCATGTCAGTTGGCAGAGATTCTATTTGAGCCATTTTTTTAAAGTGTTAATGTGTTAATTTGTGATGGATACAGATTGAATTTGAATGATCATCGTCATCACCATTGGACAGATTAACATGTTACAATGAAAGAGCCCATTGAGCTACAGTAAATTCTCGTTGCATTTGTTGTTTTCAATTTCTTGAATTTGTCAAGTTTGTTGAATCCTAAACGTTTTCCTGAAACGAGAATATGATTGAAAGTTTCATCTTTCATTCCTTCTACTAGAATGACAGAATAGTTGGGACCACAACAAGCATCCAAAATTCTCTCTTCTAAAGCTTCTTCTTCATTACTTTCCAATAGAACTGGCCCAGGAAGAAACTTTTCCTCACCAATGAAACCACATTGATTTTCATTGTTACTTCCCATAACATAGAGACAATTATCTTGGCTCAATAGCAAGGTGTGGGATGCTCCGCAGCATGTCTTTCTTATTTGAACGTCTCCTCTAAGAATTTCCAAAGGAAGAGGTCTCTCCTCAATAAATCTGGGAAAGTCAATCTTGTCATCATAGGTTTCATGCGAAATTCCACATTGCATATAAGAATTATTTCCAAAACAAAATACTGAACCATCTTGATCGAGAATGGTAAAGTGATAGGCACCAGAATTGAGTGAACAAATGGTAGCAGATGTTTCAATGGTCAGTTTTTCAATATTTTGAACATTTTGATCTAGAATTGAGAATTTAAACAGTTCATTCTTCTGATTGACCAATAATCCAATCAAACCATTCACCTGAAATGTAGAAATTGCAAAATCCTTCACATTCTCCAATTCTATTTCACACAATTCCACAAATTTCATCAATTCTTCATCAATATAATAAATTGCAAATCTTCCATTCCTCTTTTCAATCAATAACAATAATCCATAATTCATATGAGTTTGCATTCGAAGTATTTTCTTAATTTCCATTGGGTTTTCAATTACTTTCCATTCAACAATTTCCTCTTCTCTTGTTTTTAAATTTTGAACAATAAGAGTTTCATCATTGGATTGATTTTTCACAGCTCCGAATAAGACAAATAAATTGCAAAAGGTAATTTGAACATCGAGAATATGAATTTCCTTGTTAGAATTTGTTAATTCAATTAATTTAAATTGATTATCAATTTTAATTTCATCAACAATTGTTTGAAAATTCTTTGGAAATTGATTCGATCGAGACATTTTTTACAAATCTTATTGAATCAAATTACTGGCTACAAATCAATTACAGGGAATTATTTCTCTATGAAAACTTCTTCCAAGATATGATGAAGCTGAAAGTTTTTCGGAATGTTGATGAACTAGAAATTCCGAAAAACTATTTAAAAAGTTGTGATGAAAAATTCGGAATTTTAATCAAAAAAAATACAACACAATTAATCCTTTATTTATTCTTCAATTTAATCAATTAAATCATAGAAAATGTCCTCCGAAGATATTGTCATGAATGATCAAAGTATTGTTGATGTTTTGGGTGATGGTGGTATTATTAAAAAGATTCTCAGATTTGCACCTGAAGATCAAGTGGATACACCACCAAGTGGTTCCGAAGTTACTGTTCACTATCATGGTACATTGGCTAGTAATGGTAACAAGTTTGATAGTAGTAGAGATAGAAATGAACCTTTCAAATTCAAGATTGGTGAAGGACAAGTTATAAAAGGTTGGGATGAAGGTGTTGCCACAATGAAAAGAGGTGAACTTGCTCTTTTCACATTGAAACCAGAATATGCTTATGGTAAGAGTGGTTCTCCACCATCTATTCCACCAAATAGTACCTTGAATTTCGAAGTTGAATTGCTTGATTTTAATGATGAAATGGAAGTTACTCAAGGTATTACAAAGAAAGTTTTGTCAAAAGGAGAAGGATGGAGAAATGCTGAGGAAGAAGGTGCTACTGCTGTTTGTAATTATAAGATCTATGAAGGGGAACAAGTTTTGGAACAACGTGATAATGTTACCCTTGTTTTTGGAGATGAAAATGTTGTTGGATTTGTGGAAGATGCTGTTGGTTCAATGAAATTGAATGAAAAGGCAATCTTTACTGTTACACATTTCAGACCTTGTAAATATCTTGAATACACTGGTCACACTGCTGAATTCAAGAAGGTTTTCGAAACTGAATTGATTAAGGGCACTCATACCGTTAAAATGGAAGTAACCGTGACAGCCATCGAAAATGAAAAGAATGCTTGGGAAATAGAAGCTCTCGAAAAGTTGAATCTTGCCGAATCAAAGAAGGAACAAGGTAATGAACTTTTCAAGAAGAATAGACTTGAACTCGCCAAGAAGAGATACGAAAGAGCTTTGAGATTCATTGAAGATGAAAAGCCAGACGATGAACCAGAAGATCAAAAGAAGAAGAGAGCTCAAATTATTTCTTCATGTCACAGCAATTTGGGAGCCATCTATGTCAAACAATCAAACTGGAAGTTTGCCATCGATGAATGTAACAAAGTTTTGGATGTTGATAGAGAAAACATTAAGGCATACTATAGAAAGGCTCAATCTTATCAATCTCTTGGAGAACTTGAAGAATCCAAGACTACTCTCGAACAATGTGTTGAAGTTTGTGCCAATGTAACTGAAGAAACTCAAATCCAATTACTTGCCTCTGCTAAATCATTCTTGGTCAAGATCAACAATGCCATTGCTGAACAAACAAAGAAGGAAAAGGCAATGTTTAATAAAATGTTCCAATAAATCATTTTTATTTACGAGGCACAAAGTCAATCAATAGTTTTTCTGTTGGTCTTAGTGTGACAGCCATTTCAACCTTCATGACATGACTTGGATCTGGAAGTTTGAATGAATAACGTCTAGCCAACTTGGCCAATGCACAAATTCCTTCCACAAGAGCAAAGTAACGACCAGCACAGATTCTTCCACCAACTCCAAAAACAGTAAATACAAACGGATTACTTTGAGGATTGTGGAATTTACCATCCTTAATAAATCTCATAGGTTTAAATTCTAATGGATCTTCCCAATATTTCTCATTGACCAAAGTATTTACAAAAGAAACTGCAACAATTGAATCTTTTGGAAGTGAAACACCATTACATTCAACCTTCTTTGGTAATTCTCTGAAAATACCAAAAGCAACTGGAACCAATCTCAATGTTTCATTAAAAACTGCCTTGACATAGTCCAATCTTCCACTTTCGTAATCTGAATAATCAAAAGTTTCTCTTCCTGTTTCTTCCACTAATTTATCCAGAGCATTGTGAAGTTCTTGTTGAATGTGTGGATTCTTGGAAAGAAGGTACAGTAGGAAACCAAGAGTACGTGCAGTAGTTTCATGTCCTTTAAAATTATTAGAAATACCAGTAGTCTAAATCCTACTTACCAGCAACTAGCAATACGAAAGCATTAGAAATCAATTCTTCATCAGTTAAAATTCCTCCTCCAGTTGAATTCTCTCTATTATTTCTTCTTTCTTTCAATAAGAGAGATAAAGCATCATCAGCTGACTCTTCTCCAGTCAATCCAGTCTTTTCCCTCTTCTCAATAATCTTTTTAATAACTTCACTGAATGAATCACAAACTCTATGGATCTCACCAACTGGACCAATTCTTAAATTCATTCTCAAGAATTTTGATGGAATAATTCTCAAAAAATCTGCCTTCTCCAAAAATATACTTGTCTTTTTATCCATAGTTTCTTCTCCTGGTTTCGAATGGAATGAATCAAGAGCATAACCAAAGGCAGCATGTCCAATTACATCCTATCATTGTAAGAAAAATCTATTCCTTTAAAAACATACCATTGTTAAATTAGCAAAGTCAACCATAACATCTCTCTTTTCCAATTTTGATTCAATAGCAGGAATCATATCCTTCTCAATAACTTGATCAGTAACCTTAGCCACAAGTTTCAAATTTGATGGTACAAAGCTCTGATCAATTAATTGACGATGTTGAGACCAAACCTGATGATCCTCCTCAGCAAAAACATTCGTTCCATAAAAGAATTCCAAGAAAGTTCTCTTGGAAAAGAAAGTTTTCTTATAAAGTTTTGCAGATTTTGTTGCAACTTCTTTGGAAAATTCAGGTGAGTCCACAATAATCAATGGCAAGTTGATAATTCCAAAAATGACCTTGTAATAATCACATTTGACAGTCTTGATGGTTTTGATAATGGTTTCTGGACTGAGGGTTTCGTATGGGTCAGAAATTATACCAGCAGGAAGGATCCATTTAGGTAAACGACTGGAAAGTTGTGGTGGAAGGAATTGAGTGATACCTGGCAAGTGTTCATACTATTTACAGAGTTTCTTATATTGTATGTATCTTTCTAATAAAAAAAGAGATACAAACAAGAGACATCCAGCAGGTACATAGACGAAACATAGCACGAGAGTGTTTAGAATCATTTTTTATGGATGGTTAAATTGTTGTTGATGGCGCAGTCAACTACAACCACTGCGACAAACAAAAGGAGAATTATGTTCAAGGATGAATGTTTGGCTTGTTATTGCGTGGAAAATTTCTATTAGCAGGTTTCAATTTGAATGATGAAACTGAGTTAATAATCACAGAAAAATTCAAGTTAAATATTTCCCGCCATTTTCATTTTTAAAAAATTGTAATATAATTATTAAATAGCAAATTAAAAAAAATGGCATTATTGGAAGGAGTACCCATTGATAATGGTAGTGATGATGATGATATTCAGCGAGCCTCCGATGGTGATGAACAATCCAATGAACAAGATGATTTATCTGGACCGAAGGAAGTAGTGGAAATTAGATATGCTTCCTATGATGGAGATTATTGGAAATCGAGAGTGAAATTAATAGGAATTGGATTTTTATATTTTGTAATATTGAATAGTGTTGTATTGGTGATTGGGTTTTGGGCTTGTCCGGATATTCAGATTTTTGGATATGAAATTGTGAATGAGATTTTCAAGTGGATGTGGTATATGATATTGTTGGTGATGGGATTTTTCTACGTATCCAATGTTACGGAGCAAAGATGTTTGTATAGAGAACTTGTGGTGGTGCAACAGAAAAATGTTCAGAATGAAGAGTTTAGTGTTGAGGAGTTTGGACATGTTTTTTGGATTAAGCACTTTTTCAAAAAGTTGATAGAATCTATAAGGGGAAGATCATTTAGAGAATTTTCCAAATATTATCTGCAAGATAGAGAGGGTACATGTAGTGAGTTGATTAATTTATTGAGCCCTAGATCTTTTAAACTGGTAGAAAACAGGAAGAGATCTAAGAAGGATATTTTTGTGTATTTTCCAATTTATTTAGTTGGAGTTATGAGTTGTATTGAGACATCTACTACATCAACAGCATTTTCCTACTTTTTAAATAATGGAATTTTCGTTATAGCTTATTATATTGGACTTCAATTCACTTATTTAGACAAAATTGAATTTTTACAATTATTTGGTGATAGAATTGCAAACTCAAATAGGTGGAAAGAAATTAGAATTTTTGAATGGATTGGAGTCTTGATATCAGCTATTGCTTTACTTGTAGTGATTGGTCTCCAAATATTTACTTTCATTACAAAATCTGGTATCGATATTTTAATTGCTTATGCACTTGGCTATTTTTTCTTCTTTCTGTTTGTTTCAATAGTTTACATTTCTCTGTCACATGTTAGAAAGACACATTACCTTCACATGCATCATTATTTTTTATTTCTGATTATTATTCCACTATTCAGATCTACTGGCTATTTCAATATTGGAACATTATGTTCTGGTCTATGTCTTGGAATATTTATAGAGGGTGTTAGCAGATGGGGAATGCATGGAATTTTAATTGAACGTCGATAGAGGTTATATTTACCAGTAGGTTCAATTAATCTATTTCCTTAGTAAAGTCGGTTGCATTCAGTTAGAAAAAATAACAATACAATGAGCACGACTTTATCCGAGGAATTATTGGATCAATTGGAGAGTAGAATACAGATTGCAGTGAAGCAAGCTCTTGAAGAGCAATCACCAAATAGATACTCTGATGACACTCTCGTTCATCTGAATGTTGGTGGGAAAAAGTTTACCATTCTTAAAGAGACAATAATTTACAAAATTCCGAATATTAATAAGCATCAAGATGATCAAGAAGAGTATTATCCAGATAATATGTTTTCCATCATGTTGGAAGGATCAATCCCGTTTACTACTGATGAGAAAGGAAGAATTTTTCTAGACAGAGATCCAACCTATTTTCCATTCATTCTCAATTATTTGAGAGCTTCTGGGTCGAGAAATCAATATGTTCTTCCCGAAGATAAATTAGCTCTGAAAAGATTATATTTGGAAGCTAACTATTATCAATTAGTTGGCTTGTGTGAGCATTTGGAAGAAATAATGCCTGAATTGGAATCTCTTGTCTCAATAGGAAGAGCATCTTCCTATAGATATGCTCCAAATAATGAATGCAACTATGCAAGTGGAATGAAGATATTCATAAGGACAAAGGTTTTGACAATAGAATTATGTGAAGTATTGAATTCATTTGTTGGAGTGGAAAAGGATAGAAAATGGAAACTGTTGTGGCAAGGATCAAGAGATGGATTTGATTCGAGGTCATTCCATTCAAAGTGCGACAATAAGGGACCAACTGTTACTATTATTCGAACCTCAAATAATTGCATCTTTGGAGGATACACAGAAGTCAGCTGGAATTCATTTAGTGGATATTCTCGAGATCCAAATGCATTCCTCTTCTCTTTAGTGAATGTAAATAATATTCCTTCAAAACATCCAATCAAGCACCATGCCTCCAGATATGCAATTCAAAATAGACTGGTAAATGGGCCAACATTTGGCTCTGGTCACGATATTTTCATTTGTAATAATTGTGATACAAGGCCTGACTCGATGACTTTTCCATGTAGCTATATGGAAGGAACACTCACACTAACAAATGATCAACAACAATCCTCTCAGACAGTTGCCAACAATGCATCTTCCTCAACATTGGTAGGTCAACCATTAGCTCCTTTTGATAAGAACTATTTTGCTGGAGGAAAGAACTTTATTGTGAAGGAAATTGAAGTATTTACATTAATGTATTAATGTAGAGACAATTAGTTCTGCCTTGTTGGTTTTCCAAGCAAAACAATATGCCACCAGCTGGTTTTTTAAATTGTTTAGCTCTTTTAAAAGTCTTAATAAAGAACTGTACAACTAACAGTAGGCACTATTTAAGGACTCAGTGAAAAAACAGCCACACCATATTAAAAACTATATTTGTGGAGAGTTGCTTTACTGTTTTGTTGTAATATTACGATGGGCAAACAACACCTTACTACAAAATATTTATTCTTGGCAACTATTGACACCTAATACCAGGAAATACTTTCTGTTTCATTCCAATGCGAAAGCTGAAAGTTGCCCTATTTCTCATCTATCATCTCCGCACTGAGCTTGTCATTACAAAATCATCATGAAATTGATCACATCAAAACTCGTCATGAATCATTCCACAATTAAATTTCTTCACAATCCTCATAGCTATCCGCCTGCTTTTTGCTTTGATCACCAACAGAAAGAATGCATTCTGTGACGACATTTTAAAAGTGATCCTTCACACAAAACACCAAGTGTTGCACACTAACAGAACTCAAAAAAAAACCCTCAAGTTCATCTGCTCTTTTGTGTTGTTTAAAAAATCTAATTGTACAAAAGAAAACTCAACACAAACACTACTATAAGAAAAAAGTGCTGCAATTTTGTAATAGAAGAATATAAAACATGGCCTCATCGACTAATTTCCTAACTCTTGGATTGGAAGACATTGAAAATTTAAATCTCAACCCAAAGATTCAAAAGTATGCTTCAGTGAGACCAAGCAAGGAAACTGAAAAGCTTAAGCAACACTACAAGAGAAATATTCCAATCAATGTAAGTGTTCCTTCTTTTTAAACTCAGAAAACGACAATTTTATTATCAATAATATTTTGATCAATTCAAATGATGTGATTGATCATTTCATACAAAACAACGCCAAATAACGAATCATCAAATAGACCAAACAATTAAAATATGATTTTAGAGACAACAAGCACTCTACATTGACAGAGAAGAGTGCTATCGTGGAAGCAAGCAGATGTTTAAAGTGGTATGTAATTGATCAAAATATCAAGACAGTTGTTAATATTTTCACAACTGTAAAATTAAAATGCAATAATTTAATTACCGTGATGATGAACAAACTAATGTATTTATCCTTTTTGATGCCTTCCGTTCACTACTATTGCTACTGTACCAAAATTCCACATCAATCCTTTGCCTGTGCAAAAAAAACTCTGCGAAATATTATTTTAAAATGGAATCAATTCACATTTTTGCACTTTTTACCTTTCAATCATCATAATGTTTGATGCATTTTGAAAATTGGAATATTTCATAATGATAGTGCTGACGCTCCATGTCAATCTTCTTGTCCAACTTCATTGGATATTAAGAGTTTTATTAGTTGTATTTCTACTGGAAATTACTATGGTGCTGCCAAGATGATTTTCTCTGACAATCCACTAGGTTTGTCATGTGGTATGGTTTGTCCTGTTAGTAATTTGTGTGCAGGAAGCTGTAACTTGGCTGCTACCGAAGAAGGCCCAATTAATATCAAGTAAGTTGTTAAATTTCACCATGATTTTAACACAAAATACATTTATTACCAATATTTGTGTAATGCAATTTACTTTCAATAACAACAATCAAAAAACAATAGTGGTTTGCAAGCATTCGCAACTGATGTCTTTAGAAAGATGAAATTGAAACAAATCAGAGACCCAGATGCTACTCCTCTCGACAAATTACCAGAATCATACAAGGCCAAGATTGCTCTCGTTGGTGCAGGTCCTGCCAGTATTTCATGTGCTACTTTCTTGGCTAGAATGGGTTATCAAAATGTTACCATCTTTGAAAAGGGACAATATGCTGGTGGTTTGAGCACTCAAGAAATTCCACAAAATCGTCTCCCATACGAAGCTGTTGAGTTTGAAGTCAACTTGATGAAGGATTTGGGTGTTAAAGTCGAATATAACAAGGAATTAGGAAGAGATTTCACTGTTGAATCACTCAAGAATGATGGTTATGAAGCCATCTTTTTGGGTATTGGTCTTCCAGATCCAAATAAGGAATCAATCTTTGACGGATTGACCCCAGAACAAGGTTTCTACACCTCTAAGGATTTCCTTCCAGCGGTCATGCAATCATCAAAGGATGGTATCTGTGGTTGTAAGGCATCAAACCAAAAGCTTCCAAAGTTATATGGTAAGGTTGTTATTTTGGGTATTGGTGATACTGCCCTCGATGTTTATGGTTCTAGTATTAGATGTGGAGCTGATAAGGCTGTTCTTGTTTTCCGTCGTGGTTTCTCTGAAATGAGATGTGTCGAAGAAGAATTTGAACCAGCCATGAAGGAAAAGTGTGACGTACTTCCAAATTGTTTACCAAAACAAATTATCATGAAGGATGGCAGAATTTCTGGTATCGAATTGTACAAGACTGAAGTTGACTCTAATGGTAAACTTGTCATTGATGAAGATCAGTTCATCAGACTCAAATGTGACTTTGTCGTTTCTGCATTTGGTTGCACTTTGAAGAGTGAAAATATTATCAAGTCCCTTTCACCTGTTGCTGTTAATAATTATGGTAGAGTTCCTATCAATAATACAACAATGGAAACCGAAGTCAAGGGTGTTTTTGCTGGTGGTGACTTGATTGGTAGTGGTATGACAGTAGAGGCAAGCAATGATGGTAAAACTGCATCTTGGTACATTCATCGTTATATCCAAGAAGAATTGCATAAGGCTGATAGACTCTCTGATGCTCCTCAACTTCCAAAGTTCTTTACTGAAGTTGATAAGGTTGATATTTCAGTTGAAGTATGTGGTGTCAAGTTTGAAAATCCATACGGTCTTGCTTCTGCTCCACCTTGTACTACTGCTGATATGATTGATCGTGCTTTTGATGCTGGTTGGGGCTTTGCTGTCACTAAGACTTTTGGTTTGGATAAGGATTTGGTTACTAATGTTTCACCAAGAATTATTCGTGGTTCAGTCACTACAAACAGAGGTCCTCATCAATCTGCTTTCATGAATATTGAATTGATTTCTGAAAAGTCTGCTACTTATTGGTGTACTGCTATTACTGAGTTGAAGAAGAAACATCCAACTAAGATTGTTATTGCCTCTATCATGGCTGCTTTTAAGGAAGAAGATTGGAAGTTCCTTGCTACTAAGGCCGAACAAGCTGGTGCTGACATGATTGAATTGAACTTGTCTTGTCCTCACGGTATGGGTGAAAAGGGTTTAGGTTTGGCTTGTGGTATGGATCCATATCTTGTTTTGAATATTTGTAAATGGGTTAGAGCTGTTACCAAGATTCCATTCTTTGCCAAGCTCACTCCAAACGTTACTGATGTTTTGCAAATTGCTACTGCTGCTAGAGATGGTGGTGCTGATGGTGTTACTGCCACAAATACTGTTTCTGGTTTAATGACTCTTAAACCTGATGCGACCGCCTGGCCAGCAGTTGGTGCCAATAAGAGAACTACCTACGGTGGTGTCAGTGGTAATGCAATTAGACCAATTGCTATGAAGGCTGTTTCTAAGGTTGCTAAGAACATTCCTGGTTATCCAATTCTTGCTACTGGTGGTTGTGACAGTGCTGATGTTGCTTTGCAATTCATTCATGCTGGTGCTTCAGTTGTCCAAATTTGTTCATCTGTCCAAAATCAAGATTTTACTGTTATTGAAGATTACATTACTGGATTGAAGGCCTTGATGTATATCAATGCTCATCCTGCATTCAAGGGTTGGACTGGTCAAACTCCACCAGTTGTAGAAGAAAAGAAAGTTGGTTTGCCAAGATTTGGTCCATATGAATTGAAGAGAAGAGAACTCGATGTCAAGGAAATTGAAGAAAAGGGAGTTTTGACTGGTAGACATGAAGATAATATGCCAGCTGAAATTGAACAAGTTATCAAGGTTCCATCCATTAACGATGTTGTTGCTAAGGCTGTTCCAAGAATTGGTTCTTGGGGTGAATTGGATCCAAAATTCGATCACCACGTTATTGCTGTCATTAATGATGACAAGTGTATCAATTGTGGTAAATGCTACCTGACTTGTAATGACAGTGGTTATCAAGCCATTTCTTTCGATAAGGACACTCACATTCCAAAGGTTAGTGATGACGATTGTACTGGTTGTACTTTGTGTTACTCTGTTTGTCCAGTTTTGGATTGTATTGAAATGGTTCCTCGTAAGACTGAATACAAATCTCAGAGAGGTATTGCTCCAGGTGAATTCTCACAAGAAGCTGTTTTGAAGTTTGCCAGTTTGTATGATTCAAATGGTTCCCTTGTTTCTGATATGCACGAATAAATTGTTTATAAATAACCTGATTTTTGCATTAGTTGAATATTTTCATTTTGTAAAGGTAATTTTTCTCTTGTTAATAAATAAGAGATGAACATTGGAATTATATTTACTCAAAAAAAATGTCTCTCAAGAGAAAGAGAAATGGTGACCAACTTGTGGAGAGAATTGTTTCCATCCTTCGTTCACAGGAAAATTCTGAAGAGTTTGATTATTCCACAATATTAGATAAAGTCTCTGAACAATTAAAAAAGAAAAAGAAATCGGAAGAAAAACCACTAACCAAATTAACTGGTGATGAATGGTTATTAATTTATTCATTTGCAGGTTATGAAAATTTATTTTACAATCAAATTTACAAAATTAATCGTCAAATGATGGAGAAAATTTATGAAAATTCCTTATTTTGGAAAACTTTGTTTAATTTAATGTGGAAATAAATGTTCGAATGTTAATGAAATTACTGATTGGACCTATTTCAGAAAGTGTTGTTTTCACAAATTTGACAGCTTTGAAAGAAACAGACTAGACAATCCATATTACAATGAAGGAAAGTTCCAACATGATAGGGTGCATAATATCAATAGTAAGCTGTACAATACCGATATTACTAAATCATGGTACATGTTAAAAACCACTCAACCATGCTATTTTCTAACCTTGGCTGCCGATGACGGACTGAATCAGTTTGCTAATATTGAATCTGAAATGAATATTTATTTGAAAGAGAAACCAATTTGTGTAAATCTGTACGTGAAAGCAAGTACTTACTACAACAGATTCATAGATGTTAACCTTGATATTAAGGCAAGGATTGGATTTTCAGCTGATGAACATTCAACATCTGAAAATGAATGGATTGATATATTTAGTTGTAAAACAGCACCAAGATTAGAGATCGTTAAATTATTCAAACAATTGAAATTAGACGAAAGAGTACTTGATAATACTCCTACTTGGGAATCATTTGGCTTTTTAAATACTGAGTTTCCAGAGTCAATCAGAAAGGACAAACATTTCCTATGGTTCTGCGATTCATTTCTTTCTCAAATTCCAACCCCATTTGATTTCATTTTTCAATACGCTCCAAACTCATATCTGGATTATCTGTATGCTGTAACTGATGAAGATATTGGAGAAATCTATGATTATTCAAGTAGTAGTACAGAAGAAATTTAGTTTCTGTGAAACTCCCCTATTTCAATTGGTGCAACAAAAAAATACAAGATGCTTCGCTCGTTATACCGTACTGTTGTGAGCAATCGTTTCTTAGTTTTTTCTTTCGGACCAGAAATGAGATGTACAGTTTCGTTCCATTACCAGATTCCTCACAACAAACCAAGGAGAACAAAACCAATGAAAAGGAAACACTAAGCAAAATACTCACTACTGCATCATCCGTGTTGAGTATCACCTTATCAGTATACGCCATATTGGTCGCTAGAGATGCACAGCAACAACAACAAAATAACCTCAATTACTCTGAGGACTTGTTGCAAGAAGTAAGGGAGAAAATGAACACACCATTCGAACCAACAATTGCAATGATACCAGGAATAGACTTGTGTGAAAAAAGGAGCAGAAGTGTTGAAGGAGTTGTGTAGAACTGATTGCATTCCAAGGTTAAGCTATATTTATGGCCCATCTAATTGTGGGAAATCAACGGCAGTAGAAACAGAGCTAAAGGGAAGAAAGAATGTTATTTATATTACATTACGAAACCAATCACCAATTCCCAATATCAAAAGTGCTCTCCGGATATCCAAAAGAGAAAAAGAATTTACAATCATCAAATGCTGGAAAGTGTAAAGCAAGTACTTGAAGAAATCAAAATCAAAAGAGTAACTGAAAAAGATATTGAAACACCATTTCCCCTTGTTGTCTTGAGTGATTTCATTTCAGATAACGAGGATTGCCAAATTATTGCAGGCTACATGCTTCAGTTTGTGGAAGAGCAACTTGCCAGTGCCATTCATATTTCTAGCAATCACACAACTTTGTTAGAAGAAGAGTGTGGCTCAATATCTTTGAAATCTAATGATGAGAAGATTGCCAGCTTTGTAAATGGTGAAATAACCTTGCCAGATGAAAAAATAGCCAAAGTAATTGACGCTATCATCAAAACAGAAGCAGATGAAATCAAAGGAACCCTAAAACAAATGTCAAACATTATGTCATCATTGTGTTGAGAGGTATCTGTGATTCCAAAACACTCACCATTAAGCCAACAACATTGGAAGAAATACGTGTTTGTGACGAGCTCACACAAAAGAATATCCTCACCAACGTATTTGATGACACTGACTATTATACCTGGCATAGACCTGTTTTGCATTACGCTTTTAAAACAACAGAATCATTCAATTGGTAAAATAGAACCAAATTGTTTTTTCTTAAAAATTGACAATAACATGCTTGCTTTTCAATGAGTGTTCCAAATATTTTGAGGGTTGTATCTCCATAAGAATGCTCTTTCAACATATTAAATTGAATTCTCTTTTTTGGAATCATTATCTGAATTCATAAATTTACTTCTTGAAAAATTTCAAAAATTAAAAAAAATTTCAAAAATTAAAAAGACTACAGCACCACAGGTTCCCAAGTTGTCTCCAACCTCAGTACTGATGTGGCTCGACGATGCTTAACTTCTCAAATCAGACGGGATGAGGTGCATTCATCGTGATATGGCCGTAGTCATTCATTAGCTCAAATTGTCAAATATAAATACATTACTATAATATTATAAAATATGAAAGGTAAAATACGCTTGTGAGCTAAACTTGCTAATCGGTAGGCATCTTAGAAATGTTTCGTTATTCAATTTACAATTAAGACGGGAAGCCTGCCAGGAATATGGCGACAATCCCGCTACAGTCTTTGACTGTATGAACAGTGAAGGCAACGAAGACAGAATCTTGTTGGTTCAGTAAGGTTTTGTTGAAGAAATTGATAGAGTTGATCACACTCGTATTTATTGAACATTAAGCATGTTGAATTGCTTGATGCAACTTTTGGTTTCCGATTTTCTAATCAATTCGAAATTGAAACTTCATGCCATTCAATTCATGAAAGCAATTCATTTTGTCTTTTCAATCTCGCTTTGATATTCAAACCTTTTGAATATCTTTGTTAATCATAGTGTATTTTGTAATTTAAATGATCAAGGATTTCAACTTTACAAATATTAAAAAAAATGTTTAAATCTCTGGCTAGAACGTTCATCTCTGTATCATCATCACAATCTAGAAATAAATTGATCATTAAAAATTCCAAAAGGCTCATGATCGGAGCTGTTTTTACTGGAGGATTGAATCATGAAAATATGAATAATTCGGATCAAGAATTGTTTCATTCGTCTTCCTCTGTAAAACAAGCAGTAATGGATAACGTGAATGGTTATACATTAAAGGAGAGAATTCTTGCTAGTTTATTGTTGGCAGCTGCTGGTGATGCTATTGGTGAGTGTAATATGTGATCATGACGATATTTAACTAAAGTCAAATTGCTTTTTTGGATTTGTTTGAATTTTCGAATGAATTATTAGGTTTTAGAAATGGAAGTTGGGAATTTACTAAGAATTCACATTCCATTCATAATGAATTGAAACATTATTATGGAAATTTGAATGGAATTGATACTAAAAATTGGAGAGTTTCTGATGATACTGTCATGCATTTGGCAACAATGAGAGCAATGATTAGTTTTATGGAAAATTCGAAAAAAAAGATTTTTACGTTTGATGAGAAGGATGAAAAGGTAAATGCCAATTTTCTTGTGGAATTTGTAGATCCATTGATGAAAGAAATGGCAAAGGAATATTTGATTTGTTGGAATGATATGTATGGAAGGGCACCAGGACCTACATGTAAGTGAGCTAGTTGATGAAATTTTTTCACTCGAATAATAATTTATTTATTGAATTGTCGATTAAAGGTGCAAGAGGTGTCGATTTTATTCGAGAGAATGGATTTGACTATTGGTTTGCTTATCCATATGATAAAAGAGGAGGAGGAAATGGTGGTAGTGTAAGTTTGTTACTAAATCATAAATTCTTAAATTGTATATAGATGAGAGCTATGGGAATTGGTATAATGACAGGAAAGGAAAGAAGAGACATGCTGATTGCTACTAGTATTGAATCTGCAAGATTGACTCATAATCACCCAACTGGTTTTTTGGGATCTTTGGTTTCTGCTCTTTTCACATCCTATGCTTTGGAAGGAAAGATTCCTCCAGCTCAATGGGGTGTGCACTTTCTCTATAACGACATGCCAAGAGCTAGAGTTTATTTGCAGACAGTTGCTCAAAGAGATTGGAAGGAAATGAAAGATTCAGTTACACATTTCGAAAATGTTTTCAAAACCTATTTGAAAGATAGAAGCTTATTCTTGGAAGAAGGGGATTTCAAGAATGAGGAACTTGTAAATAATTTGAAACCTTCCTTCCCATCTCGTTATGGCATTGATGAAAGGGATGTATATTATAAGAAATTTGCATATGATGGATGGTATGGAGCTAGTGGAGATGATTCAGTAATTATTGCCTATGATTCAGTTCTCTATTCTGGTGCCAATAATTATGAGAATCTCATTTTACAAGCATGTTTGAATGCAGGTGATTCTGATTCTATTGGCTCAATTGCTGCTGCATGGTATGGAGGAAGATATGGATTTAATAATGTCATTGAGAGCCACATTAAGAATATTGAGAAGAAAGGAGAAATTGAGCAGATAGCTCAAAAGTTACATCATCTCTATCAAGAATAATATAATTCAATATTTACTAATGTACAAGTTATTCTCGTTTCTTGAGAGCTTCAAATCTCTTTTGTAATTCATCAAAATCATAACTGTTCGCATCTTGACCAAATGCAGGTACATTACTAGCTCCAAAAGTTCCTTGTGAAAGTGGAGGTACATCGTGGAACATTGATGGTTGTTGAGGATTAAAATCTACAGAATAACCAGATTGATTGGTTGGACGAAGATCGGAAGGAGGAGGAATTAAATATTGAGGTTGTGATTGGAATTGTGTATTTGGTGAATAAGCTGGCGGAGGTCCTTGATGGAATTGTTGAGTTTGGAAAGGTTGATTATGTTGAATTGGCTCAGATGTTGGAATTGAGAAGGTTTGTAATTGTGGATTAATTGGTGTCATCTTTTGGTTATGAACATCCACATCAGTAACCACATTACTATCATCCCACTCTATACCATTTTCCTTTGCAATTTCTCTCAAATAATCAATACAGAGATATGGCTCTGGTACTTTAACATCAAGTTTGAACATTACACGTTGATTTACGGCCAAATCCTTATTATCCATTGCTGCATCAACAAAATCCTTTCCAAATTTTGCTGCAAATTGATTTCTAACTTCCATCAATTCCTTAACTTCAGTTCTTGGTGCAGCATAAATCAATGTACTAACTGCTTCCTTCATATCATGTGGGCAAGTACTATTTCACAATAAAATTAATCATCATTTAAATCATTGATCATGATCACTTACTTTGACTCGGAAAGTAACTGTATTCTAGTATGAACTAAATCGCAAAATAATTCCAAAATTTCTAAAGCTTCAATAGCATAATCCTCTCTAATAATATTTTCAACTTTAATTCTTGCTGATTCATCCTTTTCATTTTGAAGTAATTCAGCAACTTGTCTCTTTTGAACTTTAATGCCATTGGATTTCTTGTTTTTCAACAAGCCAATTCTTGTTATGGCCATTTTCAAATTGCTCTTACTAGAGATCATCATATATCGGATGAAAATAAGTTCATACAATTATTGGCAAACCAACAATTAAATAATCAAATTAATAATTATCATAATATTCATCATCAGCATTTTATGAACAACAAAACCCGTCATCAGTAAGCACACACTCCCAAGAATAAAACAACGTACATTTTATGAACTTCAAACTTTTCCTTCTTATCAAAGAATCCCATTTTTTTATATCTTGTTTTATTTTTAATTTTTTATTCTTTGATTATTTTATATTGGAACTGAATTGGAGAGAAAGGGAAATGCACAGTTAATTTGGTTGAGTTTACTTGACTTTGAACAACTGATAAGGAATTGTCAATCTTCTTCCAATTTCATAAAATCTTGTTTTATTAGAGTTTTACAGTACCTGTCTCATCCAAAACCTTATCACCAATCTTACAAATGAGTTTAAACCTGATTGGTATTTGACTATCAGTGATTGGTCTTGCAGCACTGTTAACAATTTTAACTTTGAATTTTTGAGTGACACTATCAGTGGTGTTTGGTGCAATTGATGTGGAACTTGGTTTGAAAAGTGTTACCTCACAATATTTTGGTGCGGCAGCCTTAAAGTCCAATCCCATAACTTCCTTGGTGTTATTGTTGGAGAAATAGACAATAACATTGAGACTTCCTGGATCCATTTCAACATATTCAAATCTGATATTAAGGGAATTCTTATTATAAGCTGATAAAATCTTCTTTTCTTTTTGTGGCATTAATGCAGAAGCTGGTAGGGAAGGAGATGAGAGAAGGTCATCCAACAAAAGTGAGTTTGCTGAATTGGAGCTTGGCATATCTAACATATTTAACAAGGAAGGAACAGGACTGGTGGTAGTATTGGTAGTTGGAAGAATAGACTCAAATGGAAGGAGAGTTTCTGTTTGTTGAACAGTTGGAACCTTACGTGTTGGTTCAGTTGTTTTTACAGGTTTTGTTTCAGTGGTAGTTGTAATAAAGTCAATCAGGCTGGATTCAGTTTGTTTAACAGCTCCATTATTTTCAATGTCAATGAGCAAACTGCTTAAACCACTACCGACTGCAGAAGTTGTACGGTCAGAAGGTTCGTTATGTTCTTCCTCTCCTTGCTCCTCTTCTTCTTTTTCGGATGAGTTTAATTGACCAATAATAGAATCAATTTGGAATTCAGGCATCTTGTCAAGAATATTTTCTTTAACTGAAGCAGACATTTTGGCGATTTGGAGTAATTCACAAGCTCTTTGTTGTAAATCAAGTTGAACATTGTCTGAATATCTTGAAACAAAACGTTCAATATCTGCTGATCTATCAGGGAATCTTCCAGATAATTTCAACAAGGCAACAAGTGCATAAGCCCTTACTATATTGTTTGGATCAGTTGACAAAACTCTTCTACTCTTTACAGTACTAACTGAACCCTTTGGTAACATGTTAACCAAATCGAATAATACATTTACAACATTCTCACTAGTAACTTCATTATCAACAATCAAATCACCATATTCACCCAAACACCAACTGCTTACTTGCATAAGAATTTCTTGTTTGAGCAAAATATTTGGTTTTGGAATTAAATCCTTAAGAGTATCGTACAATTTTCTGGTAATTTCAGCTTGATTATCAATAGATTGTGAAAGCATACCAATAAAGATGGAAGCAATTTCATCTCTAACATATTGGGCTGATAAAATTATAACTTGTAAAAGTGTTGTAATCTTCCAGTCCTTTGAAGGAGCATGCTCTTCAATAATTGTACAAATTTTTGTGGTCAATTCTGGTTTAAATTCTGGTGGGGAAACTTCCAAATGTTGAATCAACTCTTGAACAAGATATGTTACATTACTGTTATCAACAATGACATAAACCAAATCAAGAGCTCTCTTTCTAATTGAAATATCGTGATCTTTCAAACATTCAACAATGGTAGCCAAATGTCTACTGACTGCTTGAGAGTCCAATTTGGAAACCTTTTTCATTGTGTGCAAAGCAACATATCTAAGATTGTTATCCTTCTTATTACCAAGGAATGTACCAAGTTGACCAATAGCCATCTTTCTCAATGAAGGATCGCATTCAATATCCATAACAGTTCTAACACATTCATAAATTACAGCATTACCTGTATTCTTAGTCTTGTCAGTGTTAGTGAGTGTCTTTGTCAAAACTTCTGTCATTTGTTCACTTGCTTTAGAACTTCCTCTTCCCAAAACTTTCAATAAACGTAAGAGCTTTGTTTGCAAAAATGGATCGGCAACTCCATTAACATCATATTCAGAAGTAGAATTACTACTTAATAATGCATTGAGTAATCTAACAAAAACAGGAATATGTTTTCTAAAGTGAAGTAAATAATTTCTAGTTTCAGATCCACCAACTTTTGTTGGATTGAGAATTGTAAGAATCAAAGTAATAATGCCAAGCATGGCAGAGTGACTTCTTTGATGTTGTTCATTTTCCAAAATTGTATCAATTCTTTCAATATAATTTTCAATTAAATCTGGACATTTAGAAACAATTCTAATAGCACATTGTGCGGCCTTCTTTCTAATAAAAGAAGGAGCACCAATTAATAATTTTTCAACTTCAACACTCAAATCACGACAAATATCTGCTGATGCAATGTTTCCGATGGCTGTAAGAGCCAAAGCTTGAACAAATTGATTACTATCATTCAAATCTCTAATTTGATCAGTCAAATTTTAAATAAACAAGAAGAAAACCTACACTTTAAATCTATGTTCTGTCAAGGTAAGAATTTCTTGATGTTCGTCCAACATAATCATCAGTGACAAGTAACCAATTCTTTTCTCTGGATATTTAGAACTTGATATTAAATTAACACATTCTATTTGTCCAAAATTTGTCGGATATCCCAACATGTGAATATACATCAACTTGGCAGCATTTCTTGCCCTGTAGGCATGTTGTTCCTTCAATGCTGTTCTAATAGCAGCACATTCTTTAGCAATGACCGATCTTTCCTCTGCTGCTGTTTTACAATTACGAACCTCACGAATGAGTTCTCTGAGTCTCGTACTCATTTTTAATAAATATTTTAATATTATTTACTCATTGATGGTTGCAAGTGACGGATATTTTGATTATTATGATTTTAATTGTTGTTTTGATGGTGGTGATGTAATTGATGACATCACTCTCAAGTTATTTATTCAATGAAAGTTAATACTTCAACTCTTCACATAATACAGTTGTTTTGAATTAATATATTCTACTTAGTCGTGTGTGGTAGATAGTATTCTTGAAACTCTTCCCAGCCTTCTTTAACAATATAATTGTTCTTCTTTTCAAACTCGTGAATGAAAAACACAATTAAAACAACAAATCTTAGTGACGAAGAATACTTTCGTAGGTTGCTTTGAACATTTCAATGTGGTCAGTATGCTTTTCAATAACCTCCCGAATCATTCTCAAATCTTCATCTTCTATTCCTTCACCATCATCACAATCTGCAACAACCTTCTTCTCTGATGATAGAATCATCTCCATCACTCGATCCATCTTTTCCTTCTTCCACAATACACTTTCACTCTTCATCTTGTTCCTCTTCTCCTCATCTATTAATCCTTCCAAACTCATCAATTGAATAAGAAAACCACAAACAATACCCTCTCTAATACCTCCAACGAGTCCCTTTTCAAAATAGACTTGTCTAGCCTCATCAAGGCCTTCGGAAACACCATCCTTTATTCCCAATGTAACAAAAGTATCCCTCATACGATCGAAATTCAAAGAAGCAACATATTGATCGTAACTCTTGGAATCATTTTGTCCGTCCACTCTAAATTCCTCCTCTCCCCAAATATCATCATCATCATTGGAATGAGTTGAATTGTTTTGTGTGGTGGTGCTTGAATTGTGAAGATTGTCTTGTTCCATTTTTATTTTGAATGCACCATTGCAGAATTTACCTCATTATTATTGTTAATGTTTATTGTAATAGATATTGAATAAGAATGAATAAGAATGAGAATGCTGTAGAAAAACAATGTTATTTATTGTAAATTAGTATTGAGATTCTTGTAGATGACATGTGAACGAAGCTATTCGAATGAGTCAGTTTCGAATCATTCAAATAACAGTTGACATTCATTACTCAAGTGGAAACCAATTGTTGACAAGTGGCATGCTTACAAATACTAGTATTTGAAAATTATTGAAGATCTCTTTATTAATGCGAAGAAGAAACGCGACCAGCAAACCTGTCAACTTGACTCAATTTCCTTAGGATTCGAATAGGGAGAACGAAACCCACTTTCTCTTACCGTTATTACATTCGAACGTTCTCAAAACATCATCCCTTAAATTATAACAGATGACATTGACACGCTACCAGTCATCAATCATCAAAACCACTTCACAAAAAAAAACTAGTCAAAAACCCAACCAACCCATCATTAACAAATGGCCTGGTTGCACTACAAACTATACAGGCCCTATGCCATCTGTCTAGTTTTCTTGATTTTAATCAATTTATTGTTGTGGATTTATCCAGTCATTGATGCTGGTACAGTTTTTAGATTCTGTCCTGGATATTGGTTATTTGTCTTTTTAGTCACAGTGCCATTCTTTTTGGCATTCCCTGTTGTTATCTATTTAATATTTGCTATTAAATACTTTAAAATGTAAGTGTGTTTTGAATGTGAATGTGAATAGTTTCAACAATATATATTTTGAAAATTAACACACACACCTCTATATTATAATCAAATATATTTGATATTTTCTCTCTCTCTATTCTTGAACACAATTTCCATCACCACAACAACAATTTTAATTTCAACTCTCATAATAATTATATTGATGAATATGATGATGAATACACACACTCACATTTGATAACTTTGAATTCTCCTTCATATTCATATTCAATCTGATATATATATATTCAATAACATGACAATTATGATATATTCAATAACATAACAATGATGATATACTCTTTATAGTCCTGCTGTTGAACAAGCAGCACTTCCATCCGATGTTCAAGCTTCTAGAACAACTCTTGAATATTTAAAAATTGTTGGTTATGTTACTTTGGCAACATTTGTCTTGTTGGCAACTTGTATGTGTTTAATTTTGACAGCAATTGCAGCAGCATATCATCAACAACATGTTTCACTTGTGCAAGAAACCATTTCCATTTTGAGAGATATTGTTGTGAAGGGTGATAAAATTGTCATTGAAAGAGATTCTGAAGGTTTTTCACATATTACTGGATCAGATATTGAAGATGTTGCTTTCGGTTTAGGATTTGCTCATGCTCGTGATAGATTATTCCAAATGGATTATTATAGAAGAATTGCTAGAGGTCAATTGAGTGAAATTGTCGGAGACAGAGCTTTATATTGTGACAAGTATATGAGAACTTTGAGTTTATATAATTATGGTGTTTCTCATTATACTAATTTAACTAGTGACACTCAAACTTTTGTTTCAAGATATGCAGCTGGTGTTAATTATTATAAGGGAAGATATGGTTCTTCAAATAAGGCCTTTGAAACCACTTTGGGTTCATACGATATTGCTGATTGGACTATTTATGATTCAATGGCTGTTTTAAAGTTGTGGCAATTCATTAACAGTGGTAATGCTAATATGGAAATTTTACGTTTCTATTTGGCAACTGTTAAAGAATTGAGTATGGATCGTGTTATGGATCTAGTTCCAATGACTCCTTTGAATTCTAGTTTTGCTTCTTTCACTCCTGTTGAATTGGATACTCCAGTTTCTTTGAGAAATATTTATAGACAAACTGAACTCGATAGTTTAACTCAAGACAGATTGAATAACATCAATGCTCAATCAAATATTGGTGTTACTTCTCCTAAATCAACTAGTACTTCCTATACTGCTCCTAAATTTGCCAGTGTTGATGATTTGCTCTTATATTTCGATCCTCTCACAACAATGCTCAAACAAAACAGTGATTGGATTGGTGCTGGTGGTTACTTATTTGGTACTGCATTGTCTGCTTCATCTTCTGCCTATGTTTCTTCAAAGGGTGAAGGTTTCAGAACTCAAGTTCCTAATCCTGTCTATGTTGCTAAACTCAAGTTCAAGACAACTGCCTCTACTTATTCCTCAATGGGACCAACTATTCCAGGTATTCCAGGTTTGATTGAAGGTCGTTCCTCAATTAACACCTTCACTACATCAAATATGTATGCTGACTGTATGGATTGGTACATTATTAAGGATGATGGTTCATCAAATAACTATGCTGCTAATGGAGCTACTCTTCCATATACTACCAGAACTGAAACTATCAATGTTAAGGGTGCATCTGCTGTTACTATCACTGTTCGTTCAACTGTTTATGGTCCAATCATGACTGATATTCTTCCAGATACTTTGAAGAAGAGCGGTGCTCAATTGGCATTAAAGTGGACATCCCTCTCTGATGTTGATTTGACCATGAATTGGATTACTCAAGCTTGGCAACAAACTACTTTGGCTACTTTCAATACTTTGACTGTTAACAATTTCCACAATCCACCAATGAACATGTTGGTCATGTTTACTGCTGCTTATCCAGTTTACTTTGGTGTTGGTAGATTCCCAATTAGAGCAACTGGTCACTCTGGTTTGTTCCCTGCCTCAAATAATCAAGTCTGGACTGGTTACAATGCTGCTCTTGTTAACTTTAGAGCTTTCATTGCTCGTAAGGATTACTTTGTCAGTGCAAACAACAAACCAGTTGGATATGGTTATCGTTATAACTTTGGTTATGATTTTGGTCACAGTTATAGAGCTAGAAGATTGAACGATTTGATTTCTCCATACTATGGTTCTACAACAACTCCATTCCTTGAAGCTGATCTTAAGAAGTTCATTAAGGATCAAGTTAACGTTTATTTCTCTGAAGATTTGATGCCATTGTTGACCAAGTCTGTCAATTATTACTCTGACATTTCCTCTTCATCAATTGGTAAACTTTTGTTGGCATGGGATGGTAGTTTCACTTCAAGCTCATCTGAAGCTCCAATTGCTCAAAGATGGTACTATGAATTGAGTAGAATTGCTGCTTCTGATACTGGTGTTGCTTATTGGGACAATCCAATTTTCGTCAGAGATGCCTTCTTGCCAAACTATGTCTACTCTAAGAATGGAACAACTGTCACTAGTGAAACTATTTCATCTGATACTCAAAATAGAAATATTCAATCTTGTGTTTTGGCTTTGAGCACTATCTATGGTGTTACTGGTCAAGCTGCTGATCAAACTGCTTGCGATCTCTATGCTGCTAAGGCATTACAAAGTGTCATTAAGAAGTATGGTGATCCAAAGTTGGGTAACATTTATGAAAAGAAGTTCTCTCACTACTTCTCTGAAGATGGAAGTTACAGTTGTGCTTGTACTCGTTCTACATACTCTGTTGCTGGTGGTGAATTTACAATTTATCAATCTGCTCCAGTTCGTCCAGATATTTCTACTTCAACTTCATCTACCACTGGTCTCGATGAAAACTACTCTCCAAGATTCTACTCCAATCAAGGATTCTACTTCCAACAATATGCTGTATTGGGTGCAAACAGTGTTGCATCAAGTTCTTCGATAAAACCAAAGATTCTAGTACCAGGTGGTATTACTGGTCACCAATGGGATAAGACAGTTTATGATACTTACTTGTATAGAGTTCTCGAAGGTGGTGAATATCCAACTGCTCTTCTTGAAAAGTATTCTGTCAGTTCTTCCCAAACACTTGTTCAAGTTACCTCAGTCTAATCTTAATGATCTGTGTAAATATAGTTTTATTAACACACTTTTAAAACACTTGTTAAATTATCAATAAATATATTAGTATTATTTTCATTCATTGTTCAGCACTGAGGTAGACAGAGTTTCTCTTCTTCTCTAGCATTGAAGCTGCTCTTGTTCTTGCAATTACAACAAGTTGATACATTCTTTCAGAATCGAGAAGACATTTGAAATATTGTTTTTCTGTACTATCGAATACCTGTTTCATAAATAATTGTCTTCTTATCACGTAATCTTCTTTCAGCACTCGATTTACAACTTCAAGTGGAACTGCACTGATATTCTCTTCATGATGTTGCAGATTTTTGTGATGTTGATCGTGGGTTTTCGGTTCAGGGCTAGGAGACATTCTGAATGGTTCAGGACTTGGTGTATGTCTGCCTTGGTCGTGAGCATGTCTTACTGCCTTATGAAGCTTAATGTACTCCTTTCTCATTTCACCATCCAAGTGAATCTTGTTTGTACTATTCCTAGACTTTAAGATTGATTGCATCAAACTGGCCATGGTTATTGTCTTTACAGAACCTTCCAATTTTTGAAATTGCAATCTCAAAAGTAATAATCTCGCTTTTTTAATTTCTAAATAGGATCTAATCATATCCCTACAAGTCGTCATGTTTGCTCTCAGTTTTTGCATTGCTTTGTACACTAGTTTGGCATCCAGGAAACTAATAAAACTCCTCCTAATAATCTCTGCAGCAATTTTCTTTCTGTTAATTTTCCACAACATTCTTGCCACGTATTGACTAAAAAGTGTTAGAATATTCAAGATTGAAATATTACATACTTTCTAGAGAATTTTTCCAATTCTTTTGGTTTTTGAGCTTCCGTTTGTTTCGTGTTACCGAGTTCTCTGTTTGATTTGAACTTGGAATGCAAATTCTGAACAAAATTCGACCTTAGAACCAAGGATTGCCAAAAATGGAGTCTACTTTGATCCAAAAACACATAAAAATCATTCCTCGTGTCTGTATCAAACAACTGAATAGTTCTTTCCTTTTTCAATAACAGTAAAATAATATTTGAAATCTCGTTATTTCCAATAGGACCCAGGAATGGAATATCTTCAGCTCCTTCCTCCAATCCTTCATCCCCTCTCGAATCATGATCATCATTATGTTCCTCCTCTTGAATAATTGGTAAATTTTTCTTCTTACTTCTTTTAATTTCTTCCAGTTTTGTCATAAAGGCAGGGTTGTTTTTAATTTCAGTAATTCTCTGTCGAAGTGCTTTTGGTAAATCTCTTTCAAACATATTAATTGGTTCTAGAGTATGCTCTTTAAAATTTACAGTTTTCTTTGGAATGATTTTCTTAGTTGTTGTCAACTTCTTTTCCTTCTCCTTCTTGGTTGAGAATGGTTCCCTTTCTTCCACAATCATTTTCTGAATGTATTCATAATCCTCCCAAAACAAACTCCTATCCCTAGGTGTCTTGGCTTCCTCGATATATCTCAAAATATTTACAAGAGCAGGACTTGCTCTAATTTCTGATATTTGCTTCTTGTCATAAATGTTCATCAATTTAGTTAGTTTGATATTTTCCTGTTCCGTATAGTTAGACATTGCAATTTCAATAACATCCTGTGTTGGTTTTCTCCTTGTATCCTCTGATGTTTTACTTGTTTTCCTAGCCTTGAAAGGAGGAGTTATTTCCCTCATCAAAGATTCCCTCAATTGATCATTACAACTAACACTCCTGTCTTTTGATTTACTCTTTGATTCATTGTTTTGTATCCCCGTTATGAAAGTGCCACTATCATCAAGCTTTAATTCGGGTAGTTTTCCTTCAGCTTTTCTCTTTCTTTCCATAGTACGATGAGTAAGGGGTGATTTTTCAATATATTTAGGTGCTGATGAAGTCCTACTAGTATCATAATTAAGAAGTTTTTTCAATTCCGAAATCCTAGACCCCCTCGTACTGTTACACACAATCAGATCAAATAATACAGGATTAATGTTTTTCATGGCCTCCAATGAAACGTCTTCGGTATATTCATTGGATTTACTCATTTTTTTTGGAACGTTTGTGCAATCCTTAAAGGAAATGGTGGACGCTTATTTAGAAAAACTGTAAATTTTAATTCAAAATTGGAAGGTTAGTTATCTCCTTCAGTGAATGGCGCGTTTGATAGATTATTCTGGATTTTTAAAAGCTATCTTTCAAGTCTTCAACCATATTACTCAATTGTCTCTCTAAATGCAATTTAAGAGTATCTGGTAATCTTTTAAGAATTTGAGATAGGAAAACTTGTAGACGAGTTACAATGACATCATCATCGTAGGTTTTCATTTCTTCTTCCAAGTCTTGTTTGATTTGTAGGAAGAGGTCAATAAGGTCAATTTCTGAGAATTTTTCATTCTTTAAAAATTCATCAATATCTGTATGTTGTACATCATTTACATAAGCTTCTCTTAATCTATGTTCCATGAATGATTTAAAATTGGTTGAGTAGACAAATCTCTTATACATTTCAAATACATCTGACTTTTTGGCCTTGAAAACCTTTTCATTATATCCATTCTTTTTGATATAGTTGATAAATTTCTCAGTCTTGAAAACTTTTGCATGCTCCGATCGTACAATGAAAGTTTTCATGGAACAAACAAGTGTATCAAAACATTGATGAATTGGGTGTAGGAAATCTTCGGTCAATTGTTCAAAGAATTTTCTAATTTGGTCATTATTGAGACTGTCAGCAGAGCTTCTGTCACTAACGTTAATGTCCTCAGTTAATAATTTAATACCTGACATGTCCAAATCATCTACAATAAATGACTTTTTCTTAGATAAGAATGTTTCCTTATAGTCCCACATTAACTGTTTTCTTTCGTTTGATTCATTGTCAACATTAGTGAAGAAGGATACAATTTTGTTGGCTGAGAATGCACTTTGGAAAGTACTTGGCGGTGAGGTTGATTTTTTCACTGGACTGGAATTGTGTTGCTTTCCTACTGTGATAATATGTGGCCACTATAGAATTATTTCATTATATATTTGAATTGGGAGATATATTACTTACATTTTCATAGGCCTTAACAAAGAAAGGATTGGTCACACCAACGATTGCTGATGTGAAACCTTGGTGACCTCCCATTTGAGAGAAGTATTTAAAGTCTTGATTATGTACAGTAAAATATGGTCTTACATCGCCTCCGTACGGTATTGGAGCAATCATTGAAACAAGTGAAAAAACTGAAACACAACATTGTGTAGGTGTTGGAGACAAAACTAGTATAGGTTCGCCAGTTATTACTAATTCCCAAAATTTAGCGAGTGATTCCAAACTATGACTAATAAAGTTCCTATATACATTCACCTCCTGCTGATATGGATACTTTCTTCCTAATAATCTCTCCTTTAGAGGAGTAACGGATGAAACACCACCTCCTTCTCTTGGTTTCAATTGATTTATCTTATTTTGGTAAGATTGAGATGAAGGAATAAATAGAGGAGATCTATACTTAATCTTTTGTTCAAAGAATGACAATTCATATTGAGAATCTACATTAGGAAGAACCCAATTGTTCACTTGCTTCATAACTTGTGCAAAAATGTTAGAAGCACTCAAAACTGATTCTGATGAGTTTTTCTTTGTTTGTTTTTGTTTCTCAACTTCTGAAAAGTAGTTCATGGCAATTTTTTGAACCATGTATCTGTACAATTTGATGAAAGGATATTTGGTTAGAAGAATGACTGAAGTCATTAAACAACCTCGTTTTACAGTTGAATCTTGTTGTTGTAAAAAATGTACATAACCAAAAAGGTCGTCACTCGTCCTAAATGACCAGGTGCATGTAGTTGGCTTTTCTGATGATGCTCCTGAGGTTGAAGTTTGATTATTTCCATCGGGAAATGATAGATATGCTATTCGAAATGTCACAAATATTAATAAATTAACGATCAATATTAATATTAAGATACACTACCAATATCTGATAATTGAGATTGAGAAATAGGATAGTCACTAGGATATACTTGATGAATTTTTTGTCCAAGTTCAATGTCAAATGTAGCAACCATCAAACAATCAATCCATCTTGTTGTACAACGAATATCTCCATTTACACCATCATTTGATGAAACTACTCTATTTTTCATTGGTGACAATGCATATGATGGTGGAGAATTCGACAATGAAGGACAAGTGAAGCCTGCCTCTTCATCATGATTCGAAACACTCAACAATGTCTTGCTAACTTTTTCATCAATACTCATTTTCTTAATTTCCTCTCCAATTTCATCCGATGATGCAACACTAATAGGCGATGTTGACGAAGAGGATCTATTTGAATTTTTCTTTTTCTTCTTCATTCTTCGGACCACAACAACCTCATCCTCTTCTTCTTCATTACCATCACCCGAGCCATCAACAAGAAAATTATTATCACTTTGACTCTTCAACTCTTCTCCATCCAATCTTGTTACTGCAGAAGAGGCTTCACCTCCAAGAGAGCACGAATCCGACAATGTAGGTGATGATGCAACAAGCAACGTTGAGGATGAAGGCTCTTGTTTCATTTTTAGCAGTTGAATAATTTTAAAAATCATCTCCGAAATCGGGTGCATTGCGACTACGAAAAACTCCCAAGAATTGGTTGATAATGAATTAATGTTTCATTTAGCAAGAGTTTTTTATTTTTGACTCATGAAAGTCTTACGTTAGACTGAATAATATCTAGACATCGATGGATAAGAAATTCCAATTCAATACTGAAGAACGTTCATTAATAGCGTATCAGTATTAGTGCTGTGTCTTTTATTTGTGGATTTCTTTAGCTTTTGCTTGTCTTATTCGAATCTTTGAACCACCTATTAAACTGTACTTATTGGCTGGAAGCTACCAATGATGCAACAGAGTATCCATTAAAATAGTAGACAAATATTGGTCAGTTTCATTTCCAATGATTTACCGTGTTAATCTGATCAGAGGATACATTATTTAAACTCTGTTAATTTCGAATAATTACCACAGAAACCTTACCCTTTTTCCATTTGTGTATTGATTTGAAAATGAAGTCCTTCAGGTTGGAGCCGTTTGTGAATTGTGCATCATGATATTCAATTTACAACTTGCAGAAGTGAATCACATATCAATAAAACCATTACCGAGCACCGGTAAAGACGTGAACTTAAAATACAAAAAATGTCTCAACAACCATCAGCAGAAACATCTGTGCCATCATCATCAACAACATCCGAAGTGGTACCAAAGGCTAATCCTTTCCATGCACTGCCAAAAGTTACAAAGGAACAATTATTGGCTGGTGTGGAACAATCAAGATTGGAATCTATTTTGAGTAAAACTCATGGATTATTTCCTCTCCTTGATGATATTAAAGATCTGAGAACTGCTTTGAAAATTGTAAGGAATGATTTGGAAGCATTGAAGCAACCATTCCCATATGTTGAAAAACATGAAAATAATATGGCCTTTTTCAATTACAATTACATGACATGGTTTACTTTTGGAGATTTGTCAGAAAGAAAATTGGATGACGAAATTAGTGAAATTAGAAGAGCTGCCTATTTGTTTGCGAGAGAATGCAGAGGAGTATGTTATGACTTGGAAACCGGAGCTTGTGCATCAAGAGGTTTACAAAAGTTTTTCAATGTTGGTGAAAAACCAGAAACTGAACCAACTTCAATTGATTTTACTGAAAATCACATTATTTTAGATAAGATGGTATGTCACTTTAATATTTTAATTATTTAAATAATTTCATTATAGGACGGTACTATGGTTTGTTCAATTCTTGCAAAAGAACCAAGTTTGAATGATGCCAACAAGAGACTTTTGAGATTTAGAACTAAAATGGGTTGGGTTACTGATCCATCAAAATTAGCAGAAGCATTTATTTATGGAAGTAATGATGCGTCACAATTCCCAGTTATTGATATGTCAAATGATGAATACAGATTATCAGATAGTTATACAGGAAAGTTTAAATCATTCATTGAATTTTCCATTTATTGGATCAAGAAGGGATACAGTCCAATCTTTGAATTGGTCTCTCCTCAAAACCAAATTGTATTATTATATGACCACACTTCATTAGTGTTACTTGGCATCAGAAATAACTATGATGGTCATTATGTTTCCTATGAAGAAACTAGAAGATCATGCGAAGAATTCGGCGTAGAATACACGAAACCACTTGCAAGTTTGAATTCTGAAACAAATTTGGAAAATGTGCTGAAATTCATCAAGGAACAAATTGGAATTGAAGGTTTCGTCATTAGATTCGAACCATCTGGAAAAATGTACAAAATCAAATGTAGTTGGTATCTCGAACTCCACTCTTGCAAAACTGATAATAAGAAGATTTCAGACACTGATATTTGGTGGGCTGTTTTGCAAAATACCGTAGATGACATTCAAAGTAATTTGCAAACTAAGGAAATGAAAACTGAGTTGGAAGATTTCGTCAGTAACTTTTGGAATGCATTGAATTCATTCTGTCAAAAGATAATTGAAAAGGGAACAGAACTGAGAGAAAAGTATCCAACCAAGAAGGAATATTTTGCTCAAGGTGTTCTCCCACTCCAAAAGGAAACAAATAAGCTTTACTCTGAATGTAAGTTTTTATTTAATTGATTGATAACTGACTTGAAATAGTTGTTTCTGGTTACTTTGATTGGGAGGATGATAAGGTTCAAGAAAAGGTTCTTACAAAGCTTATCAAAAAGTTGGAACCAACAGTAAATACTAAGAAGAAGGTCAAGAATAATGTCCTCCAAGAAATTAGGGAATGTATGGAACAAGTGACAGAAATCAAACTCAACATTTTCGAAAGTAAATATCTTGAAGAAAAGAAGAGATATGATGAAACTCTCAAGTTGAGAAGAGAACAACAATCCTCATCTAGACCTCAAATTTATGATGCCGAAGAACAAGAATAAATAGTGAGCTTTCTCAATTTCAATAATTGTGAAATCATTCCAAAATGTAATTAATCATCAAATCCAAGATATCTATCAGCATAGGCATTATTATCCAATTTGAAAACAGGTCCTCTTCCATACAATAATAATACTTCACTTCCCTCTCCCTCATCCTTGAATAATTGTTCTATTGATTGATCCAAATTTGATTTCCTTTGTTTTTTCTTTGATTTGTTTGAATTTTCCTCATTAGAAATAACTTTCCTCTGTACAAGGTAGTATCCATCTGAATTGTCGTCACGTTTCATGTTTTGAAACTCTCTGTATGAAACCATGAGTGGACTCTCATAGACAGTCAATGGCATTTCAGCTTGTCCCATAACAAAGGCAACATCCCTATCCAGTGTCGATCTTCCATTTGATATTTTACTAGATTGTGTCTTACTCATTTCCTCCACAACTTTTGTTGAATTAGGAGATGGTTCAGCCATCAATGAAACAAACTGAGGTTCCGATAATTGGTTTTGATTTGTTGATGAATCTTGTTCCTCCTCTGTTGAATTTAATTGTCGGAATGCTCTTCAAATCCTTTACTTTCTCATGAAAATTATGGAGTACCTACACATTAAAGAAAGCAATAGCTGCACTCACAATAAATGATGGAGCAATAACAAATGATATCAGCGATTGAGACATTTTTTAAATATATTTAAATAATCTTTAAATTTAATTAAATCTTAAATAATTGCTAAAGAAGTGATAACTTTTAATGGAGTGGGACAAACAAAATGTTTTACCCCAAACTAGAGGATTGCTCGTCAACGTTCAATCCTCACTCTAGAGGTAAAGATTTGATAGACGAATCACTTCATCTGATAACCATCCCTCGATTGCACTTGTCCAAGATGACTCTTTCGAACCACCTCAATGACCTCTATGAACAGAGTGGTCAGAGAAAAACTCCCCAACCGATACAAGATGAACCCATTCGATAACCTTCGTGTGCATTGGCTTTTCCTCACTCTTCTCTAATTCTTCATCTTCCCGCTCTTGGTTGTGGTTTGAGAAAAAATCGCAAATGTAAAATTGAGCCTGTGAAGAACATCAAGAATATTGTGCATCAAAACAACACTGCAATTAGAAATTGAAAAATTGAATAAGAAAAAATGAGTGCTTGGGGAATACCTTTGGTCGTTGATGAAGAATTGATTAAACAACCTATTGTTTCGGAACAAAAGGCTGTGGTCAAGCCACCAACAGAGATGAGTTTGCAAAATTTAATAACTGATAATAGTAGTAGTACAACAACAACATCGGAAAAAACAAGTGGAGGATTTTTGAATTATTCTAAATATGAAGAACAGGAGGATGTATCAGCACTTTCTTTTGATAATGAAAGAATTCTTGTACTTGATGCTGGTGCTTTTATTAATTATATGAAGATTGAAAAACATGGTAGTAAATTTATCACCACTCCACAAGTTTTGAATGAAATTAAAGACTCTAGATCGAGACATATCCTTCTTACACTTCCTTTTGATATTCACGTTCGTGAACCAACTGAAGATGATATCAAAACTGTTTCTAGATATGCCAAAAAGACTGGTGACTATGCTAATTTATCTGCTACTGATATTGGCATTATTGCTTTAACTTTAACAATTGAAAAGGAAATGAACGGAACAAAGAATTTGAAACCTGAACCAAAATCTCTTAATATTGCTGCTGGTATTAAATGTTCTACACCTCTTGCATATTCTGAATTGAGAAATAAGATGGAAGATAAACCAGTTGGTTCTCAAAGAAGTGATGTAACAGCTGAAGAAGAAGAAGCTGATACTGAAGAAAAGGTTGTTGAAGAGGAAGAAGATGATGAAGATGATGGAGAATGGATTACACCAGAAAATATCAAGGAATATAAGGAAAGAACCAATAACTTGAATAAGGATACTTCATGGTCTGTAGCAAAGACTGATGATTTTTCAACTCAAGAAACTGAACAAAAATCTGAAGATCAATCAGAAGAAATTGAAATTCAAGAAGAAGGATCTGAAAATACTGAAACCAAACCAGTTGCCACAAAGCCAGAAGAAAAGGTTGGTGCCATCAAATATGTTGGAAGACTTGCTCCTCAACAGACTGGTGTTGAACATAAGGTTGGTTGTGTCACATCAGATTTTTCTGTGCAACACGTTCTTGCCCATATGGGTCTTAACCTTGTTTCAGTTGATGGTTTCAGAATCAAATACCTTTCTCAATGGGTTAAACGTTGTACATGTTGTTATACTATTGTTCCTGATGTTGAACGTAGATTCTGTCCAAATTGTGGACACGAAACACTTAAGAGAATTACCTGTGTTATGGATGAAGATGGTACTCTCAATTTCTACTATAATCCAAAAGCAAAGATTTCTTTGAGAGGTACAATTTATACTAACCCAATTCCAAAGGGAGGAAAATATCATAAGGATCCAATTTATAGAGAAGATCAATTGAAAGGATTTGGTGTCAGTAAGAAGAATAACAAACTTTTAAATAAGAAACAAGACGATGATTACGATTTGTACTCCAAGAATGCTTTCAATAAGAGAAAGAATCCACCTAGAAGGAGATAATAAAATATATTATCATATTTTTAACTTGAAAGCAAACTAAATATCTTTCAGAATATTGTAAAGTGTGAAAAAATCTTTTCGTAATTCAATAATACAATAAATATTTATTTTTCTTCAGTAGGGGCTTGTCTTTGATAGTACTTTTCCTTGATGGCTTCAGTGACTCTGGTCAACATTTCCTTAGGGAAAATTCTACCAAGTTCCCAAGCCTTATCTAAAGAATCAAAAATGGTTCTAGATTCATAGAAACCTTGAGATAAGAAATTTCTTTCGTACTTTTCCAAAAATTCGAGATACAAGTGATCTTCAGCTGAAAGGGCTTCTTCACCGACGACAGCCTTCATGGCCATAACGTCTTTACCAATAGCATAAGCAGCATACAATTGGTTACTAATACTGCCGTGATCTTCTCTTGTGAAACCTTCACCAATAGCGTTCTTCATCAAACGACTCAAACTTGGCAAAACGTTAATAGGTGGATAAATTTGTCTGTTGTGTAATTGACGATCGACGTAAATTTGACCTTCTGTAATATAACCAGTCAAATCAGGAATAGGGTGAGTAATATCATCGTTAGGCATTGTTAAAATTGGAATTTGTGTAATTGAACCTGGTTTACCAACAACACGTCCAGCTCTTTCGTAAATAGTGGACAAATCAGTATACATATAACCTGGATAACCTCTTCTACCTGGGACTTCTTCTCTGGCAGCAGAAACTTCTCTCAAAGCATCGGCATAAGAACTCATATCGGTCAAAATAACAAGAACGTGATAACCACATTCGTAAGCCAAATATTCAGCTGTTGTAAGAGCCAAACGTGGTGTAATAATTCTTTCAATGGTTGGGTCATCGGCAAGGTTCAAGAAAAGTGTAACATTTTCCATAGAACCATTTTCTTCAAAGTCTCTCTTAAAGAAACGAGCAGTTTCTTGGTTAACACCCATAGCAGCAAAAACAATAGCAAAGTTTTCCTTCTTACCAACCAAACCAGCTTGTCTACAGATTTGAGCAGCAATTTCATTGTGTGGAAGACCGGAACCAGAGAAAATTGGAATCTTTTGACCTCTGGCAATAGAACACATAGTATCAATAGCAGAAATACCGGTTTGGATCATTTCTTGTGGATAGAGACGAGCAAATGGATTAATAGGTTGACCTTGAATATCCAAAAATTCTTCAGCCAAGACTGGTGGACCATTATCGATTGGCTTTCCTGATCCGTTGAAGATTCTTCCTAACATATCTTCAGAAACTGGCATCTTCAAGACATCACCAGTAAATTCAACTGTAGTATTCTTGGCATCAACACCTGATGTTCCTTCAAAAACTTGGACGACGGCTTTATTACCAACAATTTCCAAGACTTGACCTCTACGTTTTTGTCCATTACCCAGAGTTAAGTGTACGATTTCAGCAAACTTTGGGAATTTAACATTGTCCAAAATGACGAGAGGACCGTTCACACCAACGACGGTTTGATAGTTGAAACGAGGCTTTGTAGTGGTGGAGTTCTTGCTGCTCATTTTTTTATAAAGTGTAATTGTTATTTTATTAAAATTTTTAAAATTTTTTAAATTGCTTTTGTAAGATGAGCCATCTTTGTGCAGCAAGAAGCCACCGGAGATGGAGTCAGGAAATTTCTCTCCGTCCTCCAAATAGATATTCATAAAAACAATAACAATTAAAAAAAATTAATGATGCAATAGAGCATATTAATAGTTTTTGGAAAAGAGGATGTATTGAGTGGTTTTTATGCTAATTTAATGAAATTGTATCATCATGATTGAAATCAATTAGAAAGCCAATTAAGACATTACAGAAAACAGAAAGAGGAATGAAATTATTGCTCCTCTTAATTATTCTTCAGCCTATCCAAGGATTGGTTCAAAATTGATCTTAATAGACATTTTGATTCTCATTGAAATAAAACAATGTATTTGTACACTTGTTATTAAAGGTGATGTTCCCAATGAGTGCATGACTTAGTACGAATGAATAATCAGTCAATCTTCATCACTCAATAGCCAGTTTACTTTAATGTTGTTTATCTAAATTGTGGTTGATTGGTTTCATGCAGTCAGAGAATGGTTGGCTTCAATTAAAACTCTACAATGTCAAACGTCTGTTGGAAAAGAAAGGATTAAAAAAATTCACAACACCACTCCTGCATCCACTAACGAACACAGTGAGAAGTCACGTTTCTCTAAACACAAGCCTTCTTCATTTCCAAAATACAAGTTTACATTATTCATTTTAGTTTGCTTTCTAATAGAAAATTATTTGAAATTTTACAAAAAACCAACGGCAATAGAATGCAAAGCTCATACTTTTCACTGAAACCGAACATTTCATCCATTAGTATGGAAAGTACACGTACCAGGGAGCCTATTTCTAATACTATTACATTGTCATCAGATAATAATTCATCTTCCCAAAATAGAAATAATACTTCGCAGACGAATTCCATTCACGATTTGAGTAATAACACCAATAATTATAATACACCTACTACTGGCATTTCAACTACTCAACAAATTCTCATTGATGAAGGCACAATTGACTGTTTGAGTTTACCTTCGAAGGCTCCTTCTCTATTATCTTCATGTCCAAAAAGTTTCAAGAATTTGAATGTTTACAATGATAACAAAAGTCTTCAAAAAATGGATGAAGACCAAGATGACGAGGAGGACGAAGTTGACCAATTGAGAATAGATGAGGGTACTGAAGCTATAACTCCAACCATAATAACCAATAAGAATAGTCTAATGTCAAACAATGAAACAAAAATGTTGAGCAATCACAATTCGAATCATTCCTCCTCAATATTGGACACTCTTATCAATTCTACTAATGGTCCAAGTTGTAGTATGTCGAGTACTATTACAACCTCAGCTATCACTAATGGTCCAGCTGCTATTGCTGCAACTTCCTCTCCATCATCCATTTTGATGATGAATAACAATAACTTTGCACACAACTTTCCATTCCTTTCTTCAACGATTGCAAACTCACCAAGTAAGGGTGGATTCCTTGATAGATTATTTACCTTTTCTCCAAATGCAGCAAGTAGTGGTGTAATGAGTCATTTGGTAACTCCTCTCAAAACACCAAATACTTCCTATCAGGATAGAGTGAGCTTATTTACCAGCTCTCCGCAAAAGATTGAACTCCTTTCATCACCCAATGATAGTACTCACTCCAATGCATTCAGTTCCAATCTCACTAACAGTCTATTGTCTAATGATGAGAGTCCAAATTTCTCAAATCTTTGGCTTAACCAACAACAGCAACAACTCAAACAAACTTCCAATAATGGTGCATCAAATCTCCTAGGAAACAACAGTAATAATACTGCTAACGTAATATTGACAACCTTCCAATGTACATAATAACATACCCAATAGGCAACCGACTCATATGGTAAATAACAATGGTCGACATTCTAACCAAATCCATTCTGCTACCTCTCCTACCTCACATAAACAAAGAACACTCACTCCTATTCATTCAGGTATTCAGAAACATACTATCAATCAGAAAGAATTGAGAAGAGCTCAAGAAAAGACCAAGAATAATCTCAAACACTTTCTCAATGATTCAACTCTGATTAATACTAATGGTAAAATTGTTTCGCCACTGACAGCAGCAGCAACTCATCAAACTAATGCAACTCTAACAACACCAACCAATTCAACAATTTCTCCAACTACCACAAATTCTTCAAGTGAAGAATCAGAGTTTCAATTACCTATCAATTCTAAACTTCCCTCTACTGAAAGCGAGGTTCCTCTTAAACAAAAATTGAAAATGAGATCTTATAAAATATTGTAAACGCTTATTAAACCTTTATTCTCAATATTTTCTAAAATCTGAATAGGAGACATTATGATCATAATAGAGCGATTTTGGAAAGTAAAATTAAAAATAAAAAAAATGACGACATCAAAGAGGAAATTGTATCCTCACCTCAATATTGGGGAAGCAATGATGAAACGATCGTCATCCTTCAAAAATGTTGGATCACTACGTAGCAGTAATATGATGGTTGTATTATTGATGATTGTAATTTTTATTATTTTTATTTGTACAGAACAAATGATGGCTACAATTATTCCGATAGGAAAAAGAAGGGTTGATATTACACCGAGAAATTATACAATTGCGGATGATAAACCAATTCATTATTTGGATCAATATTTTGTAAATGCTACTTTGAATGATGATGAGGAACCTCTTACTTTATTTATTGATTCTCATGAACCTCTTCTTATACAATTTTGCTGTTCATCCAAGTCTAAATCAAATGGTTGTTTTGAATCACTAACTTGTTCTGCTGGTAGGTTTAAACTTTTTCAATTTGCAATAATTTTAAAATTATTCTTCTAGTTGAATGCGAAAAGTGTCCAGAAACTAAAAGACATTTTACTTATTACAAGTCTATCAATGAGACAATAATGAAAAAATCCTTTGAAGTTAAGAAGGTTACTGTCGATAGAAATAAGCCAAATATTCCAGTTAAAAAGTTGTCTATTGGATCTTTGGAAAGGACTTATCCAACAGTTGCTACTCAACCATATTATACAATTGAGATTGCATATGCTGACAGTGATATTTGGCAGGGATTGGATGGAATTATTGGATTAGGATATGGTATTTTCAATGTAACTTTCAAAAGTTTGGTTGAAAAGGATGATCCAACATACAAGCAAATGGCTCTTCACCTCAAATTTGATAATGAAACTTATTCTGAAAATGGAGGTGCAATTTATATTGGGAAAAAAACTATTGAAGATGAGCTTTTGAAAAGTGATTTAGTTGATCCTAATCATCGTAAGATATACTGGGGAGAAAGACAATATAGAATTAATGAAAATGCTTGGAAATATGCCAAAGAATCGGAATCAAACACATATATCTATACTTATGATCACAGGCTGCCAGTTTATCATTTATCTATGGAATGTTCTAGCTCATTTTTGAGTAGCAACAGATCGATGAACGGTATTGACTTAATTTCTGGTTATAGCAGTAGTTGGAAAATCACATTTTCAACCAGAATTGATGGAATTGCACTCCCTGGTCCTTTTTATGAAGCTGTAATGAGTTGGTTATTGAAATATAACTTGGTTTCAGGAATTAATGGAGTTTTGACAGAGGAACAGATTAATTCTTTACCAGCTTTATCATTTGTTTTGGGAGATGGAGATGATAAGAATTATGAAAAATTTGTCATTCCATTATCTATCCTCTATGGACCAAATGGATTAAGCTTGTACAAAAGAGACGAAGGTTTTTATGTTTATGATGGAGATTTAGTTACTTTTGATCCTTCTATTGAAATTGGTACATTGGTTTGGTCAAAATTATTCATTCCTGTTCTTGACATGTCCAAATATAAGGTCGGTTTAATCAAAAGAGCTGGAGTTGAATACAATAATTTCAATCCTGATTTCTGTAAAGGATTGAGTATTGCTTCAACTTGCAAAGGAGCTCAATCATACTATGTACCAACTAACCAATGTATTGATCCATCTTGCTCAAGCTACTTCTTCCAATATGTAAATCCAAACACTAAGACTTGTGATCTCAGTATTGGATTTTACTTTGCCATCTTTGTGATTGTGGCAGCTTGTGTTGTTGCTGAATTTGTAGTATTTGAATTCCATTTAAGAATGGGTAAAAAATTACAACAAGCATCAAGAAGCAATCCATCCAGACTCCCAATACCACCCCGTCAATAATTTGTAATTTATTTAAAATATTAAAAAATCAATTCGTAAAGTAAGCAGTAAGATTGTGTGCTGATGACCAAAGAAAGGCAAAATTAGAAGTGGAATTAAAATAGAAAAAAAATGTCATCATACTCATCACTAGCCAACGAAATTATCCACTTAGACGATCAATATCTTTCCTCCGATCTTTCTCAGCAGTTAATTGATTATGCTCAAACAATTGATGAAGAAAGTTTAGTGTTTGATTTTTCTGAAAATTCATATGCCTTCCCTAAGAAGTTGGTGTTGATTATGACTCAAGTCTTGAAAGAATTTAATTCCGATGCTGTTTCTAGTATTGCTCAATATTTTGTGATTGCTTTGGGGACAATTAGTGATTCATACAAATTGACAGGATTAAATTTAAATAATAACGATGTAGTAGAATTGGTCAAGATAACCATGTCAGGGTTAAATGATGACGAAAAATCGGACGAAATTAGATATTTATTACTTTCTCTTTTAGTTTGTCTATTCACTGTTAAATTTGGAGGTTTTCATCCAGACCAATATAGAAGAAATTTGAAAACTTTACAATCACAAATTAATGATAACGTCTTGTCAGCCATTTTCCCACATGTTAGCACATTAATGACTATTGTTGATAATGAAGCAGTTTCTGCACCAGTTGTAAACTTGATTGTTGGTATCAGTAATTTATTATCAGTTGAAAAAAGAGAACAATTCATTGAGCTAATCACAGAGGATTATGATTCATCTAAGAATTTCACTGATAAGTTTTTGAGACATATCAATTGCCTTGAGGTTGATATTCATAATTCATACATGTTCATTCTTTCAGCTATTGATTTACAAAATAAGAGAAGTGATATTAATCTCTTTTTGACAAATGATGTTAATTTTCTTGTTGATATTCTTTTGAGAGAGGAAGAAAAGTGGGCAGGTTCCTTATACGCACAAGATGAAAAGGATTTAAAGACACCAAATGTTTTGGGAATGTATGAAACAAGAATGGAAAATATGAAAGCACTTACTGCTATTACAAAGAGCAAGATTTATTTAGAAGAAAAAGTAACAACTGATGTGCACAGAAAGGATGACATTGCAAATCTTATGAGAAAAGTTCTTAATGAAAGAGAGCCAAGTAATGCACCTCCTATCTTCTTTTCTCTTAAAGAACAAGCTTTGGAAGTTCTTGATAACACAGAATTTATTAAATAAATTAATTTGTTAATAATGTACATTAATCAACTTTAAGTTTGCTGTTTTTACCTTGGCACATCATTCCAAAAATGTAACTCATCAATCTTAGACAAACGAATAGACCCAACACTAACACAACTATCAATATTGGCTTAATTGATCCAATAACTTGGCAAATGAAAGCTACACAAGTGTGAACTTCCTCGAAATCTTCTGAAGGTTTGATTACATAAGGCAAATAATCTTGGTATTTCTCCATCCAATTATTAGTGAGTGGAAGTTTCATTTCCTCCCAAACTTCAAGAGCCAAATCAGTTCTGTCAGTAATCAAACATTCAGCACCAAGAAGTAATAATTGTTTCATACTTTGCTTTGTGTTGACAACCCAATAGTGAATTTCTTTGGAATTGAGCGCATGAGCATCTTGAACAAAGTATGGAGTCGAAAAATTGATTCCCATGTGAGAGGTAGGTAATTGGAAAGCACTATATTGATTTTCCAATCTATCCTTCATGAATAATTTACCAATTTCAACAAATGGATAAAATAAATCATTTAAAATATGATAAATGACAAAGCTCATAGCCTCTTTTTCACAAGTTCCTGTTGGGACAAGTGGTAACTTGTTTTGAATATTTTCCAAAGGTGGGCAATAATTGGAAACAATCAATACATGCTCATTAGATTTTTCATATTTTGATAAAAGATCAATTAGTAATTCAGATGCTAACATATCATTATCCTTAATTTCAATATTCATATTAACATCAGATGATGTCAATATCTTTGGATATTTCCCCCAAAATTCCTCAAACACTTCCTTCAATGTTGAAATTTTGATTTCCTCATTATTTCTAAAAGCAAAACTTCCTTTTTTATCCTTAATATTATAGGCAGCTTTCATACTCTTTAATTCCGAAACAGTAAATGAAGAGACAGGTCCCTTGTGATCAGTAGTTCTATTCACAACTTCATCATGATAGACAACCAATTGGTGATCCTTGGTCAAACGAACATCAAATTCAATCACACCAGTACCTAATGCTAACATGGCCTTGAAGCCTTGTAAAGTATTTTCAGGAGCAATAAATCTAGAGCCACGATGAGAGGAAATAAAAGGTCGCTTCACATGTGGAAATGCTTTTGGTGGTAAAATTGCTTGTTCCGAAACAGTGGTGAGGACTGTCATCACAATGATTGCTACTGTGATTAGTAATTTTAAATGACTGTGGCTGTCCGAAAGGTGTGTCAGTTGTGAACTCATTTTTTTAAAGTATTGAATGATGTTCCAAATATTCGAATTTGATTAACAAATTTAAACCACATTCAAAGGACTGCAGAAATAACATCATTTTCTAATATCGAGAATTTATTTATCATGAATAAGGAAGATTGAATCTGTTGCCAATTAATTGACATGCAGCACAAGAATCTTTGTAAGCAAGCACAGGTTTTCTCTAGTGCTATTATTTAAAAAATGAGCAAACGAAAAAGACAAGATTTTGAAAATCATCAATTCATTAATTCGGGGGAGGTATTCACTAACAATAATATTGTGGAAGAGAAATCAACAAAAGTTGTGAAACTCCAACAACAAGAAATATTTTCAGATGATGTTTGTTTTGAAATAATTTCCATGATTGATGATTCGTGGTTTATTTTAAATGATTGTTCCTTGATTTCAAAACAATTCTTTAATGTGATCAAGGAACGTTCAAAACTTGTTATTGAATTTAAAAAAACATTCACAGAAAAAAGAATTGAATTATTCATGAAAAGTCAATTTATGAGTAGTATTGTTAATGTTAAATTTTCTTGTCGGTTTCTTGAAGCCAAATTCATAACTGAAATGAAACAATTAACATCACTTGATATTTCTGAAAATCAAATTGGTGATGAAGGAGCCAAATATATAAGTGAAATGAGGCAATTAACATCACTTGATATTTCTGACATTGAAATTGGTGATGAAGGAGCCAAGTACATCAGTGAAATGAAACAATTAACATCACTTAATATTTCTTACAATGCAATTAGTGATGAAGGAGCCAAATTCATAAGTGAAATGAAACAATTAATGTCACTCCATATATATAAGAATCTAATTGGTGATGAAGGAGCCAAATATATAAGGGAAATGAAACAATTAACATCACTTAATATTTCTTACAATTCAATTAGTGATGAAGGAGCCAAATTCATAAGTGAAATGAAACAGTTAACATCACTTGATATTGTTTTCAATGAAATTAGTGGAGAAGGAGCTAAATTCATAAGCGAAATGAAACAATTAACATCACTTGATATTTCTGACAATGAGATTGGTGATGAAGGAGTCAAATACCTAAGTGAAATGAAACAATTAACATCACTTACTATTTCTGGCAATGAAATTACATATTGCAATCAAATTAGTGAAGAAGGAGCTAAATTCATAAGTGAAATGAAACAATTAACATCACTTGATATTTCTTACAATCTAATTAGTGATGAAGGTGCCAAATATATAAGTGAAATGAAACAATTAACATCACTTAATATTTCTTACAATTCAATTAGTGGTGAAGGTGCCAAATTCATAAGTGAAATGAAACAGTTAACATCACTTGATATTGTTAGCAATCGAATTGGTGATGAAGGAGCCAAGTACATCAGTGAAATGAAGCAATTAACATCACTTAATATTTCTGACAATCAATTTAATTCTAATTGGTGATGAAGGAGTGGACAAAACATCTTGAGTTGGAGGGAAAGTAATACCATCACAGAACTTTTGTTGCAAACCAGGACATTCTCTGCCATGTGTAATTGGAGATGAAGAATCCAAGAAATTCATAGTGCTAAAGTGGATAGAGTTACCTTCCGTATCAGTATGAAACAATTAAGGCTACCAGTATCATGAGTATTATTGCCTTCATTTGGAGTGAGTGATCTGGAATCTTTTCCAACAAAGCTTCTCTATCTGTTAGATATTTGATAACCATGTATTCTCTGTCCTGGAGCTTTGAAGCAGATGTGTTGCTTATAGGATGGACAAACATTTGATGGAATTTTTGAGAAACAGCCTTATTTTCCTCAGTTGATTTGATAATCACGTTCTGCGAAAGTTGTCTCTCACTCAGTATTTGCAAAATTGTAACACTCTTAATATCAAGAACAAATATTGTACGATATCAGATTGAATCAATTCATTTTTCAATAAATCTCTGTTGTACAAAGTACTTAAATACTGAATTCTCACAAATCCAAGTTCTTTAAATACTGGAACATGTTTCCCTTCTTTTCATTTTGTTTGTTGCCTTGACTTTGCTCATTCTTGCACTTAATCACAACACTTTAGAAATGAAACAAACAAAATCAAAATGACTCAACAAACTCACGAAGAATTATTCAATGAAAACATGTGTGGAAGTGCGTTGCCAACTGAAATAAAATATGGTGATAGATCTGCTGAAGATACCTTGTTGAATAATTGCATCAAATTCTTAATTGAAAGTCCAAGATTGAGCAATATGAGTGAAATTGCCAAGGTTTTGATCAAGGAACCTGATTGTAAGGACGCTTGCATGGGATTGGAAAGATTGATTTTCAGAGTTGTTCACAATGCTGACAGTAAGGAAGCTTCTGGTTTCCTTGGATATTCTAACAAGGTTAATGGTACTGAATTGGTTGTCACTTTGGACTGCAACTTGAGTCTTGATATGAAAGACAAAGTCCCTCTGCTGATTCTGAAGCTAAAAAGTTAATTACTGCTTTCTACAGTACTCAATGTAACATTATTGCAATATCAATAAAAACAAGCTCCCAACAAAGTGATATTACAAATGCAATCTGCAAAAAGACTACAGCACCACAGGTTCCCAAGTTGTCTCCAACCTCAGTACTGATGTGGCTCGACGATGCTTAACTTCTCAAATCGGACGGGATGAGGTGCATTCATCGTGATATGGCCGTAGTCATTAACTATCCCAAAATGTGAAATATGAAGTATATTATTTTTAAATCTAACCAAAAGTTACAATAATGAAAAATGGTGTTTGCACATTGAGACAATGACGAAACTTTGGGAACTCTTAATGTAAATCCAACTTGAGGACAATATTTCCGTCCAAAATAAGCCTCATTACAATCATATTTGTTGACTTACTCTCCAAGATGCAATATAACAATGTCAGATGATTCACAATAAAGATGCAGATAACAATGACAGTTTCATTCACAGAGGGTTGCTAACCAAACATGCAAAGTGTAAGTGGTTTTTTCGTAGTAGTTTAAATCTGTTATTCCTCTCATTAAAAAAACTGAAACCAAACAAAATGTTCAAACAGACAAGTGCCAAAGCGTTAATTCCAATGAAGTTTGTTTATGAAGAGGTTTGGCTTCATGAGTTGGTTCCTCAACATGCAACCAATTCAGTTATCAGTTTGAATTTTTCATTACATGAGGCCACAACAGCAACCTTTCCAGTGAACACATGCAGTCAACCTACACACGTAAATCAATCAAGTACCATCACATGTGCTTCTTATCCATCAAATAATAACAACAAACAATTTCAAAATTCTCAACCAACACAACATTTGAAATTCTCCAAAAATTCAATGCCAACAAGCTTAACCAATCTATCAGAGAAAGAACTTTGGAACCGCTACATATTCTGCACTACTAGAATGCCAAGAGGAAGAAGAAAGACAACATGTTTTAAAATTGAATTTTCAGAGCACATCTTTTCTAAACTCTTCAATGGAAAAGTACAGAACCACCAAGGATTTAAAGTCAAGAATCGCTTAATTCCAAAAGGTCTCTATAGTAGAAGGAAATAAGCATTTCAACAGAATCTTTTTACCATTGTAATCAACTCTGAATATTCCACAAATTGTGTGATTCCTCGTCAGCGATCACTCGCCAGTACTAATCAACATATTTTTCAAAATAAAATTTAAAAAAAATCAAAAGGCGCCAAACTTATTTTTAATCACAGGTTCAACATCAGGAGTCGAATTAATTTTTTTACACCATCAGCAAAACCTTTTGATTTTTTGATCAGCAACCACCTTCCTTCACACATTCTCTTTTGACTAATTTTCTTGTTCATCATTTTGTAAATAATAATTTATTACAAGCTAGTACATATATTTATTACGGAAACAACAATCATCATGTCCCAATCACCAACAAGTGTTATTCAGGATGCTAAATCTGGAAAGAATGAAATCCAAGCAACTTTATTACGTCAAAGAATGCTCAAAGTACAACAAAGAGAAAAATTAATTTCCAATGTCAGACAAAGTTATTGCTCTGAACAGAAACGAGATGTTTGGGGATCTTCCTCTCCAAGAATAGAACCAAACATAAAACCTTTACCATCTATTCAAGAATCATCATCTGAACAACAATCCGAAAATATAATTCAATCAGCAGTGCAAAAATCTCGTGACTTTGTTAAAAATTTGAACAAGATTACAAAAATATCATATGACAAGAGAAGAAAGAGACCACCTATTTCTAGTCAACTTCGTGATTTATCCATTCTTGTTGCTAGTTTAGATATGGAATGGAATAACTTTGCAGCTATTATTGAAACCACTCAACGTTTTAGAAGATTATTGTCAATTGAAAGAAATCCTCCAATTGATGAAGTTATTTTATCGGGAGCAGTACCATATTTTGTACAATATTTAGATTTGAATGAAGTTCACAAATACTTTAATGTGGATTACTCTGGATCTTCCTCCCCTCCTCCACAAGTTTGGTCACACGATCCAACCAAGAAATCAATTTCTGTATCCAACTTGTATCAATTACAATTTGAAGCAACTTGGGCCATTACAAATATTGCCTCAGGTACTGCAGATCATACCAGATATGTAGTCGAATTGGATTGTATTCCTAGAATGATTAATCTCCTTGATAGTGAAAGTGAAGATTTGAGACAACAAAGTGTTTGGGCTTTGGGAAATATTAGTGGTGATTCATGCACTTTGAGAGATTTAGTTCTCAACCAAGGAGCCATGCCAAAAGTTTTAAAAATGATTCAATCAGAAACAAGCGACAGAGTGAAGAGAGATGCCACATGGACCTTATCAAATTTATTCAGAGGAAAGCCAGCCCCACCTTGGGAAATTGTTTTAACTGCTATTCCTGTTCTTGTTCACCTCCTCCATAGTTCAGATGATGACGTTTTGATTGATGCTTGTTGGGCTATTTCATATGCATCTGATGGGCCTACTGACAGAATTCAAGCAATTATTGAAGTTGGAGCAACAAACAAACTTATTGAGTTACTTAGTCATCATAATTCTTCTATTCAAACGTAAGTATTATATCCACAATGGAAAATATCAATTAACAAATAACTTTCTAGTCCTGCATTAAGAGCAATTGGTAATATAGTCACTGGTGATGATTACCAAACATCAACAGTTTTGAGATGTGGTCTCCTTAATCACTTACCAAACCTTCTCACTCACCCAAAGAAGTCAATAAGAAAAGAAGTAATGTGGACACTTTCAAACATTACTGCAGGTACCAGAGATCAAATTCAAATGGTTATCGATGCTGGTATCATTCCAAAGATTATTTCAATTCTTGTTTCTGGATCTGAATCGTTTGATGTAACAAAAGAAGCCTATTGGGCACTTGCCAATTCATGTGAAGGGGGCACAGATGAACAAATTAAGTATATTATTGATCAAGGAGTGATTCGACCATTTTGTGATGGTCTTTTAGTTGGAGACCAAAAGATTATCCAAGTTGCTTTGGAAGGTCTTCAAGCTGTATTGAACTCAGCCGAAAGACAAAATATTCTTGACGTTGTTACAAATGCTATTGAAGAATATGGAGGACTTGACAGAATTGAAAATCTCCAAAACCATCAAAACACCCAAATTTATGAAACTTGTGTTGGCATTTTGGAAAAATTCTTTGCTGCTGAAGAAGAATAAAGTTAGTTTTATTTACAATTCACAAGGAGAAAAACTTAATTTTGTCCATGTAAGGCCTAAACAGTGATAGCAGTTTCTTCTGGAATAGTTTCAGAAATTGGTTCTTCCTTATTGACAGATTCCACTGATTCAATCATATTTACTTCCTCCACAGGTTCTGTGACAGATACTTCCTCCACCAACTGAACTGTTTCAACAAGTTCAGTTTGTTGATTTTCTTCCTCATTTTGCTTGGAAGGTTCTTCCACTTGTTTTTCACAAAGTTCTGAAACCTCTTGAAGAATTATGATTTCTTGTGTTGGAGTTGAGTGGGTTGTGTTGTTATTCTTAATGGATGCAATCAAAACAGATTTCAATGGCTTGTTAATGATGGTATTGACTGTTTTGAGAACGTTTGGTTTCTTCAAACGAACTACTTTTTGGTTCTTCTCCTTGTCTTGAGCAATTTCAAACTTTTTAGAGTGTTGTCTGCAAAAGTTTTTCAATGTTGAAAGATCAATAGATTGCACATTGAAAAGATAAGTATTTTTGCATTCTTCCAACTTGTTGTTCAATCTAGTAATAAGGACATCAACAGGTACTTTGACTTTTTCAATATCAGCAGAAACATCCTTCTTAAAATTTTGAGCATATACTTCTCTCATCACATTCTCTACAAAATCTTCCTCAACAGTGAATGGAGTCTTTTCAGCCTTCTTTTGGATTGGTTTCTTTTGGACTTCTCTCTTTGAGGTGAGGAATTTAGGAGGTTCACAAACAGTGGCATCCTTCTTCTTGATGAAAGGTACACCAGAGTTAGTCTTTGAGAGTGTTGATTTCAACTTCTTACTACTTTGATCAACATTTTTCTTCCCTTCCGAAGAGTTTGAAACTTGAGAAATGTCTCTCTTCTTTGTTGATGAAAGATTAAAAGGTTTTGGGACAGTTCTTCCTCTAGATTTAATGAACGGAATACCCGAGGCAGTTGTGTTGGAATTGATAGTAGAATCAGTTGAAGCCAAAGGGCTGGCAGTGAGATTTTGAGGAGCTTGTTCAGTACTCATTTTGTTATTTTTTTTGAGTTGAAAAACAAGTTGTTAACATCTTGGTAAGGCGGGAAAGTATTAGGCGCGAAAATCTTGTAACGTTATTTTTTTGTTGGCCAAACTATTAAAAGAATCAAGTTCAAAAAAAATGTCAGATTGTGGTTCCTTCTCAGCAAATCTCATTCTCTCCTACTCCGATCAAGATAAAAGTAAAATACAATTTATTAAAGATGGTGCTGATACCCATGGTCATCCTTTCTTATATTTAGGGCCACACTATTCAGCAGAGTTGGATGTTCAATTTTTAAAAGAGGAAAAGGGAATTACTCACATTTTGAATGTAACCAATGAAATTAAAACCAAACATGTACTGACTCTCAAATGTAGAAAGATTTCAATTGATGATTCTCCTAATGAAAATCTTATTGCTCATATCCCTGATGCATTAGAATTTCTCAAACAATGTTTGGAAGAGAAAGGTTGTGTTTTGGTTCATTGTCAAGCAGGAATTTCCAGATCTAGCTCAATGGTTATTTCTTTCATATTAGATCATTTCAGAACAAATCTCAAAGATACAATTTCCTATGTTAAAGAAAGAAGAAAAGCCATCTCACCAAATTATGGGTTCATTCGTCATTTGATAGAATTTGAAAAGAAGACTCTTCAGATTGAGGAATCTTCAGTTGATCTTGATGAATATAATGCAAATTGGATTAAGGATTTCTTTCCAATGATTACTGATATGAATGTAATCAAGAATGCACTCAAAAAAGCCAATGGCAATTTTGACATGGCACTTGACTATTTATTAAATTGATACTATTGCTTTTTCTCAGGAGTCTTGATTTTCTTTTTCTTTGACTTCTTTTTAGGAGGTGAAGGAATAGGATAGTCCAACAAGTTAGGGATGTGAATTGGCTCCTTTACAACAGTTGTCTGTTTCTTACCAGTAATAAATTTCTTATTGCAGTCAACTAAAAAGCCTCCCATTCTAATAATATTTCTACCAATTAAAACAGGACATGCAAGCTTGTGTCTTTCAACAAGAGTGAATTCTGCAACTTGATCTTGGAATTCAGGACCAATTGTAACAATAGTTTTCAAAACATAACGTGTCGAAATATGTCCATTGGAAGACATTACAGTTTTTGTCGTATTAGAAAATGGGAAATCAAGAATTGTTTGAACAATACTTCTATTGTGTCTGTCAAGTACAACATCAAAACTAATAGTCTTTGCTGCCTTGTTATATCTGATATTAGCCACGTCCAGACAACTTGTCTTGGCACCTGAATCTACCTTTGCTAATAAATTAATAACTCCAAGTTGAGGAAAATTAATCCTAAAATGGTAAATTACTGATCTAATATTGTAAACTTACATTTCTCTTCTTCCCATTATTCTTGTCTTGGGTTCTAATGGCTTAATATATTTAGCAATACCATAAGTTTCAGGTTTATACAATCCAGAAAGAATATTAATCTTATTCTTTTTTTCCTTCTTTTTAGTAACATTTGCTTTTTCTGTTACTGCGTTATTCAATAAATTAGTGTCTGTAGATTTTGCAATAGCTGCTGTTGTTGATGGTATTGATAAATTGATAACATGATGAAGTAAACTGCTCCCATTCATCATTAATAAATAAGAAATTAAAACTACAAAAATTCCGATAATTAAATAGATTAAAACTTTAGATGTTCCGTTACTCTTTTCTATATTACATTTCGAATCATTCAATGATTCAATAATTTTCTTTGATAATAAATTACTATTTGAAATAATATCCTCTTTTGTATGTTGATCATCATCTTGTGTTGTTGAATTTTCTATCGATGATGTTGAACAACAAGAAGAAGTACTCGTGCTATGCTGATGTTGTTGATGTTGGGTTCCGTTTTGTTGTTGCTGTAAACTTATTCCCTCCATCACTGAAAAACTTGAGACTTCCTTGAGACTCATCGTTTCATTTTCTTTGATGGTAATATTATTGGTTTTGTTCAGAGACGTGCTCTTTGTAGCTTCATTGGAATGCTGATGATGAGGGTGAGTTGTTGCATTACTGCAAGCGGATTTGATATCTGTTGTGGTGTCTTCTTGTATTGCTTGTGTGAGAGTTGCCATTTCGAATCACTCACAAATCAGGAACAGTAAATGAATGGTTTGTTTACAGGGGATTAGTAGTACACTACTTTGGATACTTCTTCAATCTGATGATATTATGTGACAGTGGTAATCACAAATAATGTTTTTGTTTTTTTTGATTATGATTATATTATGATGATGGTGACATGTGACTCTTACGTGTTTCTAGAAAAGATTCAGGAAAGAAATTTGAGAAGAGCTGGAAAGGTTTTTTGTTTCTTTTTAATACAATTTACTAATTGGTTTCGATTCAACAAAAAACATTTTTAGACTATTCAATCTGAATGTTTATCAGTTGACTGTTTTATACAGATAATTATTCAGATCCACTGTACGATTTATCCATACATTCAATTTTTCCCAAATATCTTTTTTCATTAATCAAACTTTTAAGCTCTTCTTTTCTTTCCTTATCCATTATCAATTCTTCAATAAGCTCATCAGTGGTCATAAACTGAATACTTGTATCTCCAAGGAAATGTTCTGAGGGAGAAAACTGAATGTAAACCTTTGGATGATTAAAGTAAGCAATTAGGAATTTTGCAAATACTTTAAAAGCACATTTGAATTGAATTTCCTCAATCAATGGTGGCAAAGTTGCATAGGATGGAATTGGTGTAAAATCCCATAAGGATAATGTCACTTGCAAATGCTTTAGAGAATTGAGATGTTTGATTTGTTCCACAAACTTGAATAATTCAATATTAGAATAATATGGTTCAAACCAAATTTTTTGAAGATTGCTAAATGAATACTTTGTAAATACATTAAAGAAGAAATTTGTATCATTTGGTTCGTTGTAGCAACCAGAGTATTCGTCAGTTTCCTCCACAAAAACAAAACTTTCAAGCAAAGGGGTTTGTTTGAAAGAAAAATCATATTCCCCATCCCACTCTTGGAAATCAAAATCATTCAGTACCAACTCTCTAAGATTTGAGAAATGATCTATTAAATAATTCACAAGGCTTGGTCTCGTCTCTCCAAAGAATGTAACTTTGGATATTTGTTCAGAATTGATACAATTGACAATCAATGTAATACACTCCTTAGAATCATTTTTAAAAGTAAACTCTTGAACTCTAGTAAATTTTACATCAACTTCATCATCTTCCTCCAAATCGAAATATATTTTTTTAATAATTGATAAATTCGGAGGATTCATTCGGAAGGGATATCTCACAAGTAAATGATCCCACAATCCATAAGAGCTGTCATAAATTATTGAATGAAATTGATTATTAATTAAAGAAAATTTAGTCAATATTTTGGTGTTGCAAGCCGAATATTCAATTATTAATATAATTATTTCACTTGGCAAGCTAAACTCTCGTTTTATCTTTTTTCTCTTTGGTTCTAGCTCATTTTTCATTTTTTTCAAGTAATTGGCAATAAATATCAATTTTTAAATTATTAACGGTCATTCTAAAAGAAAGCTCAATATCCTTCAAAATGACATTCAGTTGTTCCTAATTCAATTTGTTTTTTGAAACTTTGGACCATCATTCTTTATTTCAAAGATTGTACAGTGAAACAAATGTATTAATACTTTTATTCTGGCTGTCATCTCTCGAGAATCTTTTTGGCAAGACAAAATCCACTGTTGGACGGAATGCTTTACAAAACTTCAAAAACCATTTGGCGCGTGTTCAAAAATAATTTCCACGAAGAAAAAAAATAACTCAACAAGTGTAAATAAGAATGTACTCCAGCAATCAAAAGACACCAACTAGAAAAAACCTAAAGTCAACACTCAGCGCAGAAGATGGTAAAATAAAGAGAATGGATAAACAATCATCTCTCAGAAAGAAGATGAGAGATGAACTCTTGCAAAAGAGAAGAAAGGAAAACACAACAGGCGCAACAATTCACGATCCTCTCATCCAAGAAAAACTTAACCAACTTCCACTCCTTCTCGAACAAGTCAAGTCTGGTAATCCAACACTCCAATTAGAAGCTACCGTTCAATTCAGAAAACTCTTGTCCATGGAAAAGAGTCCACCTATCGATGAAGTTATTTCTACTGGTGTTGTCCCAATCTTTGTTGAATTTTTGCAAAGAGTCGACCACGCTGCCCTCCAATTTGAAGCCTGTTGGGCCCTCACAAACATTGCTTCAGGTACCTCCGAACATACTGAAACAGTCATTAGAAGCAATGCTGTTCCAATCTTTATTCAACTTCTCGGATGTCCAAATGATGATGTTAGAGAACAATCTATCTGGGCTTTGGGTAATATTGCTGGTGATTCTGCTAAATGTAGAGATTATATTTTACAAATGGGAGTTATGGTTCCATTGTTGTCTATCATTTCTGAACAACCAAAAGTTACAATTCTCAGAAATGCTACATGGACTGTTTCCAACCTTTGTAGAGGTAAACCAATCCCTGATTTTAATCTTGTTGCTCCAGCCTTGCCAACTTTGGCTCATCTCTTATACAACTCTGACGAAGAAGTTCTTACTGACGCTTGTTGGGCAATTTCATACCTCTCAGACGGTCCAAACAATAGAATTCAAGCTGTTATTGATTCAAATGTTGTTAGAAGACTTGTTGAATTACTTATGCATCCACAACCATCCGTTCAAACACCAGCCTTGAGAACTATTGGTAATATTGTTACTGGTAATGATCAACAAACACAAGTCGTTTTGAATTGTGGCGCTCTTCCATCTTTGTGTCAACTTCTTCAACATCAAAAGAAGAGTATTAAGAAGGAAGCTTGTTGGACAATTTCTAACATTACTGCCGGAAACAAGGATCAAATTCAAACAATTATTGATGCTAATATTATTCCACCTTTGGTGGCAATCTTGGATCAACCAGGTGATTTTGACGTTAAGAAGGAAGCTGCTTGGGCTATTTCTAACGCTACATCAGGAGGTTCAGATGAACAAATAAGATATTTAGTAGATAGAGGTTGTATTAAACCACTTTGCGAATTACTCTCAGTCAAGGATGTCAAGGTTGTTGGCGTTGCTTTGGAAGGTATTGAAAATATTTTAGCTTCTGGTTCAAGCATTGCTGATGATATTGATGGTATCAATCCATACACAGACTTTATTGAAGAAGCCGGAGGTGTTGATAAACTTGAAAGTTTGACAGATCACGCTAGTGAAGAAATTTATAAGAAGGCATACAAGATTGTAGAAGAATACTTTGGTCTTGATGATGATGATGAGGAACCACAAACCACACAAAATAATCAATTCGTGTTTACTGGTATGCAACAAAACAACACCAACTTTAACTTTGAATAATTCAACACTTTTTAATTGGTTAACACAAACAACCAATTAACATCATCACTAATACCACACTTTCCACAACATCAACCCCATCCAATTCACCACTTCCACAAAATTCCAATTTTGACACTCCACCACAATAAAACTCACAACCACACCACATGTGAAGATGATTAGGCAAACAGATTGAATAACACATAATCACAACACATACACCTACAATAAAAAAACTCAAAAATTCAAATAACACACAAATACTTTTTGAAAATAAAGTTGGTAAGTACAATTCCAAAGCTGGAATTTTAGTTGAAATAAAAAAGCTCAACAATTTTAATATAAAATTATTAATTTAATTATTAGGTTTTCCCATCAAATAATACAACCAAGTGAGTTGACTTCCCTTAGAGCTAATAGTGAGTTTTCCATATGTTACCTTTGAAGATGCAGCACTTGAAGGTTTGTAAGAGATAGTAAGTGGAAGTTTTTGTTTGACTGTCATGGATGCATTATCTGGTTTGACACTGAAACTGTTTGAAGGGTCGTCAATTACAAACTTAAAGTCAGTCTTCTTATCGAAAACATTCTTGAATGTAATTTGAGAAGTTCCGTTTGGAATAATTTCAATAGGACCTTGTGCTCTTGGAGGAGAACATTTTCCAAACAACCAAAAAACATATTCACCACCAATTGGAGATGTAAGAATCAATTTTGCCTTAGTTGCACCAGTCATTGTTGGTTCATAGGTAACATCAAGACTAATCTCATTTCCTTCTAATGAGGTTGCTTGTGGAGCTTTGACAACAGGTTTGTCCACAAGAGCAAAATCAGTTTGGTTGTCTTCGATCTTGCATGTGTACTCAGTGGCTTGCCTGGCAAAGTTTACAAATCTAATAGTTTGAGTTTGAGAACTACCAAGAGATACCGAAAAGTGTGTACTTCTTTCAGAAACTTTGGCAATTGGCTTCAATAATAAATCGAATGGGAAAATACCTAATTCATCATTTCCAATAGTCAACTTGGCCTTCTTAGGATCGGAAACCAATAACGGAAGATAAACAAACTCACATTTAGCAAATGACTTGGCTGGTATTCTTAGTTCAGAGGAAACAATAATATCTGTAGAGTCACATTTGACAGCAAGAACAGATTCTTTTTCTAATGGATTTTCTACAGTTACTGTCTTGACAATCTTTTGTCTAACAGGAGTTTCCATTACAATTTCTTCTGAAGATCTCGCTTTCAACACGTTAAACTTGACATTATAATAAATAAATTCTTTGGTTTCTTCGTTAACAAATCTAACCTTTCCTTCAAATTGACCGTCCTTGAAAGGAAGGAAGCTGAACTTGTATTCTCTCTTGGAAATTGGTGGTACATCAATATAATTAACAGCAGTAAGTTGGTTAGGTGACTTGATATTAAGGTCGTCAAGAATAACAGCAAATCTTTGGGCCTTCCCGAGCCAATTTTCAACGAAAAGAGTTTCAATATGGTGCTCCTTTGCATATAAATCCTTAATAATTGATCCAGCTGGCAATGGATCTAATGATTCACCAGACAACTCATAAAGGATAGCTTTTCCGTCAGGTAATGGGAAAAATAGCGTTCCCTTATGTGGAGAGTTCAATGTCATTGATAATGGTGCATATGTAACTTCATATTCTCGAGTACTATTTGCTGGTACTTCAAGATATTCCAATCCACTCCAGAATGGATTATCAATTACTGGTTTTAATCTCCAATCACTCTTTGTTGGATTGTCAATCTTTACGGATTTGTTTTGCTTTTGTCTGACAGCAACTCTGAATGACAAAGTTTCTTTTCCTTTTGGTTTTTCTACACAAATACCACTGATTGTCATAGGAATAGGATCTCTAAGTGAATCTAGTTTACATTCTATTGTAGAAGATTGACCAGTAGTATCTATCTTTGTTGGAGAGTATGTGATTTCCAATAATGCTTCTTCATTAGGAGGAATGAATCCTTGTAACGGCTTGATAGAAAATGCACTGTAAAGGCCTTTGGTATTCCACTTGTAATTAACACCAATATCTCCTGTATTTTCTATAATTGCCCTGCTAACAACTACAGTGTTTTGAACAACTGGTCCAAAAGCAATGGTTGAAGTGTTTAGCTTGACTTCTACACCCTGGCAAGAACCTGTCACATTTGAAAGAAGTTTGATTCTTCCGTCTATGTAAGCATTTAGTTCAACATTGAATGTTGAAAGTCGTGATTCTGGTTTAAATGTTAGGCCAATTTGTGCTTCTTGCCTTGGATGGATCGAGAAAGCAGTCTTTGGACTCAAGGTAATATAACACTTGGCTAATTGATCCAAAGTTTCTTTCAATAAGGAAACATTTGCTGTAATCTTACTCTTATTCACAATATTAACATATTTGGTGATAACTTCACCTCCTCTGATTGATCCTAAATTAATTACCTTATCAACAGGGTTTGACAATTCAACTTTTGATGCAGTTCCTTCGCCAGTGAAGATTACACTTGTCTTATACAGACCATTAATTTCGAACATGACAGTTTCCTTATAGAGTTTGATTTCTCTTGGTCTAAAGTAAACCTTGATTTGTCTGCTCTCTCCTGGTTTTAGCACTGTGGCAGAGGCTTCAACTTCCAAATGCGGTTTGTTATCGTAGAGCATTTCAAAACTGATATCCTTTTCATCACAATTTTCAATTTTAAGCATTGTTGATGGACTTTTATCCATGCCTTGATGATATAAAAAGTGAGCTCCAAAGTCATATTGAAGGAAACTAAAGTTGATTTTTGGTTGAGCACCTGATCCGAATAAGTTAAGGACATAGGAATTACTATTCGTAACCTTACAAATACACTTGTATCCAGCTAATTTGACTTGTGCTGTTGGGTTAAAAATGATGTCACAAATTTGTTTGCCTCCCTTGAACACAGTTCCTCTATCTGGATTAATAGTAATGAGTTTGTTCTTTGCATGGAACCATTGATAGTCAAAGTTATAGTTTCCGTGATTTGTTATAATAACCTTCTTAATTTTCTTTTCGTTAATTTGGGCTCTTTCAAAGTCAACATTACTATTTTCTTTGAAGGATACTGGAACGACTCTAGTCATGGACTCATCAGATACTTCTAAACTTTCATGAACAAGGAATCCTTCTCCCTTGACGTTGCATGTGAGAAGAGATGGCTTCTTCTTTACTCTGCAGGCAACTTGGAAGTTGAATGAGCTTTCGGCTGTAGGAGTGTAAAGTAATGTGATTGGAATAGTAGAATCTGCTGGTATTGTTCCACTCTTTGGAGAAAGTAAAAGTACTGGCTGTCTATCGGTTTGATTATCTTCAAAGAATTCTGTTTGGTCAAAGCTGAAACTGAATGGGATAGGCTCTCTATTGATAAGATGGATAGATTGGGAGGACTTAGCACCCACCAATACAGTTTGGAAGTTTACACGAGCGGTATCCAGGAAAACTTCTGGTTCTTTAGCATGTCCTACAACCAAGAATGGTATATTCAAGTTTCTGGAAGGAATACTAAACATCCAAAGAGATTCTTTTGTTTCAATAGTATAAGGAACATACTCAAAGATAATTTCTGACTTTTTACCACTATTGATGATACCAGTTCTGGTCAAGCATGAGAAGGAGTTGTCTTCAGCGTTTGGATCACTTTGGATCTTTTGCCAACTATACTTAAAGTCCACATCGGTAGGATTGAGAATGTAGAAACGCTTAGTATTTTTAACTTTGATACCACAAGAATAAAGTTCAATGACTCTTGTCTTATCCTTGTCAATTAATGATTCTATTTCTTGATTTTGGAACATGGATGCCTTTCTTCTTCCTCCTGACAAATAATCACTTGGTGGCAATTCAAAGTGAACGAGTGGACATTTAGAAATGCCTGAAACTCTAACACTAGGAATACTGCAAGAAGGTTCAATATTATCAATATAACATGTAAATATTTCTTCATGTTTGTCTACATCTTGAGGAGCATATTTGATAGTAAAGATAGTTTGTTCGCCTGGTTTGATTTGTCCTTGCTTAGTTTCCAGCTCGAAAGGACCATCAATATATTGAGAACTACTCCATGAGAAGTTGAGCAAAACTTTGCCAATATTCTTAAGAGTGACATTATGAATACGTGTTTCAAACATTTTGGTGGTAGAAAATACAACATCAGTGGTATTAATTTCAAATTTGGCATAATCAGCATTAGTATAGACAGCAACAGACTTTTCAGAAATGTCTCCAATAATATTGTGTTGAGGTTCAGGATCAGTAACCTCCATACGCTTGGTAACTAATTTCTTTGGTTTGGCTTCTTGTGGCTCACTCTTTTCTTCTGCTTTGGTAGTTTTTGTTGCGGCTGGCTTCTTTTCTTCCTTCTTTTTAATGCCTTTCTTTTCATTTTCCTTTTGCTCCTTCTCTCTTTGCTTCTTTTCTTCCAATTCCTTCAATTTTCTTGCTTCCTCTTCCTCATCAACTTCTACCCATTTAATGGACTTGTGTCTATCATCCCAGTCAATTTCTTCTTCATCATTTAAAAATTCTATCTTTTTAAGTGAGCATTTTAACAAATCGCCTTTAATTTCTGTTGGCTCATCACATAAGAAAGTGGCAATAATTTCTTTTGAAGATTTTGGTTGGATATGGCCAACACAAGGAGATACAGTAATTCCGTCGGGTGTTTCAAACTGGAATCTTACTGGAACTTTGGCATGATTCTCTAATACAAAAGTTCTTTCATTCTTTGCTTTAACATAGCAGTCTCCAAAGTTCAACTCATTTTCTTTGCCTAGGGGGAGGTTATTGATAATTACATCTTCTTCAAAGCTTTCAGCAATAACCTTAATACTGGTATCTTCAAAGTGATTATCTAAGACGACCATATTCAGAGTTGTTTCAATTTGTTCAGCTTGGTGAGGTTCAAATATCATAGAGAACTTCTTTGACTCCTTACTTTCGAGAACGAATTCTTCTAGTCTACTTGGGAACAATAAAGATGAGTGATTTGGGAAATCAAATCTAACAGTTGCTGGCAAGAGTCCTTCGTTACTAATTAATACAGGTAATTCCTCTCTTCTTCCAACAGCTGTCTTTGGGAATTTCAAAATTGAATTTTCACCAACTTTTTCAGGTTTTTTGATTAATACTTGAGGTAGAGAACCTTCTCCTCTGATTTCTATCTTGAGATCTTTGGTTTTTGGATCATTTCCATCTATTACAGTAGCCTCAAAGATGGCAGAATAGTTATTCATAGTAGGAGGTAGGAATGAAATATTGACATATCTGTGTTCGTGAGGTGGAATGAACAACTTTGGTGGACTAGCCTCAAACATATTAATATCCTTATTTCCTGTCATATCTCTAGGTTTAACACTACATTCAACATTACAAGGAACTTTGAATGGATTGATAACTTTAATTTTCTCTGTCACTTTCTTGCCTACTGGAATTGTACCAAAATGGAAAATTCTTTCATCCAGAGTAAAAGAACTGTGGAGAGGATTAAGGATCATATCCATATTAGAAACTATTTGTTGTTCTTCAAATATGGATTCAAACTCATTTGTTACAATACCTGGAACACATGATTCTCCTTGGATATAGTAAGCAATACCATTTGGTTGCTCTTCCATATTTCTATCTGAAATATCTATTCCCAATGTTTCTTGGAAAACTTTGGTTCCATCTCCCTTGAAAGTAATATTTATGGATGCTTTACTTCCTGGAGCGATTGTACCAACTGTTGGTTGAATCATGAATTGACCAATTTGTAGTTGTGGATCAACTTTCTTTGCAGTTTTGTTGTTTTTCTTTGTATCGTTACCCTTTTTCTTTGGATCATTGGTATTTGATTTATCTTCTGTTGATTCTGGTAAACCCTTAGAGTAATCGAATAGGGTGTATTGAATATCAAAAATACCAGTGTTAAATATTTCAAATGGTCTTTGTCTTTCCTTATCAAAACTAAGAGGACCAAAGTTAATGCCATTTTCAGGAGTAATGGTGAATTTGCTGAACATAGACTTTACAGAAACCTCTAAATTAGTAGTTCCAAGAGCCATTTTTGTTGTATTATCAACAAGTTGGCACTGAATAGATTTGTTCTTATTATAGAAAACTTCAGTATTGGTTTTGAAAACTACTTCAACAGTTGTTTTTTGCTTTGCCTTTGTTTGAAGTACACCTTCCATAGGTGTAATGGTAAAGAATGACTTTAACTTATCAGGTATAACAAACTTGAAAGCTGCATCATATTTACCATTGTTTGTCATAGATATAGACTTTGGGCTAGATTCGTATACTTTAACAGTACCAAAATCTAAAACACAATCCATATTTACATCAAGACCAAAAGCATCTGCTTTAAGAACAATAATATTTTCTTCTGGTGTTAATATCTCTTGAGCATCTGATACAGTTAATATCATCTTTTCTTCTAATTCACATGCCACTGCAGAATTGAACTTGACAGTAATAGCTGAATTTTCTCCAGGCATTAATTTACCCTCTGAAGGTTCTATTGTGAACTCTTGTTTGATATGTGCCTTATTCTTAATCTTCCATACAACAGGAATGTAGGCCATATTTTTGATGTTAATGGTTTCGTTATATCCTGTACTTGATAACAGCACCTTACCAAAGTCAATTTTAGTCTTGTCTAATTCAATCTTTGGTTTTGATCCAGTGCAAGAAATATCAAATTTGTATGGAATTGGATTATTCTTGATAGTGCAAATAACAGAGTTTTTGATTTTACCCACTGTTTTAGGGAGGGCCCAAATCTTTACCTCTGAAGTTTGATCGGGTGGAATTGACAATTGGTGTGGTACAATATTGAATGTTTTGTCTTCTTTTTCCAGAGTAATATTTACCTCACTGGTAAATTTACCGTTGTTAGTAAATCTAAAAACATCTAAATATTCTTTTAGATTGGATTCATCTGATATATCATATGAGGGTCTAATAAGAAGAGGTCCGTATTCATATGCATTTTCATTAATAATGTACTTCTTAGCAAGGCCTTTGTCTGGTCTTGTTTTTACTCTTCTACTGAAAACATTTTTGTGGAAAGTACTGATTTCTGGATACTGACACATACCACTTGTTTTAATGGTAAATTGCGAATTTCTTCCAAATATTCCAAAAGACAAATTAGTTTCGAATTTTCCAATTTGTTTAGAAGAGAACTTGATGAATAATTCTTGTTTTCCACCAGGTTGCACTGTCCATCTGGTTGCATCACTGTCCTTTCCTGAAAGAATAGTAAATGGAGTCGATAAATCAATAGACTGAAGAGGTGTTGGTTTCTTAATAACTTGCAAGATGAATGGTTCAGGAATTGATAGCTCTGTTGGGGTCTGAATAACAGTCTCTTGTGTGAAATATTCTTCGATACCAGGAATTTTTTTCATAATCATATCCATGTTTTCTGACTTCTTTTCTGGTATGTATTTCTGTGTGATGATAACATTTTCCATATCATCCTTTTTCTTTGTTGGTTGTACAACCTTGTTCTTATTCTTATCGTTTGTTACAACTGGACTTTCTTCTAAATGAAGTTTTTTGAATACGGATATTATTTCAAAGAAATATCTCTTGTAAAGTTTCATAAATATGTCGTACTGTGATTCATTTTCATGAATAGCAAGCTCCTCGATAAATGAAATATATGGAGGAATAACTTCAGAAGAGGAGGGAGTAGTTGGTCTAGACTTTGAAGGAATTTTACCAGTAGTTGTTTTCTTTGTCTTGCCAGCCTTTTTAGCCTCTTCTTCCAACTTCTTTTGATATTCTTCATCTTCTTTCTTTCTCTCTTGAATAATTTCTGATATTAATTTGGTGGAGCTTCCCTCAAGTTCTCTTTCAACTTTTGTTAACTCTGAGTAAAGCTTATCGTATTGGATCTTGTTTTCTCTGAATGTTTTAATTTGTAATTCAAACATTCTCTTTGCTTCCTCAGCTAACGATTCATAGTCTTCCTCGCTGAGTTTAGGATATCTAGATTCATCCATAGCTGATCTTGCCTTTTCCACGAGATCAGTGATACCACTTAGTCTAATTTCAGCTTCAACTCCATCAATATTTACAAAGTTAATAGACTCAGTTTGAAGCTTATCGACAATAATTTTTGAAATCATCTCCAAATCATTACAAATAGCATTATATAAACCGTCAATAATAAATCCTCTCTTGCAATCAATTTGACCAGTTCTTTCGGAAATAGCAAGTCCAATAAGATCAGAAATTGATACTGTTGATAAAGATTCATCCAAGTGGGCTGATTTGTAATCTTTGAGAGTTTCATCTATAGTAATGATTGGAATATTCAACGAAGTAGAAATAAAAGATGCCAAGTCAGTTCTTAAAGGCATAGGAGGAGTATGAAAAACAAAAATATGTCTCTTTTTAGGAGTTTCATCTATCTGACCTATGCCAACATCTTGATTTTCTTGCTTGTCATCACCTTCTGGATTTGGAGGTTTTGTTATTTCATTATATTTCTCTAAAATATCTTCATTCAGAGGACCACCAAATTCTCTAGGTTTAGCCAGTATGTATCCCTTTTCAAAACTATCACATGTTAGAATTATTTCTGATTCTCTTCTTAGTTGCTCATCAAATTCAACAGAATAAAGGTCTACAGCACATTCACTAGAGTTACTGATTGTAAAAGGTATAATTGTTGATTCGTATGGCAAAATAGGCCCCATTTCTTGTTCAACATAATCAACCTTAATATTTAAATCTTTTCCATTACCATTACATGTAATTTTGGTTGGCTGAGGATTGTAATTACATTTCAATAAGAAAATTTGTGAATTTTTCTTATCTCCAGTTGGAATAAAAGTGACTTGAATGTTCTTCTTTTCTCTAGGGCTTAATATACCTCCCATAATATCAAATGTGAAAGGATTATCTTTCTTCTTTGTTGCTTCAATAGACCACTCAGAATTAACATCCTTTTCATTGAATATTTGGATAGTGTATACTTTTGCATAGCCAACATTTACATCACCAAAATTGAGAGTACTTTCTGAAACTGTAATTTCAGGTAAAATAACACTTGCACGAGCCTCAATTTCTATTAAATATCCATTTGTAACTCTAACAGGTATAACAGCATTATATTCGCCAATTTCGACTTTTTCACTTTTAGATTGGAATGACATTTCAACATTTACAGATTGATTATCAGGGAATCCAGGAAGGTTACTAATTTCAGATGGCTCCATTGTTATACCATATTTAGCAAGGTCCTTTTTGTTTACCTGGATTGATATTGGTAAGATACCAACATTTGAAAGCTTGAAAGACTTCTTCTTTGTTAAACCTTTTATGGTTGCACCAAAGTCTACAATCATACGTTGTAACACAATATCTGGTTGTTCAAATTGTTTAACTTGGTTTGTACTTCTAGAAACTCTAGCCAACGAGTTTTTAACCTTGACACTCTTCATTGGATTTACCATTAAATAATCGCACAACATCAATCTCTCGGCTTCTTTTTGTACTGATTGTACCAATGACAAATTCTTAAAGCTGGTGCTTTTTCCTTCTGAACCCAACCTTCTCATGGCTTCTTGCATTAATGTGGTTCCTCTAGAAGCATGTTTTTTAGCAGCACCGAGATGTTTTTCAAAATCTTGTTGATTAGTATAAATTGGTGAACCAGGTTCTTCCTCTGTTTTGGTTTTCATTGATATTGTAAGCATTGGATGAACAGACAATGCTTTGACAGAAATTATTATTGGTTCATACATTGCCACCATAAGTGTGAATTGCTCATTGATTACCTCTGGAATTTTTGGATTAAGCTTAATGGTAACCTTCTGTTTATCACCAGGTTTAATTCTTCCATTAGATGGTAAAACTTGAACGATTTCTTTTCTCTTCATTATAGAGAAATCAAAATCAAAGTCAATAGCAATTTTTCCAGTATTCGAAATTACAATTTCTTTTTCTTGTTGTGAGTGGAATGGAACAACTCCAAAATCAAGGTCAGAATTATCCACATTGAATTTTACAGATGAAGATTCTCCCTTCAAATTCACTATATATTCAGGTCCACCCTCTACTTCGCAAATGGCAGTTGCTGTGTGAGCTCCAAATTTTGCGGCATTGTAAATAAATTTCACATCAACACTCTCACCAGGCTCAATAATTCCATTCATTGGAAGAATGTCAAAGAGTTGGGAGGTGGAGAGGTCTCCATTTTCAGCAATTTCAAAAATAAATGAAAATACTGCTGTAACCTTTCCCTTATTTTCCATTGTTATTGTGTGAGTTTTTTCAGCATCAGCAACAACAGTACCAAAATCGATAAGTGATGAACTCAAGACTAAATTAGGGAAGAGAACAGAACCAATGAGGTCTACAGAACTCTTGTTTGGATGATCAGTATAGGTCAAAATCATCTTGGACTTGATATCAGCTGTTTGTTTGTCACTCTTATATACAGGATTGAATTGGACATCCAATGTTTTTGATTGATTAGGTCCAATAGTATGATCAGAAACAGCAAGCATGAATGGAGGTTGAAGCTTTGCAGAAAAAGATACTGGTAATGGAGAAATATTGGTAACCTCCAAACTCTTAGACTGAACCAATGGAGGAACACCTTTAACATAACTATAAATGAAGCTAAGGGATGTATCAGAAAATTTGAGTAAAGGAACAGATACCATAGATTTAAGCACAGGGCTGAAAATTATCACATCCTTCTTTCCACCAGCAATTTTACATTGCCAAGGTTCTGAAACCTCACCTTCACTCTCGCAAAAACCTTCAACAGTGAATACCTGAGCTGTTTTTGCTTGAATCATTACTTTTTCAGGAGTTATCTTGAAAACTTGAGGAGTTGTATCTCCTTTTTTTCTTTCAGCCATCCATGAGAGCTTTTGAACTTTTCTACTCTTATTTTCCAAAGTAATAATCTTTTTGAAAACTGTAGCTGTGAATTGATCTCCAAAATCAATAACATCCATAGACTCTGTTGCAATAATAGTATTACCTTTACCAGATGCAGATAGTTTAACTGGAAGCTTATCAGCATATTCAATAGAAAATACAAGTTCATCTGAAAACTTTGTAACATCATCCAAGTTGGCCTCTATCTCAAAATCAATTGATGCATTAGGTTCTATTTTACCAGACAATGTTTTGGCTGAGAAAATACCAGCTATTTTTCCCTTGAATACTCCTGAGTAGGTAGCAACTATTGGTGACTTGTTAATAAGTTGAATAGTTTTTGTGATTGTCTCCAATACATTAACTTTTCCGAAATCAATAACTGACTCACTCAATTGAACCACAGGTCCGATAGACTTAGCTGAAACAATAACTTCAAATGGTGGTTGTTCACTACCAACAACTTTAACATATAATGGGAATGAAATTTCACCAATCACTTTAGACTTGAATAAAAATTCTACTTGACTTGTACTCTTATTATTTACAATACCAAAGCATGATTCTGTACTACATTCATATTGCTTTTGTATTTCCTCTGAAGGAAGAATAATCTCATACTTGGATGATAAAGCTGTATTATTTACCAAATCCAAAAAATTCTTATATTCATATCCAATAAAACATTCTCCAAAATCAATATGTGGTTTAGGTAATGTTATCATTGGTGAAACAGTAGTTGCTAAAATAGGAAGATAAATTAAATTATCACCTACACCTTCAACATCTACAACGAGATTAGCCTTATAATCTTTCAATTTAGATGATAGATATTCAATCTTAATCTGCTTCTTTGTGTGAGGAAGAATGTGACCATCACTTGGAATAATATCAAACTGTCTTTTTAACATTGTTCCATCTTCTGGTATTCTTAATGTATACTTCATTGGAATTTCGCAAGTATTAATAATCTGTATATACTTTGTATTCAAGAATCCATAAGGTACAGTTCCAAAGTTAATTTCATTACAATCAAAATTAAAAGTAGGTCCAATAATCTGGCCACTAAAGTGTAATCTTAAATCCTCGTGTCTTCCTTCAATTCTAAAATAAATATCTTCTTCAAAACTACCAATGATATCTGAATTGAAAAATATTTTGATAATTTGTGATTCTGTTGCTGCAACATATCCACTTTGAGGAACAAATTGGAACTTTGGACCAAATAAAGAGCTTGGTTTTATGAGATCAAAACTAGCTCCTATTTGTCCCTTATTATCAAGTCTCACTTCATATTCATGAACAGAGTTAATAAATATTTCACCAATATTAATTTCTGTATAAGAGAATGAGACATTAGGTCCTCGTCCTCTGCCTTGTAATTTAAGAGGTAATCGAGTTTCTCTACCTGTTACCTCACAAAATGCTATTTTTTCGAAATCTATCTCCTTAGTTGGGTGAAAGTCTACTGAAATTTCAAGTTCTTGATTTGGCCATATTTCTCCCTTGATTGGATAAATTGAAAATGCTTCATCTCTAAAGCTCATATCATCATTTTCAATTTCTCTCTTTTTTAATCTATATTCTCGAGTTGTTTCATCGTATTGTGTTCCTAGTTGAGCAATAGATTTTGTCTTATAACTAAATTCATCCTCCACTAAAGCAAAAAGTTTCCAATTAAAATTTACACGAATATTGCTGTTGTTAATAATTCTCATAGTTCTTTGAGTTTTACATGTTATATATGTATTAGGAAGAGCCATTACGTTTGTATCCAATTTTACATTTGCACTTTTTCCGACACCTTGCAGTAAAACTGTCTTATAATTAATTGTATCAAATCCTAGCTTTAATTTGCCTGTATATTGCTGGGTCTTTTCTGGATTAAAACTAATACTAATTTGAACTCCTTCACCAACATTTAATTCTGGTACTTCTCTTGGAGAAACATCAAAAGGTAAGTCTGCTTCCAAACTGAATCCTTTCGATCTACTTTTACCAATGTTTCTTACGTAAATAACTTTTGAAGAAGTGTGCTTTACTGGAGCATCATCAAAAGTAACAGACTCGGGAAGATCCAAAAGGGCTACAAGAGTTAATAATAATTAACTTTTAAAAGCTTACCTCTCAATCCTATAGCAATAATTGGTACTGTAAATTCATCTTGTTCTGTCCTAACAATAAGATCACATGAATAGTCTATTTTTTCATCGGGAGAAAAGAAAACATTGAAAGTGACATCTAAACCTGGTGCCACTAAAGTGTTCGAAGTATTTTTTTTAACTGGTTCCACTTTGAAAAACCTAGACTTTGGAGCGAAAATGCTAATTCTTCTGGAAACCTGAGTATTCAATTATTCATCCTTATTCCATTTTTTCTTCCTACTTACATTGTCATTATTTCTAAAACTAATCGTTTCTTTATAATTTCCTGGAGCTTCAAAATCTTTAAATATTATTTGATTAGGAAAAGCTTGGAATCCTCCACATCCACCAATTGCTATTCCTTCCTGATTATGGTTATTTGATATTGATGAAGCAACAGATCCATTACTATACACTGCAGCTTGGTTAATGCCATTTGAAACTACACTACTACCGAGCCCAGATGAAATTGAACGAACACTGTTGGGAACACTTGTTTTCATTTTTTTTGCGTTTAATGTAGTTTGTTGTATGCTGTTTTGGCGCCAAATTTTTCATTCTCAAAATAGCATGTCTACAAGACTTCAACCACCAACAACTATTTCCTTCTTTTTTACTTACTATCCATTAAATATTATTATCCAAATAAGAATTGATAAAACTAGCGATAATTCAAGTAATTGCTTGCCCAAAATATTTTGGATTTAAAAAATTAATTTAAAAAAAATGCAAAAAGTTAAAATTCCTAATGATGAGTTGAGTCCCATCGTTGATTTTGATTATCGGATAACATTCTTTTTCTTTCATAATTTGAGTAATAGTACAAGTAAAAATCCAACAAAATTTCAACAATTTATTACTAAATTTTGGAGGACAATTAGTTTTACAAATGATGGGTGGATACCTTGTATTTTGTTTTTAATAGCTGCTTATGATGTTTGGAAAATTTATCAAAACGATACCCCTTTAAATAATATTCCCTTAATTTTATTTGAAATGATTCCGTTGAATTATGTTATTTATTACTTTTCTTGCTTTTTTGTAGATGTTTTTATTGTTGGATGTTTGAAATTAGTTTATAAAAGGAAAAGACCTAGAAATGATGTTCTATTTATCAAAAAGTTTGAGAAATTTATCAAACCTATGGACAGTATTGAGAGAAATTTATCATTTTGGGAGGTGGAACAAGGCCCTGATGAATTTTCATTCCCTAGTGGCCACGCTTCTAGATCATCATATATTTTTCTTTTGTTTTTATACCACACATCATTGAGCTCAGAAATTGGAATAATTACTGTAATTCTTGCATTTTTGTGGGCATGTTGTATTTGTATGTCCAGATTATGCCTGGGTAGACATTTCTTTATTGATATAATGACTGGAGTGTTTATAGGAGCTATTACATTCTCTATTTCCTCATTCTTAACTAGTAATATTATAATACCAACCACATTCTCAATTCTAAAAATCAATTTTTGAGTTAAGATAATGAAAACCAATTTTTAAAATATCTAGAACAACACTAATTTAAAATTGAAGAAATAGAAATTAAGGAATCCCAGTTAATTCTTCCATTCAAGTGATTACAAATAAATCAATGTTGGTCTAAATTGAATTTCCACACAAGTGACATTACTAAATATTTCAATCTATTCATTTCTTATGGATGTGAGGTGGTTAAACAGCGGTTCTGAAGTTTTCTGTTGTTGCATCTTGGACTCCATTTTCATTCGTCTAACAATTTTAAGATAGGTCAATTGTTTCAATTCACCAATACGATTTTGATTAATATTTAGAGTGGTCAATTGACCAATATTTTCAAGTCCTTTATCTTTCAATTCACTCAAATATTTTCCTGCTTTAGTACTAATATCATTGGAGATTTAGAAAATTCAAGACTCATCAGTAGAATTTTTCCACACTCCTCAGGTTTAGTTGAGAAATTATTAAGAACTTAAACTAAATTAATTATTAAATTTACAATATATTTTTTATTTTATAAGTCTCGACTCCTAGAAGTTAAATAATTTAAAATCCGTAACCACCATTTCCGTATTGTTGACCATAGTTAGCACCATATTGATCATAACCAACATTTCCGTATTGTTGGCCATAGTTAGCACCATAAGCATCAGCAGTTTGTCCATAAGCAGCATTTGGATCAACATAACCACCAACTTCTGGGGTTGGTTGTTGAGACTTCAATTCAGCTTCCTTCTTCTTTTGACGACTTTCTTGAACGAGATCATCGACCTTAGTGGTGTATTCACGAAGAACTTGAACCATATATGGCATAACCATGTCAATAATGTTATTTCTCCAAGCCAATTCAAGAGCAATATCTGGACGAACAAAGTTATAACAATTGTACAAAGCAGCAGCGAAACAATCCTTCAAACCCTTAGAAACGAAGAACTTAAGGAGATCTTCAGCAATATCTTGCTTTTGAGATTCAGCAGCAGTTTCCATGGCGTCCTTATACAAGTTATCCTTCTTGCTCAACTTGATGGAATTTTCCCATTGCTTGTTGATCTTATATAACCAAGAAGCAATTCTTCTGAATTCAAGGAGATCGTGACCTTCCAATTGAGCAGCAAGAGATAATTGGTCAAGATTTCTGTATTGTTCAAGAGAACGCTTCAAAGCAAGGTAATCTTCTTCTTCAATGTACAAGCTGTTAAGAGCTTCATTGACTTGAGGCAAATCATGATCTTGAACAGTTTCCAAATACTTCTTAATAAGTGGGAGATCCAAACCATTATTTTGGTATCTGATATCACGAGCAACTCTTTCATGATCCAACTTTGGAGTCAAAACAACCAATAAATCTTCAAGATACTTTGGATTTTCGAGAATATAGAATTGGATAGCTCTATAGTAAAGTTCCATATTTACAACTTTGATGATGGTTTCAGTGAAGACAGAGTGGTCCCAAGCTTCAGTTGAGTGTTCCATCATGACCTTGACTGCTGCATCAGGTTCATCATGATGACAGTACAAGAATCTCATTTCAGCCCACAAGTGGTTTTGTTCGGCAGCATTGAGCAACTTTGGAATGTTGCACTTACCCCAATAACGAGTAATGTGTTCCATAAGCTTTTCTGGTCTATACTTGGCATACAAAACACCCAATTCAGTGAAAATACCCATATGAGCACGTTCAAGACCCAAGCCCTTTTCCATCAATTCGATAACTTGTTCAAAGTATCCTCTTTGTTCATAGTAATGGAGGAGATCTTCCAATTCATCAGCATGAACAATAATGTTCAAAGCACATGATTGAGCATATCTGAATTCGCTAGCATCAATACAAGCCATCATAACTTCCTTCCATGACTTGATAGAGTTAGCCTTTTGGGCAGATGAAACAGCTTCTCTCAACAAACCTAACTTGATCAAAGTGGATGTCAAACGAGCATAGTTAGAAATAGATTGGAAGAGAGTTCTAGCAGCATTGTAAATTTGTTCATCGAAAAGTCTGTCACCGACAACTTGGATTTGAGCCAAGTTTGGTCCAGAAATGAAATCTTCCATATCAGCCAAAACTTCTGGCTTATTCTTAAGCTTGGAGTACTTAGCATAAGAGTAAACCAATTCAGTATCAATAACAGAGTCTTGAATCTTCTTTCTGGCCATTTCCAAGAACTTAATCAAAGCCTTGTATTCATCTTGTTGTTCAGCATATTGAATAACATTGTGGTAATCAGTTGGATCATCAGCCTTCATGAAGGATTCAATAGCATCAGCAACAACGAGAGCATTCAATTGAGCTCTAGCCAAAATGCTCCAACATTCAGCTTCGTTAACAATCTTGGCAAATTCAGCAGCTCTAGTGATGGATTGAATATGATCAATCAAAACTCTGATAGCATCAGTATTCAACTTGTTCTTGCTGTACATGACGAAAGCTTCTTCGTACAATTCCTTGGTGATAGCAACTCTAGCAATATCAGCAGCATCATACTTGTCCAATCTGTTAATGTAATCCATGACACGAGTTCTTTCAGCACTGATAGCAGTGAGGATGAGCAAGTTTTGCAAGTTTCTGTTAGTCTTGAATTCTGAGGATCCGTGCAAAACAATCTTTTCCAACAATTCAATCAATTCGTTTGGAAGGTTGGCAGTCATGAAAGCCTTAACAGTGGTAGAAACTTCATCACTTGACTTGCTTTCTGGGAGAGCAGTTTGGACAACTTGATCAATAAGTTGACGTCTGTAAGTATTTTCGTTATCCAAAACGTGAGCCCACAATTCAGGGGATTGTCTTTCAACAAGGTATCTGGCTTGTTGTTTGAACATACCATTCTTGTTAGTAACAGCAACCAATTCCAAGTCACATTGACCTCTCTTGTAAGCAACAAAGGCCAAGTGTGGGTCTCTCTTTTCACAGTATTGACCAACAACTCTGGAATCATAGAATTGATTGTTAATCAAGAAGTTTTCAGCATTTTGACTGAGATCAATATAGATCTTAGCCAAAGCATTGTGACATCCTGGTTCTTGACTTCCTTCGTTAACACGAGCTTCCAACCATGGCAACAACAACTTGAGCTTGTTTCTCTTTTCAACTTCTTCAACCAAAGGTTCAGTTGGACACATATTACCAACACCCATAATGAGATTTCTAACAAAATCTTCACTGGCATCAACATCGAGGAGGGCACCAACAACTTCTGGAGTTCTGATTGGGTTAACACTCTTGGCATACATATCAATGAACTTGAGTTGACTGTTGCTGTAGAGATATCTAACCATTTCATCAATGTAACCATGCTTGTCACAAACGTTAATGAGTGGCATTTGGTTAGTCAATCTAGCTTCCTTCAAGAATTCTTTGATGACATCAGCTTCATAGTAGTCACTTTCACGAGTAACTCTTTCAACTTCAGAAAGTTGGTTAACTCTAGTAGCAGCCATGATGTACTTGTTGTGAACTTGAGGATCTTGGCTGAAGTTAACAATAGAACCCAAATAATAATAGAGACCTTCGTTACTCTTAACTTCTTCAAAGATTGGAATAAGATTTTCTGGTTCCAAAACACTGCTGTTGGCAGTAGCAACCTTAACAACGACTTGGAGATTATTCTTATTCTTAATCAATTCTCTCAAATACATGAAAACTTCTTGCTTGGAAACATCTTCGAACCACTTAATCAACCATTCAACATTAATAGCATGAGTATTGACGATAACTCTCTTTCTATCAGCTGGGTCAGTGTAATTTTCAAGAGCTCTTTGGAAGAGTTGAGCCTTTTCACACAATCTGGCAATCTTAATACGATCATAATGATTAACAAGCTTTTGTCCGAGAATTGAATCAACAACTTGAATTGGACTGTAAGTCAAGTTAATTTCCAACAATCTAGTTTGGAGAGCACCTTCTTCTGGTCTATCATTCTTAAGAATGTCCAAAAGGTAAGCAGTAACTTGCTTGATGAGATTACCTTGAACCAAAAGATCAATAACAGTATTAGGATCAATTCTTGTTTCTGGATTTTCATGAATCTTTGAAGCAAACTTGACAGCACTATCTGGGTTAACCATGCATAACTTTCTGAAGATATCATAATAGTCAGGGGTATATTCAACCTTTTGACAGTAAGCCAAAACTCTTTCGTAATCACCCATTCTCAACAAAGAATCAATAATCTTGTCGTGAGCCTTACCCTTCAAGTAGATTTGCATAGCCAATTCTTGACTATAACCAGAAATAAAGTCACCCAAATCTTGGCTTCCTTCAATCTTGTCATCAGTCAACAACTTCTTCAAATAATCAACACCACCTTGCTTTTGCAAAACAATCTTAGCCAATTCAAGTGATTCATAAGTGTTAAGCTTTCCCTTTTCAATAATGTATTGGAAGTATTGGGAAATAGCTGGCTTTTGACCTTGCATAACTGGCAAACGTTGGAGTCTAGCAATAGTATCTGGAGTTCTCAAAATACCTTGTGGAGAATCAGCAGCAAGAGCAATAGCAGCTTGAACGTTCATTTGGTTCAATTGAGCATTGAATTGTTGCAAATACAAATCACCAACCATGTTACCACCAATGTTGGCTCTTGAAGAAATCTTCAAAGATAATCCTTGGTCACCCAATTGATTAGCAATATATGGAATAATGGTATTATCATCAACAGTGACAGACAAAACTTGACCTCTCTTATTAACACCAATAAAACCACCAGCTCTTTGTGCTGTAATAAACAAAGCATCATCACTAATACGATTCTTGAAGATCAGTGTAGCTGATTCAACATCATACATATACAAAAATCCTGATTTGGTGATCATAAAGAAAACACCATGTCTATCACTAGCTTGCATAGCAACAGGGAAATCACCTTGAGCAGGGAATTGGATTGGAACAGCCTTTCTTTCAAAAGCAGGAGCATCTTGTGGCTTGTTTGATGGGACTTCCATAACGAAAAGCTTACCACCTTGTGGAGTGCTTGAAGCAATACAAACAACAGTGGTAACAAAATTGTTGGAAAGCTTGTAATCAACGAAGCAAGCAGCGTGACCTTCAATTGGTTGGGTAACTTTCTTTTCTACTGAATATAATTGCATAACACCCTTTGTAGAGTTGTCTTCCTGTTAAATTTGTTAGAACATTTCACACATTCTATTATTAATACTTACAGCTCTGGTCAAACCAATCAAAAGCAACCATTGGAGATTAGAATCTGTTCTATAATTGATGATTGTGGAATTGGCAAGATTGGCATGACGATCAAACATCTTCTTTGGTGCACTTTGACCATCCATAGACCAGTGATAAACAGCGGTAGCGGTAATGATAGCAATAGTGTTAGTGTTGATCCATCTCCAAAAAACGACTTGTTCAGTCATTGTGTGTTCCTTCATCTTTGCCTTCATTTCCAAGTTGAAGATTTGTATAGTGTTACCAGCTATATTGTTGTTGTTGTTGTATTAAAAAATTATAAATAATATTATTATTATTATTAACCATGATTAATATTGTATATAATCTTATACAATACATACCTCTAAGAGCGAGCACCTTAGCTGTTGGGTGCATAATGGCAGAGTCAGCATTGACTTTATTCGAGGTAACATTTTGACTATCAACTTCGACTATTTGAATAGATTTATTGGGTGAGACCTGATCCCTAACACAGACGAATTTGTCAGATTCGAGTGTAACCGTGGTGAAAGAAATGGATTGTGAGTTTACCCCCAAGTTTTGAAGGTTAAAAAGTTCGGTAAATTGTATTGGGATCTGGTTACTCATTTTTTTCTAGGTTGATGTGGAGAGGGCAAACAAGTCTTCCGTTAAAAATGGGCGTCAATCATTACAATGACGTATCTGTTCTTATTGGATGATAAGAATGGTAGGATTACCAATTAATAACCCTCACAACAAAGAAAATTGATATTTAATTTCTTCTTTTATTGTTTCTATTATTTCCTTCAACCATAAAAACAATGAACATTGAATTCATTCATCATTATTACATCATCGTTTCCGTCACCAAAGACTATGATTATCCTTGATTGGGTGAAAAATCTACGCTGTAGTTGGCTTGTGGAATTGATTTTTATTGATGGGATTTACACTTCAAAATTTGATTGTAATTTTCGAATTGATTAATTCAAATTTAATACGTGGATGATGGTACATGCTCTTTCATGATGAATATGATGCACATTCATCAGTGTCCTTATTAATTCTCCAAAAAAGCACATCTTTTAGAACTTTGTTACAATTCTAAAATTAATATCAATTAGGTTTTTTGTTTTCTGTTGATTTCCTTGTCTTTTTCTGGCATCTTTTTAATCATTTCAGCAAATGCCATATAATCAGATAGACAATCACCAATAACCTTCAACATCTTCATCAAAATTTCCATATTGTTGAATCGTTTGTAGCTTTCAACAGTAACTTCATGAGTTGAACCAGTAGAAATTTTTGAAGAGCTACCAGAAAAATCATTATTAGACATTGAAATCTTACATCTTCTTGGTATTCTTGATCCACCATTTGTTGTCACTCTATTATATACATTGTTGATGGCCATTTCAATTTGTCCTAATTGTCTTCTATCCTTTGTCTGCGATGTTGACATTACATCATATTTTGATGTTATTTTACCTCTTTCATCACTCATTAATTCCAATTTTTTACCCAGTTTTGAAATCATGTGATTTAGTTTGACTTTCTTATCTTTCATCATTTCTTTTTCTTCATTAATTCTAATCTTTTCCCTGGTAAACTTCATGGAATATTTGGCTTTCTTGGCTTGTAGCTCTCTATTTTTTTCAGATAAGGTTTCATATCTATCTATAACCTTTTCTACATCTTCTGGATTAATGTCATCTCCTCTGAACTGAACTACTTTTTGCAAGAATTGTTGGTACTTGATATAATGATTGATTAATAATGATTCTTTAAATTGTTTCTCTTTTTCTAATTTATCAATATCATTCTTTGCATCAGTTATTTTTCCTTCACTTTTGATCCTTTCTCCTTGCTCGATATCTTTTTTCTGATCAGCTCTCTTCTTTTTAATAATATTATCACCAATAAATTTATCTAGTTCCTTAACATTTTCAGTTAGTTCTTGTTTCTTTCCTAAAAGTCCTTTTTCCTTTTTCTTAATTGCATCCATTCTTGCCAGATATTCAGTTCTTTTCTGTTGTAATAAGGATTGAACCTCCATCATTTCCTTTCTCTTCTCCAATAATTTGGTTGAGGCAGAAAAGCTGTTGATATTATCTTCTTCCTTTTCAGAGTCATCTTCACCAGTTTCCTCCTTTCTCTCCAATGGTTCTTCTTGCTCAATGAAAGATGTATTTGTTGGAGGCATTTTTTTAAATTGATTTTAGGCGGTTAAAGGATCTACGGTTCTCTCTTGATGTTCATCTCTTGCTTTGAAAACATTTAACGGTAAATATTGAGGTTGAAAACTCTTATGAAAAATAAAGTTTATTGTTGAACTTCTTGTGAGGTTTGACTCTCATAATCTGAATCATCTTCCAGTATTGGTCTAGCCCAAAAATTGATAATACCCTGATTACAAACAGTGGCAATACCAGAAGAAAATGCTTTCACATCCCTCACTGGATCGTTATGGGCTTTGTGAATTGAAATTGGTTCTATTGTTGGCACATCTGTATGTTCATCCGTCAAATTATTTTCCAAATAATCTAGACGATTATTACTACTATTATTGGAGTGAATATCAATTCCACCACTATTAGATTCATGTTCCTCAAAGTTATTCTTTTCCAAGTCCCATAAAAGTAATTTTGTATCGTCACCAACAGATATTAATCTATACTTGTAACTATCGCACTGATAATTGTCAAATATTACTTTTGAAACAAATCCTGTATGTCCAACACCTTTTAGAATTATTGATTTCTTCTTAATATCAAATATACTCAAACAATCATCCTCTCCAGAAAGAACTAAAACTCTATTATCGGGACTCCAACAGCATGAAGTAAAACCTCCAAAAGATGTAGATCCCAATTTGTGAGAGACAAATGTGGCCACTGATTTCAATGTTTTTGTATCTAAAACTTCACACCATCCACTTGAAGTTACTATTGATAAAAGTTGTCCATTTGGAGAAATTGCAATGTCAGTAATATTTGCATTATTGAAATAAAGTCTCTTTGTTGGATTGCAACATTCTTGAGAATTTGATCCAAAATGTACTTTGTATTTTGGATTGGCCATTACTGAATTGTCGTCACTCGTATTTAAAGGATTCATCTGGAATAACTCCTCCTCTCTATAATTCTTATTGTAAAAATATACATTTCCATCTTTTGTTGCAGCACAAAATGTTTCCGAATCAATCCACAATAATTTTGAGACAGCATCTGCACTAACTTTTCTCTTTTGAAAATGTTAATATTATCCAAATGTGCACTTACATCTCTATTATACAAAGTTTGTTTTTTTGTTTTAAAGTTATATAATACAATATCACCAGTATTAAATCCAATGAGAAATTCAAATGAAATGTTATCATTCAGTTCTGAATTTGCTGTTGTGTCTTTTCTCTTTTGAGAAATTGGTGTGGAAGATACAGATTCTACATAATGAAGAGCAGAGGATGTTGTTGATCCTCCTTTGGAATTTAAATCAAGAAAAGGTTTTTCTTCCTTTTGATATCGGAGAGATTGATTTAAATTCCATGCATAAACACTTTTACCTAAACTACATGTGACAACAATTGTTTTTCCTGATTGTTGTTTTTGATCATCATCACTAGATTTTGATCCTCCATTTGTAACATCAATTTCTTCAATACCCAAACAACATGGATTCATATTAAATCGTGTTTTGTATTCTAATTCCTCTCTCCTTGTAATTCCTCTCTTTTGATCCTGTGCAAGAGTTACTGCATGTTTACTCAACGAAAAGTCCAATGCATAAATTCCTTCATAGGTTTTGAAGGCTTTTCTAAATTTCATTTTTTTAAATTTAATTACTTTTCCTTGTCTTCTTTATTGCTTGCTATCACTCAACAACAATGTATTCCATTCTATAAAAGTTATTATTATTCAATAGATTTGTTTGTTGGAATCAAAGAAAGCTTTATTCATTCTTTAAAACAAAAAATGTTCAATCAAAAATGTTGAACAATATGAGGACGATTTTAACGACTACTACTAGGAGAAACATTTCCTCTTCTTCTGCATTCCTTAAATATCGGAATACATTCAATGAAAGAACATTCTCAAAGTATTTATTTACTTGGAATAATTTCAATAATCACCACAGCATGATACCGTTATGTAAAAAGAAATCATCGTCATCACTTGAATTCTTTCGAGCCAAACAAGAATTAAATTATCATCATCACCTTGTTCAATTCTGTAATTCTATACATCACACTGAACCATACATTGACATTGGGACTGCTAATTCATCATCTAATCTGGATGGTGGTGCACAAGAGGAATTGAAGTTTTTATTGAATAACAAGAACCAAAAAATGTCTCAACAAGAGGAAGAAACTATTTTGAAATTGGATAAGAGTTTGTACAATAGTAAGATTGATATTCTTGCTATTAAAGTACCAACAAGAAATATTTCAACATTGAATAAGAAATTAAAAGGGTATGTGGAGTCTTTTAGTATCATGAATTTATAATTGTTTTATTTAATTACTATATAGACATTTAATTGATAGAAAGAAAATCAAGGCTGTAGAGGATATTGAAGATTGTTCCGATTATAAGAATTTATTATTACATGAAAAATATTCAACAATTGAATCAATTCCAGAAAATGTTATGAAAATTTTGAAAGATAATGAAGCTAGTGAACCTTTTGGAAAAACAATTGACTTGACATATGATCATTTATCTTCTACAGAGGTTTTATCAAAGATTATTCCAAATGGTCTTGAAATTACATCATCATTTGAACAAGTTGGTCATATTGCTCACTTGAATATTCCAGATGAAGTTGCACAATATAGATATTTGATTGGTCAAGTGATTTTAGATAAGAATCCAAAGATTAAAACTGTTGTAAATAAGATGGGTATGATTGACTCTGTTTTTAGAGAATTTAAAATGGAGCTTTTATGTGGAGAGGATGATTTTAATGTTACATTAAAGGAAAATGGAATAACATTTAAATTTAATTATAGAGAGGTTTACTGGAATTCAAGACTTGGAACTGAACATACCAGATTATTGAAATACTTTGATAAATCACAAAGTGTTTGTGATATGATGGCTGGTGTTGGTCCTTTTGCTGTTCCAGCTGCTAAGAAGGTTGAATGCAAAGTATATGCAAACGATTTAAACCCTAAGAGTTATGAATACATGAAAATTAATGCCTCTGTTAACAAAGTAGAGGGAAATATGGAATGTTTCAACATGGATGGTAGAGAATTTATCAAATATATGGTTAATGATAGAAAGGTTCAGTTCCATCATGTCATTATGAATTTGCCAGCTTCTGCAGTGGAATTTCTTGATGTTTTCAGAATTGATCAAACCAAGATTGATTTTGAACCAATTATTCATTGTTATACATTTGTTAAAGGTTCCATTAAGGATGGTGATGATTTGAATGTATTATCCAAGCAACAAGTTGAACAAGTTGTTGGAGCAGATCACATTGGAGAGTATATTGACATTTATCCAGTTAGAAATGTTGCACCAAAGAAAGAAATGATGTGTATCTCATTCAGATTAAGACAACCATCAGAATCAAATCTTAAAAGAAAGGTGGAGGATGCAACCACTGAAAATGAGCCTGAAGATAAGAAAGTAAAACTCTAAATTATTGAAAGCTCCAGTTTGAAAATGATAATATTTTAAATGTTACCATTTAATTTACCGTAGTGGAAACTATTTAGAATCCAATACAAATTTTATTTTGAAGGTCAACAGCAATAGATTTTCATTTGAATACAAAAAAAAATTGCAAAATCATTTCAATACTACTAGCAATATTCTTCAAGACATGTCACAACAATATAATTTAAATAACATTATATTTTCATCAACATATAATCCTAAAAAATATGAAGTATTCGGCATTGACCGATCTAATTCACATCAATTACAATCGAATGGTATTAACATTCAAGAATTAAATAATTTAATAATAGAATTGAATGATACATTAAATAATTATTACAAGGAAATTAACAAAGATGCCAAGACTCTTAGAATTTTATGGCTAGTAACATTTTTATTATTTTTACCAACTTTGGGTTTAATTTTATTTATAATGATGCCTATATTAATCATTTTACAATTTAAATATGGTCAAAGTAATGCTAACCATTACACAGATATAACTGTACCTACCTTAAAAAGATTAATTGAAGATGAAAATTTAAAATATAATCAATTGGGTTTAAATATTATGTTAAATTTTGATACTGATTATACCGTAGTTACTAATTATAGAAGAGTACATAATAATCGAGGACATGGTGGTTATAGAACTAGACCTGTTAGACATACTGTTGCTAATAGATACGTACAATTAATTATTACTATGAATGGAAATAATGGATCCTACTATGGTGCAGATTTGTATCAACAAGCTAATAATGGATATTCTCAATATGGTACTGTTCAACCTCAACAACAGCAAACCAATTCATATTATTATCAAAAATTATAAAATTTCAATATTAAATTATTAACAATTATGGAATGTTTAAAACAGTATCTCAATAAAATAAAAGAAAATTCAAAATTCTCAATCTTTATAAATCTAAATTAATTTCTAAAAGTAAATGTCAGAGATTCCTCCACACAATCATCCACTTCAATGATTGCAAGAATGAAGTACAAATTCCAAACTATAAGCAAGTATGAGAATAGCCAGATCTATCGTTCAATGATAGTAGCATCCCTTGCCGAGCTATGAATGGTAATCTCCCATCCACAATGATAGCTGTTGTGAATTTTTTAACACTTCAATCATCAACACTGTTATGGTTTCTTCAATTTATTTATGTAATAAAGTCTAAACATAATGATGAGGAGGAATTGATCTAATTGGAACATGTTCCTATTATTGCTTCATTCCTAATTAAATACTAATGAAAACATTCTCTTATTGTCCAGCAAATAATAACAACTCAACTGTTTGTTGGTTGAATATTAAATTTTAAGAGTTGAAAAACTTCAAAAAAGTTGAAGAAGAAAATGAAAAGAAAAATGGCTCCACCATCACGTTCATCAACTTCATCATCAAACAAATCAGTGGCAGCTAATCCACCAAAGAAGGTGAAAAAATCTTCAATTCAAGGAGAACGTTTACAAAGTTCCGATAATATTACAAGCTCAATTTTATCATGTTTTACAATTTCCGAAGTATTAAATGATTATTCATTAATTTCCAAGAGATTTTATCAAACAAGTAAAAGTGAAAAGTTTTGGTCTGAATATAACATTTGGGCACAAATTGAAGATCCACCTAAAATGTTCTATGCCAATCTTTATATGAAATGTTTTGGTACTAAATGGACAAATTTAACATTATCTAATGAAGCTTTATTATCTGAAGCTTTTCAAAGAAAGAATAATCAACCATTGCCAAGTTTTTCATCTTTGAAATCATTGACAGTTGAATGGGAATTTGAGGATCAAGTTGAGGAAAATGAAAATGAAACAATTTTGACTAATTTAATTGATTTGATTTCTAATAATCCAACTATTAGAGAATTTAATTTAAAGATTGTTGGTGATCTCATTCCAAATTTGAAATCAAATACCATGTTAAAAGATTTAGAAAATAAGGCAAAGGAAGGAACTTTCAATTTCACAAAAGTTCAAGTTAGTATTGGTGGTCCATTAGAAGAAGAAAGAAAGAATTTTGTTTCTCAATTTATTGCACATACTTTGAATTTGTGTTCTGAAACTGTTGAATCATTGACTATTAGATCTATTAATGGTATTGACGCATTGAATTATTTACAAAAGATTAGTTATTCCAATTTGAAACATTTCGATATTAAACTTGTTGAAAGAAATGAATCAACAAAGGAAATGAATGAAGCTGTTAAGGAAGTAATTGTTAATAATGCTGATCACTTGGAATATATTCAATTATTTAATGATGAAAGAATTGATATTATTGCACTCACTAATACTATTATGGATTTATCAAAGAATAACAAATTGCAAAATTTAAAGACTTTGATTATTGGTGGTACTGAATTGAAGAAAGCAACCAATTCAATTGTTTCATGTGAAAATGCTCTTCCAAACCTGGAAAATCTTACTGTTAAGGATGTTAAAGCTGGTAAATGGTTGGAATCTCTCTTGAAATCTACTGTTACTTCATCAAAGAAACTCAAGACTCTCAAGTTGGGTAGTATTTCTCCAGAGGAAGAAAAGGGTTATCTTGATTCTGCTATTGAAAATCTTATCATTCCACAATCATTGAGAAATTTGTCTTTCAAGAGAACACCAGTTTCTGATAATACCCTCAGAAAGATTTTCTCAAAACCTTTGCCTAATCTTACATCACTTGCTTTTGGTACTGAAGATCTTAATTATTTTTATTTGGAAGATGCTAAAATCAATCATGAAACTCTTGAACATATTGTGAAACTTTGTCCAAATTTGGAAAATTTGTGGATTAGTGATTCAAAGATTAATCGTTTATTCACAATTCTTGCTGAAAACACACCTAATTTGATCAATTTAATGTATTTATGCCCAGAAATTAGAGGAAAGGAATTAGTTTCCTCAGACTGTAAGAAAGTTTTGGATAATTTAGTTTCTTTTGATTTATTTATTGGCTGTAGTAATGATGAATTGGCTAAAATACTCAACTATACACCAAACTTGCTTGTACTTTCAATGTCATCTAAAAATTTATCTGGACAAGTAATGGAAGTTATTTCTGAAGCTAAATGTGTCTCAAAGATTTCTGAAATTCTTCTCAATGATTTGTTCTATAATGATCAGCCACCATGTATTTGTGATGCTGAACTTAGCGAGTTGAAACACCAAAATTTCAAGATTGCCAATGTTTTCAAAAAGTTACAAGCTCTTGATTTCAGTATTGGACATCATTTAATTTCTCTTAAATTATTGACTACAATTTTATGTTATTGTCCAGCATTGGAAGATGTTAACATTAATGGAAGGAATCCTCTTGAAGGAATTGATTCAGAAAACTTGTGTTATAAGGAAATGGAAGAACTCATTGCCACTGTAATGAAGAAGTCTAAGAAGCAAGATGAAATTGATGAATTTACTTTCATTGAAGCAATTACAATTCCAAGAATTATTGAGCAACTCAAAGTTTCTAGAAAACTTTCAGATAAAACAACCGAGAATTTGATTGACCAATCTGTTGCTCTGGTGAGTGGAGAATTTGCAGAAAGAGTTGAATATCAAGCTCTCAGTTTACTTCACCATTTATTATTGAGCGTTTTGCAACCAAGTGAAGGAGAAGATGGAGAAGAAGAGGATGAAGAATGGGAAGATGATGAATAAATCTTAAGTAATAATTTAATAATTTAAAGTTTGAGTATTTTGGTATTGTTTGGAAATTCTGTTTTGGCAATTTGTGGTGTAATTCCACAATTTCTGACACTTAGACAAGTGAGAGATTTGACTATATTACCCTCTACTGCTGTCTTAATACCCTTAGTTGTTATTTTGGTGCTATCCAAGTCGAGTAAAGTCATGGATCCACTCTTAGCGATATTCTTTATCACATCATCATTGACATCTGTACCTGCCAACCTCAATTGCAGTAAATTTTCGTTTTTAGCAATATTGTCAAATACCTCTGGTGTAAGGCCATTATTTTTGCTTAGATCCAATTGCTTGAGACGATCCAATTTTTCAATTATTGTTTTGGCAATTTCAGCACTCAAAGCACAATCCTCCAGAATTAAGGAGGTGAGAGTCTTTACAGTTACAATTTCAATAGGAATTGATGAGCCACTTAGGTTGAGGTGAATGAAAGGTCTTGATTGAATAATTTTTACAACATCAGTATCTTTGAGTTGATGATTTACAATATCCAAAGAACGAAGAGCTTTTAGCTTTCCATAAAAATCCATAGGAATTGATGATCTCAAGAGGGTTCTTGTTAACTTCAATTCCCTCAAAGTATTATTATCAGATTGCTTGTTGAGTAAATGAACTAGTCCATCATAGTCAACCCTAGTTACTTTCAAATTCAAGGTTTCTAATTTTGGATTTCTTTGAATTAAATATTTCAAGCATCTATTATTAAATGAAGTATTTCCACTAAAGTCAAATCCTAATATTTGCGAGAAACAGAATAAAACTGTTCTTATTTGTTTTGTGTTAAGAGGTAACTCTTGGTCATATTCATAACAGGATTGAATTGCACAATCAAGATTAGACCAAATACGGAAAGGTCTTCCATGTTTAATTTCATCATCACTACAATCCATAATGTCACTACTTGAGCTACCAGCAATAACACGTTTTCCGTAAAGTAATTTTGTGATATCCTTTGTTTGTTAAATATTATGATTCAGAAAGATACCTACTCTCCATGTTTGAATTAAAGTAATATTTTCCTTCATAAAATCAGGAATCAAGTTCTTTGTATCATTCTTACTTTCATTAACTAGTTGATTGTAATCATACACAAATTGTCTATTATTTTGATGGAAAATACGTTTCATATAAGTACCAAGAGGAAAAGAAATAAAGCTTAAAATCTGTACGACTATTTCATCAGGAAGAAGATGTTGAATTTTAGCAAAATTACTAGCAAAATCATTCACAAAGTAAATTTTTGTACAATTAGGCATTGTTGTTGTTTTTGGATCTTTCCCAGTTAAATTTTCTACAATAAAATACTTTTCATGATTGAAAACTCTTTTCTTCTTTTTCATATATTGATCAAATTGATTCGGAGAAGTACTATATCTTGTTGGTGGATCCGATTGAATTAAAGATGAATTATTTGCATTATTAATACCCATCGGAACGGATTGATTCGAGGAATGATTTGTTCTTCCAGATGTTGATGATGATAAATTCGCAACACCCGATGATTGTTGTGGTGTTGGTTGAAGCATTTTTTTTGGAGGGAATCCTATTATTAATAATTATAAAGTAAAACTAATATGTTTGTTCATCAATTATCATAGTTATATGCTACTACACTGATGTTGTATCAATATTTAATAATTATGTAATTATTATTTTAATATTTTTCAAAATCATTTCAACACTATCCGATAATTTAATCCATCTTCATGTTATTGTCTATGAAACCAACAATGAATAAAGTTGTAGTTGTATGAGTTTTTACATTGGAGTGCAATTTTGTTCATGAACATTTGCACACCATCACCAACAACAACACAAATTAAACCAACAACAATAAAACATTGAAAATTTGAAAAAAATGTCGTCTTCAGAAGAAATTAACAACGCTGCTGCTGTTGAAGTTAAAGCACCATCGGTCTCTAGTTTACCATCATTTGCTGTATCAAAGGAGGAAAAATTAGTTGCTTTGGCTGTTGGTGAAAATATCTATATTTTGGATGAAAGGTAGGTTTTTTCAAGCTTGAAGAATGTGTATTGATTGTATTTTAATGATGAAAAGCCTTTCAACACAATTAATCCATCATAAATTGGAAAAGTCAAGTGTAAAAGCAATGCTTTTTGAAGGAAAATATTTCATTGTTGCTGGAACTGAAGACAAAGTTGTTCATGTTTTTGCTTTGGAAAATAACAATACTTCTTTAAAGTTGATTGGTAAAATTGAACTTATCAAGAAGCCAAATTGTATTGCTATTCAACCAACCAACAAGGAATTGTGGATTGGCGACAAGTTCGGAGATGTTTATATTATTGATTTATTGAAAGTTTTTGATCTCAATGCTACTACTCCAAATATCATTAAGAAACCACCACCTAAAATGGGTCATCTTGCCATGTTGACAGGTTTAATTATTGGAGACAAGTATATCATTACTAGTGACAGAGATGAAAAGATTAGAGTTACAAATTATCCTGAATATTATTTGGTTCATAATTTCTGTTTGGGACATACTGAAATGGTTTCTTGTATTTGTTTGGCAACAGAAGATTGTAAGTTTTTAAATTTAAATATTTATTGAACTTTTAGTGTTGGTTTCTGCCAGTACTGATAGAACTATCAAAGTTTGGAAGCACTTGATTGATGCTGATGAAGCTCTCAAGTTCAGTTATGATTGTGGCGAAAACAACTATCCAAATGTATTACAATCAATTACTATTAATGGAGTTACACTTATTTTGGTTCTCTATGAACAAGCTGATTATATTCAAGTTTTGCATTTAAATACTGAAACAGCTACATTAACACCTAAGTGCAATATTCAATTGGGTAGTGAGATTTTGAACTTCCAAGTTTTTACACAAGAAGGCAAGACTAAGATTAATTTATTTACTTCTTCATCTCCAAATGTTCATGTTGTGAATGTTTCCCTTTCTGGTGAAGAATTGAAATATGAAACAACTACTTCATCTGTTCAAGTTTCATTCAACAAGGAAGATTTAGTTTTGGACAATATTTACTCTAGTTTAATCCGTAAGATTGATCAATCCTCAAATAAGAATGACAGCGAGGAAAAGCAAAGCAAAAAACAAAAGAATAAAAAGTAAATTATCTCTTTGTTCTTTTAGTGTCTGAATTGTAACTTTCTTCTTCATCATATTCCTCAATGATATTTTCATCATCATCAAACATCATTAATTCTTCCTCTTCTTGTTTAACATTAGAGACAGGTGCTTGATTTATGACACTTGTGTTATTTCTTGCCACATTTTGCTGATTTTGATGGCGTGCAATATTCTCTTCTATTTTCTCCTTTAAATCCAACTTTCCACTTCTTTTAGCTGCTAAATTAGTCTTGAATACTTTCTTTGCCTCAATCATTTCTTCTACACTTCCACCAAGAATTGAGATGCATTCTGGAATTAAAAGTAAAATACCTCTCCTCACTAAAACCTTTGTTAATTTAATCTTACATCCAAGTGGAGTTTTCAGAGAAAGGCTATCAAGTGGTTTATATTCTACAGCTTGAATATTATTTACATGTCCATCACTCAAAGTAAATTTCAACATTCTTCTACTATATGATGAATTGGTATAATCTCGTTTTCCTTTAGATCCAACAATTTCTGTTTGAAGAGCATCAGTAAACAGGGCTTCTCCTTCTTCAACATCTTCATTATTTTGTGGTACTAATTCCTTCATATCAATTTGTTCAGTTGTTGGTATACCAATATCCCAAATATCATTAATTTGTAAAACAAAAGGACCATTCAATATCTGACCATGTTGTTCTTCAATATTGGAAAATAATTTAAAGTTTGGGGAAGGTTTCATAGCACACTGATCATAATCGGAACATAAAAATTGTTGATAAACTGCTTCTTTCATACCATTGATATTGGATCGTAGATGAGGTTCTTCAATCCCGATAAATTGAACACACTGATCCACCCAATCATCCAACACATTAATTTTCAAATTGTTTAAATGGCTCTTGATATTTGCATTCATTTTTTTTAACGTTCCAAAATCCAAACTTCCAGTTTTTTCACGATTATTAAAATTTTCTCAAAAACAATCTCCAAGCTTGAAAACCTTTAAATCTGAAATTTGGACCCGACTTATTTACCATTACATATTGAGTGTAATTTGGCTTGAACACTAGGATTACAATTTCTTTGGGAGTTTATTTAATTTTATTGATATATTTTCAGGCAACAACTGGAGGAGTTCTTATTATGCTATCCTTTTTGTTTTTGCTGGTTGGCGAATTGTAATGATTGTTAGTGGTATTAATAAAGGATTAGTTTGGTTTAGAATAAGATTTCAAACAACTGTTATTTATGTTTTTTTGTTTGGAGAGGCGTTTATTGAGTTAAGAATTGAGAATTAAGGTTGATAATGTGTCGGGGTCTTGGCGCAGTTGAAAAGACTCAGAGCATATTAATTTAATACTAGGTTCTAACAATGGGTGGTTGTTGGTATCGCTTACTTTCAATAATAATTTATTTTCAATAAGGTTTTGAATAAAAAGTAAACAGTTTGGGAAAATTAACCCTAGTTAAGAAAAATAAATAAAAATTTACCTTGCCTCAAAAAAATGTTTAGTATCTAACCCTCACAAATGCACCAAGTTATGCAAAACATAAAAACGGCTGCAGAAAAACCACTCACCAACCAATTGATCCCAACAGTGTTGAACAACATCGATCATCTCTCCACACAACAATTTTCTGATGATAGTTCTATTGGCTACATTATTGCCTATTTGTTTGTTTGCGTGTACCACAACAGAAACCCAGAAGAGAAGTGGTTGGGCAAAGCTAAAACAGAGTTTGAGAAATATATCAAGACAAGCAAATACAAAGAGGAGTTTTTATTTTTGAAAGCATGTTTTGAAATGGTTGGTTATTTTGAAAACAATCCAACCCATAGGCACTTACAGTCTATTGTTGATTCTTTTTATACCGTCAAGGATGATTGTACCAAGTTGACAAATATTGGTGGCGTTTATCTTTTGCTATTTTTCAACCTATTCCATAGAAGCGGATTGAGTAGTATTACAAGTTCTTACGCTGAGAAGGGTTTAAACTACCTTATCTCTTCCACATTCTTTGATATTTCTGTTCTTATCGAAGTTTACTGAGATAAAGTAGTGTTTCTTGAAAACAACAATTGAATAAACTAATAATAGAAAGTATGCTCAAAAAAATTGTCATACTATGGTCCCACCCTTGCCCACCCTCTATTATTATTAGTTTATTCAAATCAAAGGTTCTAACCTTTGTCCTTAATACTTTAGAATGTGATTTTTTAATCAATCCTCAAATATTTTCTCAATTGATTGAAAGATTTCACTCTATTTGTATTATTGAAAGATGATTGTTATCATCTTTTTATCTTTGTATTATTATTTGATATTTGACATCATTTATTGATGTTTTTTATCATGATTGGTGATCTAAAACCAATTGTTGGTGATCTAAAACCGACAGATCAATTTTATGTTGATTAGAAGGTATCTGATACCTTTCCCTTACTATTAGTAAGGCAATATGTACTGAACATACCTCTTTTCTCATTCTCGTTTTGATTCGTAAGTGTCAAGACGGTTGAGTAGGTTTTTTAATTCTTAACTTTTTGGTTTTTACCGATTTTTTTTTCCTACAAGAGTAGGTTTTTTTATATGGGAGTTGTTTCTCCAAAAAACAACTTGGTTTATTGTCAGATTGCTTTAATTTAGTTTAGTTTTTGCTTTTTGTTAAGAAATCATAGTATGATTGTATTGATTAGTTTATTTAATTTCTGGACCTGCTGAATAAAGCTTAATGCCTAAAAACAGCAGTAACCAGGCTACAAACTACCTAAGAATAGGTAGAAGTTGTAGTGTGAGCTTTATATCCATTAGTTTATTTATTGTTGGTTTTCTTTTAAGAAACACCAACAATATGTTCTAGATAAAATGATAGTTCAAGTATTGGGTTATTACTTGAGATACCCTAATTTTACAGAATATTTGGGAATTATGGAGCGGATGGTTTATTCAATCTCAACACCAGTTTATAGAAGCAATTTGATTGATGAGCTGGATAAGCAGATTCTTCGTTTACTCCCAAATAGTACCTCCAAATCATTTGAACTGTTATGCAAATGGAGATTAGTTGTAGGTGGCTTTAATATTACCATTAAAAAAATTGTAGAATCAGAATCAGAATTAATCGTAATTACGCAAACAGACAATAGAAATGAGATTATGAGAATTGTGGTTGGTTTGGAAGCAGAATTCATAAGTGTTGAGGAAATTGGAACTTTAATTCTCAAATTCGAACCACTGGATAATGAATGGAGATTTAGGATTACGTTTGCTCTTCTCTCCTCATTTGAGCTTGAAGATACCCAAAAGCATTTAATTGGTAATATTATGCTTCAAAATTTACGCCCTTATCTTGAAAATATTGACAGTCAAGGTGTTTTGCTTGTTTTATCATCTTTGGACATTATTCCACAACTCTTGAAAGATAATAATGTGTGGATAGAGTTAGTTCATCAATATCAATCAGCAATTAAGGAAAAGTTTGATAAATATGAGTGGCTTGATGACGCAGCAGAATACTACAGTCAAATGTATAATGTATCAAGGATGTTATGCATGTCATCAAAAGATCATGAAAATATTTATCAGTGGGAAAGGGATGTGGAAAGATAAGAGACCTATGTCATGAAAACATGCCAGAACCAAGTTATGATTAATATTTTCAAAAAAAACAATCAATTTGTCTCCTAAAATGCATGGTATGTGGTCAAGAAACTATTCTTTGAATAATCAACGTGTTTACTTTTCATCGAATGTAATAGTCCAACAACTGGTAGAGTTGGAGTAAACCTTTAGAATATCTTCATCGCTTCTCAACGAAGAATCTATTAATCTGTATGCTCTAACATCATTACTCAAGGCAATCAACACAATTTCCTTGTCTCTCCTCCACGTTGGATCTACAAGGCAGACCATTATTCAAAGCTTCCACAATAATTTCTCTATCCATCACCAAAGAAGGATCCTGTGTGAATTGAAGAGCAAGATTATGTTGTTTGACAGCTTCCAATACTAATTGTCTTGATTTAAATTGTGTTTGTGCGAATTGTAGCACTGATCCATCATATTGAATTGCTTTTGTTACTATTTCCTCGTTCTGGACTAAACTCTTTTGAAGAGAGGGTGGATTCTGTTGAATGGCCATTTTCACAACATCGACGTTTGCTCTGATTTGTGGGGAGAAATATTGCAATAAAAGACCATTTCTTGAGACAACTTGTTGAGCAATATCGGTTCGAATGACTTTAAAAAGAACGTCAGGATCATCCTTGAAATTCTCTGTAGCTTGTGTTGCAATTTCCTGAGTAATTACCTCCCATTTGCCAAAGGCAGGCAACAACTCGAGGGGTTCTTATCATGCTATATTAATCTCTACAATTTGTGTATTTGACAAAAAAATGTAAGTGTTAATACACTCTTATGGGTTTCACAGTCCTTATTTATCTACACTCCAATGGATCTATCACAATCATAATACTTTCTTGTACGAGGTAATTGGGGAACCAAAATAAATAATGAATTAATTACAATTGGTATGTTTATTAATTCAGAGGAAGATAACAAGGTAAACAACGTGTTAAAAATGTGTGGCTTCTCTGTGTTTACTTTCGCTGGCGTTGTCAAAATTGTTCTATAAATACATCCGTACAAAAAACACATGGTAAAAAAAATGTTCAAAACAACACCGTACCTATTAACAACAGCACACAACATCTCCCACCAATGTCCTTCATTCACTACAATCCACTGGATGGAACTTCACCAAAGAAGAAGCAATTAACATTGGATGAACTGAAGTCCGTTCTTCACTTAAGCCAAGAGCAAGCTGCTAAAGTACTTGGTACATCTTCTTTCAAACTTCGCTCTTTATTCAAGAAGCATAGAGAGGAGCTTTCTATGGTTAGATGGCCAACACAAAAGGCTAGACAACAAATGCTAACCAATAACAACAACAACAACATCATAGTGAAGGAAGAAGAAGAATTTCCTAGAGATGAAAATGACTTTCCAATCTTTAAAAAATCTCTCATATACAAGCAACAAATCAAAAAGGGCAATAATCCATTCACTTCTATTGAACCTAAAATATTATATCTTCCTTCTCCACTTGAAAATAATCAACATAATGTTAACCATGAATCAATTTATTCCGGTTATACAGATGATGATAAGATTTTCACCTTTAACAAATATGAACTACAAGATTTCTTACATTTTTTGGAAATGAAAAGATTGGAAAAGGATATTTGTGATCGTATGATTGGTAGAGTAGCAAATGGATTCAAGAAAGTTGTATTCTGTATGCCAGTTTCAAAGTGTACCAGAAATGTATTTACCAGTTACTTTGATATGTATGGAGAACATTGTACAATTAGAAGTAGAAAGGTTCTTGGATACGATTCTATTGGCTGTTTTACAAAAGGAAATGTTTCAAGATATGTGTTTGAATTTCCATATTTACCAACATTCGGAAATGGACGATGGACTTTGAATCAATATAGTTTAGATAATAATAATTATGAATCGGAATTTGAAGATGGGGAAGGAATAACAATATTCAACGATTCTACATCAACAACAAGTAGTACATCATCAAATGATTTCAGTTTTCCAGTTATCGAAGACAATGATTATTCATTTTTAGGAGAGGAGTTGAATGAGTTTAATGAACATTGCAATAGACAATTGGAATTCATGGAAGGATGGGATCATGTTCGAAACATGGTTTATAGATTAAGTGTTTCTCATAATTCAATCACTCAACTGGTTACAGTTTCATTCGGAATGATTTCTTTGAAGTTGTGGTATGATGGAACCTATAAAGAAACATTTTAATAAAGTATAACATTTAATCTATCACTTCTATACCATCATTATCACTTACATCAACAAGTTCAACAATAACATTAATCAACTTCAACTTCTGTTTCACCTAACAAAGTATTTTTTGACCCTGCAGTAAAAATAAAAAATTTATTGCAGGGTCAAAAAAATGCTTAAACAACCCAAACGCAAAAAACAAAAACAGGACCATCAAAACACAACTTCATCAATAACAACAACATCAACCCCAACAACATCAACAACAACAACAACAACTTCATCGATTAGAAAGTGTATTGTTAATTGTATCAATAATCAAATACACTTTTCTAAATCGGAAACACTAGTAACTTTATTAAAAGATTCAATGAATAAGAAGGAGTCATCAAATGAAATTTGTATTCCAGCGATATTAATGATGCTGTAGAATGCTTTATTGATTCAGGAATGTGCAATTTAAGTAATTATTTGTGGAGAAGTGATGATGATAAGCAAGTTTCAATTATAGAAAGAACTCCTATGAAAAGTTCTAAAGTTAATGAGTCATTTATTATTGATTGCAGCCCGCCAACAACAGTTCTTCTTAACAAACCAAGTACCACTACCATAATTCCAACCAGTGACGAAACTTTGGTAAATAGATCTCCATCAACCAAAAGAAAAGTAGATGCAATTAATGTGAAGGAATTATCAAAGAAAGCTGTTAAAGCTATCAAGACAGATAATGAACAAAACGATTATACTATGTCAGAAACTTCATTACTTTTACAAGAATTAACAGATATTCTTTCAGATAGAGAAGAAAGAGATGCTTTAAAAAGAAAAGTTGAGCTAGAAGAAGGTTTTTATGAGTATTGTATGCAATTTTATCAAAAGATTATTACAGAAAATAAGAAAAAGATGGAATTGTTAGAAAACCAATTCGGTGAAATAGAGGCATTATCTATTAAAGTATCTTCCTATATCACTAAAAGACGAGAGAAACTAGAAATACAAGATAAAATAGAACACGCTGCTATCAAAGAAGAATTGAAAAAGCTTTTTGCAGAAGAAAAATAAACTATTTTCATGACTTTACATTTATTTACATTTATTTACGTTTATTTACATTTATTTACGTTTATTTATATCAAATAATTACAAATAGTAACGTCTTTTTAAGTTTATTTACGTTTATTGAAATATTAACGTTTATTTATATATATTACTATTTGTTGAATAAATTAACAGTATTTATTATTAATAAAACCTAGTTTAATGTTTAATCATAATGAAGCAAACAATTTGTATTAAATAATAATCATTTGATACATAATAATACATAATCTTCCGGCATGGAATAATAGGTGCCTGCAGTATTTATTTTTAAAATACTGCAGGTATTAATTATCAGCCGAGTTTTTTTGTACAGCCATCGCTGGGAGGTTTTTACCACCCTCTCATTTTAACACCGCGTATCTTCCTCTGCAATTAATTTAAAAACTTACGGAACTTTAATAATTCCTTAATTGTTAATTGACCAATTTTGTTCACTTCGGAATAAGAAATAATCATAAGGTAGGAGTAGAAAAGCCAGAGTCAATGACCAGATTTTCCGGTCTCTCATCCAAAAATAAAATTTTAAAAATTAAAAATAGACTATTTTTAATTCCGAAATTAGAAGTAAAAACCAGACCGGAAAAGTCAGACCGGAATTTAAATAACAAATGGATTGATTAACAGCAACCAAGAAGAAGAGGGGTAGAAAACCAAAATCCTTCTCTCAACCAAACCAACAACTTCATCCACTCAAATCTCTCCTTCTCAACCACTTGCTACATACAATGAATCCAACAAAACAAGCAAATTTAGAAGGAGGGAAGGGAAATTTAGAATTTCCTTTTAAATGAATTAAATAAAATGTTTATTTTTAGTTGTCGAACAAAGTTCCAGACTCGAGATTTTCTACTCCTACCAATCATAATGTTAAGTATTAAAAATAGACAACAATAATACGTGTTTTATTCCGAAGTACAATAAATTGATCATCAACTGCTTCATAGAATATCAATTCTCAAAAAGAAAATCATAATGATGAAGATTAATCAACAACAATTCAAAACAACAGTAATCATTTCAAGTCTACTTGCAGTACTCTTCATTGTTTATTGTTTGGATATTTCCCTTATAACAGCAGAGGAAGAGGTACGTGTTGAGAAGGAGGGACAATCAACAACACCATTACCAGATCATGATCAATCTGGTAAATACTCTTCCTCATCAAATCCTCAATTAAATATTAAAACAGAAGAGAAATCTAAAAAGTTATCAAGGAAGAAATCAAAGAAGAATATTTGGAAAAATGTTATGAAAGGATTGAACCAAGGATATCAGAATGATTGGTTTGATAATCAATGGTTTCAATCATCACCTTTTTCTAACTTTGATGAATCTTTCAATTCCATGAGAAGAAGAATGAATAACATGATGAGAAGATCAAACATGTTGCCTTCCCTCTTTGATGATCATCAATGGTGGGAAGATTATACCAATTCTTTCAATTCTATGAATAATAATGCTCAAAAGAGTATCAGCTCTTCATCTTCATCATCAAGTGAAAGTTCTTCAATGAGAGAAACATCTACTGATAAGCCATTGAGACGTAGAGGTCCAATTTCATCTGTGATTAGAACTATTAATCAAGATGGATGAGCTCTCACTTGATATTAATAATATTCCAAGAGATGTGTTTGAAAAGAAAGATATTGAGGTAAAGATTAAGGAAAATTCACTTGGTGATTTGATTACAGTTAGTGCTGAAAAGAAAACAGAAAATGGTCATTTCCAATTCTCTAAATCTTTCAGATTTCCAAAGGGTTCGCTTGATTTGGATAAAGTTAAAGCAACTCTTTCAGATGAAGGAACTTTGAGTGTGAAAATTCCAAGAATTGATGAACCAGAAATTAAAGAAAGAGTTAAAGAAATTTCAATTGAATGACATTAACTGAAACTATTGTCTGTACAACCAATTTCGTATTTGGGTCAATTGGTTCAACGGTTTCGTAAATTTCCACAATTTCTGAAACTACCTTAGTAGAAACACTTGCTTTCAATCTTGTTCATTGATATCCTTTTAACAATATTTGCCAACTGCTGTAACCAAATTGTCCCTTTATACGGAAAGACAGTAAACTTTTGGACCATTGGATGATGGTGAAATCATAGAATGTTCTGTTTCTGTCAAGTTTATTGAAATAGTGCTTTATCAACAATAGATTTGTTTTTTTAAATTTATCCACCCTATCCCTATACTTTTCCTTTTGATCAACCCTTGTCTTTAGCTCTGTTTTGTATTGGGATTTTAAGCGTGTAATACATTCTTCGACTGACCATCTAGTCTTAATCGACGGGTCTTTCATATGCAAAATAAGTTCTATTAAAAGGTCATTAAATTATTCCCTTGTAGAATTAATATTTTTGGAATAGTTGATTATCTCACCAATAGTGCATCCCAATTATTCTTTCATTTGTTCTAAAAATTCATGGTTATTAATTACATCATGGAGTTTCCTTTTTTTAGCCTTTGGTTCAGTCGTTGGATGATTTTTCGTAGCTCTTCAGCTGGATCGAACATGAAACAATGACTTTTTTTAAGTTAAAATATTGTTAAATTGTTGGCGGTTAAAGTTCATCTAAACATTGAACAACGGAATTGTCAAATTTATTTCAGAAGAAATAGAAGGAATAATTAATGAAATAGGACACTCGGATTATCTAGATTATAGGATAAGTAATTATGCATAATGAATCACCTTTATTGTGATCAAGACTTTAATTCATCAAAAAAGACCAACCCTGATTCCGAATACACTCTAATTTAATGGTCTTATCTGCTTGCAAACATAAGACCAAAAAGAAGAAACAAGAAAATAAAAGTAAGACAAAATAAAGCCAGCATGATATAAAGAAGTGGGCTAAAAACGGCCTTGTAGTATTGATATTCATCATATTTTGGATTTCCAGGTTTTTCATACATTACCTTCTTCCATGTAATTTTAGAACTTGTGGATGGTGTTGTATTCACTTCAATGTAGAGAGAAATAATCTCATCCACTTTTAGTTTTGAAAGATTGGATGTGGCCATGGTTGTTGCTCTCGTAACTGTGTTATTGCTGTTTGGGTTTGTAACATTTTCTATTTGGAATGGATAGAAATCAACCATTCGAACAATTGGATAACATTCTGTCTCTCTTCTATAGGTTTTACAATTATTGAAAACATTGACAATTTTGGCTGTAATCTTAACATTGACAATGTCGAAGAATTCTTCCTGTAATTTATCTGCAGTTGAATTGACAACTATTGAAGCAATGAAGAAGGAACAGGCTGCAAGTAGAGTGGCGCAACACAAAGAAATGCCGACCACAAAAACGATGGTAAATAGTTTGCTCAGTTTTTTTGATAAGTAAATGTCAACCGATGATTATTTTGTTTCTCTAAAAAGGAAGGCAAACTGTTGTAATCTAGTCGTACCTTGCTAATTATACTAAACATATTTGAAACTATTTAGAACAATCTCATTGTAAACAACAACTTTGGTATTGAATACATATTTGGTCAATCCCATTCTACTGTTCATTGTTCTTCTTTTGCCATTTTTACAATGCGAATGATAACTACGATTTTCGCCAATGAGATTTTATCTGTAAATCGCTTACTCTTTAATACCATATCCCCTGAAAGTCTTGATCATTTCTTTCATACAGGTTGACGAAAAGTCCGTTTCCATTTGTGATTAGAACTATTAATCAAGATGGATGAGCTCTCACTTGATATTAATAACATTCCAAGAGATGTGTTTGAAAAGAAAGATATTGAGGTAAAGATTAAGGAAAATTCACTTGGTGATTTGATTACAATTAGTGCTGAAAAGAAAACAGAAAATGGTCATTTCCAATTCTCTAAATCTTTCAGATTTCCAAAGGGTTCGCTTGATTTGGAAATACTTAAAGCTTCTCTTTCAGATGAAGGAAAATAAAGCAAGAGTTGAAGCAATTTCAATTCAATAAAATTAACTGTAAATATATTAATATATTATTAATATCTTTACAACCATTGTCGTATGTTTTATAATGGCAAATTGACATAAATATACTAATTTGGACTAGCTGTCATCCATTTAGGGAATTGTCATCACAAGTTCATTCAAGAAAAAAATGTCGCCATTTAACAATCTCTTCTCTGTTCTTCAATTAATCAATAATAACAATCAAAACGCTAGTAGATGTCATCCTTCACTTATGAATACGCCCTGGAGCAGGGAATCATCAAATGCAACTTTAAATTATGGACTTTGTCCAGACACTTATTTTTCCTTCGCAATTACATTAACGTTTCTAATAGTTTATTTGATAACACTGGTTTTTTCATTGTTGGGAGTAATATGGAAGAGGAATAGTAGTTATGTTAGTGCTAGGAATCCAGTTTATTTGTTTTTTACTTTGGGAGCTTCGATTTGGTTTGTTGTTGTGTTGACATTGAGGAGAATAGTGTCGAGCAAGACATTTCCATGTGGTTTGATGACAATTGGCTTCTTTACATTCCCACAGGCGATTGCATTGCCATTAATATTTAGATTTATGAGAGCTTTCTTCATGTACAAGATTAATTTAACCAAGACGAAACTATTTGAATCGAATACAATTGATTCAGAATCAAAGAAACATGAATTAGTGGATCAACAATTAACATTGGAATCTATTGAAAGCTTACCACCAAATAGTGGAGCAGAACTTGTCATTACAAAAATGGATTCATTTCAAGTACATGGAGTCAATTTACAAGAAGTTTCCAATACTATCAAAGGAAATAATGAGCATCAACAACCAGTTGAAAATTCATCATATCATTCTGATGGAGGTTCATCTAATAGAACATCTAGTGCCAGTACTGATGATTTAGATAATGACACTATTTCAACAACATGGTCAGCTGCTGATGTTAAAGATATGGCTTCTCTAAAAAAGGAAATGAGAAAATTACAAATTTACAATTTTCTAGTCAGTACAAAATTTATGGGAACAGTTTATTTATGTTCATTTATATTTGGATTTATTATTTGGGCCATTCTTGGAGGAATTGATGAAGCACTCAATTCCAATTCTAACAATCGAATATTTGTGGTTGAATCGAGTATGTTTGAATTCAGACATGGATGTTCAATGACTTTCTATACTGTTCTAACTATTGGATTGGAGGTAGTTGGCTATGTCATTTTGGAATTGATATTTCTTGCATTGTGTGTTAAGGCAGATAAGGATACGTGGGGAATTAAGAAGGAATCATTTATTGTAACCATAGTTCAATTACTCTCAGCAATATTATTTATTATATGTGGAAGTATTGAGGTAATATCTGAATTGGTAGATTATTATGTTCCCTATGGGTTTTTCATTTGGGGTTACATGTATTTTGAATTATTTATGTGTTGTACAATACCAGTAATTCGATCAATTTATTTCGATTACACAAAATTGAATTCCAATGAAAGTAATGAATCAAATATTGAAAAAGTTTTGAAAAATAAGAAGATGTTTAAAATAATGTTGGATTTTGCAAGAAGAAGTTATTGCACTGAGAGTTTACAATGTTGGAAAGATATTCAAAGATACAAAAGGTCAACCAAAAACAGAAAAAAGATTGCAAATCACATTTTACAAGTGTACTTATCAATTAATAGTCCCCTAGAGCTCAACATTCCAAAAATTGAACAATGTAATTCTGAAATAACTTCCCAACTAACTGAAAAACCACCTGCCAATCTATTTCACAAAATTCAACAACATTGTCTGATTGACATGACCGATTTATTCGAAAGATTGAAAAATTCCAATACAGAATTTGCATCCTTCATTACATCTTTGAAAGATTAACACTAATTGACCATTCATGACTTGAATGATTGAAATTCTCCATTCCTCCTCCACTCAACTTGCATTTTGATTGCAAATTCCAAAAATAAAATTCGCCAAAAAGCAAAAAAATGAAAAAACTTGCCGCACGATTCTTAGCAAGAAAATTGAAATCAGCTCCAAGTTTTTCTTCATCATTGATAATTCATCGTCCAATTGTTGGAGGAGGGCGATTTGGAGGATCTTTGAAATCATCATTATGTGATTTCAATGTTCCGAACATGATTAATAGAAAAGGCTTTCATATTTGTATTGTCAATTCAGCAAGAAAGAAACAACCTGCTTTTACTTCATCAAATTTATCTAATGATGATAGTAAATCTAACAATAATACAGAAAAGCCTTTAGAAGTGAATTCTACACCTCTTGAAGAAGAAAAGATCAAAACAAATGTTGATGAACAAATTACATCACCATCATCTACGAATGAATCATCTACAACAACACCACCAACCACATCAACAACAACAACACCACCACCAATAACAGAATCTAATATTGGTGAAACACAGCAACAACAACCAATTGTTACTAATCCGACATCACAAATTCGTGATCCTGTTCCTCCTGCTGTGGTCAATCCTGAACATCACTTTTACACACAAAAAATTAGAAATTTAGCCAATGAATTGGATATGATGTTAAAGAGAAGAGGTTATTCAACATTTAGAGTTTTAGTTACAACATCACTTGGTCTTGCTGTTTTCATTTTCTTATTTAGTGAAGATATTAAGAATTTCTTCAGTCAACATGGTGCTGATGTGGCCTCTAGATCTTTAGGATCAGAAAGTGTTCAAATGAGTGCAGAAGTACTCAGTAAGGCAGTAGTTCAACAAGTATTAAGTGATGCAAAGACTACTGAACATGCTGTCAATTTTTTGAAAGATTTAATTTCTAGAAAGGAAACTCAACAATTACTAGTTACTCTTTTATTACAAGTTCTTCAAGATCCAATCACTCAAGAATATGTTTCACAATTTGCTAAAGAAAGAATAGCGTTATACCTTTTACGAGACGAATATACTATACAAGTAGCTTCAGAATTTGCTTGGAAAATTATTGATAAACCAGAAACAAAAGATCACTTGGTTATTTTATTGAATAATGCACTTAAAGATGAAGCTTTCAGACAACATGTTGCAGACCTATTTGCCTCTGTAATTTTATATGATGTTGTAAAACAAAGTGGATCAGAATTGGGAATGCACACTGTTCACAATGTAATGGATGATCAAAATGTTCAACAACATGCTGAAGTGTTTGTTACTGGAATTTTGTCCAATCAAAAAGTTCGACATGATGCTGGATTTGCTCTTTGGGAAGCTCTTAAAGTTTCATTAACTCCAACATGGTTCTATCATCCACCACCAAATGCACCAGAACAAACATCTGAACAACCTGCACCTGAAGGAGAAAAACCAACAGAAGAAAAGAAACCAGAAGAAAAACCAGAGGAACAAGCTGCTATAACAGCATCTACTGAACAACCTGCTGCTCTTGAATCATCTGAAATTAAGCAACCATTACAAATTACTCAAACAACTCTCCCATCAAGTAATCCTGTAATTCCTGATGTAATTGGTATTACAAGTTTAGATAATAGTGGAGCTTCCACTAAAAAGAAGTCAACCTCAACTGAGATTGCTGTTGTGAATAATTCAAAATAATGTAAATACAACTATTTATTCTTTTATTTACACAAATGTACATTTATTATCTTACATATTTGGAAATCAAGTAATGATTTTAATTTACAAGGATGGTTTGATGATTGGCTTTGATACCTTCTTACATGTCTTTCTCTTGATACAAATCTTCTTCTTGATTGACTTGCAACACTTCTTCTTTCCACCAACCAACTTAAATTTCTTACAAATCTTCTTTCCCTTTGAACGTTTCAAACACTTCTTATAATACTTCTTCTTGATACATCTTGGAGGAATAATAATTGTCTTGGCACAATACTTCTTCTTTTGATATTTGACACATTTGGAAATAGTCTTCTTGTGCTTACAGAACTTGAAGATCTTATGCTTGGCACAGAAGAATTTCTTCTTAATGAGACAACACTTCTTAACAGATTTTCTCTCCTTACAATATTTAACCTTCTTATACTTGGCACATTTCTTTGCCCATGAAACAATCTTGCACTTTTTAACATATCTACATTTGGCAACCTTCTTATTGTAGGAATCAACAGTGTACTTGTCACAAATCTTCTTCTTTTCACACTTCTTGATTGGAACCTTCTTGAATTTCTTACAGACCTTCTTAAATCCCTTCTTGAAACACTTGTTGATAATCTTGTGTTTGGCACAGAATTTCTTGAAACCCTTCTTAACACAAATCTTCTTAGTTCCATAAGAATCGCAAACTTTCCAGTACTTCTTCTTGGCGCATCCAACAATCTTGTATGCATGTAAGACACACTTCTTTGTTGGCTTGCTGTACTTGTCACATTTGGAATATTTCTTATGTTTGAGACATTTGCCAGCGCCAACAATTGCATATTGATCACAGACCTTCTTTTGACCAACGAGTTTATGTTTCAAACACTTCTTAATCCACTTGTGCTTTAAGCATTTTCTCTTACAAACTCTTGGCTTGTGATACTTGTCGACTACGACAACTGGAGGTTTAGTTTGATAGTTGTCACTTGCTTGAACTGAGAGGATTGCAAGCAAGAGTAGAATTGCAATTGAAAAGATTAGATTCACTTTCATTTTTTTGTTTTTGTTGGATGGAATAGTTCAACCAGGATGGTGCTAATTTAAACCATTTCGATAGTTTTTCATTTGGAACAAACCAAAAAAAGTTAGATGTAAGGTTCCATATTTGGATGGAAAACTGATTTCATTAAAGAAACTTGACTGATTCAATTTTCAAATAATTTACTATTCAAATAGCAACTCAACTTTCAAGTATTTGCATTTTCTCAAAGATGAATAAGGATGACAATGTAAGCAGTATTTGATTCTGTCAATTAAATTAAACCTTTTAACTTTGGATAATATCCTAATAGTCCTTCAATATCAATACAGTCATGTAAATCAGTTGTTTCACTAATAATTTCTGTCTTGTTCAATCGTTTAAGGAAATCAATGTTGAATCTTAATTGATAATGGGCATACATTAGACTGTTAATGTTAATTTCCACACATTGGGTCATAAATTCTTCATCACATAACAATTCTTGAGCAGCATAGTCTAGGGCGTTGTAATCATGTCGAACAGCTTCCAGAACTAGTTCTCTATCACTTCGTATTTCAAATGAGCCATAAATAAGTGGATTGGATGTATTTTTCTCTGATAAAAAGTTTTGAACTACATTCCACATAATTTCTCTATCTTTCATGAAGCAAGTGGCTCCAAATTCAATAGAATTTCCATCATTTTTGACAGCTGTCAAGACAATTTCTCTGTCTAGCTGATATTCAAGTGGTACGTGATTTAATACCTTTCCATTTGTTGCAACAGATTCCAAAACAAATTCTCTATCATTTTGTAATTCTTCACTTGCATAAATGAAAGGAATGCTGTCAGTTTTCATTGCTTTCAGTAATATTTCCCTGTTGTTTTTAAATTCATTTTTAAATTCCTCTGAAAGGTAAACTATTGTTTTTCCATTACTTTCCAATGCCTTCAATACTATATCTCTATCTCTTCTCCATTTGAGTGGAAGTAATAATATATTGAACTTGGCTGGAGACAATTCCATAATGAATTCCTTGTCAATCAACTCGTGTGGCACATGTAAAATATTATCCATGTCAGCATTTACAGCCTTAATAACAAGACTTCTATTCCTTTTTACAGAATCAGGTACATAACTAAGTGAATATCCTTGTTCAACCACACATTTCTCTATTATTTTCACATCAATTTTGTTCATCATTTCCTTATTTGTGGCGAGAGAATAGGTTAATTCTTTTGATATAGCTTTTTCAAATAACTCTTGATCTTTTCTTAAATATTCAGAAGCAAATTTCAAGGAACGAGAATATGAATTGATTGCCTTTTCCACAACTTGTCTATCGCCTTTCAATTCTTCTGATGCATGTTTTAATAACTTTCCATCAGCTGAAACAGCAGTCATGATAATTTCCCTATCTTGACAAAGCTCTTCTGAAATGTATCGAATGATTCCAGCATTTACCTTTGCAACCTTCAAAACAAAATCTCTATTATTTCTCAATCGATCACTTGCGTACTGGAAAAACTTTGAACCAGTATCAGAACAAGCTGCCACCATAACAATATCTTCATCATCTCTAAACTCTGAAGCATATTCAAGATTTTCTGATTCAATTTTGCAAGCTTCATAAACAAGCTCTCTATCGAATTTTTCCACAAGTACATGCTCTAAAGAACATGAGTTTCTGACGGCAATTAATGCTAGCTCTCTATCACTACGTAGAGATTTGGAGGCGTACTGAAATTCACTTCCATTTTGTTGAATAGCTGTTAGTACAATTTCCCTATCGTTTCGAAAATCTTGAAGAATATTTTCAATAGATCCACATCTCTTTACATAGTCTAAAATAAGCTCCCTATCCTCCTTTAGTTCATACCCTATAAAAGAATAAGTATTAGAGAATGAGTTTCTGATAGCTGTTGTTATTATTTCTCTATCATTTCCAAATGATTCTGGCGCAAATTGCAACACATAGGCATCCCTAATAAGAATGTCCTCTATTATCTTTCCATCACTTCTTAATTCCTCTGATAAAAACTCAAAGTTATCAACACTACACATTAATGCCTGAACAGCAATATCTCTATCAGCACGCAGCTCCTCGGAAGCCATCTTTAAAGCGATAGGATAAATTTTCACAGCTCTTAGAATGAGTTCTCTGTCATTACTCAAACTCTCAGGAATTAGGTCAAGAATTTCCTCCCCATGTGGTAATAAATCGAATAATAATTTTCTATCATTCTTAATATCCTCACTCTGTACCTTTACAAAGCAATCAGGATCTATCTCTATTAATTTCAAAATAAGTTCCTTTTCTATTCCGTGATTTAGTGCATATTTAATATCCTCACTGTAATTGGCAAATTTTTCTACCAATCTTAGATTAAATTCTCTATCGTTAGCCAAAGGATAATTACAATTTGTAATATAATCAAGCACTCGAGATGCTGATGAAGCCATATCATAGATAAAATCAGCATTATCTCTAAATCTCTGTGAAGCAGCAGAAACAATGGACAAATCTTTTCTAACTGCTATTGAAACAATTTCATCATCATCTTTGAAATGATCAGGTGCATATCTTAAACTTTGTGAACTTGTCTTTATAGCTTCTATGGCTATTTCCCTATCAAGTTTGAGATGGCCTGCTATATAACAATAACAATCACCCTTCAATTTTACCATTTCTAGAACAAACTCTCTATCACTCTTAATCTCATCAGATGCATATTGCATTGAAATTCCTGAAAAGTCAATAGCAGCAGAGAGAATTTCTCTATCATTTAAAAACTCTGAAGGTACATATTTCAGTGCCAGAAAAAAACTTTTCACAGATATTAACACCACCTCTCTATCGATCAAATGTTCTGGTACAAATCTAATAGATGAACCTCTCCTTTTAACAGCCTCCAAAATAATTTCCCTCTCATTCTTCAATCGTGTAGATACAAATTCTAGAGAATTGGCAAATTTCTTCACCATCATTTTTACAATTTCCTCATCGTCATGAAATTTGTCGAGATGTTTGAAAAAGCTACAAGTACCACCAAGTCTTTCCCTTGCAGAAACAATCATCCTCTTCACAAATTCTCTATCACTTCTCAATTCTTCACTCACAAACTCTATAGCATTTACATTTTTTTTAACAGCTCTCATTACAATTTCCTCATCATTTCTCAAATTTGCAGAAGCTGCTTCCAGAAATAATCCATTTTTACTCACTGCTTTAAAAATTGCCAATTTACAATCATTATCAGGAAATGGATATTTTTCAATGAATGTGGAAATGGTTTCTAATCGGTTTTCTAATAATAATAGATGCTTATAAATTGATTTGTTTTTTTCAATTCTGGCAGAGGAAATTTGTTGAAAATGTTTAAATATTAATTTATCACAATCATGTTCATCATCATTATCATCATCGGAAGTATGATGATCATCACTTATTGCAACAATTAACAAATCAGTGAAGGAATGTTTGGGCATTTTTTTTTATTGTTATTCGAAATAATTGTAAACTTATTCAATTTTAGAATTGTTTCTAATAATCTTCTTCAGAATAAGGTGATTGTGAAACAGTTTGCATGTAAATTTGTAAATATATTGTTGAGGATTAATTGCATTAACTTTCTTCAATTTGCATGAATTCGTTTCAATACAAATTCTAATGGCAGTTTGAATAACAGTTTCGTCTTTAATACAGATTTCTCAATAGAATCTCGAGGTGTAATAGTGTTAGAAAGTGAATTATCACTTAAACTAACATGAATTCTTTCTTCAGTTTCAGAATAGATCCTCTTCCAGACTTTATTCTCTCTGAATAATTAATTTAAATATTGCTGGTGGAAGAGTTGTCTATTTTTCAAATGAATGTTTGATTATTTTTGAAAATTGTTACAATAATTAGTCAACAATACCAAGTCTTATAGAGAGGTGTATCAATATCAAGTGTTAAAACACCAACCATTCTAAGTTTACAACCACATAAACTTGCAATTCTCATATCATTCCAATATTTTACAAAATGGAAATTGAATTTTTCAATGGCTTCTGTATCTTGTTGTAGGAAAGCTTCAGCCGCTCCTTCTATTTTAGCTATTAATTTATAAATTAGGTAAATAATATATTCTTCCACATGTAAAATGTTAAATTTGCATGGATCAATAACAAATATAGTAAAATAATATCCAATCCTAAAAAAATATGTAAAGAGGTTGGAATATAAATGGATTAAATTCAACATTTGTAAAGAGTGAAATTAAGGAAAGTAACTAACAGAAAATCAAAAATCTTCAAATCCTTCCCATACATTTACATAAAAGGAAATCCATTTTCTATCAATATTTGTAAACCACCATTTGATGGATGTAAAAAAGGTTCAACTGTTATTTCACATTTGAAGAATGAAATGATTATTTCAACATGTGTTCACAAACAGTCAATATCCACCTTCTGACACTCAATATGTTTTGATTTTCCAATTCTAAATCCATCCAATTCCATCAAATCATGTTCATCCCATTCTCATCATCAATTTCCATCATTAATTCCTTCACCACCATTTCATTCATAACAACATTAATGGTTATTAGCATTTACTTGTTCATTTAATTATAAAATTCCATAAATCTAATCTACTTCCCAATCTTCTCAATCATGGAATATAAAACATGTGATTTATATTAAACTCTCAATCTTTTATCATTGCCATCGCAGCAACACCATCTTCATCAAGTTTAATGTTAAGTTTAATGTTATATTTGCTTCCATTGAGAGGTCGCACAATTTCATGCTTTTTTTTTTTTAAAAAAAAACCTCAAAGAAAAAAATGAATTTAAATGATGAAGGCGAACTTCGTCATCAAATTCAACACTTCCGACATTTTCTCTCAACCTATCAAGTTAATGTAGGTTTTTCATCATGTATCATCTTTATTAATAATGTATAGGGAGAAATTGTATATTCATCAAAATTAAAAAGATTACTTTCTATACAGAGTGATTATTGTAGGCTTGTTGTGGATTTAAATGATTTACGAAGTTATGATACAACACTTTGTCATAAATTACAAATGAATCCTTCATATTTATTTCCTTCATTGGAAATTGCTTTACATGAAGAAATTCAGAAAATTGATTGTAAATATTTTGAACAAGATACAAAAATTTCTATTGGGATTTCTGGAAATGCAATTTATGATTTATCGCCCAGATATTTACAATCAATACATATAGGAAAATTAATTTGTTTAGAAGGAATTGTTACTTGTTGTAAGTTGTTAATGAATTTCCATTTTTATTCAATTATATATTAATACTGTGTATATCTTTTTATTACTTGAAATATGTGTCCATTATATATTCTATCAATTTGTATATATATTATATTATGAATATCATTGAAAAAGGTGGAAATATTTCACAAAGATTAATATCATCAATACATTATTGTGAAAAAACTAAAATATTTTCCAAAGTTGACTATGAAAGTAACTTGTTAAATGATAATAATTTTATAAATCCAATTCCATTAGAAGATGTTGAAGGAAATAGTTTAGATTTTGAATTTGGACTTTCAGATTTTGTGGATACTCAAAGAATAGTTTTACAAGATTTACCTGAAAAATCACCTGTTGGACAATTACCTAGATCAATAGAATGTATTTTAGAATGTGATTTATGTGATCAAGTTAAAGCAGGAGACCGAGTTAAAATATTTGGAACTTATAAAGTGATTTCAATACCTGGAATTTTAAAAAAGAAAAAATCACTTGCAAGAGTATCACTTATTGTAAATAATATAATCAAAACTAGTGGAATTGTGACACCTTTAAATGATATATCTATTAAGGAAAGTGTTTTAATTAGTCAACTTTGTAAATGTCCAAATATATTTCATATACTTTCAAATTCAATAGCACCATCTATATATGGACATGACATTATAAAAAAAGCATTATTGCTTTTCTTACTAGGAGGTGTTGATAAGGAATTTACTGAAACTAATACAAAAATAAGAGGAAATATTAATGTATTATTAATAGGAGATCCATCAACAGCTAAATCTCAATTTTTAAGATTTGTACTTAATTGTGCACCTTTAGCAATTTCAGCCAATGCCAGATCTTCGAGTGGTGTTGGTTTAACAGCAGCTGTAGTTACAGAAAATAATGAAAGAATACTTCAAGCTGGAGCAATGGTTCTAGCAGATGGTGGAATTGTATGTATAGATGAATTGGATAAAATGACGGATGTGGAAAGAGTTCACATGCATGAAGTTATGGAACAACAATCTTTTTCAGTTTACAAAGCAGGTATTGCTGTAAGACTTAATGCAAGATGTTCAGTGCTGGGAGCATGTAATCCTGTTTATGGTAAATATGATAAAAATTTACCAATTCATAGAAATATAATGATACCTGATACTTTATTATCTAGATTTGATCTGGTTTTCGTTTTAACAGATGAAAATGATTCAACATTAGATAGAGATATTGCGAGACATGTATTAGGAGTTCACAAATTTACAAATGATTCATCAACATCACATATTCTTAAAGAAGAATTGAATAGTACTCTCTTCTCTAATAAGAATGATTTAAAAGATGAAATTTCATACTCTGATACAGAAGAGATTATTAAAAAAGCAGAACGAGGACAATTAGATTCTCTACATGTACCTCTAAATATATTGAAAAAGTATATACAATTTGCCAAGACGAAATATTCTCCAGCTTTAACAGATAAAGCAAGAGAAATGATTTCACAGAAATATGTGGATTTGAGAAGTGAATTCATGAAAGTGGATTCTCAAAGAGCTCATTTTCCAATTACACCAAGAACACTTGAAGCATTAATTAGATTATCATCAGCTATGGCTAAACTTCATATGAGAAATGAAATTTTGGAAGAGGATGTTGAAATGGTATTTAAAATTTTTGATGGAAGTTTAAATTATTTAAATTGTGGAGCTAAACAAATAATTACAACAATAGAAACTGTAAAGAAAACAAAGAAAGAAACAACAGTACCAGCCAATTTTGACTATGTCTCTTATATTAAGCATCACTTAATAAGAAAGACACAGAGCGGCTCTATTGAATTGGAAAGCTTTAAATCATTCATTTTGAATCAACAACCAAAAGTAGTAGAAAAAGATGTTTTAACATTGGTATTGAATCAATTCAATGAACAAGGTTTTTGCGTTATTTGCGATGATACGAATGGAGTCCCAACAATTTATCGCTTCTCTTAATAAATACCGATTGACCATTCCTTAAAAGACAGTTTCCTTTTATAAAAAAACAACCAACCAAACAATAATATGGATTCATTTGATGCTCAATTTATTAAGCTAGTAGAAGATGAATGTGAAAAACTCTTTCAATCCTATCAGGCAAAGATAAGGGAAGGAACTGCACAATTGACAGAAACATCAACCAAAAGAACAAGCAATACAGCTAATTTGAAGAGTGAGATCAAGAAAAGAGTCAAACAAGAAAATGACAATCAATAAAATTTATTTAGTGTTAAATATTTCATAATAATAATGAACATTTTGATTTTTGAAATTTTTGTTTGTGTTTTATTTATAAATTTATTCGTCAGCAACAACGGCACCAGCTGGGGTAGCAACAACAGCCTTATTCTTCTTCTTTTGGAGATAAGAGAATTGCTTGATGGACTTTCTGGCCTTGACAATAGACTTAACAGCTGATGATTCCTTTTCTTGAGCAGAAATATCTCTGGTTTCAACAACAGCGACTTCTCTCTTGACTGGGAGGACGGTACCTCTGACTTGAGATTCAGCCTTAGCAACTTGAGCATCAGCAATTGGACCCTTCTTAACGGTACCCTTCTTTCTTGGGAACAAAACAACTCTTTGCTTGTATTCTTGGAGTCTTTGGACGTTAGCTTGGAGTCTTTCTTCGCTCAAATCCTTTCTTCTGGTGTCAATAGCAATACCAACAGTCTTTGCGAATTGGAGTGGAATACCAGCTTGCTTCAATTCTTCAACAGAGAAACCTCTACCCAAAGCAACTCTTCTGTTATATCTTCTTCCGGAGAGTCTGACAACAGGTCTCAACAATTCGGTTGGTCTTGGGAAGACATTCTTAGCCTTCTTGATTCTCAATTCTTGTCTCTTCTTAGCCTTAGCTGGACCATCGAAGAACAATTTGACTCTGTTAGTCCATTGCTTCTTCCACTTGCTTTGTGGGACTGCGTTGTTATGGGAGACCATTGGATAATCTAAAGATAAAGAAGGTGTGGTTAATTAAAAAATGTGAGAATAAAATGACACTAACAATTTGAGGATTTTTTTTTCAACAAACTTTTAAAATGGGGTTGACAGTATTTTTACAATGAAAATGATTCAAGCGAAAAAATATTTAGAAAAATTTCACAAGTTGCAATTTCAACACTACTTGCTTCACAATCACACAACAGCCTTGTTTTAAATGCCAGTAACAACAACATCTAACTTTCCTGTTTAATACTTCATCAATTAATCATTCTGTTACTATTACACTTCTTCATTGCTTACTTGTTGTTCGGAAGAATTAAATATTAGTGATGATGATTTTTGTATGAAGAAAGAAAGAATAACAAAACCTAACGAGAATGTATTAGAGTTTAAATTCAATGATTGCCTTCAGCAATATAAACACAACAGTAATATTCATCATGAAAATTCATATAAAAAGGAACAACCAAGCTGGCAACTTTTGAAGAAATAACAGCAAGCCTTGTATTTTTTGAAAAGTGTTCTATTGACTATCCGATATTAGATGTTGAGTAAACAATTCAAGAGTCAAATGAGAAATTTTCAATTGTTAATTCATCTATTACTTCATCTATTAAGACGGATTTATTAATGTTCATGGCTCTTAAATAAGAACCTATATCAATATTGTTGAGAAAATTACTTACTTTACCTTATAAATCATGAGACTATTACCAGCCATACACAAATCCTCCTGTATTCACAGAAGGCATTCTTACATGATTATTTGTCAACACAAGAAAGATAGTACTTGAATTTAAAGTAATTGAAACAATTGAGGATGATGGAAAATAGTAGTAGCTAATTAGTAATAATACAATTTATACAAATTATTTAAAAATCATCATCCAATCTGAAAACCTTATCTTTCTTATTGGACATTATATTTGCCTTGGCATATTCTCCAACTTTCTTCTCAAAAAAGTTTGTCTTTCCACTGACAGATATGATATTCATCCAATCGAATGGATTTGATGAGTTATAAATCTTTTCATATCCAATAGAAACCAACAATCTATCAGCAACCATTTCAATATATTGTTGCATTAATCTACTATTCATTCCAATCAAATCAACTGGTAAACTTTCACTGATAAATTCCTTCTCAATCTCAACAGCTTCATAAACAAGTGAATGAACTACTTGTTGAGGTAATTTAGTGTATTTCAATGTGGAATAGAGTAAACATGCGAAATCTGTATGTAACCCTTCATCACGAGATATCAATTCATTAGAGAATGATAAACCAGGCATCAGACCACGTTTCTTTAACCAGAAAATTGAACAAAAACTTCCAGAGAAGAAAATTCCCTCCACACATGCAAATGCCAACAATCTTTCAGCAAACAAATTCTCAGAATTAATCCATTTCAATGCCCAGTTAGCTTTCTTTTGAACTGATGGTACTGTATCAATGGCATGAAATAGACGATTTCTTTCTCTTTGGTCTTTAATCAGAGTTTCAATGAGAGTACTATACATTTCAGCATGAATATTTTCAATGGCAATTTGAAATCCATAGAAACATCTTGCTTCTGGTACTTGAACTTGTGCCATGAATTGTTGACATAGATTTTCATTGACAATTCCATCACTGGCTGCAAAGAAGGCCAGCACTGTCTTGATGAAATGTTGTTCATTAGAATTGAGTTTTTCCCATTCAGTTATATCAGTGTGAAGATCAACCTCCTCCACTGTCCAGAATGAAGCCATTGTCTTTTTGTACATTTCCCACATTTTAGGATAATGAAGTGGAAAGAGAACAAAACGATGAGGATTTTCTTTGAGGATTTCCTCTTCTTTTTCTAATTGTTTGTATTGTTCAAAGAGTTTAGGTTCTAAATGATTCATTTTCAATTGTTTTTTTCATATAATTCACATAGTCGTTCAATTTTATAGTGATTTTATTTCCCTCCAAAATTTCTTCTTCTTTATGAAAATGTTACCGTTACATGTTATTTAATAGGGATGAGGATAAATAGCATGTATTGAGTGGTGTATGAATGTACGCACTCAAAGGATGTATTATTCCATACCTCCAAATCTAGTCATTTAATTGATTGCCAAAAATTGAATTTGAAATCCCATGAATTCCATTGCACTGGAATATACTCCTGAAACAATTCAGAAGAGGTAAATAGTTGTTTAACATGCTCCAAATGAACACATTACTGCATGATTTTACAATTTAACCTATTTCACATATTACAAAATAACATTCAATAAACAAACCATGGTTTGGCAACTCATTCTTTGACTAATCATTCTCTGCATTTATCTTGATTGACCAGCTAACCTTCCAATGTAGGAAATGGAAAACTAATTTTCATTGTTTTTCATCTCGTGATTTTGTTAGCATAATAATAGTAAGAAGGAATTAGAAATCTGGATGTTAAAAAAAATGAAACCAAATTTCTCTGACGTTAATATTCAATATAGTAGTGATCATGATGATTCGAATAATCATACCATTGTTTCATCATCTTTGGAGCAATTACTTGAATTGTTGAAATGTAAATTTAGGAATCAACAATTTTACAAAATGAAATATTTAACCAATCGATGGGAATTTTCTAAAAATGATGAATTTACTCCGATTGAATTTATGGGTGATAAGGAATTTTATTGGATTAAAGTAATAATTCATAAAAAATATTCAATCGCCGATTCATTAGAGAATGTTAATGGAGATTCGAATTTAATGTTACAATTTATTAGAGAGTGTCCTTATTTACTTGAACAAGCAAGTTATTCATTGAGAAATGATAGAGAATTCATATTCAAAGCAATTGAAGTTAATTATTTATCATATAATTATTCTATATTTAAAGATCCAATTCTATTAGAAAGATATTTAGAAATTAAAAATTCAAAAATCGACAAAACTCAACCGGAAATTAATTATAAGAAATGTAATGATGATGAAATGATATTGAAAGCAATTGAATCAAATGCAGTTGTTATCCAAAAAGCACCTAAAAAATTTAAAAAGGAAAAATCAATGGTTTTAAAAGTTGTTTCCAGAAATGTAAAAACACTTTCCTATTTAAGTAATCAATTTAAGAAGGATAGAGATGTTATAATGGAAGCAATCAATAAGAATGCATATAAAACTCTTGAAATTATTTCACCATTTGCATTGAAATTAATGGATGATAAGGATTTGATATTAATGGCAATCAACAGAGGAGAACCTTTTGCTTTAAGATTTGCTTCTAAAAGATTGAAAAATGATAAACAAGTTGTAATGGCAGCAATTCAACAAACAGGGTCAGCTCTTTCTGAGGCATCAACAGAATTACAAAATGATAGAGAAATAGCAATGACAGCTGTCACTAAAACTCCATATGCTTATGAATGGGTTTCATCTCAATTACGTAAGACTGATAGAGAATTAGCTTTGAAAGCTGTTCAAGGAGATGGTTTAATGATAAGTTGTGTTGCAAATACTGAATTTAAATTGGATTTAGAAATTGCACTAACTGCACTCAGTCTAAGTGGAAGAGCATTAGTCTTCACTGAATCTAAATTGAGAACTAATGAAGAGTTTATTCTTGAAGCTATTAAGAGAAATGGATTCGTATTAAAGTATGTAGTAGGTTACATTCCATCAAATAGAATTTCAGAGGAAATGATTTTACAAGCAATTTATCAAAATGGATTTTCACTTAACTATTCAATTGAATTATTGAGAGCGAGAATGAATAATTGTTATCCTGAATTATATTTACCATCATCATCACCAACAATATTAGGAAATTAACTTTTGAATTCATTGAACAGAAAATATGAAGCAATTTCACTTCTTGTGAATAAAGCCAATCATTAATGAACAGCTCATAATCTTAATAATTATTTGTAAACAAGAGATTTGTAAAGTAGAGAGTGTATGGGATGAACAGCACAAAATTTGTAGTTGAATTGGATATTTCATTAATTTTCCGTCGGATTCTTAACAACCAACAACAATATGAGCAACCACAAGAAGAACACAATAATTAAAAATATTTCCATTGATTGTGGCTGTCAACAGCAATTAAACATTTGCTTCATATTACTTTCTATTGGAGTAAGTATTTTCATCATCATTCCGAAATTAATATTTTTCTATTCTTTATGAACTGAAACACACTTTACAATCACTCTAAATATGTACATTATGCTCTTTGGAACGTTCAAACAAAACCATTTTAACAAATGTAGAAACATTTACAAACCAAGGCTTTTACCCATATATTTTCATCACAATATAATTTCATCACACATAATAATATTATTATTATTATTTATTATTTATTGCAATTTAACCATCATACAAAATAGATTCTCACTCTATCAACTCTATCAATTCTATCATTATGGTCAATCAAAGTAATAACAATAACAACTCTAACAGGAGAATTGAAATGATCGCTCATCATATCGCACCAGGAAGTTTAAGTCATGATGAGAGTATTAATAGTTCTTCCAGCCTTGATTTTCTTAATCAAAAAAAATCACTCCTCTCTGATAGCATTGACTACGAGCAACAATCATTTTTGTATAGTAACACAACAGCAGCTTCTAACAAAATGACAAGCATTTTCGGTACCATTCCTACTGCTCCTAGAGATCCAATCTTGGGTTTAAGTGAAGCATTCAAAGAAGATACAAGTCCAAGCAAGGTTAATCTTGGTGTTGGTGCTTATAGAACAGAAGAAGGTAAACCATTGGTTTTAAATGTTGTTAAGAAGGTTGAACAAAAGATCCTCGAACAAAACTTGGACAAGGAATACATTCCACAAGATGGTTTGGAAGCATTCAAAAAAGTCTCACCAAAATTAATGTTCGGAGAAAACTGCAAGGCCCTCCAAGAAGGTCGTATTGTTTGTGTGCAATCAATCTCTGGTACAGGTGCATTGAGATTGGGAATTGAATTTATTGCCAAGTTTTTACCTGCTGGTACTGCCTTATATGTTAGTAATCCAACTTGGATTAATCACATTCAAATTTGTCAATCTGCTGGTGTTCCAGTTGGATATTACAGATATTTCGATAATAAGACAAATGGATTGGCTTTCAATGATATGATTCATGATTTAAAGACAATTCCAAACAAGTCAGTCGTTCTTTTGCACTCTTGTGCTCACAATCCAACAGGTGTTGATCCAACTCCAGAACAATGGTCAATCATTGCTGATGTTATGCAAGAAAAGGGTCACTTTACTTTCTTTGATAGTGCTTATCAAGGATTTGCAAGTGGTGATTTGGATAAGGATGCTGCTGCTATTAGAATGTTTGTTGATCGTGGTATTGAAATGTTGGCATCTCAAAGTTATGCCAAGAATTTTGGTTTATATGGTGAAAGAATTGGTGCATTGAACATTGTTGTAAATAATGTTGAAACTGCCAAGCAAATTCAATCACAAATGAAGGTTATTGTCAGATGTTTATATTCATCACCACCATTGCAAGGTGCTAGAATTGTTGCAATGACTTTAAGTAATCCTGAATATTTTGCTGAATGGAAGAAGGAATTAATCATGATGAGTGACAGAATTAAGGAAATGAGACAATTACTTTTTGATGCCCTCAAGAAGAGAAATACACCAGGTAATTGGAATCACATTCTTGAACAAATTGGCATGTTTTCATTCACTGGTCTTCAAAAGAAACACGTTGCTGTCTTGATTGAAAAATACCATATTTATCTTACTGATAATGGTAGAATTAGTATGTGTGGTTTAAATAGAAAGAATGTTGAATATGTAGCCGATGCTATTGACTTTGTTGTAAGAAATGTTTAAATTAATGTGTATATTCCCCTTCATCGATTCATTGTAAATAAATTATCTTTTTCTTGCAGAATGTTCTCTTTCCAATTTTCTATTTTCTTCTCTTGATTGTTTTGCAAATTCCTTCATTCTACAATTATTAAATTTTTCAATTTCCTTTTCACATCCGACAATACCTCTATTATTTAAAACACAAACTTGAAGAGCATCTTCTTCTAAATTACATAATTGTGTTCTATTTCTTTTCTTTTCCTCGAATGGAACAATAAAACCTCCTTGTTGTTCAATTTCTTGATCAAATTCTGATTTATTTTGTTGAGACATTTTTTTAGGCTAAAACTCCACTTGATTTACCAGTACTCTTTCTTTCAGTTTCAGCAATAGCTTCATGTTTAAATTTAATCTTGTACTTTTCCTTGAATGCAAGTAATTCTAATTCTTTATCTTCTAAATCTTGTTTTAATTTCTTTTCAGTGAGTTCAAGCTAAATAATTCCGAATTTTCAAGTGCGTCCATATTATTATTATTATCATTTTCAATTATTATCAGGAAAGATTGATGATGACAAATAGTAAGATGATGACGACGAAGACATATTTCAATTATCTTTTTCATTGATATTATAAACTTACATTTTCCAAATTACCTTCGACGGCTGGAATAACTTCTTTGATTGTTCGTTCAACTAAAACACCTCCGACAACTCTAAAACATTTTCTATCACCATCCAATTCCTTGAGAGCAGAAATAACGGAACTAAATTATACAATTTAATAAATTATTTTTCCACCTATGATGATCAAACATACCCATGATCTCTAACTTCCAATTCAATTCTTGCCACAGTGGAGGCAAAGTTGTTGTATTCTTGTTGCAACTTGGAGAATTGTTCAAGAATTTGGTCTTCTTGTTGTTGTGTAAATTCAGATTCACTCATTTTTTAATTTATTATTTGATGATGATTTGATGAATATTAGCATCACTTGACAATCACCATACTAATACAACAATAAGAAGAACAATGAATACACTATTAGTTTTGATGAGACACAATTGATGGTTGTTCATTGCTTAATAGGCTTGTTGAAATTTACTCAATAATTATTGTATGACTTTGATAATTGACAGCTATTCATTTAATACTTGATAACTCTCTAGTCTTCCCATTAGAAGCTATCCAAAAATTCCGATACTGAAGTAATATCTAACAACAGCTAGAGATTCTTCATGATGGAGGTGAAGGAATTTGAAAAACACGTGTTCCTCCAACACGACCCAACATCCATTCAAATAAACAATAAAAAAAATTCAGCACGTCGACATAAAAAAAAGGCTTTGTTCAAATCCCATGCTGCTGATTCCGAAGACCATCAACGACAACACTCTCGGAAAGACTAGTCTTCTGAAGAGTTGTACAACTCCATCAATTAAAGTTATTTTTATTCTTCTTATTATTACAGCAATATGTACCATTGCTCAACCACAACAAAAAAGTAAAACAGCAGAAGAATGGATTGAACTTGGAGATAAAGATTTTAGAAATAGAGATTATCAACAAGCTATTTCAAAATATACTTCTGCACTTGAAGTTGAAAGAGAAAATAAGAGAGCCTATTTAAAAAGAGCAGAAACTTATCAATTATTGAAAAAGTTTAAATTTGCATTATCTGATGTTGATTCTTTAATTAATATTCAATCTGATCATACTCAAGCATTATCTATGAAAGGACAATTAGCCTTATCACTTGGATTATTTGATCAATCAGTTTCAGCTTTTAATTCTTTATTAAAATTGAAACCAAGTGATGATACTAAGGAAAAATTGAAAAAAGCCTTATTAGGTAAATCATTATATTCTGAAATTGTTAAAAATCCAGAAAGTAGTGATATTCAAGAAAAGTTTGATTTAAATTCTAATGAAAATAGTAAGAGATGTGTACAAGTAATTACAAAATTACTTTCAGAAGAAGTTGGAGCAAGAGAAAGCGTTGATTTAATAATTGAACGTGCACATTGTTCACTTCGATCAAAATTATTACAACTCTTAATGCAAGATATTAAAACTATTTATGCTAAAGATAATACAAATGTACAAGCAACAATACTCTATTCAAAATATTTATATTTATTAGGAGATATTGAAACTGCTAAAAATACTATTAAAACTAAATGTTTAAGAGTAGATCCAGAAAATAGAAATTGTAAAGAATTATTTAAATTATTTAAACAAGCAGAAAGATTAAATGAACAAGCAAATAATGATTTCAATTCTGGAAATCATAATTCTGCAATTAAACATTTTAAAGAATATATTGAATTAATGGAAAATGATGCTAAATCAATTTTACCTGGTGTTGATATGATTGATGTTAAAGTTAAAACATGTCAATCATATGGTGAAGCACAAGATCATACAAATGCAGATGAGGGTATTAAATTGTGTACATCAGTTATTGATTCATTAGGTAATTCAGATAATTCTGAATATAAAATGGCATGTTTAATTAGTAGAGCTCAATTACATGTCACTTTAGATGATTTTGATAAAGCTAAAGCAGATGCTAATCAAGTTAGAGAATCTGAACATGCTAACAAACATCAACAAAAGTTACAACAAATTCTTGGTAGAATTCAACAACAAGAAAGAATTAATTCTCAAAGAGATCACTATAAGGCTCTTGGTTTTGATAGAAAGAATAAGGATCAAGTTACATTATCAGATATTAAGAAAGCCTATAGAAAATTAGTTAAAATCTATCACCCTGATAAACATAAAACTCAAGCAGATAAAGATAAGGCTGCTAAAAAGTATAAGGAAATTACTGAAGCCTATGAAGTTTTAAGTGACGATTCAAAGAGGCAAAGATATGATGCTGGTGAAAATGATTTCCAACATGGTGATCAAGGTGGTCATCACGGAGGTTTCCAACATGGTAATCCTTTCGGTTCATTCTTCCAAGAAGGTGGTGGTTTCCCAGGTGGTGGAGGTGGTGGTTTCAGATTCCACTTTGGATAATTCTTTACCAATAATACCTTAGTAACTATTTTGAATAAACAAATAATCTCTTTAAAATTTAATAAATTCATCTAATCTTTTATCAAGTAATAATTTAAAGTAAATTTAATTTTGTACAAACAATAACTCTCAAACATTGATCTAATGCACCTGCAACAGCTAAACCTTCCTTATCTCTATTCCAATCGAAACAGCAAATAGGTTGTGAAGAAATTGTTTGTTTTTGAATGAGTGAAACTGTACCAGCCACACCTTCAGGTGGATTTCCAATCTTTCTCTCAGAAGGATAATTACTATTAAGCATTTAATAAGTATGTGTTATAAAAAGAGAAAAAAAACTACTTACTATTTGTAAAGTGAAAGTAAACCTGAACCAGAGGCTACAAGGAAAACATCTCTATTTTGAGGTAAATGTCTTCCCATCCATATAGTTGATGTATTTTCTTTCAATTTTTCACTCACTGAAGCATAACCCTTCTCTGGATGTCTTGTTCTCATATCTAAAACATTGAATCTACCCTCAAGAGTAGTTGCTAATAACTTATTCATTTCAATATCACGTCTATCAAATTGTAAAGAACAAATACCATTCTTTAAATTAGTTTCCCACAGAATACTATTAGTTCTCAAATCAAAAATCTTTAAATCACCATTTTCATAACCACTTGCACAAACTCTTTCATTTGCATTGAAAGAATTTCCTAAACAAACAGCCCAACAATCAACTTTTCCATTTGAAGGTTCTAAACTAACAATTGGTTTTTGTTTTTGTCTTAAATCCCAAATTTTAACACAACCATCTCGTGATCCAGTTGCAATTTCAGGAGGTCCATAACTTAATCCACATCCATCAATACAATTAATTATTTGTGAATGAGCATGTTCAATTTTAAATATTGGTTGTTTTGCTTGTTTTGAAATATCATATAATAATACATTTCCATCAAAATCTCCACAAGCTAAATGTCTTTCTTCAATTCCTGTTGCCTCAAATGTACAACACTTGATCGGATGTTTATTCTCAATCTCATACAACATGTTTACATCTTTACCATCATCCGATAATGCATACACTTGTAAACATCCTGTTCCTCTTGCTACACCTCCTGCTGCTACAAATCTAGCACTACTTGGAACCCATTTGCAATCATTTATGGTCCAATTAAGAGGTTTGCTAATATGTTCAATGATTCTTGGTTTGTCCATTTTTTTGTATTTGTTTTTTCAAAGCCTAATTGTTGTAGTTGGCATGGTGTTGTATGAAGTTTATTTATGGATTTAACTTGAAAATTGTATGATAGAATTAATAGATATTGTTAGTTGAAGATTGAAGGTGATTCACATGATGACAATGTCTTTGAATATTAACTTGAAATAATAATAATTAAAATTGAAATTAATATATAAGAGAAAAAACCTCAAGTTCTTTTTATTTTTCCTGAGATGAAAATTGGGTTCCCACGTTCGTAAATTTACATTTGATACACTTATTCGTCTTCTTCCTTCTTCAATCTTTCCTTATCGGCAAGCAATCTGGCGTTCAAATCGTCAACCATTCTCTTGGCAGTACCTAAAATAATGGTCATGTTACCAGACATGAAGAAAGCGGCTTCTGGAACTTCATCGTATTTACCTTCAATGATACCTCTGGCTTCTTCGACAGCATCTTCCAATTCGACGAAATAACCTGGCTTACCAGTAAAGACTTCAGCAACAGCGAAAGGTTGAGTCAAATACTTTTGCAATCTTCTGGCACGATCGACAGTCAATCTATCTTCATCAGACAATTCGTCCATACCCAAGATAGCAATAATATCTTGCAAGTTTTGATATTCTTGCAAACACTTTCTGACACCGTCAGCAGTATCGTAGTGATATTTACCAATGGCAGAAGGATTGATCAAACGAGACATGGATTCCAAGGCATCGACGGCTGGATACATACCTTGTTCGGCAATTTGTCTGGACAAGACAGTTGTGGCATCCAAGTGCGCAAATGTAGTAGCTGGTGAAGGATCGGTAATATCGTCAGCAGGAACGTAAATAGCTTGGACTGAGGTAATAGAACCCTTCTTTGTGGAAGTAATTCTTTCTTGCAATTCACCAATATCGGTAGACAAGTTAGGTTGATAACCGACAGCAGATGGAATTCTACCCAAGAGAGCAGAGACTTCAGAGTTAGCTTGAGTGAATCTGAAAATGTTGTCAATAAAGAGCAAGACATCTTGTCCTTCTTCATCTCTGAAATATTCGGCAATAGACAAGGCAGTTTGACCAACTCTAGCTCTAGCACCTGGAGGTTCGTTCATTTGTCCGTAGACAAGGGAGGCCTTTGAACCTTCACCATCAACAACAATGACTCTAGATTGGATCATTTCCAACAACAAGTCAGTACCTTCTCTGGTTCTTTCACCGACACCACCAAAAACTGAGAAACCACCGTGCTTCTTAGCAATATTGTTAATAAGTTCCATGATAACGACTGTCTTACCGACACCAGCACCACCGAACAAACCAATCTTACCACCCTTTGGATATGGGATCAAAACGTCGATAATCTTAATACCGGTAACCAAGATTTCGTCTTGTGTAGTTTGTTCAGAAAGGACTGGAGCATCTCTGTGGATTGAGTATCTGTTCTTAGCATTGACTGGACCTCTTTCGTCGATTGGTTCACCCAAAACGTTCAAGACTCTACCAAGAGTTTCTCTACCGACTGGGACAGTGATTGGGCCACCAGTGTCAACTAATTCCTTACCTCTGAAGAGACCATCAGTTGGTGAAATACAAATGGTTCTGACTTCGTGTTCACCCAAGTGTTGAGCAACTTCCAAGACGATTGGTTGACCGTTTGGACCTGGCAACAACATGTGGAGAGCGTTACCAATAGGTGGCAAAGCACCTTCAAAGATACAATCGACGACTGGACCGATAATTTGGGAGACTTTACCTCTGTTGTATCCAGCCCACTTTTCAGAAGTTTCCTTCTTAGTCTTCATGAGGTTATTGTATCTGTCAGTCAAAGTCTTAACTTGAGCATCGTCCAATCTACCAGCCTTCTTACATTCAGTAACGAAGCTAGTGTATTCAGTTTGGGAAAGGTAGTACAAGAAGTCATCAGAGAATTCATCGTTTGGTGATGATTTGACACCAGCGGTTTCTCTTTCCTTCTTCCACATTCCAATTTCTTCCTTGGAGAGAGAAGCGTAACAACGAGCTGTTGAACACAATTAAATTTAAATTATTAAATGATAACACAACGCAAACATTTTCAACAAGATATTTGTTCGCAAGTTAATATTTAGACAACGCGTTTAATTTTCAAACTTTTCTCTAGTCATCACTTACCATTCAAAACGCTCTTGTTGAGACTCTTGATCAAAGAAGTCTTCTTAGAGAATGATCTAAGAGATGAGCTTAACATTTTTTCGAGGTTTTTTTTTTGGAGAGTCAACCCTTCTCCTTCGTTACAACCTCTTTATTTACAACCACTTCCCGCTATTTTTGTTCCGGCTTCTGCGCCCACACGCACAACAAGTCATCATCACACAGCAAAATTCACACACCACACAACGTAAACCAAAGCCTTCAATTAGTTTTTGTTGTTTGTTGTGGTGTGACGAAGAGACAAGATGGATGTTGATACTTTCAATTCTCTTTTTCAAAATGGTCCGACTTGACAACAATAACACCTTCATTATCCATTAGTTAATCATTGTCATTACCTCCTGTAAATAATAGAGGGAATATTAAATGCATACATTATTATTGAAAGGTACAATACAACAATTAAACTTCATAATTTGCATAATGACAACGAACATTAATAATATCTTGTCAAAATAATAACATTGTAAACTTCAGTCAAAATGATTTTAAAAAAGATTTTATTTCCTAGCCTTTTTATAATTGAAGGCTTGTTTTTCAAATTGTTTAAATGATTGAGTGTTATCATCATCACCATCATTAATTGTATGATGTTTATAAACAATATGATTACGATGAGAATGACAATTATTGATGTTATTTGTTGACACTTGTTGATTACCACCATTATTATCAATTGTTATTATTATTATTATTATTACATTTAATATCATTATCATTACTATTATTATTATTACTAATAATATCATTATTTAATGTGTTATCAACAATATTATCAATATTATTATTATTTAAATATTTTAATTTTAATTTTTTAATTTTTTTAAAATGTTTTTCTGATAAATTAAATTCACTTGTTGTAAAATCACATTGAAATATAATAGTAAATAATAATTTAAAAATAGATTTCTTTTCTAATTTACCATATTTAATTTTATTAAAATAATTTCTATTTAATTTTTTATAACATGAACAAGTACAAGTAAAAGTAAATAAAAATAAAATAATTAAAATTAATAAAAATAAAATAATAATTAAAATAATTTGAATATATGAATCTAATTGTAAAATATAATCTAAAATTGTATTAATATTTAAATTTTGTAAATTATTTTCTAATAATAAATTAATTTTACAAAATTGTAAATTTAAAATTGAATCATTCCAATAGGAAATATAATTTTCATTACAAATACATGTAAAATAATTATTTAAAATACCATTATTACATTCAATATTTTTAAAATTAATATTTTCAATACTATTTAATATATCATTACTATATATATTATTTACTATATTTATACATGTATTATTTTGTAAATTATAAATTTGTGTAAATTGATTACATTGTATTGGTATTTCACATTTTAATAAATTATAATTAAATATAATTTTATCTAAATATTTAGATGAACAATTAATTGGTTTACATATATATTCATTATAATCAAATTCTAAATCTATATTATTACAATCATATTCACATTTAATTTTATTATTTTCAATTATAGTTTTTATATTTAATTTAAATACACTATTAATATTACTATTAGATAAAGATGATGTTGGTGATGTTGGTATTATATTACATTGTGATTCATCTTTAGATATTGGTATTATTATATTATTATTATTATTATTAGAATTATCATTGGATTGATATTGAAATGTTACAATTTCTTCAAATAATACTTGTCCATTATCACCTATATTAAATATACATTTACCTGAATTTATCTATTTATATTAATTATTAGATTAAATTATTATTAAATAATATTAATTAAATTATTATCATGTAATATTATCATAACAATTATTATATAAATTATTTTTGAATCATTTTTGAATAATTAATGAATACTTACATTTAAATTAGTATTAAATATAAATTTACTAACATCATATCCTGATATTCTTTTTTGAGTAAATTGACTTGATGTTTTCTATATTTAATAATTAAATAAAAATATTAAATAAAATATAAAAATAATTAAATTAAAAATATATTAATAAAAAAACATACATTACAAATAAAATTATTATTTTGTAAAATACAACAATCAATTAAAGTAATTTCAACTAAACCATCAGATTCAATATTATTAAAAATATCTAAATAAATAGAAATTAAATAATTATCAATTTTAAAAGAACCTTTTGATACTATATTTGGATTTGATTTTAATTTTAATAATGAAAATGAATTTGAATCTCCAAATGGTAAATTAATTAAAATTGTATTTTTAATAGTTTTTACACAATTAAAATTAATTAAATTTTGATTTTTATCTTTAAAATAACAATCATCAATTAAATTTAATAAAAATTTAGATCTAAAACTATAAAATTGATCATATATATTATTATTTCCTAATATGGTAACTATATCACCTAATTCATCATTACAATTAATATTATTTTTATAAATTTCTTTAGTAATTCCAATTTTATTTATATCTTTATTAATTAAATTTTTAGGAATTACAAAACCATCTAATTGATTTTCAGGTATAATATAATAATGTGTTAAATAATAAAAATCTAAATTTGTTAATTTTAAAAAATCATTTTCAATTGAAATTTTAATTCCTTTAAAAATTAATGATTTTTGATTATTTGATAACATTAAACTATATTTTAAATCTAATTGTTGTATTGTAAATTGAATATAATATTGTAATTGTGATTTTCCAATTTCATATTGATTATAATTGGTAGTATTATAATTTAATTTTCTAATATTATAATATTTATTTGAATTTAAATTTGAATTTGAATTATCATTATAATAATAGGGTCCACAACATTTAGAATATTCATCCATATTATTATTATTTAAATTATTACAATCTTTAACACTTGTTTCAATAGTTTCATATGAATTTTTTAATGTTTTAATAAAAGTTAATGGATATGATACTTTTAAATCAGTTCTTTCTATTTTAATAATAATATCATTAGATAATGAATAAAAATCAGTTGAATCTAAACTATTTTGAATTTTATCATCTTTTGAGAGTGAGAGTTTTAAATCACGTGGAACTCCTTCATCTCCAAATTTAATGGCAATTTGAAATGTTGATGATGAGGAACATCCAGATGATGTAGTAGATGTAGATGTAAATATATCACTATTAGAATTGGATAATAATGAATTTGATAATGAACATGTTTTCATTGAATAACTTGTTGTAAATGATGCACATTTAATATTATTAATTAGAAATAATAATATTAATAGGCATAGTAATAGAGGATTTAATATTTTGATCATTTAATTATTAAGTGTGATGATGATGATAGATGAATATATTATGGAAAATAATCAGTGAGGGGAAGAACCTTAAAAATTCTTTAATTTTTTTATATATTGATTTATTAAGAAATTACCTTATTAATCATATTTTCATAATTTCAAATTAGGTATGGGTATTACTCGTGTAATATATAAACGGTCATTTACAACTTTAACACTACTTATTATTTGATAATTTTCTCTCTCCTTTCTTAATTTTGAGATCAACAAGTATTAACCACGTACCACCTCATCATCAGATATTTATTAAACAGTTGTTATTAATTGGAGAGTTTATATCAATTAGCTAAATATCCAAAACCATAGAGAGATTTCATTCTTTAAATGTTGCAAGTTCAAGTGATCTTCATCGATGTGACAACTAGATGTGATTAGAGAGACAAACCAATCCATGACTATTTCAAACATTGTTGTACCTTATAGATTCTCAATGACCAATACGTACAAGGTGGACAATCCAAAACAGTAAAGTATTTTTTCCCGCCCACAAACTACAAATCGTTACAAATATGTAGAGATTAAAAAAACAAGTTTAAAGGCTTTGCAGAGTCTCTTCTTTCAGTGGATTCAAACGTATTGCAACCACTGTATATTATCAACATTATTATCATCAAAATAATATATAACTTCTAACTCACTCTAGGTTTTAATAGTTTGAAAATGGGTAATGCAGCTGGATGTGCAACAACAAATAGTGTTCAACCTCAGCAAAATAGTCATGATCGTTATAAAGACAATGATGTACCACAAGATGTGGGGAAATCAGCAACTACAACAATAGCACATCAAGAACGATCAACAAGGGATGAAAAAGCACAATCTACACTTGTTCAACCAATTTCAAATATAAAGGATGAAGCAGAAGAAAAGAAGGAAGATACCACTTCATCCAATGAAGCCTTTGAATCTTCTGTTATAGTTGAAATACCAAAAGGAAAATCACTAAGATATATAACATGTAAAGATTTACATCAAGATAAGGAAACAGATTTAATGAGAGTATTATATAGAATGGATGAGGTAATTGCTTATAACACTCATCAATTAATGGAGAGTGATTTTATGTTTTGTGTATTTTCAAATGTAGATAAGAATATTGTTATTTATTCTCTATCTGATGGTTTAGATAAGTTTTATTATCATATTAGAGATGCTGAAAGTATTCATCAAGATAAATTTATGGTATTTGAAGATAGTCCATCGAATGAAAAGGAACAATTATCTTTATTTATTCTATCAGTTCAAAATTGTGTTCTTAATTCAGAATTAACAATTGAACCTCAACCAGATGAATCAATTGAAGTTTTCCAAAAATTGAAAAATGATGTTGGAAAAGTTATTACAATTGCATTACATTTATATCCTCTAAAACATAATATTGATATTAACATTAGAGATACTTTTATGATGATTACAAAATATTCAAAATTGCAGAAACAAAAATTTGATTCTGAAAAGAAGGATGATTTAGAAAGACAACATAGTTTGGAATTAAAATTAAAACAAGAATCTGAAAAGAATTTAACTGTTGAAGTTTTACATTTATCTTCTCAAAGATCATCAAATCAAGATGTTAATGAAGAAGAGGATGGATTTCTGGGTGATGATATTAAGAAAATTGAAGATGATCCACATACTCCAATTACACCAGAAGATTTAGCTCCACCATCACAACCAATAACAGCAAGTGTATCTAATGATCATCATTCTAAAGGTGGTGCTACTAGTAGTAATTTAACTGAATTGATATCTTCTTTAAAAGCTCATGAAAATGATGAAGTGAGACAATTAGTTTCAAGAATTGAATTAATTTTAACAGATCCAACAGCCACCAATTCAACAAAATCACCATTAGCAAGTTTATTAGTATCAAAAGCATCATCACATAATATGGGAGTTAAATCAACTGTTAAAGATATTTTAATATCAGATGAACATGATTCTGAAACACAAAAATGGTTATCATCTGAAGTATTACATGGATCACTTGTTGAAGATAGTACAGATTTATCATGGAAGAAACGTATTAAGGCATATACTAAAGCATTAGTATTTACAAATTATTTAAAAGAAATGAGTTCAATAGGTAGAAAGAGTGCCAAAGATTCATTAGCAATTGTACCTAAGGATGATATTCCATTGAAAGTTAAGGAATATTTAAAAGAAAATTTATTGGATTATTTTAAATTTGATGTATTTGAATTTAATAAGATTGCAGAAGGTGAACCATTATATTATACATGTTTATATATATTTCAAACATTTGATTTAATTGGACCATTGAATATACCAATTGGTACTTTGAAGAAATTCTTAAAACAAGTAGAATCTAATTATTTTAATAATCCATATCATAATAATTGTCATGCAACTGATGTTGTTCAAACTGCTATTAGTTTATATGTTAAATGTTTTTCACATACAAGTCCATCTTCACCTCATTCACCTCAATCTCAATCACAATCAACACAATCACAGTCACAATCATCTCAATCTATTCAATTTAATAATTTTACATTAGAAAATAATTTAAATTTCAATCTAGTACCATTAGATATATTAGCATTAGTTGTTGCATGTTTAGCTCATGATGTTTGTCATCCAGGAGTTACAAATTTATTTGAAAAGAAAACAAGAAGTGAAAAGGCAATCATGTTTAATGATCGTTCAATTTTAGAAAATTTTCATTGTTATAATTTATTTAAAATACTAGGAAAGGAAGAATTTAATATATTTGTAAATATGTCAAGTAATCAATATGAATATTTAAGAGAATTAATAGTTGAAATGATATTAGCAACAGATATAAGTCAACATTTCTTAATTGTTGGTCAAATTAAATCCAATGATATATTTAATAAGGAAAAGTTTAGTATTGAAAGAAAGGAATGTTTATTAGCCTTATTAAAAGTAATAATTAAATGTGCAGATGTTTCAAATCCAACAAAATCATATCAAGTTTATGGTAAATGGGTTAATAGAGTAATGACTGAATTTTATAATCAGGGTGATACTGAAAGAAATTTAAAAATTGATATTTCACCTTTTATGGATAGAAATACTCAAAATGTACCAAAATGTCAAACTGGTTTTATTGAATTTATTGTAATGCCTCTATTTAATTTATTATTTGATTTTAAACCTGAAGAAACTGAATTAATTAAGAAACAAATTCAATCCAATCATTTAACAATGCAAGATTTAACAAAATCAACTCAATTAACTTTACCTTTAGTGTTGGAACATGTTCATCAACAAACTGGTTTAAATATTATTCAATATGAAGAGAATTATAAAATTATTAAAACTAATAGAGATGATAGTCCTCTCAATGATGTTCATGAAATTGATGATACAAAGAAGGAACATCACATTGTTAAGGCTGAGGATACAAAACATCAAGATATTACCATTGAACAACCACCTCATAATGATAATGAGGAAAAGAATGATTCAAGTCTTGAACATTCTAATCACAATACCACAACAACAGAACATAAACATTCAGATCCTCTTGAAGAAGAAGATTTATAATATAAATAATAAACACACACAATCAATTTATCTTTTCATAATTCAATAATAAAAAATGGAAAATAATTCAACTACACAACAACAACTCAAATCATCATCAATAACAACAACAATACCATCATCATCATCCAATAATAATAATAATAATAATAATAGTAAATATAAATATACAAAAAGAGCCTATTTAACATCATTAATGATTAAAATACCACAAGATGGATATTCAACATTAATTAAATATCCATTTTCAATAATCGGAACATTTTCATCTTTATTTATATTTCAAAAATCATTTAAAAAGATATCTAATAAATATATTAATACTCTAACACAAATATCAACTGGATTAACATTTGGATTTTTATTTTATCAAATATCATTACCATTATCTAATTTTTATTTAAAAACATATTATACTACTAAATTATGTTCATATGCTTTATTTAGAGATTTATTTGGTCCTTATTATCATGATGATTTTACTATTAATATTGAAAATAATAATAATATTATATCTAATAATAATAATATGTTAATGATAATATTGATGATAATATTATGATAATAAAAAATAATTTTATTGTAAAGATTTTTTTAAAAAAATGCACTGAAATGAATAGTAAACAATTTTTATCATTTTATTCATCATCATCATCATCATTACCTATATTATTTAATAATGAAACATTTTTATTAAATAATAATAATGAAAATAATCAAGAAATATTATTTTCATCATTTTTATGTCAATGTTTACCTACTAAAAAAGGAAATAATCATTATAATGAATTTATTGCATTAATATTTAGAGAATGTTTTTATGAAACAAATGAAATAACAAGTTATATATTAGGATTATTAAGTATATTAACAAGTATGATTAGTTTATTTCCACAAGTTATTAAAAATTTTGTATTTAAATCTGCAAAAGGTTTATCAATTTATTTATTCCTTATTTGGATGATTGGTGATGTTACTAATTTAATTGGTTGTATTTTAACAAATCAATTACCTACTCAATTATATTTAGCTATTTATTATGTTTTTATGGATATTTTAATTATTACTCAATATTGTTATTATGAAAAATTATTTATTTTATTTTTTAATTTTATTTTAAAAAAATTTAATCAATTAAAATATAATCAATTAAATTCACATTGGATTATTTCTTTATTTGTTTTATTATTATTTTTTAATATATTTATTAGTAGTAGTAGTGGTGATGGTAGCAGTACTGTAAAATTATGTAATACTTCAATTATTAATAATGATAATGAAATTGCAAATATAATTGGAATTATAATTTCATATATATCATGTACTTGTTATATTATTGCATACATTCCACAAATTATTAAAAATTATAAAAAGAAGAGTGTTGAAGGTTTATCTGTAAGTTTTGAAATAATTTGTTTTAAATTTATTTATTTAATTATTTTTAACAAAATTAATTTAATTATGATTAATTATTAAATATATTTATAGTTATTAATGTTTATTATTGATACATTAACACAAGTATTGTATTTAATAAGTATAATATTATTTTATATTACAAATACAATGGATGTAGTTTCAACATTTCCTTACATTTTAGGAAGTATTTTTACTTTATTATTTAGTTTTATTATTGCTATTCAATTTTATTATTATAAAAATAACAAGTCAATTTCAACACTAATTATTCCATCACTACAACATCCACCTCAACAACATGAAGAAGAATACATTCCAATTCAATAAAATTTCAAATTTAAAAAATTATTATTAAAACAGTCAAATATTATTAAATATTAGTATTAAAATTAAATAAAAATTATAAATTTATTGAACAAATTGCATTTCCTTCAATTGATCAGAAACAATAAAGTTAGCTTCAGTCTTTGATTTAATTTCATCAACAGTAACACCAGGGAAATGTTCAATTAAAACTAAACCTTGTGGAGTAACATCAAATACAGCCAATTCAGTAATAATTCTATTAACAACTTGTTTACCAGTTAAAGGTAAAGAACATGATTTCAAAATCTTTGGAGAATTACCCTTAGCAGTATGTTCCATTGTAACAACAACACGTGAACCAGATGAAACTAAATCCATAGCACCACCCATACCTTTAACCATTTTACCTGGAATAATCCAATTGGCTAAATCACCACTTTCAGATACTTGTAAAGCACCCAAAACAGTCAAATCAATATGACCACCTCTAATAATACCAAATGAATCAGATGAAGAAAATGTTGATGATCCAGGTAATGTTGTAATTGTTTCTTTACCTGCATTAATCAAATCAGCATGTTCATTACCAGGTGTTGGATATGGTCCCATACCTAAAATACCATTTTCAGATTGTAAAGTAATGGTAACACCTTTTGGTAAATGATTGGATGCAAGTGTTGGAATACCAATACCTAAATTAACATACATTCCATCTTGGAATTCTAATGCAGTTCTTCTAACAATACGTTCACGTGTATCCCATTTTGATGGATCATTTGAAGAAGTAGAAGATGATGATGATGAATTAGCATCAGTAGGTTTAGAAAGAGTTCTCTTTTCAATTCTCTTTTCATATGGTTCAGCTAAATAAATTCTATCAACAAAAACACCTGGTAAATGAACATGATCTGGATCAATTTCACCTGGTTTAACTAATTCTTCAACTTCAACAATACAAATTTTACCAGCTTGACCACACATTGGATTGAAATTTCTAGCAGTTCTTCTAAAAACAACATTACCATGTTCATCAGCTTTCCATCCCTTAATTAAAGCAAAATCACCTCTAATCCATTCTTCCATTAAATATTTTCTACCATTAAATTCTCTAACTTCTCTTGGTTTAGAAGCAATTTCAATTTCCTTTGAATTTGGTTTAAATTTAATAGCAAAACCACCTTCTTGAATAACAGTACCAACAGCAGTAGGTGTAAAGAATGCAGGAATACCAGCACCACCAGCTCTTAACTTTTCAGCTAATGTACCTTGTGGAAGTAATTCAACTTCTAAATGTCCTCCTAAATATAATTTTTCAAATGTTGCATTTTCACCAACATAGGATGAAACCATTCTTTTAATTTGTCCATTAGATAATAATAATCCTAATCCCCAATCATCAACACCACAATTATTTGAAACAATTGTTAAATTTTTACTACCCAAATCTCTCAAGGCTTCAATCAATTTTTGTGGTGTACCAGATAAACCAAATCCACCAACACAACTATTTAAATAATATTAAGAGAGTTTTTACATTGTGTTTAGATTGTAGATTTAGTGTAGATTGTAGATTGTAGATTGGTGATTTAGATTGGTGTGATTAAGTGTAGATAAGTAGTTTAAATAGTAGATTGGTGTGATTTTAGATTATAGTTTAGTGGTTATGGGAGTGTTTAGATAATAGATTGTAATATAATAGTAATATCATCATCATATTGATCAATCATCATCATATTAATATTAATATATATTTATAAAAATTAATAAATTAATAAATTATATTAATACATACAGTGTAGCACCATCAGGAATATCTTGAACAGCAGTCTTGGCATCTTTAACAACCTTGCTGAGGAATCTAGATTGAACAACAGCAGATTTAATTGGTGTTGTTTGATTAGCCTTCTTGATAATTGGTTGAGCAATTGATTTGAACATTTTTTTTATATTATTGTTGAGGTGTAGAGTGGAATGTGAACGCTCCAAATTAGAGTCCGTAAAGCGATTTTTCAAAAGGTGACCTTTGTCGAATGATATGATAACGGAGTGCTTGCGTTGTGAAAATCATTGTAATCTGTGATTAAAACAACCAATCAATTTAAAAAGCGAGAAAATTTCGCGTTATTCATTTTGTTTGATATTTAGTACTTATTTGGGCCTATCGATAAGGTTCAGTTAAATAATAGTCCTAACTATTAAGTCATTCTTGGATATTAAGAAGTTTAAGATGTGATAAAATATAAATGTTAATTTTTAATGATGAGAGCTTTTTAGGAATAATAGAGTGATGATCAATTATTAATAAAAATATCTAAGGGTCCTTATTAATACTTGATTAATATGCATGCACTAAATATGTAAAGTGATTTGTTGAAATAATAATTTCATATCATGTCATGCATAAGTGCATTAAAATACTATTATATAATAGTATAAATTTAAAAAATCAAATCTTTATATTGTAACAATTACATTAAATTAATAAAATGGAATTGGCAACTTGGAGAGTGCTCTCTTATCAAATGCTCAAAGAAGGCCTAACTATTAAAATAAGTAATAAATATAAACAATCACTTCCAATTTCCATAATATTTGGCAGAGAAACTTTTCACTTTTCAATGAATCAAATTATACATTGGTACATTGGAATATGATATGGAGAAACTAGACATTCTCTTTTTCCCCATTGATTGAGTTCTAAAGTTTGGATTTTTCAATTAATTCAAAAATTTAAACAGATCCGAATAATAACATTAAAACCATCATGATGATAATTTAACTTGAATAAATAGAATGTAGCATATTTAAATATCTAAATTATAGTCATTGATATTGTGTAATTGATCTTTAATTTGAATGTTGAGTTGACCATATATAATAATAAACTTGGTTGATCAATCACAACATTATTAAAAAAAAATGGAAAAACTCCCAACATTGTGTACACAACATTCAACTAACATGGTTCAAACAAGGATGGAGAACTTGTCACACAATGATTATAAATTTCATAATGATATAATATATGAAATAATTTCCTTCTTTGATGATTTTAATTTTATTATCTTGAATTGTACATTGGTATCTAAACAGTGGTTGAATGTTATTTTATCAACATGTTGTAATCTTCATGTTAGTACTACTGCCAGCACTATTAATACTGTTAAAAAATTAAAAATGATGAAATCATTAACAAAACTTAAAATTAGAATTAAAGAAGGAGAAGCATTAAATCATTTAAGTGAATTGAAACAATTAAAAAAACTTCATATTTATGATAGTTATATAGGTGATGAGGGTGTTAGATTTATAAGTGAATTGAAACAATTGACCACTCTTGATATTCGTAATAATGGTATTTCTGAATATGGAGCTAAATATTTAAGTGAATTGAAACAATTAACTTTTCTTATTATTGATAAAAATAATATTGGTGCTAAAGGATCAAAATATATAAGTGAATTGAAACAATTGACCATTCTTATTATTGATAAAAATAATATTGATGATGAAGGAGCAAAATATTTAAGTGAATTAAAACAATTGACCTATCTTAATATTCAAGATAATCGTATAGGTGATGAAGGATCTAAATATATTGGAGAATTGAAACAATTAACTGATCTTTATATTAATAACAATCAAATTGGAAATGAAGGAGCAAAATATTTAAGTGAATTAAAACATTTAATACTTCTTAATATTTCTAACAATCAAATTGGTGATGAGGGAGCTAAATATTTATGTGAATTGAAACAATTAATGGATCTTGATATTTCTTGTAATGACATTGGTGATGAAGGAATTAAATATTTGAGTGGATTGAAACAATTGACCCATCTTGATATTTCCTACAATAAGATTAGAGATGAAGGAGTTAAATACATAAGTGAATTGAAAGAAATAATGTATCTTTATATTAACAACAACTATATTGGTGATGAAGGAACAAAATACTTGAGTGAAATGAACCAATTAAAAGATCACAACAAAGACTTTCAATATAAAGAAGATGAAGATGCCTGATTGGCCAAATGGAAAACCATTGACTTAGAACTTTCGGAATAAAATAAACAAAATATTCAATTTTTCTTTATTGGTTTGGAGGGTCAGCTTCGTTAATCAGTACAGTTCTCATTTGTGAGTAGAAATGCATTACTGAATCTACAAAATTGTGTAAGTGTGTAAAACAAAATAACTACTGAAGATTGTTAAAGATACCATATCTCTGAATACATATGCGTTCAATTTTGTTTTAAACTTTACATATCGAATTGTTGCTTTGCTTTTCTGACATTGGCATATTATTTACACAATTCATTTTGAAACTTCATAGAATGGTCGCAGAACAGACATGCAGGACAGACAACGTAAGTATTTAGTGTAAGTGTACTACCAGTAACAGAATCCAAGGATCATCAAATATTTTTAACAGAAGAGTAGAATACAAAATCAAAGTGGTTAAGATAAGTAACTCTATTATAAGGATAAATTATGAGTAGTCCAAATGGTAGGTGAAATAATCATATTGCGCTATTATGAAATTATGTGCTAATTTGTCGATTGGCCAACAGCTTGGAACGATTGTAATATGTTGTGAAATCGGCACGTGTTGACTCACCTTTGGTGGTTCCATCTAGACGAAATCTACATTTTAAAATGGAACGGCTAGTTTGTTTGATAACATAATGATTTTGTTTACCATAACGAATATTTGTGCTCAATCCTTGTGGTTCCATTTACATCAAATCGACGCCAAAATTGCGATCCTCTCCAAAGTTTACAAAACCAAGCTATTAAAGTATTTTCCAAAAAATGATGATGAATGAGGCCTTGTAATCGACGTTAATTCCTTCAAATGATTGATAACGAGTACTTCTGTTGCAGACTTGGAAAGGAGATCTTTCATGACCTCACTCATTTAACCTTTTTCTTTTCCTCTTCCTCTTGAGCAGGTTGCTCTTCTTGTTTTCCTCTTCCAAATCTGCCTTTCTCCTACGTTCTTCTTCAATTTAGGCTTTTCTCTTTCTTTCATCTTCTAATCATCCTCTTCTAATTGGGCTTTTCTCAAACGATCTTCCTCTTCCTTCTTCTTTCTGTCTTCTACATCCTTCTTATGTCTGGCTTCCTCTTGTCTATCCTTCTTGTTCTTATCTTTTTCTCAATTTGAATTTGATCTTCTAAATGTTTGACCTTTTAATGTTCTTCCAATTCAGAAAACTTTTCAGTAATTTACAACTGAATGATTAACATCCTTATTCTTTGGTTCAGTTGGAACAATAAGCAGAATCATGGATTGAGGACTCATAAGAGCCACTTATATACGAATCCATGCAAGAAACCACCAGCAATTGATGTCACAAAACAGCTGTTTTCCTTTAAATGCTTTTGAGGATATGTTGAACACTGAACATGTAATTGTTCCATGTTCTTATTATTCTTTGTACAATTTCTTCTACTCATACAATCCACACATTTCTCTATCAAATTAAAAAAAAATGATCAACAATAATCATATTATTATTGATCAACAAGAAGATCCTTCCGATCATCATTTAATTGATAATAATACAACTACTATTAACAATGATAACAATGATAATAATGATAATAATACAACTACTACTACAACTACAAGTACAACAACTACAACAACAAGTACATCAATTAAAACAATTTCATTTATATTTAATAATAATTTTGATTTAACACATGAAATGACATTTGAAATAATATCATTTTTAAATACTTATGAATTAACATTATTATCAATGTTAAATAAAGATTGGTATGAATATATTTGTGGTCAATCTATTTTAAATAATAATTTAAATAATGAAATAAAAACACCATGTGATCAAATATGGAAATATTTATTAAAAAATGAAATTGGAATATTATATTTTCCATTTAATTCTGATAAAATTAAAAATTTAAAATTAAATAATTTAAAAAATGAAAGAATTTTATGTCAAACAATTACAAAATATTATTTTAAATTTAAAGAAATTACAAAAACACAATTTAATAATAGATCAGATGATTTAACTAATTTATTTTTTAGAATTCATGTAAAAGGTAATTCTAAAACAGGTAAATCTAAATTTGTTAATAATATTTGTGATAAAATTGATCAAGATTTTAATAAATATGATCAAACTATTGATTTTAGAATTGTAATGAAATCATTTGAATTATTTATTAATAATAATAATAATTTAATTGAATTTAATAATTTAAATAATTCTATAAATAGTAATAATAATAATAATAATAATAGTAAATATATACAAATATCATTTCAAGATCATGGTGGTATAAAATCACCACATTCAAGAAAATCAATATTTTCAGCAAATTTATATTCAGGTAAAACTTATGTAATTTATTTATTTAATGAAAATTTAAATAATTTATTAAATATACCAATATGGAAATTAGATACAAATGAATCTATAAATGGATTAAAAGTAAAATCAAATTCATTAATTGGTAGTAAATTTAAAGATGATGAAGAACAATTAGATGTAATGGAAATAATGTTATTAAATACTTTTAATAATGAAAATGAAAATAATTTAATTAAATATTTAAATAATAATCATTTAAATTTATTAAATAATTCTATTGAATTAGCTATTAATTATCAATTACCATTATTAGTATGTGATTCTAAAAATATACAAAGTTGTAAACATGTTATTTTAATTACAAATATTTTAGAATTATTAATGTATAATATTTTACAATAATATTTTATATATTTATTATTATGTGTTTATATATTTATTTATATATTTTGTAATCTGAATCATATGTATTAAAAGTATTGTATGTATTGAAAATGTAATAAAATTAAATTTGAAATAGTTGTGTGTTACAATTTGTTTTTTTCTATTATAAACTTTAAAAAAATGAGTGAACAAGTTAATCATCATCAACATGTTGATCGGAATAATTCATCATCATCATCTTTATCTATTCAACAACAACAAGATAATAATAATAATAATGAAATAATAGAATATAATAATTTAAATAATGATTTAAATAATGATTTAAAAGATGATGAAGATGAAGATGATGTATATTTTATTGCAGTTCATTGTGGAGCAGGATATCATTCTATTAATAATAATAATTTATATAGAAATTTAATGAAACAATCTATACAACAAACTATTAATCAATATTTTAATAATTTAAATAATTTAAATAATAGTAAATTTATAAATAAAAATGATGAAAATGAAAAAATAAAAAAATGTTTAAATGCATGTTCATATGCTATTTCTATTTTAGAAAATTCACCATTTACAAATGCTGGATATGGTAGTAATTTAAATAGAAATGGTTTAGTTGAATGTGATGCATGTTTATGTTTTTCATCTATTTATAATTTTAATAATAATAATATAAATGGTAATAATAATATAAATAATTTAAATAAT